CCATGAGCTGAATCCGTTGTTCTTTCGGATGTAGTCTTCTCCAAGAATTCATTATTCATGCACTGTTAGAAAACGGCATTCAAACTGCTTTAAAACTTTAAAAATGTTTAAACTTTTTAATTAAATCAAAAAGAGTTGATTAACTCTTAACTCTTATGACTAAAACCACAACTTTTTATTGTGATTATTTCTGACATATTTCTTTCTTTTGATAAAAATAAAATTTAAATCTTTAATAACAGTCATTTCTTAGGCATTTTAAACAGAAAGGAAAATAATAATAATCAACTTTAAAATATTAAAATAAGCAGTTAATTCTCTACAGATACAGGGAATGAATAACTCTCCTTTTTTCTACGAAGAATCATCGGGAGAATATAAAAATTCATGAATAATACTTGTCATTGCTTATTCAACCAAACTCTTGAAAATATTCTCTCCACCCAATTATGTTGCCAAGTGTAGTTAGCAACTAACTCTAGCTAGAATCGCTGTTTAAGCCACCCCATTTCGTTTGAGCCACTGCCTATGGCTTCCAAAACCGCAGTTTGAAATAAAACCAAAAACCAAACAAAACAAACCGGCGGTGGTAACAAAATCGTTGGTAACAATCCAAAGCCAATAGCCCCAACCCGCCGGTGTGCACCTGTTACCCAGTTTTATTTAGTTTGAGCCGTTGGCATTGCCAGTCAGTCAGCCAGGCCGCTCGGTTAGTCGGTCGTCAAAAACTGGGTCTCTCTCCTAATCGCTGGCAAAACCAAAGACCAAAGACTAAAAACCAAAACAAAAGCCAAAGCCGAGGCAAAAGGAAGCCAACGTTTCTGGTCGAGTGCACTCCTGCAATTGTAATGCAAACAGGAACACCATATTGTACACCCAGTATTAACAGATCGGTGGATATATACATAAATATATATATATAGTAAATTCAAGAGGGAGATAGACGAATGCCAGACAGACGCCGTCAACGCTTTCTGCTTCAATTGACACCCTCTTGTGCCGCCGATGCAGTTGCAATGTTGCAGTTGCATTTGGCAGTCATTGGTAGTTACATAAAGACAATTGACAGGGCGCATGGGGTCTATAGGCCAAGCAAATTTCCCTTTACCGTTGCAACTAGCAAGTTGCCAATGTTGTGCAACATCGTCTGGTTTTCAGCTCCCTGATTATAGCGGTTACTGTTTTTTGTTAGTTTGTTAACTAGATCGACGAGGGGTGACATTATCTAATGCAACAATCATAAATTATCCACGTTCTATAGTTAACTGGTTTTGTGGTTGAAATATAGTAAGTACTTCCTATGCGATAAAACTTTCCGACCTCAAAACGAAAACTGATAGCTAAGAATTCTTGAACTAGGGGGTTCCTAAAATTATAATGATTTCATTGTTATTATACATAGATATACTTTCGTAACCAATATCCCTTATTGATAAATTAGATACATCATATATAACGGCTATAAGTTATAAATATTGTAAATATTTAAGCCAAAGCTTATCAATTCTTGCAATATCAAGTCATATATTGAATATATATTGTATTTACCACATCGAGATCGTCCCCGTTCCACTTTTTAACGCCTTTCCTTTTTTTGATCGGATGTCACGAGCCCTGGAAACACGAATCGGAACGAATCGGAGGCACGATTAAATTGATGGAGAACCGAGAACAGAGAACAATGCAATGTGTTGAACAAATAAAACGCGACAAATGCGTTTAATCAATCGGATCAGCCTTCAATCTTGACCCACTGAGCGGTGTCAGAAGGGTCTGGTTAATGGAATGCCCTTATACTGGGTGCCCCATCACACATTCCACTGATTGCTCACTCACACTTCTTGCCCCACCAAAAACATAAGAAAAAATAAGAGAACCCGAACAATCGATGACAATCTTCAATCGAATTCAACACACTCTTCAATGTTTATTTTCCCGGGCAGCAATTTGTTAATTTCTTTATTGATTTTTATTGTCATTGTTTTGCCGGTTGTTGGACATTGTATGAGTTATACTCGGCTTTTCTTGGCTCACCCATTCTGATTGCCACATTTTGTTGATTGTTTTTGACGAGCATCGAGATGACGGTGATGGACCAACTTGTGTCAAGTGAAAGTCATCAAGTGGCGGCGTCGGCTGGGAATCGGGATTGGAGATGCGTTTTTGGATTGGGGCCTTTTGCTAATAAACTCTGTGACATCCGATGATGATGATGATGATGATGCCCCCATGTAAAACTTTCGCCATGATTTATTGGCCAGCTTGTTAGTGTTGACCAGATAGCCAGACAGCCACGCAGCCAGCTCTTTTGGGATGCGGCGACATTAATCTTCCGGCTTTGCCTGGTTAAATAAATAAATATTATTTAAATGCCAGTTTGAATGTCATTAACCCGCGGGGCGAGAGAGAGAAAGAGATGAGGACCCCTTTTCAAAGGCAACACATGTGTGCTCCACCTCGAAGCCAATTCGAAAGACCCTTGATTCCATTTCGATTCCAGCACTCCTTATATGCGCAGACTGCCTCCGATCTTGGCATCGAGGCATCTCCGGTCAAGGTCAACAATGCGATACGATTGGCAAAATAACCTCGAGAGTCGTCTATCAATGTCAGACCCGTTGTTGGATGAGCGACAGCGATCATGTTCGGCCTCCCGGCATCCATAGAAATTCACTGTGAAAAATATCTCAGACGAACATAAGTGCTTCCCATCCCACCTTCAATTCCATCTAATCAAACGTTGATCGATCGATCGATCGATTGCCGAGAACAACATGGCTCTCGCTTCCCCAGACATTCCTTTCTCACCTCATAATCTCGGCGACAGCATAAACTTATCTCAATCAATGCATTTGGCTTGGGGTCTATCATTAAACATTTATATATAAATCAATAGCGCTAATGGCAACTTTCCTGCCCGTAACAAACGGCAGGCAATTTGCCATTCCATTTAATCAGACAAGATGGAAAACTGGCACGCATACACCCCTGGCTATATATATATATATATAGGTGAAGCAGTCGAAGCAGATCAATTGGAAAAACAATTTCCCGCCGGCGGGGGGCGGGAATATTGCGCAAGCGCACCACCGCACAGTTACTGTGAAAAGTAAATTAATTTGATTTGATTTTCTGTCGAGCGGAGTGAAGTTGATGGAAAGGCGCTGCGGGAAAAATTATACACAAAACGAAAATATGATCTTAATTCTGGTCTTAAATGTGGATTAATTTATAAGGAGAAGTATTTAAGGGAAAATATTTTTTAAATATTAATAAAATTTTTGTAAGAAATGACGGATTGTTAAGGGAAAAGGTCTCTTTTCTTCTTGAAAAAGTTAATAACTATTTTGATATTTAAATTTCTAGTTAAAATAAATACAAGTTTTTTTCCTGTGCCTGTCAGACATTCGATTATATAAACGGTTAACTTCCCAGGGGCACACAAGTGACAGAGGCACGTATATTTTATAGGCCCAGTTTTCGAGAAGCAAGTCGCGAGTCCTGGTGGCTTAAACCCACACCCACCCACATGGTGTGGCCAACGCCCTCGGCTACGGTTGCAACTCAATTACTGCAGCTACTCGGATGACATTTGCGCCTTGTTGCCTGACACTTTTCCCATTTTTCCAAACGCGAAAACGCTTTTCATTAACTGCCAAGATGTGCCGCCGCACCTTGAAGCCAGCCGCTGGTGAAAGTTTTTTTCTGTGACGCAAGACTGCGCGAGTCAATAGAAATAAAAGCTGCCGATAAAATAAACAGCCAAATCAAACAAATTCTACAAACGCACTCGATATAATGTTGTATTGAAAGCGTAATTGACAATTGTTTTAATTAATGGCGGGCACGTTGGTTTTAAAAAGGCAAGAAAGATCGAACCCCGAAGCGTTGCCAAATTTCACTGTTAACGACTGAAATTATTATAATCACATTGAAACAAAATTACAAAATTTGGCAAGACCACAAAATAAAGAAGACGACACCAAAAAATACAGACAACGTAAATTTTCGACAATTTACCGCTTGGAAATTGTTTGGGCCATGATCGGAACTGGGTCTCAAATTATGTAATTGATGTTAATTTCTCGACTCCTCTGCTGAACTTCAAATGCAAATTGGCTACGCGTCTTGCCTGTTTCTGTGCCATTTAAGCGGTTTTTAGAGGTTTTTAGTTTTACTTTTCGACTTTACTTAAAATTCAAATCTGTTTGCCACCGATGATTGCGTTTGGGGGCGTGATTGGCAGCTAAGTCGGCCAAAATATAAACAAAAAAAAAAACGGCAACGTCTTTTGATGTCTGGGCTTGTTGTTGTTGTTGTTTTTGTCAGCGTGCGAAAATAAAATCAAAAGTGGAGCGCAGTTTGTTTTGATTGTTGGTTTGGTTAGGTCTATCTATTGACAAACACACAGCCGTATTGAAAAGTGTTGCAAATTGCCTACGAAGACAGGTTAAAGAAAGAAGGAAAGGAAAATGGCCCCAAAGAGACAGCAGACAGAAAGACACGGCATTATGTCATAACGCTTAACGCTCAACGAGGAGGAAGTGACTGCCCATATTTGTGTCACCGGTAGACCTAATGATACATATCTTTGCAAATAACCATGCCATAAATTAATATCGAATCACTCTCAAAATTGTCAACTAATAGCGTTTAAAATTCAGTCCACCTATTTAAGGCTAATGAGTTAATGTGGTTCAGTTTAGTTTAGTTTTTGTTTTGAGATTTGAAAGCTCTATGAATCGATCCATTATGGCGTTGTATAAGATAGATCTTTATCTTCGAGTATAAGTGAATTCCATTTGCTACGCAGTGCCTTTCGATATAGAAAAGCTAATTAAAAAATTAGATTAATTTCGCATTATTTTTTTGCCCTGTTCTCGATGCTTCTTTTTAATTTATCGTGATCTACGCATTTGCCTTGGCTCAATGTCAGCTGGCATTAAGTGTTGGTTGTTTCAGTTTTTTCTAATAGATTCCATCTGTCTATATTATTTCAGGATCAAAACGAAAATCTGGCGATACACACAAACAGAGGCATCGATGCTCTAGACAAATATGCCAACTTCTTGCGTGATCGAGTGGCCATAGAAACCGAATATGCCGGAAAATTAAGGTGAGTCCTCAATGTTAAATAGAGATTGGAATGATATAAGCTGGCAGATAATAAATTTCAAAATGCAAATACAGAAATAAATAAATAATATATAATCGTGATATGACCTATTTAAAATGATAAACAGCTTTAAAAACCACGAAGTTATGTGATTTTTCTTACAAAAATCTTTTAAGGCATTGCAAAGTATTTAGCCGCTTAGCGCTTCCAAACTTGGCCATAACAAATAGTCAATTAAATATAAATATTTTGCTTTACAAGTTGCATCTGGCCTCACCCATTTGTGGCATGTCTTTTGGCTTTTGGCAGTCGTATAATGTTCTCGCTAATGTAAATCCGTTAAAAGGAGAAATAAGCACAAGGTCGCCCACTTGTGGAAGTGATTGGCCCAGCTGTCCAGACGGCTCCTTTCCAGGCCAAAACACAGAAATAATCGAAGCCTCGCGACGTATAAAACGTATTTTAATTAAGTCTTTGTCTTGGCCAATATTTTCTGCAACCTTCGACAACGACGACAACAGAACAACTCTCCATTGCCATAAACAATAATCGTAAATAGTTAATTGTGTGCATTTATAAACTTGTGGCGCATTTCAATTACCTCTGATATTTTTATGGATCCCGGGAACTTTAGTGTGATCCGAGAGCGGCACCCCTGTAAATTGCACTAAATTGAGTGACACCCGAGCAGACCACGACCTGCCCCACGCAATTGACACGCGACTGTCTCTTTGAGTGGCCAATCCCCTTGCCTTCCGCCTTCCTTCCCCAGATAAAAACCAAACTGGACATTGGACATATGGGGGGACCTAATGGGATTAGGCTTCGGTTACCCAGACGATTGCCCAACAACATGGCAGCGTGGGTCGTTGGTGGCTGTCAGTTCGTCATAATTGTTTAATTTAAGCGAAGATTATGTTGCCCCGTCAAGGTGTTCGCTCAAAACGAGGAGGTGGAAGAGGGGCTTATATCGCTGGTTTCCCACTGCCACCAAGTTCCCACAATGAGTCGAAGCTTTGCTTGATGACTCCGCTTCAGCTTGAGATTCAGTTTCTTCTGCTGTTAACCAGCAGCCTCTCCGCTTGGTGGGACTGAACTGTGGCCCCTGATATGGCTGGGAGCTACCGTCTTGACTTGTTTTAATGACTTTATCATTACGCGTCTAACGTTGTTTGCGGCTATAGGTGCAGTTGTACACTCAGAAAGAAGGCTTGGTATCTTGTGGCAAGTTGGGGATATATATCAAAGGTATACGGGACTATTATGGTTTTCACTTTTCACGAATTGGATGGATGTGTAGGTGGATTTGCAGAAGTTCAACTGAAATTAACTTAAGAAAATCCAAGAAAACTTTAATAGTTTTCCAAGTGTATCTAGCTGGAGTCTGGATGAGTGTACGGGCATGCCCGTACCAGTAGCAACTAGACCACAAAGCCGCCGCATGAAACCATAAGGAAAAACTGTATTAAAATGCGCGGCGCAGTGAAATCTTTTGCGTGCACCGCCTTGGCAATCGCAAAATGAAAAGTCTCGTGTTAATGCAAATGCTGCTTCTGCTGCCTGCCACTATTATTATTATTATTATTATTTCTTTCTATGCATAAACAAAGTTTCACTAATGCCATGATTTTGATTTTACCTTTCGTTTTTTTCTATTTTGCAGGCGCCTAGTGAAAAACTACCAGCCCAAAAAGAAGGAGGAGGAAGACAATGAGTAAGCATTAACCAAAAAAACGAAAATATATAGTAGTAGCATACCATTTACTTTTTGCCTTATTCGTTTGTTAAATGTTTTGGAAAATTATCCGTAATTTGTTGCACTTTGTTTGCCATATTTGTCGGCAAAGTGCTAAGTGGATCGGGCTGGGATAATCTCATATGACTCTTGCTCTAATTGTGCGTGTTTTGTGCCATTCAATTTGTGTGGAAGAAATCCACTTGGATCCCAGCTGAGATTCAAGTAGTTGCTGTTGTGTGTGGTCTGGGAAGCTCAGATTTTAATTACACGCCATGCAAATCTGGCCCAACTCTGGCATACTCTGACATCATGACCCGCAAATAGATCTGTGAGTGTGGCATGTGTGTAACATGACAATGAGAAGCCACAGCCATGGCGATAGCCAAGTGGAAGAGTTGGTAATGAAATGCCAAGCGCTATGCCATATTCAGTTGTAAAATCCATAAATTTATGCCCGTTCCTCCGGCCATATAGAGTGGCCATTCTGACAGACAGCGTTGATAGACATACGGACCATGGACAGACGCAATCCAGAGCCGCGTGGGCGTTCCACAGCGCGTGTCCAACTCTGTCAATCCGAGAGCTCCATAAATCGGGCCCTCGGCTACGTCTTAAGTTCATAAACAAAGATAGGTTTTGCACACAGAGAAAAATGTATTAACAAAGCTATAAAAAAAATATATTTATTTTTGTACATTTAACAATTTTAAAAGTTTTTCTCTGTGTGCAATAACTTGTGTTACTCCTCGGGCGCAAATTGGCGTAGGTCGAACTGATTCACATGCTCCCATTCCATTACAGATTCACATCGATGCAAGCGTTCCGCAATCTGCTCAAGGAGGTGGGCGATCTGGCGGGTCAGCGCGAGGTGGTATCCGAGTCCCTGCAGCTGCAGATCATCGCGGGAGTAACGCTCCTGTCCAAGACACTGCGCGAAGAACGCAAGGTGAGTGCGTGGGATTACCCAATAATAGCTTCATAACTTATTCAAAAATATACTTGCAGAAATGCCTTAGCGATGGTGCCACCCTGCAGCAGAACCTCACCACACAGCTCTCCTCGCTGGATCGGGCCAAGCGGAACTACGAGAAAGCCTACCGCGACTCGGAAAAGGCGGTGGACAGCTATAAGCGGGCGGACATGGACCTCAATCTCAGTCGGGCCGAGGTGGAGCGCTACAAGAATGTGATGACGTCAAAGATTCAGCAGTCGGACGATGCCAAGAACGAGTACGCCAACCAGTTGCAAAAGACGAACAATCTGCAACAGCAGCACTTCAGCATGCTACTGCCCGCTGTCCTGAATCGGCTGCAGGAGCTAGACGAGAAACGCACTCGTGGCTTCCGGGAGTTCATTGTGGGAGCAGCCGATGTGGAGTCTTCAGTGGCGCCTATCATTGCCCGCTGCATGGAGGGCATCGTGAAGGCCGGCGAGTCCATCAACGAGAAGGAAGATACCTTCAAAGTCATAGAAAGGTTAGCATTACCATTAAGAAGGTGTCTTAAACTTAAACTAACCTATTATCCTCCTTTCTAGATACCAGTCTGGCTTCACGCCCCCAAGAGATATACCCTTCGAGGATCTGTCTAAATGCGATCCGGACTCTGTGCAGGATTCGCATTACAGCAACTCGACATCGAACCACCTGACCATGAGGGGCACCATCAGTGCCAACAAACTAAAGAAACGCGTGGGCATCTTCAACTTATTCGGCAGCAACAAGGTGAGGAAGTCCGTGGCCATTTCCTGGGGGTTAAATATTGGGTCCTAGACTCGTTTCCACTGCCTGATTCTCTCTCTCTGCTGTTCAGAGTTTTAAGTTTTCTCAACACACATGTCCGTTCCATTCTGTGCACCAGCCTCTTGAGTTGAGATGCTTATTGATTAGCTGTTAAGTTCGATGTTCTATTGATAAGTCGTAGGTCTTGGTTATGGTTTGTGTCTCTTTATGGTTTACTCATCCAGTCTTCTCTCTTTTCCGTTCTATTTCTATATATTAATTTGATCGAATCTCGATTACCATATCTTTATTTAACTCGGACCTGGTTCTGTCTCTTGCCGTAAGTACCAAGTGTCCAGAGTCCTCGATTCGTGTCCTCCTCGCCATGCATAATCCACTACCAGATCGACATTACCCTACCATATATACATACATCGCCTCACCCCCGCTGAATTGCTTATGAATTTTCATGTTTTGTGTCTCATTTACTAATACTTTGTGCTTTGAGTTTACCCATCCATCACCAACTGCAAAGTTATCCTAAAATCCACAGCTTCTTCTATAACTCACCAAATATATTAATTGATTAACTCTTGATTTCTACTTTTGTACACATATTTGTTGCTGCGATTCGATTTTAAAATGATTAAAATGCTTAAAATCACACGAACACAACACAAAACAACAACAACACAACCAACAAACATGTGATACAATTTCAAAAAAAAAATGCAAACTTACTAAATCAATTCGCTGCCAATAGCAACGGCAGATAATTGAAGCCTGTATCACCATGAAGGTATGATGAATCTTTCAGCTCTCTCCCAACTAAATAACTAACTCTAACTAAGCCTAGCCTAAACTAGCCCCTTACGATTAATCTTAATAACACCACTATCTCGCTATCTCTACTAATCACAATCAGCTAAATACAAATCTAACCATCACTAGCATATCGTTTCCATTAATAATAATTAATAGTCTGAGCAACTTTCACTTTAAACGCCTGAACGCAAACGATCGGCTTGATTCTTGGCTTGATTAAACATAGTCAAGTTCTAAAACTAATCACCAACAATTATCATACAAAATCAAATGTTTAAATCCTTAAATTAACTAGAATAGTTAGCTAACTAGCTGAAAGCCACAGCAGCACACTTACACATTATTCTTTTTGGTTGTGTTAAATTTTCTATACAATTGTTTTATTTTGGTTTTTAGCTTTTGAAAATCCCTTTGCATGATTGAATGCCTTTATCGCCTTATTTTCCCTTTCGTTCCATTTCCATAACTTTTCTTTATGATACCATTTGATGGCCTGTTGATTTGGAAACAGGTTTGATTGATGTCGAAAGCGGTTTATTGAATTATCAAAATATTTGCATTTATCATTTGTTTTGGTTTGTTGATGTTTCTTTCTGATTTTTCTGTTTCTGTTTTCTGTTGTCTTTACTGATTCTAATCACTGCGTGCAACTCTTGTTTTGTGTCTTGTGGATGTCTTGTCCTTTAGTCCTGATTTGTATTTTATTACTCATTGCATTTGCCTCTAAATATATCATTCAACATTTTTGGAACACACCCAACTAATTAAGCTTTTGTTGCCACAGAATTCCTTGACTGCTGATGGACAAAAGGAGGACTTTAGCGATCTGCCACCTAATCAACGGAGAAAGAAGCTGCAGGGCAAGATCGCCGAATTGACGCAAAATATCGCCCAGGAAACTAAAGCCCGGGATGGCCTGATGAAGATGAAGATCGTCTATGAGGCGAACTCTTCGCTGGGCAATCCCATGACCGTCGAGGGACAACTGAACGAGTCGGAACACAAGTTGGAGAAGCTGAAAGTGGATTTAAAGAAGTACCAGGGCTTCTTGGAGAAGGCCAGTCAAGTGCCGGTGGCCACCAGTAGTCCACAGGCGAGTCGAAATCAATTGCAAAATGGTCACAGAACCTCTAGGTGAGTTGGACTAAAACTTATCCAAGAAAATATATCGATTAATAAGGGATTGGTATCTTTTTTAGACATTCCAATGGTAGTGCCGATGACCATCATGACGATGGCGACGACCAGCCCGATGATGCTGGCAGCTTAAGCAGGTCAGATTCTGAGGATAATGTGGCGCAAATACAAAATGGGCATAATAATAACAATAACGGGTACACTCATAAGTCTACGTTCAATGTTTATAAATATATATGCATATATACATATATATCTCACCCACATACATTATATACATACATACATTATCGTAGCATTATATTTTGGCATCGCATATCTAATCTGTATTATTTAATCCGATCATACTATCACTGCACTCTTCACGGTGTGTGGCATTTTCTTTGGTGTTGGTTCCTCACTCATTTCCAAATCGATAAATCAATATTAACAGCCCAGAAAGTCCACAATAAGCCAAAGATACAAAAATTATATAGAAATTTGCATAAACTTCTAATTTGTAGTTATATTTTGATTCTTTTTTGATATACACCAAACATGATGACACTTAATAATGTGAAAATTGCAACTTCTTCAAATATTTCGTTTCATTTTGCCTTTTCCATGGTGAAATCCAGCAGTTCGGCAAGTCCCGAGAGTGGCCTAGGCACTTCGCACACATCCCTGCCAGGATCAGGACAGGGCAGTGCCAATGAGAATGCAATCGGCGAGGATACATACTATGAAACGGAAGTGGAGACCCTAAATCCACTGGGCACATGTCGAGCCCTATATCCCTTTGAAGGTAAGTGATGACAAAAGCATCCTTCTTGATTAACTACTAATTATGATTATTATCTCAATATAGCCTCCAGCGAGGGTAGCATACCCATGAATGAAGGCGAGGAACTGCAAGTGATTGAGATCGACCAAGGAGATGGCTGGACGCGGGTGCGGCGTGCGAACAACTCCAATGGCTGGGACGAGGGCTTTGTGCCCACGAGTTACATCGAGTGCACGCTCTATGCTTAGGATTAAGTCTTATTTCGGGGCGGGCGATCAGCCGGGCGGTTTTAAATGTTACCTACTCAGCAACTTTTGCGTATGATCGATTGATTTGTGTACTTTTGTCATAACTTTGCGTTCTGTCGGACAGCCATACCACACAAAAACAAAACATAACAAACAAACAAGCAAACACACCTAACCTTTATACAATACTGTACATTTGACCTAAGCTAAGTTCGATTCATTTACCCTTCGTATGCTTTGTATATTTACTTTGATTTTAAACGTCATTGATCTTATGGTAGTGCAAGCTATATCATACTATAAATACTATAGTCATATGCACCTACGAGCAGACCTCACCTAATTGTAAGCACCGCAACGTTTCCCTCTTCACCACAACAATCATGATAACACCTATTTATATACATATATGGAAACCGATTTATATGGCACTTGAATACGTGAGAGCATGAAAAGAATACCTAAAACTGAAACTACAGCCGTTTGGACATTAAAAGTTATCTTGTGAACACGTTTTCAGATGCAGTTCATCTGGGAAATGTGTTGATAATATGCACTTTTGCTCGATTCTCGGCTTTGGCCTTAGGAGCACCTGTTGCTTTTCCCGCTGACCAATTGGAAAAGCATCAGAGTGCAATTTCCTCAAATTTAAGCACTAAAACTTTGGTAAATATGCAAAGGATCAAGAAAACGGACATCGATCACATCCCATATAATCCATATAACACACCCGAAACTCAAGGATATATGGACAAAAGTTATGGCAATCCTGCATGACGACATGCGGTATACGCAATTGCGGAAGCAAAAGAACGCGCTAGCTTGTTTTATATAAATAGCAACAATTGTACATTTTACTTTAAACACACACTCTATGCATAATTCGTAATTTTAATTTGATGATAATTTTGTATTGCTCTTTGCCTTGTACATTTTCACACACTATGTTTAATGGGAAGAGAGATGAGAATTCATGCAGAGATAGTGCATCAATTAGTTATGTTTTAGGAACCCCTATATGATTAAGTTCACAACATTTAAGGCTTAAGTCAGAGCAAAGCCGGGCGGCGCTGCATTTGTTATGTTCGACGCCACTTTGCAATACATTTATTTATATTTTAATAATGATATACCACTGTATATTGGTAAACCACAATCAAAAACTTGAAACAGAAGTCTGCGGAGAAAGTCCAGGCGGAGCGAGATAGGTCTTTAGTTAGATATGAGCAGCCTTTCCCATCTGTATTTTGTACTTTCATTTCGCATATATATGCTACCATGCTTTAGCATTTAAGTGTGCAAACAACTGATACTGATCAATTCTGTTTTTCTGATGTTTAATTGAACGATGTGAACGAATGATAAACTAATCTTAGTTGCGAACGCAGAAAATAAATAATTCCAAAATTCTTAAATTTATCTAATTTTAAATTCGAACCGAAAACAGGCACATACGTATTAACGCTAAAATGTTTACAACATCAAATGGAATGCGAGTAATTGAGTTTAAGTGACAGACTACGGCAAATATATGTGAGAATTGTCGGCATAATAAAAGTAACTAAAATTAAATCAAAGTCTGTGTCTGATTAGCATTTGATTCTTTTGCAAATGGTTGGGGGATCAAAAAGTTACAAAAACATTTACATTTATTTATAATAAATTCAGTTTTCTATATAACTACAGTAATGGCAATTCTAAGAGCGTCTCATTTCAAAAATTCATTTTTTGAAATTTAGGGTGACCTCACCTTCTCTAGTTCATATGGGCAAATTTAGTACATTGCCCAACAGCTATAGAGGTATTTTTTTGAGGCTGAAGTTGCGGTAACTCATTTAAGCAGCCGGTAAATAATAATACTTTGATTTTATGGAACCTTCAGCAAAAAAATCAAAAATGACGAACAACCAAAAGTTCAAGAACAATAAGAAGAAGTACTTCCAGGCCAAGAAGCATGTGCTCCAGCCTGGTCAACGTGGATTCTTTGCCACGTGCAACATTAACGAGAAAGCATGTGTACGTGAATGCTACAATCTTTTAAACCATTATGCGGATATCCTTTATGGTCCGGAAATCCTGGAAAATGAGCAAGAAAATAAGGAAACAGAAGAAGGAGCAGCTGGCGATGCTGGAGAGGATGCTACGAAACCAAGTACAACAGCCACCAGTGATGATGACGATGATTTGGAGGCAGCTGCTGCCAAATGCCGTGAGAAACTTTCCCAGCGGAAGGTGCGCTTCCAGAATGTGGACACCAATACCCACAACTGTGTGTTCATCCGCACTCAACTTGAGGATCCAGTGACGCTTGGGAAGCACATAATCAACGATATAGCTACCACCGGCAAATCGATGTCCCGATTCGTTCTGCGACTGGTGCCCATCGAAGCCGTCTGTCGTGCCAACATGCAAGACATCATCTCTGCAGCTGGTGTGCTCTTCGACAAGCATTTCCTCAAGGAACCCACGAGTTATGGCATCATCTTTAACCATCGGTACAATCAGCAAATTAAGCGAGATCAAATTATCAATCAGCTGGCCGATCTAGTCAATTCCAAGAACATAGGAAACAAGGTTGACCTAAAGGCGGCCAAGAAGTCTATCATCGTTGAAGTTTTGAGGGGCTGGTGCATGCTCAGCGTCATCGACAATTATTTGGAATGCAAGAAGTTCAATCTGGCTGAACTGGCTAATCCCAGCGATAAAAAGTCGGGCGGCGAGGGCGACTCCCAATCTTCAGGGGATGCTGATTCTAACAAAGAGAAGAAAACGAACGAGATTAAGGATTCTGAGCCTAAAAAGTCTTCAGAGGAATCAACTGAAGTTGACAAAGAAAACTAGTTAGGAAGACTCCCAACCCCCCGATGGTATGGACCAGAGCTAGATATAGATCTACCAGTCTGCTGTGCAGACAAATATAAATAAATCAACCAGTTATTAATTCCTTTGTTAACAATTGTTGTCGTTTATCCATTGACGCTTAGCGACTAAACTTTGGAGAGTCTGTGTCCTGGCCATATCCTAAATCATTTTGTGTATGTTTGTATTATAGCTTACATTACGGTTGAGTAAAACTACGTGTAGACTAGAGCCTCTTTTTAGTTGCGCTTGAGCAGCATGACCACTGTGCCGGCTATCTTTTCATAGGCCATGAACATCAGGGCGGCTGTCAGCACGGTCTGCAAGATCTTAGCCTCCAATCCGCGGAACAAACCACGGATGCCCTGGTGCTGCAGAATGCTGATCATCAGCTCCAGCGTGCTCTCAGTGCGCGGTTGGGATCCCGAAGTGGAGGGCTTAGAGTCCGATTCCTTGCTGCGATGGCGCTGTTTGGTCTGGACCAGCTGTAGCGGATAGGTCAGCACCGTGGCAAAGGCCTTAGCAATGGCACCGATGAAGAAGAAACTTAAACTACCCATCTCACCGCCGGTGAAGCGCATAATGTTGCGCTTAAGCATCTCATACATCATAAACTGCAGGGCAGGATTCGAGACAAGCATCAGGGAGGGAATAGTGCCCGACCACAGGCCGGCGATGCCTTCTTTTTCGGCGACATACTTGAGCCCCTCTAGGAGGTTCTTGTAGTGCTTGTTTACCTCGTCCGAGGTTCCCTTCACATTGCGCATACGAAGCCGGGTGTTTACCACCCAAAACGGTGTGGTGGTGAGTACATTGATGATGCCTGCAATGCTGCCAAGGAACAGATCCTTAAGAGCGCTGTGCTGGGATGGAGAGCCACCCGAAGCCACCGCCTTGAGGGCATGGAATGTGTAGAAGTACACAAAGTTCGAAATGCACAGGCTCTGGAGGACAGGACCGAGACCTCGGTACAACGACTGGAATCCTTCGCCGAGAACTATCTCCTTAATCACTTGCTTGGTACTCCGCACTTCGCCGGCTTCCTCCACTAGAACGAAAAATTGATGTGATCTATAAGTTATAGCTTCGAGATTATAAAACCCAGAACATCCCAGGTGAATTCTGTTTAAGCGCTAATTTAATTTGTCACGCATATTCCGAATCTGTGATATCAACACAACCTTGATCCCTATTATGATAATTATCCAATTTGTGGTATTAACCCTGAAGGCGTTTCAGACAAATGTACAGTAAGTACTGACTCTATTTTACACAATATCCCATTTGACTTAAAAAGCAACAGTCATAAAAAAAACATTAGGCGTTACCTCACAAAAAGGTGGTCCTAATGAATGCCTGTACATGAGTATTCAATTAGTATTTCAAACATCTAACTTTATTTACCTAAAAAATCATAATTTATATACAGGTCTAATTTGCATTACCCTCTTTTTATTCTTTCCGAAGCAATGCCACCTGCATATTCTACTTTTTTAGTCAAAGTCCAAGAGCTTTGGGCAATTGCAAATTTTATGCATTCCTATACTATAAACTGTCTGCGTACTTTAAGTGGAAATAAGGTGCACTCTATAAAAAGTGAACCCTCAACACTTAATATATTGTTACTAATCGTACTTTATTTCAAGGGTACTTTATATATATATTGATGACTCAAAAAAAAATATGCTTACCCATATACACATTGGGACCATTGGAGAACAAGAAATCAAAAGTTATTTTATATAGAAATAAAGCCTACTCACAAATTCGCTTAAATCAATTTTCTTTATATTTCTTTAAATTATTAAGGTAAGCTGCAAATAGTTGTTTCTACTAAAAAATAATCATAATCTTGTCTCGACCCAGAAACTAGATTCTATCAAAATCCATCTATAAACAGAACCTAAAATTGGATTACCGCAGGGAATTGATTAGACGGGGCTCTTTAACATATCAATAGAAAGTTTCAGACGCTGGAGTTTGAACTCGCCCGCAGGTATTCATGTGTATATATAATATATGAATTATCAAAGCGTGGCCCGCTTATCGGTTTCCCATGGAAGATTAGTTACAGACCGCTCCCCAATTGACAAATCCCTTTAAAACTTACGCTGCAGACGGGAACGCACCGTGTCCAGTGGATAGAATGTGCTCATAGCAATACAGCCACCCTGTAAAGAAGCGACCAATTGTAAATTAGCACCAGTGTCATCTTGACCTTTAGCCGGCAAATATTTAACCACTTACGGCGGCTCCGGAGACGGCATGCACGAAGTTCTGGTAGCTAAGCACCTGGCTGAGTTTCGAGGGAGCCACCATTCTGTTATTTGTTCGTTGCACTAGTGGGATCTTTGGATTGATACGTCCGGCGGCGTCTTCGGGCGAGTGTTTACTGATTGACGTTCCGCCGGTAGTTGCAAATGTAGCTGCGGCAGAGAAGTTTGGCGCGTTGTCGAGATTAGATTAATTTAATCAGCGGCAGAGGAGGCAGTGTCGGTGTGGGCGTCGGCGTCGAACCCTTTGTTGTGCCTCCTGGATCACAGCGACTTTATAAGTGATTCACTCACATATTCACAATTTCTATATACAAATAATTCACGAATAGTATGACCGCTGTCTAAGGGAATATACTAGTTGCCTGGAGAAATATACTAAAATATACATTTTTTTTAGAAACAAGCCGTTAGAAAGTAAATTTGAATTCCGTTTTTTATTTAATTTTATAATTATTGCTTAGCCATACCCTTGTATACCAAGTTTTAGAAAAACTTTATTATATTTCTTAAGGGTTTTCTTATAAAGAAATAAAAATTTATGAATTTTTCCGTTTAAACTTTTCCTATCTTAAAATAACTAAATTTATTATTCATTTTATCTTCTAACTATCTTATCAAACTCTATATTAAAATGTACAATTAAAGGGTCTAAAAGTAAAAGGAAAAACTAAAGAAGCTGATCTATAAGGCACTTATCCCTACGGGGTTCCAATTTTGGTTTCTTCATGAAATTTACCCCCGTTTCCGTGCTGCTGTTGAGTAAATCGGCTGCCTTTCGTTTGCGATTCTAAAAAATAAAAAATGTATTGAAGAAAACAATTTTTTTTAAAAACTAGATTATAGCCATACCTCATGTTCCTCTTCCGTTAGCGTGGCAAATACAAAGTTCTTGGCCTTGGCTGTCTTTACGGAAATAGAGCCCTCCGTTCCGTCCACATCACCGGAGGTTCCCTTGGTGAGGCCTGCTAGCTTAGTAAGAGTCTGCTGGTCCCGAACCAGGAAAGAACCGCGAACCGCACTCTTCTGCTGCTTGCCAGCTATTGTTTTTGAGATCAGAAAAGGAGAACTCTTCTTTACCTCCACAGTTGTCTTTTTGGAGGAGATGATGTTCAGCCGGCGAATGGAATTTCCAGTGTTACTCGTGTTTGCTATGGTTGTAGAAAGCGGAGAAGCTGCCTCCTGAAAAATAAAGATATTTTAGAAAAAACATAACAGAAATATTATATTACATACCGCTTTAAGTCCTTTTTCCAATAGGAGCTGCTCACGTTCATAACGAATTTTTCGCCACAGATGCTCGTTCTCCTCATCGCCACTACCTTCGTTTCCGTCATCATTTTCTGGACGATGATCGTCTAGGCTAAAGGCATTCTCTACGTTCTTCCAACGGAACTGTCGCTGGCGACTGGCTCCCTCCTCTTCCTCTTCGAACAGCATTTCCTTGATCTTGCGCACTTCCCGAATGTCTTGATCCAACATTTTTCGACTGTCAAAAAAATGTAATAAATTAGCTTTTATAATTTGGAATCTTCCTTTTACTTACGCATGAATTTGTCCCAGCTCGTGGCGCAGCTTATCGCGATCAAACTGATCCTCATCTCCCAACTCTATATCATAGTTATCCATATTTTTCTCGTCCTCATCAGCAGATCCCCAATCAGACTCTGATAGCTCAGCTTCTTTGTCCACAAAGTTAGCCGCTCTAATTTTGCGGTCTTTCTTTGTCATCTCTACAACTATTTCATTCTCCTCGGAATCGTAGTCCACAAAGGTTTCCGGAATGTCTTCCGCTGGCTCTTCGTCGCTTTCCTCTTCGAACTCCTCGACATCATCATCACTTTCTTCGTCATCCGAGAAACCCAGTTTGGCCTTTTTCTTAGGCCTTTTCTTTGTGAGTTTCTTATTTCGTGGCTTATCAGCTTCTACGGTATCAACCTTATCCTCCTCGTCGCTAGAAACTATTCTGTTGGCCACTACTGGCTGCTCATGGGATTCCTCCTGATCCTCAGTCTGTTCAGTGGGTGCTTGAGATGGCAGTTGGGTGGCAAAGGTGCCGGAACACAGACCCTCCAACTCATCGGGTGCCTGACTGCTGCCTTCAAACTGTGTCATGGGTATCTGACTGATAACAGCTGTGTCAACGGAAGGAGCTGTGGAAGAGAGCATCTGGGTATGTGGAAATTGACCAGAGCAAAGGTCGAGAAGCTCGTTCTCCTCATCGCTGGCCGTGCGCCGGGTCTCCGCATCAAAAAGTTTGTGGGCAGATAGTTGCAATTGAGTAGCTGTTATGGGAGCAACACCACTCGGCTTGGGGGTTTGCAACAGATCGAGATCGTCTTCATCGGAGTTGTCTTCGAAGGCTTTAATGATCCGGTTCTTTTTCCTGCCTGTTTGCGTTTCAGGTTCTGACTCTGGTTCACTTTCCTGATCATTCTCACTGCCATTTTCCTCTTCATCAAGATCAACTGTATTATCGTCAGGATCCTCATCTGCATCACTTTTTATTCCTTCTGTCACTTCATCTTCTTCGGCAATGTCCTCGCTTTTTTCTATGATTTCCTCATCCTCATTTATGGTTATCTCTGCATAACCAGGTTTATCTTCCGGTTCGTACTCCTCATCCACATCCATGCCTTCCTCTTCGTCTTCTGCCATTCGCTCTTGCTCTTCAGCTTTTTTCTTCTGCAGGTCCTCCATCCTTTTCTTAGTGATTAGAGATTTGAGGTGCTCCTGCATCTTCATGAAACCCGCTCCTGGCTTGGGTTCCTTTGCAATCTCCTCTTCGTGCAGATGAATGCTTACCTTAGACATCTCCAGCTTTCCATGCTCAGTGGTTAGAATGCTACAAATTTACCACAGTTAGAAAAATTTTAAGTTACAGAAGATAAAGTGGATTACTTACTTGACAGTTTCTGTGGTCTTGTGTTTTTTTGCTTCCCGCGTTTTCATCAGACGTTTCAGCAAATCGTCCACTCCAGTAGGTTTCTTAGAGAACATATCGCCCGTTTCCAAATCTATAACCATGTTGGCGTCACCCTTAATCGAAGGACTCACATCCAAACTCTTCTCGTCCTTCAGTCGACGAATGGCTTCGGTGATTTTCGGAGTGGCTGGTTTAGAAGGCGGTGTAATGCTAATGGTGCTCAAGTCCAGCTTAGGCAGTTCCACGACTTCCGTAACCAGCCGGATTTTGCTGGGAGATGTTGCCTCAATCTCTGGTTGAAATTCAAAGGTATCTTTGAATTTCAAAGCCGCGGCAGCAGAGGTGGATGCAATAGGTTCTATTTCCATGATGGGTTCTTCCAACATGGCTTCCTCTGTGGCAGTTTCTTCCACCAATGCTTCGGTAGTCAGTTCATCTGTGTGATTCTTAGGTTGCTCTGGGGTTTTAGGATTATCCACCTCATCCAAGACACCTGGATTATCTTTGAACTCCATAGGCGCTTCATCTTCTGAATCATTCTCCTCCTCTGGTTCGGATTCGGATTTAAAGAACTCGGTGGCTTCTTTGGCGCGCTCCTCCATTAGTTTTCTATAAAAAAAAAGTATTTTAAATTAATTTTTTAAAGATATCATATAACTTACGCATATGCCTCCAGTTCCTCACGGGTCATTCGAAGTCCCACTGACTTTCTTGGTTGCCTACTTGGCATGGGACTTCCTCCAGCCATAGCTGTGGCTAGGGGAGCGTTGATAGTTCGCCGGCTGAGGAACTCCTTTAGTGTCCTGGGCTTTGGCTGATGGTAGGGCACGTTGATATGGGCCTCTCGGTGCAAACGCTGTTGCTCACTTTGGATTGCCTGCATTCCTTCCAGTGCTTTCTTGGCTGATTCCTTTTTAAGAAAATGTTTAATATTTCCATCTCATATTATTTAAATAACTTACTCTAACAACTTTAGGCTTCTTAGACTTTCCTTCATCTGGTGCAGTGGTTGCTTCCTGATCTTCTGCAGATTCCTCTCGATTGCTTAACTCTGCTTCGGATTCTGAGTCCACCAAGCCTTTAAGCTTGTTCTTGGCTGGACTGGTTTCGATAGCGGGTTCATCCAATTCGGATTCAGAGTCAACCAAACCTTTAAGGGGATTTTTATGTAAAGGAGTTTCCTCTTCGCTTTGACTTTTCTGGATCTCATCTTCGCTGTCACTGTCCATTCGTTGTTTCTTTTTCTTGTCTTTTTTCGAACGATTCTGTATTTCCTGATCTTCTCCTTCGCTGCCCATCTGTGGCTCATTCTCACTGTCAACTCCTTTGGCATCAAGATCTTGAATTTCCTCATTTTTGTTCTCCTCTGGCTCTTCATCGCTCTCTATTTTTAGTTTATGTTTCTTAGCCACCTTCTTTGGCTTGACACTCTGCTCCTTATCCTCCTCATTATCGGGCTTATTCACAACTTTTTTCTTTATCTTTTTTGTTGGTTTCTCCTGCTGTTCATTGCTATCCGCATTTGACTCCTCATCACTTACCACTTTTTGATTCTTTTTCTTGGTCAACGTTTTAGGCTTTTGCTTTTTGATTGACTTCTCTTGATCGAGATTCTCATCTTGGTCCATTTTGGAGTCCTCACCCATGTCTTTTTGAATGTCTTCACCATTATCTTGTTGGAATTCACTTTTCTTTTTGTTTACTTTCTCTGCCTTTGGCTTTGATGGCTTTTTAGGCTTTTGTGTCTTAGAAGGTTTTTTCTGCTCCTCATCCTTATCCTTGTCCATTTCCTTCTCCTTTTCTTCTTGGGATTCTGCTTGTTTTGCTGCCTGCTTCTTACTCCTTACTGCCTTCTTTGCCTTTTCCTTCTTAGAAGGATTCTCCTGGTCTTCATCCAAATTGTCCTCTTGGAGTTGTTTCTTTTTCTTAGGCACCTTCTTTTTCGTTTCAGTTTTAGCTATGCTTTTGAAATCTTGATCCTCCTGGTCGCTTAGCACCTTCTTGTTTTGGTTTTTCTTTGAAGGTTTCTCTGGCTCCTTCTTGTCGTCCACATCCGGCTCTTCGTCATTGTCCGAATAAATAATGGCGGAAGCCTTCTTCTTAGGCCTGGAGACCATCTGCTCATCCTCTTCATCGCTGACCAGCAGCTTTTGTTCTTTGCTTTTAGGGGAAGTGTGTTTCTCCACTGCATCCTCCTCCAAGTCACTGTCCATTACCCTTTGGCGCCGGGCCTTGGGTGAGATCTTTCGGAGTTTTTCTGTGGATACTTCTTCATTTTCGCTGTCGTCCGACATCATCAAACTCTTGCCACCCAACAGATCTTCGCCGGACACCATATGTTCGTCTTCATCGTCGAACGCCAGTTTCTCCATCGAGTCGTCCGCCAGCTCTTCATTTTCCGCTGCAGCTGATTCACTCATATTTCTGGGTCACTTCGTTTTTGTTAATAATAAGAACAAACCAAAAACATTTCTGAGTTGAACACACACACAATTACAACTTTTGGCGCAAAGAGTGTTTAAAGTCGCGGGAGCAATCAGCTGTGCAGTGCAGTGTTGTGAAGAAGAAAAAAGTAGAAAGTAGGGTCATACTTGTGTAAAATTGTGTAAGTAGAATGATTGTAGAAAAATCAGTTTACATGTAGAAATATTCATTTTCAATTTATTTTTAAAAATTTTATCCTGTTTTGGCAATTACAAAAAATTTTAAACAATTTTAAGAAATAAAAACTTTAAACATAATTTTAAATTATAATAAAGGGGAATTTTTTGTTAAAATTTATTTGGTAAAAATAAAAATAACGGAAAGAAACCCATATAATCATCGTAAATTTGTCTAACGGTTTAATATTTAATTGCCTTAAACCAAAAACACTAATGAAAAGATAAGAAACATTTAATTTATAATTAATCATTTATAAATTTTATTTTAGAAATTAAATAAATAAATAAGATACAATTAGTATCAGTTAGTTCAGGTTATAAATAAATAAAATAAATTTCTCGACGGGCACAGCATTAATCTATAAAATGTACTTGATTATTTAAATGAAAATCAAACAGCGTGAACATATCTCGGACAGCCACTTAATCAGCAGGCGGCAACCTTTCGGCAGTACAGCAATCGAAAGTAATCACCCAGCGGATATACATACTCATCACAAGAAAAAGAAACACAGGTGGGCATGTAGATGTGTGAGTTGTTCACCTGTTCTTGTGGTTGTTGCTGCGCACCTCGATGTTGGCGAATTGTTGCAGTTGGTTTGATTTTGGTCCAACGTCGATGTAGCAGCTACTTGCTGCGATGCTTTCTCCGCATCTCTTTCTTGCTCTGAGGCATTTCTCTTTCACAGTTTAGTGGCTGAGATGCTGAAAGGCTGAAAAGGTCTTTTGGCTGAGGGTCATTAAGTAACCCACCGGCGGTCAAGAGTTGCCTAATGATATGGCTTTTGGTCAGAGCCCGATATAAATAGCATTAAAATGCAATTATAAATGCTGAAAAACGCATCCGATCCGCAACCATTAACCTCGGTTCAGAGCTTAATATTCAATTAACGTCGATTTCTCGGCTCTCAATGAAAGCAAAAGCAAAAGCAAGAGCCACCAGAAAACCCAAAACCGAACCGTTTTAATGGGTGTTAAATTCCTCCGACTTTTCACTCTATCTGCGGTATTCTGAGATCACACTCAGCAGAGCTTAAACGTTCGACTTCGATTTGATTAATGCTTTTTAGAAATGCCTTCGATTTTAAGGGGGACAAATGTTTCACCTTGCCAGATTGCGCAACATTCACAAATCCCACACAACAAAGATATATATTATATATTATACAATATTAAGATCCGAAGAAAGTTAGCATATTTTACAAATATCTTATGGTTTCCGCTATGCCAAATTTATAATATGTTCGCATGCCCAATCACAGCATGGGTTTAGGCAGTCGATCGATTAGTGGGGCTTAGTTAATATCTGGATACTCTATTGTGTTTTATTTTTATTAATTTAGAAATTATATTATGTTCTCCCTTTATTACAGTTTAAGAGTCATCCCATCAATAGAATTATTATCTTTGATATACGATCGTACATATCATCAACAGGTAGTTTTATAGCTTTAAGAAACTTAGGTAATGTTTCTCCCAACCAGCAGCCTGATTAAATCATAATAGAGAGTATTATGGCTTATGAGCTAGACATTTATAACTTTAAGCTCCCGCTAGCGCACCAATTAGCATAGTATATATATAAAATAAAAAACCCAAATCTTGGTACCGGCGCACACAATTTCTCTTTCATTTGGCGAAAAAACAAAAACAACATGAAAACGGTTAACTCTGTGTATCTTTCGGGCATCTTTTTTTCATATCTGTAGCAGAGATTTTGCTTTTGGCCACTTACGGTATTTCTGCGCCTTGTTGTCGCTACCTAATTTGCATACGCACAGTTCACAGATATCTGAAAGATCACAACTGGGCCCAAAACGAAAGTGAAAACACTCGAAATTGTGTGCTAAACGAAGAGTCTAACCGAAAGATACACATAATTTCCAACTGTCTACAATCAATATTGATCGTCTCGCAATCTTTCGGAATTTGAAATGGGATTTCGATCAAAGCAAACAAAACCATTGTATATGTATACCATTTCTTTAGAAAACTGTTTATAAAAGATCTTTTCTTTTTGGCAAGGCTAAGTTTCTTATGCAATCGCTCGGACTTAAGACCTTTCGACGCCTTCAACTGCAATCAAAAGTTAAGTTTATGAAGTTTATGCAGCGACTCTGTCTTTCGCAATTAAATGTAAATTCGTCCACGGAGGAGTCGGGCTGATCGGCTTGTAATGCTGCATGTTTCTATATATACTCGTATACGAGTATATATAAAGTAACATATAGCTGTTCCTTGGTCCCAGACACGCCTTTGGCTGTCTGCGTCTGGCTTTTCGTTGCCCAATTGAGATTTCTTACCGTTTGGCTTTGGCATTTTTTTTGCCTTGATTTTTGTTTTTTGGCGAGTGAAAGTGATATATGGCGCATGACTCAGGCTCAGTCCATGCTTGACTCTACTCCGAGTCTCAGCCGACCCCATGCCGGCCCCAAGTCATATGCATAAAATAATAATTAAGCGCCATTTATGCATCCCAAGTCAAAGAAATGGCCAAAAAGGGCGCAGCAGCCTTCAAGCGTGGACCGAAACTAAACTCAAAATCAATTGACATGTTTCTCGGACACTGAGAGAAATTCAATATTATGTTCATGTGGCCACCACTTTCAAAATATGCGAAAATCGCTCTGTCCCGATTTGTGTCTCAAAATATCAGTATTTTCCTCATTACACCGCCAAAGATGATCGTATCATGGAATGTTATATCTCGTTGAGTTCGTATTTAAATTCCCCGTCGTACTGTGTACCACACTCAAAAAGTGCATTTTTTCAGATTTTTCGTAAAATTTTATGATGTTACCCCTTTCCGAAAATGCGAAAATCGCTCTGTCCCAATTTGTGTCTCAAAATATCAGTATTTTCCTCATTACACCGCCAAAGATGATCATATCATGGAATGATATACCTCGCTGAGTTCGTATTTAAATTCCCCGTCGAACTGTGTACCACACTCAAAAAGTGAATATTTTCAGATTTTTCGTAAAAATTTATGATGTTACCCCTTTCCGAAAATGCAAAAGTCGGTCTGTCCCAGCTTGCGTCTCAAAATATCGTTATTTTCCTTATTAGAGAGCCAAAAATGATCGTAACATAGAATGTTATATCTCGTTGAGCTTGTATTTTAATCTATTTTCAAAATATTTAACTGCTATTTAAATCTGAAGAAAAAATATTTTTTCTATTTTTCGAAAAAATGATGATGGTACCCCTTACAAAAAATGCAAAATTTGAGAAAAAATTAATTTTTGATAACCAGCAGATCAATGACACAGAAAGTTTGTACGGGTCGTTAGCTGCACAAAACAGTCTTTCTTTTGGTTCTGCGTCTTCTTTTGATAAAGTTATAAGCATAGAACTGGCGAAAATTATTGCAAATTTTACTAAAAAGTCAAAATTTTGATGTTGTGCCGAAAATATCAGTATTTTTCACATTACATAGTCAAAAATAATCATATCATTGAATGTTATACCTTGTTGAGTTCGTAATTAAATTCCCCATTGAACTGTATACCAGGAAAAAGTACATATTTTAAATTTTTCTTAAACTTTTCCTTTCCCTTTCAAAATATGCAAAAATCGGTCTAATTTCATTGCAAAGCCAAAAATGTCCTAAATAACAAATCTTCTTCGACAAAAAGTGCTAACCGAAAAGGAAATAAGTTAATAATCTTGGCTATACCCAAGCCAAGTAGTGCCCTTTAACCGATGTACACCTGTGGGCTGCCCTTCCCTCTTGAACTCCAACACCTAACCATCTAAGAGCCAAGTTCATTGTCTTTATAAATGTGATTTAGGGCTGGTGACAGCCCAACGGAAAAGCCGCCAACGGCGGATTTAACAATAACAAAAAAAACGGCCAGCAAATTGTAGCCCAGCGACTGACAAAAGAAATGGAAAGTAAAAAGCTTGGCGATTCCATTGAGCTCGATGACCGGGCCCGGGGTTGCAGCTCCGGCCGGAGTGCGACTTGCATAATGATTGACATTGTTTGGGCCAGGCCATGGTCCACAATAATTTGTTTATAAACAATAAGCGCCCAGATTGTGCACCGTTATAACTGCACTGCCGCAGCGGCTCGAAAAAAAAGAAAGACAGAGTTGTGCAAAACTCTGGTAGCAACTGGTTTTTATCTTCTCATAAATGAAATAAAAATTAACTGAATGAACCCGGGATTATTTTGTTATTGCTCGATGTGGTGAAAGGGGTAAGAGGTTGGGGGAAAAGGTCGGGAAGTGGGTAAGTTTGAAGAGATATTTTTAGACCGGTTGAAAACCGTTTTAGCGTTTGATAAAAAAGTGTTTATTGTTTTTATTTAGTAAAATGTTTCTATTATTAGGTAGGAAATGGTCATGGCTAATTTAACATTATTGTTTTTGAAGATTTTACAAATACATTTAGATAAACAATACACTAAAGGGTTTTTTAACCAAAGAAAAGAAAACGAAAAATGTTACTAACTGAAAAATCATAACTTTTATAGCTGAGAAATATTGGGAAATATGTAATATTTTCTCAGCCCCGGAATCCCTTGTATTTATTTTCATTTTATCATGAAATTATCGTGAAACATGTTAAAAATATGTTATACTTTTCCTATCTTTGCCTCACTTTCTCCAGAAAGATTATATCACGATGTTGTTCTCCAGCTGAAAACCATTGCCTTTCCCAACTTGACTCTACCTGTGCCCCAAAATGCGGGCCCAGAAGTTGCTCAATTTTCTAGAAACCAAAGGCATAACAAAAAGAAGCCACTGGATGAGGGCCTGCCCACGTACAAATGCGTCAGCCGAGACGGATCACTGCTCAATTAGCATGCCAGGCACGTCCCTGACCCAATTCCATTTTGGCAGTGTAACGCAGTGATAATGTTACCAGCTCATGTGCCGGGTGTCAGAGGATCTACGTCATTGAGCTGCGTGTGATTCACTGCCGGTGCCCGGATCCAAATCCAAGGCGTTGCCGAGCCCTGGCCGAGATTGGCTCTGAATGAAATCGAAACCCTAAAGGCAAAAGGCGGAACTTTCGATTTCTTTCGATGTCATCGCTTGGGCAGCCATGGTGCGTTCATACGTATATTCAAATGAAAGTTCATAGCGATCGACGATTACTTTCTTGGCTGTTGGGATCGGCTTCAGCCAATTGTCGGCGAGCCATGTTGTATCTCTCGGATTTGGGCATTTCTACTAAATCATTTTTTCGGCTTGTGCTCGCTCGTTTCACTTGCCGTCTTTGATTGGTTATTTTGTTAGACATTTTTGTGCCATTTCATCATCGGAAATTGGCCAGTCCATAAGATACATCTCTTTTGTGTAAAATCGAGAGTGGCGAACGACAAATTTACTTTTGGGCTTTGCACTTTGGCAAATTGATCAAATTTGTTGCCAGGAAATTGGCACAAAGTTGTTTGCTTTTCTTCATTTGTTTGGATTGTGCAATGTGCAGATGAAATTACTGTTCCCCAAGGCATTTGAAAATTGGGCTGAAATCATTAAATGAACTTTGGTTAAACAATCTTTAATAAGAAATAATTGGGACATTTTCATGATTTAATTTGTGGTAAACGAAGTTGGGAAATCTATTTCAGTGGCATTAAAAAATTAGAATGTCTATTGGTTGGATTGCTGAAAGGCCTTATAGTTATAAAAGTTTAGCAGTAAATAAAGAAATATTTTATTGAAATTTTATATGCCTTAAATAATATTGACATACTTTTTGAAATCTCTCAATAAAAATGGCTTACATTCATTGCAACTTTGCAAATTCTTCAAGTCAATTTAAAAGACAATAGCAAAACTTTCACAATTGATTCTTAAAGCTGTATGGAATGTTAATTTGCACATGACAATGCCTTAAACTTTACAATTCAGACATTGTTGTTTGATTTATTTTAAATTTATTTAACCAAAAAACAAAAGACTTAGGCAACGAACTTGAATTAATAAATTATTCAATTAAAATCGAAACAATTTCTATTCGCTCCAAAGAAACAAAAGTTGACTTGGTAAACGAACTTAATTTATTTACGCTAGGCACACACAAAGGTCAACAAAATGAAAATAGTCTGCGCCTTTGGCCCGTTAAGTGTGTGCGCATTATGTCATTAGGGATTGCATAAGCGGCTGGCGATCATAATTTAATTTTCCAATGCATTGGCCAGAATAACAAGCGTGGCCATAAGAGCCGTTAGCTGACTCAGAGCCGGACCCAAACCCTTTTCGAATAACAATCGAAATTAGGCAATCGTTGAGGTAGTTCGCTGCTTGGTATCCGCCACCACCACCACCACCACCATCACCATCGATCGACGCCACCAGTTACCTTGACACCACACAGACGGTTGCCAAAAATAAAAGAATCGAACAGATATATGTGTATTTTAGTTGAAAACCGCAAGAGAAAGAGAAAAAGGTGGCCAGCAGAAAGCGGCCTGAAATGAAAAGTTGGCCGAAAACAAGTTTTTGGAATACCCGAAAACGGCATATTTTGCATTCGGCGAGGTGCTGCCGAGCTAAAGAGCGAGTCTTTTCCTCTTCGTGAGCTCTCTTCGCCGCTTTTCAGGCATCGAGCGCTCGAGCGGAGCGACAGCTCCAGTGGTAAAGGGGTCAAAACTTTCACGCGATATAAAATCTTGGTTAGCGATACGGCTGGGCCGCATTTTCATTTCAACTTTGTGTGCGACGAGTTGTCTCCAGTCGCGTCCTGTTAGCCACCTCCGCGTCCGCAGCGCGTCCCTTTCGTTCCGTGATCGCAGTGTTCAAATCGAATATCTATATAAATTGGAATAAATTTTGAAAATATTGAAAAACAAGCTACAAAAAAACAAGCGAGCAATTCGAAACTTGCTCTTGGTATATTTTGTGCATCGAACAGATCCAAATCCTAGATTCCAGTGGAACACCCGAAAGCCACAACGTGATCCGCCTCTGTGCCATTGACTCCAGCTAAAAGGGATTAACCAAACCCAAAAAAACAAAGGATTTAAGCTGCCTGAAGGTAAGAAAGTGTGACGAAAATGAAAAATAACTGGTTGATGATTGATTTGACCAAGTTGAAAGATCAATGAACGGACTTAAGTGGCAAAGGATAATGATGATAATATAAAGTAAAATGGGAAATCAGGTTCTTGAGTTATGATTTAATATAAAAAAAAACTTTAAAATTGAATCGTCCTGAAAACAAAAGACTTAAGAAAGGAACCTCAATTTTCAATCGTAACATACTGAAGTAGTCTTACTTAAAAAGTCTCACTGTGGAGTACTAAAAACTACTTTTACTTAATTAAAAACATTTTTCCACACCTTGGACAAGATTAATGAACAGTTTTCCCCACGACTCTCTAACCGTTCTTTAAGTGCCATCTGTAGTCTGTCCATCGACCATATAAACACACATATCTTCCTCATTCACATAACTTGAAAAGCCTTCAAACAGTCAAACTAAACCCACAGTTCCATATGCTTACAAAAGCGTTGCAATCACTTTGCCGAAAGAGAGAAGACTCGTAAATCTTTGTTAGTTTCGTTGAAAGAGTGCAGAAGAAAGCCGAAACGCACGGCAAACTTTCGTCGTCGTGCATTATGCGGAAATATAACTATTATTAATAATAGTTAAAGAGCTGCTGAGGCGTGAAGTAAATAAAACTGATGTGGAACCCTTGGCTCATTAAGCTTAATTTGGATTTGCATACTCAACGTTTTCAATTGGCCAAAGATAGAGCTAAGCAGCTAACCAGCAAGCCACCCAGCCACCCAGCCACCCAACCACCCACTTAAAACGAGATTCAAGCGGTGCAGTAGCCGGCTCTCGTTCTGTGTGTGTCTCATGTTGCTGATCTTACTGCTGGTGAAATTTCATCGCGTTTCGCGCGAATGAAAGTCTGAAATTACCTTGTGCCGCTTCTCATTCGCAGTTGTGGCTGTTGCAGTTGCAATCGCTGAGTCTTCCATACACACATGTCTTGCAGCTTCTCTTTTGATTAATATTGCGAATTGCTTTGTTCAAAAACTGCTCCACTTTGGGCCGCAGCACATGAAAACAATTTCGCTCACTACGCTCTTTCTTAAACAATAAAAAAAAAAATCAAAAACACCCCGATGCTATCTGGCAGATATACTTTCTGTATCTGTATCTATGTATCTATCTATTCATCTCTTGGATCTCTTAGCACGCGCGCTCTTGGCCAATTGGGTTGCATTGCTCATACGCCGTGTGGGCCACCACCACTTGTCATTGCTGCCCAAACATAGCGCCTAGCAATACTTTTAATTGATTCCACACACAGACAGATCGCGAACACAGACATTCTCATAGTGAAAGAAGCTGCACCACTTGCTGCAATAATTACTGGTTTCTCGCTCTCGACTGCCTTCGGTTGGAGCTTCAACTTCAGTTCAATCTTTGAAAACTCTGTCTCCAGACCAAGGCAACTGGCTCTGGGACTTGGCGACAATTTCAAATTAACGGCAATTGTCTCGCCGCCTTGTGCAATTTTCACGCAGTTTTTCATGGCAGCGTGAAAATGTCAAACAACAACGGGATAGAAAGAAAAAAGAAAAGCGACCGAACTTTCATTGGCAGCTCCAGGAGCTGTGAAAACATGATTTTCATTAGCTGCCAAGAGGAAAGAATAGAAAAGTACTTGAAAAGAGAAATTAAATCTTATATAAAATTCCTCAGAAAGGGTAAACAAATAATTTTTATTGATGCCCTCACCCTGCTTTCAAATCTGCTTTTAATGAGACCGCAAAGTGATTTTCTCATTACTCAAATGTAATCCTCAAAATAATTCAATTCACTTTACCTCCATTTGTTTTGATTTCTTTCCTTTTCACTTGGTTAGCTCTGTTAACCCTCAAAATCTCGGCAGCCACCTTAACGTTTTTCGGCTTGTTGACCACAAAAACTCATTTGGCACCATCCGCTGCACGTCACTACCCATTCAAGTTGCTCCCAAAGCTCTTCATTAGCTGCAATCAAAGTTGATTCGAAATTATCATGGAAATCATGGAAAATCAGTCAAAGCAATGGCCGCCCAAAGATTCATTCGATTTTCTTACTTTTCTTCTATTTCTTTTTTTGATTGAGCCGCGCATTAACTCAACGAGAGTCACTCCAAAAATCGAGCAGCACAAACGAAACATCTCAAGTAACGTATTGTATCTGCATGTGTGGCTGAGCGGTGCGCTGAAAAGAAATGAAAACCACTTTCTTTGCATGCATGCCACAAAGTACGAGTACGCCAACACCACCAAGTGGAGCCCGAGAGTCGAGCAATTTGCTAGCACCACAGCGATCTCTGAGCTGCAAGTTGCAAGTGTTGGTGGACGCGAATGGTAGCTTTGGCGGTGCAGCGGGCAGACAAGCGGAACAGGCCTCTCCATGGCGACAGCCGCCGCAGCCCGAAATTGGGTCACTAATTATTTCAGAGCAAAATGCAACCGGCTTTGGCTTCGCCAAAGTCTTTGTATCTGTTTCTGCACAGAAAGAAAATGTGGTCAAAATATTGCATTAACTTATTAAGAACTTAAATTAAGGTTTTACCTGTGAAGAAATATACTTAGCAGTTTATTGTTAGTTTACTTAAGATTTAATTTCTTAATTAAAAGAAGATATATCAGAAATTACTTTACCATAACTTTTCTCAAAGTGCACGAAACTCTGGCTACCATTGCAACTTCGGTTACCAGTTGGCTTTGGCTAACGATGCGTTGCAAGTTGCAACTTGAGGATATGCCTCTGCAGCTCAGCCCCCCTTTCGGTTGCCCCTTTCTCCGTTGATCACCTTGTCGCTTTTTGCTTTCTTTCACCCTCCGTCTTCTTTCACCGCCATCGTTCTTTCACCGATCGTCGCTGAACTGGACCGGACAACTTGGGCAGAAAGTGCAAGCCCTTGAGTTTTTACTTTCGTTGAGTTGGCAATGGCAATAACGGTAACCGGTTCTGCCCATTCAATGGCATCCGATCCCGATCCGATCCGCCCTCCTTCTCCTGCTGCCTCTCGCCCCTTTTGCAATTGGAGTCGTATATTTTTAGCGGATTTCGCGTTTACCGTTAAAAGAAATGGAAAGTAAAAATGGACAACAAAAGGAACCCAAAATGAGGAGGAGAACATGGGGTCTTGTGCATTATGGTAATTGTCTTGTTGCTTTTTATCTGTATCTGCATCTCTGATCCTGGCTAACGGCACTCCACTAATGATCTGCGAGGGGTGACTTACTATAACTGTTGGGCAATTAACGGTAACAGGTAGCAGCTAACGGGAATTCTTAACTCTTTCGGGGTGTTTTTTTTTTTTTTTTGAAAAGGTTCGTGGATAAGCTTCACTGAAAACTGAGGAAAATTACAAAAGAAATAATAAATGAATTTCATCAAGAAATGTTTAATTTTCACAAGAGATCATTTTTCTATTTATATTTTTATAGTTTTTATGACGAATAAAACTTAAAAAATCGTACAAAAGATACAAAAAAGGCAATATTTTCTCTTATAATAGTAGTAAAATATGCTGAGTAAGCTTTGCTGATGGCATTCAACCAATCTTTTTTAACTGCAAAATCCCAAACTCATTCAATAGCAATTTCCAAAAAATTCCATTTATTTGTCGGCATTTTATGTTGTTGTTGTTTCCTTTGCCATGATTGCAATTTCCTCAATTAGCATTTTTCACACCCCTTATCCCACAACCCGCATCCCGAATACCAACTTCTCTGGCCTTCAACCCGCTGTGTGTGCCAGATCAGTATGCAAATTGCTGCGCGAGGCCCATTTCTAATTTCACTTTCCCTATTTTGCGATAAATTGCGTTATCATTTTTGTACGCATGTGCGAGGCAAGGAGCAGAAATTTCCCAATAGCAACGACCAAGTGAATGGAATGCCGTTGAAGAGAAAGAGGCGGGAAAGGGGAGTTGCGGTTGCCACAATTTACTTTCATTTGCCACTCAGACAACACCTGGGGCAAGTCTGCGGGCGCCTTCGCCTTATCGCATTGGTTAATTGTCGCCTTGTCGCCAAAGTGGAGCATAGAAAATTAATTGTTTGCTCTATTTTACATAATGCCCGGGCGTTGTAGCTCTTCTTATCGCCTGCCCGGACATTGGTTGTGAAAAAACTGCGGGTACCTAATATACTAAAGCAAGTTCGTTGCCTAAGTCTTTTGTTTTAATGCAAGTTGTTAGGCAAAGAATTCGTTTTAAAAATATTGCAATATAAAATTCACAATTATGAACAATATTTTTTTTTACGACATAAAAATTTTTATGAAAAAATCACAACAACATAACCCATTTCTATCCAAAACTACCCAACGATTACCAATTTTGTAAACCCGCCATTAACCGTATGACCAAACTACACCGAAACCGATTTAATCATGCAATTAAGTTTACGAACCACTAACTGAAACAGTTACCGATGCAAATTATAAAGTCATAGAAAGAAAATTAAATTAGTGGGGAAATACTATATATGGGCATTTCATCAGCGAAGGCCTTTCAACATCCGAGCACGCTTCAGAGCTAATCGGTTTACCCTGTGTTGCCATCTGTTTATCAGCAAGAAAGAAGTTACTTAATAACCATAAAAAACTCAGTTAACTGAGACAAACACACACACACACACACATGAATGAAAGTAAATTGCCCCTTTACAGAAAAAAACCTTCGACGGCTGTTAACATTTTTGCGCTTTTTCTGCCCCACTCCTTCGCCATTGTTGTTGCTCGTTGCGGTGCGAACAAATTTCACTTTCACAGCATCCGAAGCTCATGATATCGACATGTGTAGTTAATTACGCATGATCGAAAGAGCACGGGCCAGAGGGGGTTATGGTTAGCCGAGGGGGTCTATAAGCTGGATGCTTGGGGGCTGACTTCAATTTCTATGCCACTATGGCAAATAATATCGATCGTTTACGGCCACAAAAGCCACGGCGGCCACAAATGACATTAAATTGAGTGGAAACGCTGGTCTTACCGTTACAATTTCGAAATGCTGCACTGCACGAAGAGAGTTATGAAATTTTATACGTATAAATAGCAATAACATTGAGCACTTAATCACATATTTTGTTTTTATGCGAATTACGTTCGAAACATAGATAAACTACTCATAAATCTTTATGTTTGTTTTTCAATGATAAATATCATTAAACAAACTTGTTTTTGTGCCTGCAAAGCTGCTTAAAAATATGAAAGTTATTGCCATCTATAAGTTTATGTCTACTTTAAAATATGATCACAATTGCTATCTTTTTTATGTATTTAAACATTAAATCCAAACATGATCGCTTTTATGATCTGGTTATTAAATATGAATTTGTCGTTGCTTGTCATCCGAATTACTATCAAATAATCTTAATGTGTAATAAAATTTTTATTTAAATAGAGCATCTTTATGATATAAACAAATGGAAAAAACCATAAATAAAATAATAAATATAATTGTTTTCGGTGTATTAAAAGCAGCTCCACAGCATCTGCAATGGTGAAACTTTTACCAAGCAACCGCCAGGCCAATCGATCTACAAACAACAAAAAGCATTCCAACGCATAAAACACCATTCCAAGTTCTCTGTTTTGTTAACCAAAAAAAGTGTTTGCGATGACGACCGCACCTCTGTCAATCCACTCAGATTTTTCGGAAACTCACACCATCGGGGGCTCATCTTAAGATCAGCTATCCCATGTCAAGAGCAACGAATTTGTCAGCTACTCAATTAAGCAAATATCCAAAGACGTTTATGAAGACATATAGAAACGTATTTATATACGCCATAAGCCATACTCCCCGGGGTCCAACGAAACGCCAATGATGAATGAAAACGTATGAAAAAAGCCTGTGCAGAGTTTTAGTTTCGACGGGGGATTTGTGAAAGCGTTCAATTAAATTAATGGACTCCAGGCAGCCGTTTTGGCAAATGCCAAAACCAAAAAATAAATGCAGCGAGTGCTGATAAATAATTACTTGGCCATGGCATTAAATGCAATTTCATTTTCTTTTAATTGACAACCGATGTCAATGAATGCCAGGCTCCTATTCCCCTTACATGGAAATTAAGGAGAAGAAATTACACCAAAACTGCCGATGAGAGTTATTATCAAATTAGACCAGTGCAAAGGGGCTGAAAATGTGTGAAAAGTGCTATGTAATTTTAGAAAATTACCCCGCCAAAGTATTTGTTTGACTTTTGATTTACAGGAAATGTCGTGTGCTAATGCCGGCTATTCAAATCGAATCCTGGCGACATGACCATTGAGATGTCCGATTCGTATCGATATCTTGGTATCCGGTTCATCGGGGGCCCCGAAATGTAAGCCACGTAAATTACCGAGAATTAGAACGATCCAACCGCGAGTTATGTGAGTGCAGTGGTTCACCTAGTTTGCGCTGAACTGGACCAGTTACCATATAGTTTTAGATGGCTCATGGCCTGGCCAGCGTCACGCATTGTCATTCAATCAATCGGTGGAGACATCGCCACCAGTCATCCAAACGACTTTTCATTGCATTTTCACTTGCCAGCGGCGCTTTTCACATGATTCAATGCACCGATACTATAAATATATGAATGCCGACTGAATGAAGAAATGAAAAATGCTGAACCCAGATCGTAAACTAATTAGTTGAAAACAAAAGTCCACAGTTGCACCTTTCGCCTGTGCGATCTGTGTAAGCACAAACAATTTTATAGTGTTAATTAAAAAAGAAAACAAAACAAGGGAAAGATAAATATATCGTATATATGCGAGTGTAAACTATGCCCTTATATGCGGCATCTGTAAGAAGCGGGCTCGCAGACCCAGAAAGAGATGGGAGACACACAAGAAGGAGAAGGCGGCGAAAAACTTTCACTTGCCAAACAGCCAAACAGCCACAATAAACAATTCCATTTGGCAGTTACACATAACAACAGCAGCAACAATGAGCATTAAACAAGCTCCATCAGCTGCTGAAGAAGAAAAATTTGTTGTCTTCTTTGTTGGCGATTGAAGTTGCTTGATAAGGAATTTGCCTGGGTGCCAGCAATTAGCAAAATACAAAATATACAACAAAAAAAAACCAACGAAATTTCGCTGCCTTTTGCTAATTGCCAAAGATTTCTAGTTTTATATGCAAATCTCTGGCCATTTCCTAGGGAAGAAAGTGGCCGAGAAAATCAAATAAAAAATACCTACTCAAATAAATGAATAAAACACCGTTGAATCGGAAGAGCTAAAAAAAAATAAATTAGTTGGGAATTTGTTGCTAATTTTGTAATTTTAGCTTGCCAAAAAATTAAAGCTAAACAAAATTCAAAAGTACACACCTAACCCATTGACCTAAAGTTTTTCAGTTGCCCACAAAGAAGAGTTTATTTCTTACCTATGGAATGGTTTTAGATAAAAGTGAGAATAGTGAGTTGCCCATCTCTAAAATGTTGATTGCAGATACTAATGGGAAAACTATGATTGCATAATCCAATCAGCTGTAGGGTCACCACTAGAGTTACTCCCCCAAAACTACCAAACACCCCCCTTCGTCTACCCAAAAGCAATCGTCAGCAAGTTTAGTGGTATCCGTTACTGTTTCAGTGGGTTAATAGTACACTTGCTCAACGCCAGCAAGCCGGTTTCAGCGGCTTCTCCTCGGACTTTATGGCCGCGTCTTGTTAAAAACCCATTTACATGTGTTGTTTTTGAAGAAGACTTGGGCACCAAAACACTAGCCACCATGTGTAAAAGTAAAAACCGCCAGCCCAGAGACTCCAAGTTAGAGCCAAAAACAAAAAAAAAAGGAGAAAAAAAAAATAATAATAAGAAGCGGGAGAGCAAGTGAAATGCGTTCGAGGCAGCGGAGAATCCGATGCCGCTTACTTTTCCATCGCTCCGGCGGCTGTGTGAAAGCTGTCAGTCTTCGGTCTTCCAGTCTTTGAGTCTTTCAGTCTTCCAGTCTTCAGTCTTTATCGGCACTCGAACGCAGGCGCACCGTCGGCATCGCCAGTCCCGAAACTCTGTTAGCCAGGCCACGACTGTTTTGGGCCACTGTTAAGTTGATGGCCAAGTCATGCTAGAGTGCGACTGTTAAACGTAAGGAAAATAGTCGAAAATTAATGGATAGTCGTAAAGTGCAGCCACTGTGTGGAAAACCAGACGCTGCGTTGGCGTTTTAGATTCGGATTGGGACTCGGTTTCGTATTCGTATTCGGATTCGGATTCGAAGAAGCTAAAGCTAACACACTGAAGTTGTCTTGCGGAGTACTGTTATAGTGAAAATAGAAAGTGGTTCCTGTTTGGTGCGCGCGAGTTTTCATTTGCTTTACATAAAATGCAGTTTTCTTTCTCTGCGCGTATATTAGCTGACACCATAAGCTCGAAAACGGGCAATTGTGGCTATTAATTTGGCTGCTTAATGACGGCCATAAAGTCAAAATGTTGAATTTGTAAATGACCAAAACGGGGTGATTTTGTTTGAGCATTAGTAATAAGTGAGATAAGTCAAGTTTTTCGATAACAGTGTTTCTTAACGGTCTTAAACAACTAGTGCTAATAACAGCCCGTTTACAGCCTCTTCTTCTGAGATGGCCTCAAAAATATTCGTATGCAAATCCGCCGCATTGTTTACCCTTGTTCCCCTTTCTTTTCTTCTTGCAGACACCATACGAGAAATAAGAAAATAAAAAAATAACACCGAACATAATACAGCCGAGAGAAGAAAGCCGCAGAGTGAGGCCGAGTAGCGAAATCCAAAAATCCACATTTTTGGTTTCCAGGGCGCCAATTTGGAATTTCAATTTCAAGCCAAACACACAGAACCCGATCAAAATGGGACACCTGACGCGACGCAGCAGCCTAATGGCCATAGTCCTATGCCTGGTACTCAACACAAAGGTAAGTCTGTGGGTGATAAATCTTTAAAATCCATAGGAAAGTGCTGGCCATCATTTCAATTAGGAAACGTACAGTTAGAAGATCTGTGGTGTGGCCCACTTTACATCAGCTCATTTCGTATGCAAACCCAACCTGTAGCGGATCTCTTCACTTTCGACTCAAAGATAGACTACCGTTCGATCAATAGCGATTCGAATGCAAATCACCATAGCGAGTGCCTATTGACGGATTCAGTTGGTTGGGGAGTCTTTCGAAGACTCTATGCATATAGCGGACTTCACTGCCAGATCAATATCAATATCGGAACGAGAGAGTCTGCCAGTGAGAAATGGCGGAAAATGTATCAACTAAACGGCACTTTGCTAATCATAGCAATTAGAGTTGGAAAATTAACTGCGAGAGAGCGAAACAGGCGGTTATGTAGAATATAATAGAAGAGGATGGTAGAGGGGAAAACATGTATTAGAGATTATCTTATACAGTGGGTGAGTTAACAGAGTGTTAACAGAGAGCTTTTCTGATTATTGAAGGATGTTTTTTTGATCAATCTTCTTTCTATAACAAAAACCCAAGCAGATTTTGGTTTTCTGCAGTTTGTTTTCTAATAATAAGTCAGAACTTACAAAATAGTTACATGATTTTTCAAAACATAAATACTCTTCATACTTAACACTGCTGCAGACTGTCAATCAATAGGAAAAAAGGCCATAAATTTGGTTGATTTCTTAGTGTAGCCGCACGCTTTCGATTGATAAGCATGGCCAAGACAAACTGTTTTTCCCCCTTAAAAAAGATACAGCCTTCAGTGGGTTATTTAAAGCGCATCAATCACTAGAGGCCGATAGAAAACACACACACACACACTTTGCAGAGTTTAGCCGATGCAATCACGTCAAGGAAAACGCAAACGCAAACGCTAAACTGGCCAAAGAAACGGCTGGCCATTCGAGTATCCAACTATCCGAGCATCCAACTAACCAACTGCGTGTCTGGGTGCTGAGGCGGCGAAGAAATTGCAGTTATGCTCTGATTTGTACCAGTTTTGACTTTCTTGTTTATGGCGCATTAATTCACAGAGATTGCTTTATTATTTATTTATTGTCAGTTTTCTTTCTCCAAAGCATCGAACGAAAAAAAGAGAGAAGAAAAATTACCAATGCCATCGAGGCGATCCAATCCGATCCGATCGATCGATGTGTTTATATTGATATCTCCATCTCCATAGCCAAGTGCGTGGAATGTCCAAAAAAAGAAAAGAGTCGAGACGCTGTTTTTCTTTCTTTTACTTTTTTTTTTGATTTTTTCGTTAGGCTTGTTGTTTCTTTTGTTGGCCAGCTCGTTTTTCTTTGGTCATTTCACTTTCAAAATCATCTCACGACATCTCAACGCGTGGTCACCAGCCACCGAAAGAAAAAAATAATAAATAAACAAAAAAAAAAAAAAAAACAAAAACAACCCACAGAAAAATCCACACCGTCATCGTGCTGGATTTAACTTTCGGTTTTCGTGAGCCCCCGCCGGACTTTGAGATACATCCGCTTCCCGTGTGCAGCCAAAAACCCATAAAATTATGAACCAGATGTGAAGCCCCAGCCAAACTGAAAGAAAGAAAGTGACAAAGCCCTGCGGGGGGCGGGGAATGCGATCGTTGTAGGGGCGTGTCTCTTTCTCTGTTGTCTTACGCAATGGGTTAAGCTCCGTTTGGAGATATTTTTTTCAACAATTTTTTGGTAAGCGTGCCGCTCTGCCAACCATTTAATTTCAAAATACTCCAGCTGTCGTGTAATTTTCAACGCTTCGCATCGCTTCTCTTGAAATGTCGTCGAGAGTGATTTCGGTGTATGGCAGAGATTGTCATTGCATAACCCAAATCCAATTATATGACGGAATGAGATAACCCAAGCAGCCCCGAAACGTCTACTTTCCGCAATCCTGTGATCTGAGCCATAACCTAGGTTGAAATCGAAACAATTTATGTGGGCGTAATATTTTGACATCATTTTGATGAACCTGAGGAAAATTTTTAAATCCCAAACTTACTCTTTGGAAAACTAGGTCTTTTCAGGTCTAATTGTTATGCTATTAATGTGCCACACCGCGTATACGTGATAAATGTTCTGTTATGACTTTTTACTCATACGCACAGTTGCAGTACTAGTAATACAAATAGTTTACCCCTTTCCTAATGCCTTTTCCTTTATTTTCCACCCACAGCATCTTTCGGTGCATGGCGATGCCTCGCACATTGAGTCCGCCGCCCTGCCCCTCGAACACAGGGCCGGCTATGGTCCGCCAGCGCCCATTTACGGAGCGCCCCAGGGACCTCTGAGCACCGGAGCCACCAACGATGTGTCCGAGGAAGCCTGGCCCCTCGCCAGTACAAATGACAGTCCGCAGATCAAGCACCTTCAGGTGCAGTGCGAGAAGACCCACATGCGAGTGAACATCGAGTTCGACCGTCCCTTCTACGGTATGATCTTCTCCAAGGGATTCTACAGTGATCCCCACTGTGTGCACCTGAAACCCGGTACCGGACATCTGAGCGCCACCTTCGAGATCTTCCTGAATAGCTGCGGCATGACCAGCTCGGCCAACCACAATGCTGCCGGATACGGTGCGCCAACACCATCAGGCAGTTATGTGGAGAACACGATCATCATCCAGTACGATCCCTATGTGCAGGAGGTGTGGGATCAGGCCCGCAAACTGCGCTGCACCTGGTACGATTTCTACGAGAAGGCTGTGACCTTCAGGCCCTTCCAGGTCGATATGTTGCATGCGGTCACCGCTAACTTCTTGGGCGACAACCTGCAGTGCTGGATGCAAATCCAAGTGGGTAAGGGACCATGGGCCTCTGAAGTATCTGGAATTGTGAAGATTGGACAGACAATGACCATGGTGTTGGCTATCAAGGATGATGAGAACAAATTCGATATGTTGGTGCGTAACTGTGTGGCTCATGATGGCAAGAGGGCTCCCATCCAACTAGTGGATCAGAATGGCTGCGTTGTCAGACCCAAGATCATGAGCAAATTCCAGAAGATCAAGAACTTCGGACCTTCCGCCTCTGTGGTTAGCTTCGCATACTTCCAGGCCTTCAAATTCCCCGACTCGATGAATGTGCACTTCCAGTGCGTCATCCAAGTTTGCCGTTACAACTGCCCTGAGCCCAAGTGCGGTCCTGGACTGCCAGGTGGCGAGTATGGTCTGCCCCAGATTGGAGCCAATGGTCTGTCCGAGGAGTATGGTCCCCCAGAAGCTTATGAGAGGAACGACTTCGCTTTGGGTGGTCCTGGAGTGCTGCCACCAGCTGCCTATCCTGATCCACGTCACCCCGCTTCCGATGCCACTGGAGCTTACTCAGAGAACCAACCCGATGTGGTGCCCTCACCCCAGGCTCAGACTTCGGCAGCAGTTCCTACTGCTGACTCCGTTTCGGGACCTGCCAGTTCCCAGTCGCCTCAACCTCAGCCAACAGGAAACAACGAACTGGGTCTGCCACCACCACCATTGCCAGGACAGAGCGGTCAGTACAGCACAGTAAAGCGCAAGGATGACCTGAGTGCCGGTGGCAACCTGGTTTCCCTTGGAGGACGCCCACGATCTGTGGAAGGATTGGACGATCTGCGTGGCGTGCGCCGGCGCAGGGATACCATGGACATTGTGATGAAGCCTCAGAGGATCTACAAGCGTAATGCGCAGGAGATGACTGATGTAAACACCAGCCGAATCATCCAGGTGGTGGCACCGGGAGATGTTAACTTTGCGCTGAATAGCAATGCTAGCAATGAGACTGTGGTTATCCAGTCGGCCAGGTCCGCGGATGCGGAGACCATTTGCATGTCGGTGCCCAGTTTTGTGGGAGGATTGGTGATGCTGCTGCTCGTCCTGGCCGTCGCCTCTCTAGTCGCCGCCTTCCTGTTCGTCCGTGTGCGTCACTTCGATCGCAAGGGAGCGGGTATGGCCTATGTGAACTAATCTGGAACCGAGTATCTGGAGGACCAGAAGATTCATCATCATCATCAGCGACGACAATCGGCGTGAACAGAAAACCAAATCAGTTTTATGTGCACTTCAGAAACACTCATCCCCAACCCACATCAGCAATCTTTATATAGGCACCCTATCCTATAACTATTTATTCTTCGGTTATTTATTGAGAACCCACTCGCCCACTTTCAAATGGTTTTTCCCCTTTACCACTACTCTCTATCTTCTATATGTTTCCCTAGTTTTAGACGAAGCGAAATTGAATTGTCAGACTTGTTAAGTTTCAGTTATGCCTACAAAGGATTTAAGGCCATCTGATCGGACAGATAAGCCTTGAATGTTACAATATGCAAGTTAATATCGAATTAAAACAAAAAAACGAAGTAAAGTAGCGGCAAACATGGAAAAGCAGAAAATCGTTTACAATAAGTTAATATAGCAAATGTATATATTAAATTATTTATTTATTACTTTATTTGATAGCTGCGAAATAATAAAAAGTTTACTTTTATTAAGCACCGATTGTTTTAAATGGTTCTATTACTATTCCTTATCGGGCAAGGCAACCAACTGATAAGGAAACGCAAACAAAGCTAATGCAAACTTTATCACGATGATGAAATGTTTGGTCGGGGGCTATGATAAGCCTTTGTTTTGCCATGACCAGAAGTTTTGCTAAAAATAAAAGAGTTTGGTCAAAAAAATGAATAGGATTATTAATATATAAAACCTTCATTCGAGCAAGCATATAAGAATATGCTTACTAATGATTAACTTTAAGATTTTTTAATGATATGATTAAAAGTATACTACATTCTTTTTGAATTGCTTTTCAAACTGCATTATCATTATGATACCGAAAAAAAACTTGAGTTGTTTTTGTTTATTTGCCAAGCACAAGTGCAAAATCATTACCACACAAAAAGGTTTTATTTTTATAGGAACTGGATTCACATCTTAGAAAACACCTTAAGGTTAATAAAACCAAGTGAGAGCTACGAAAATACATGTAAATTTATTGGGAACACATATTTACATATTGATCTAATCCTTTTGAGCTTAAACACTTTAAAAACAACAGCGGGCCGAAAACCGCATCTGGAATCCGATTTATGCACGCATTTATAATAGCCGCCTGAGCTAGATGTCCCTGGGACAATACATACGATTTCATTGAAAAATATTGACTACATCTAAGTCGAACTAAAGCAAATTAGCACTCAAAATTGCAACAATTGATAACAGTGGGTGGCGTCTCTTTACGCGGCTCGGGCGTCATTGATGGTGGAGGGCACATGAACCTCCAGACCCTCCATGTCCTTAGACAGAACGATCTGGCAGCCCAAACGGGAGGTATCCGTCAGTTCGTAGGCCAAATCCAGCATGTCCAGCTCCTCATCACCGGGTTTGTCGGGTAATTTCTCGAAATCGCTGGTCTTGAAGATCAGGTGACAGGTAGAGCAAGTCAAAGTACCCTCGCAGGCTCCAAAACCATCCAAATCCACATTGTTATTGACTACCACATCCAGCAGAGAGTCTCCCACTTTCCCAGACGTCTTGATCTTGTCCCCGTTGGCACGCACGAATGTTATATTAACACTGTAAACAAATATTGATCAATGTTTATGTTGGTCGGAGGTGTGGAATACCCATTGTACCCCTCATGAACGTGGGCTACTCACACATCTTTCGTTTTCAGGGCCAATCCCGCCGAGAAAGTGCGCGTTGCGATAGGCGATCGCAGGTTGAGGCTGCGCAGGGCCAATCTGGAGGCAGTTCTGCAAATGTTTAAGACTAGCATTCTGGTGATGAGTCCTTCTCAATCTCTATCTATTACTGACCACACGCACCCACTCGTGTCGCTGCGATCGGTTGTTAAATAATAAGAAATCCAATTATAATTTCGTTTAACGTGAAATTAATAGAGTGACCGTAGAAAACTTTCGAATAAAAACCCAAAATATACTGAAGCACGTTTGCACCAAAAATCAGCTGATCTCCCCTGAAATATTTTTTCTTCGACTAATATTAGTTTATTATCATACTTATCACTAGCAGGAAACAACAAATAAATTAAAACATATTAGCGATAAGTTATTCCTGTATTTACGAGTTTAAATTTTTATGAAAGAAAAAGAAGCAGAGATTGTTGCGATACCAGTGTAAACAACAAAAATACTGAATAGGGTTGCCGCAGACTGCGATGAAAACCTCTATTCAGTCTGCGTCAAAACAAGAAGATAGCCGAATAGAATAATTGAGATTTCGTTTTAGAAGCTAAACAATGGGACTTTGGGACAATGTATTAAACTACTTCACTGGTGAGGCGTCCAGGAACAAGAACTCCTCCTTGATAGCTGGTCTACTGGTGAGGATACACCCATAAACATTCATAGGAAACCCTTCTGACTGTGCACCTTTTTTCGTTAGTTTTTCGCAGGATGGTGGGTCCTAATAGATGCCATGTCCATCGACGGAAAACACCAGATCACCACAGGACACGTGTTCATCGGTATTTTCGGGACCATCAGCTTTTGTATGGTGAACGCGGTTAAGGGGGAACATGTAAGAGGGTGTCCACTTTTCATATGACTTACCAAATGACTCACACCTTTTGTTTTGTGCGCAGATTTCGGAGGAGAATCCGTCTGAATCAGGAGCCAGGATAGCCAAGATCTGGTTACTTGTCGGCTTCGTTATGGGCTTTGCCTCCATCATTGCTGCCGTCTGGGTCATGATCGATGACTTCATCAACAATGGTGAGGAATATTATGTTTTGGCAAACAAAATTTGTTAACTTGTTTGAATAATCCACTACAGAAAAGAAGGACGGCTGGTTTGGAGTGGCCATACTGACGCAGAATGTCCTCATCCTGTTCGCCAGTTTAACCTACAAGTTCGGACGCAACGAGGAAGAATGGAACGAGTAAAGAGAGAGCTTCCATCTAAAATTTTGCACACGGGAACGCTGCTTTTAGTATCTAGACTCATTCGTACATATTCAGGAGTCCCAGAAGTTCATGCCGGTGGCAGAAGACACCATCACTCGCAAAGCCCCACCCCAATTAAGAGCATAACTTGTACATCTCTGTTTCCAATCAAATTCGAAGGAATCGAAGAAGTCGTAAGGCTTTCCTTAATTACTTTTGAGTTAGCCAATTTGAATCGGAATGGAACACAGAGTAGGACCATTAATCTCATTTATACTAAACGAAATAAACGACAAGTCACTTGCGTAAGGCCATCTTTGAGCTGTGGTTTATTTTCAGACGGAGAGCGATGTGAGTACGAACATTGCCATCACCCAAATCCGCCCGCCGCCCCGACTACATCTATAAGGATAGCGACTGTTAAGAGGAAAGACTTAATCGCCAATCAAACTTGTGCATCGTACGCGTCAATAGGACACTCATGCTCGTTCTGCAGGCACCACTGTGGCTGCATGGCTTCAGCACCCAGACCGTTGTCCACCAGCCTCTGGCGGTGCAGCAGCAGTCGAGACTCGGCCTGGCGCCAGCCCTCGGAAGGATCCGACCACAAACGTTCTGCCAAGGCACTGGCCCTGGGCCAGAAGCGGTTGTCAAGCGTATGCTCATCAATCTGTTCAGACCAAATAGCACCCTCAGCGCCCAGGACATGGTGCTCGTAGTCGCCAGCAATGGATTTCAAGCTGTTGTCGTACACCTTCTGCCAGCCAATGTAGGGAGAGCACCAGTTGTTGCCATCAGTTACCCAGCCAGCTCCCCCGCAGTCCAAGTACAAAGCATCATAGTTGGACACTATAATCTTATAGCCACGCTCGAGGATCTTCTTTACCTTAGGATCGACACCAGTAGTCCAGATCTGAATGATGTAACGCTCCGGGTTTAGATATTGGTCAATGAAGGGTTCTTCTGTGAGTCCACTGGTCCACAAGATAATGGGCGTTTGTGTGCCATTGGCAACCTTGTCAACACGTCCGAGTGCCTCCGTCTGGAAGTGTCCCCACAAGCGCATAAAGTCGGCGGTCTCCAGACCCCAGCCCTGCTTCTTCATCCACTTCTGAATGGGCTTGCTGCTATTCCAGCAATTTGTAGACACCTCATCTCCGCCCATGTGGAAGACATCGGGGTTAAACTGCTCAAACATAGTACCGTAAATGTCTTCCAGCACATCGTACATCTCCTTCACAGTGGGATCCAGTTGGCCACATGGTGGTTCCACGCAGAAAGACTTCCATGGCTGGGCATTGAAACAGGCGGTCATGTTCTTGTGCTGCCAACCCTCACCCACATGGGCAGGGGCGTCGAACTCTGGCATAACACGGATACCGCGAACCCGTCCGTACTCCACAACTTCGGCCACATCCCGACGAGTGTACACTTGTCGTTGGGAATAGGCTCCCAGCTTGTGCAGTTCCGGGCGCTTTCTCACCTCCAATGGGAAGCTATGCGAGTCCGTGATGTGCCAGTGGAAGGTGTTTAGTTTGACCAGAGCCATGCCCTCTAAAGGCAAAATGCATAATCATTAAACTTTCTCATTTTCCTTTAACAATGCCTTACCCAATGTTCTCTTTATGGACTTTACAGAGTAGTAGTTACGGGAGGTGTCTAGCAGCAAGCCACGCCACTTGTAAGCCGGTGAATCAGTAATGGTGGCATTGGCAACGACCTGAACTTCGCGGCGAATATCGTCGTAAACTATCAGCTGGGCTAGGGTCTCCAGACCATGGCGGGCTCCAAAGAAGTTTGCCGCTGTAATGTTGGCCAGAACATGACCCGAGGTATCCGTATCAATATCCAAGGTATAGCTTTCATCCGTTTCCAGGGTAAGTCTGGCCGTTGCAGGCTCATCCGGGATGTTAAAATTAACAGACATACGATAGCCACCTCGGGCGAGGATCTTGCGATCCGGGATCTGAGCTTCCAACATGTCCATGAAACGGTCTTCAGCCGCTCGCCACAGCTTCTGCTGGCGGGACGTGCCATTGACATTAAAGTCGATAAAGGAGATGTCCACCTGGCGCATCAGTGTGTCCAGACGCACTGCACCCGTAGGTTTGGGCCACAGGGTGCCGATGGAACTGCCGCAGAAAAGCCGGCATACAGGCATGCTGATGGCCTTGGCGTAGTTCTTCTCGCTGAGCTCCACCTTTTGGCAGAGACCACTACGACACTCATACCCGTAAACTAAGTCACTACGTTGAAGAACACGAATCAAAGAGAAAGTCAGTGACAGATCGGTGGTAATTTCCGCCTATACTATAGTTATAACCACTTACTCTGAGCTGTGGGCCGTAAGGTTAGCCACCAGGGCCAGGAGCAACGCCACTCCTAGTGCTGTCCGCTTCATTTCGCCAACCTCAGCACAGAAACTCTCAAAGCCAACTGGCGAATGCTTTGGGAATTATAATTAAACAATTTGAGTATTTCAAAACAAGTTTTTAGCCGCCGAGTAGAGAGCTCATTGTCCGTGCTGAAGAGTCAAGTCGAGTAAACAAAGAACAGGATTTTCTACACGCCTACATATGAATACCCTTCCTCTTCACCGATGCAGGTTGTTAAAGTTACTATAGATATTTATCAAAATTTTCTTTGGTGCATTTTAAATATTACATTTTCTTTAAGATAAGTTAAATGCAAAAATTGTACTGTTGAAAATTATATATATATATATATATATATATAAAATAAACTAAACTTTCTAACTGAAATATGTTTAGAATAAGGGTGAAATGCATTTCTTATCACGTTAAAAATTAATCTAGCAACAACGTATCAATTTTAAGTTGTTTACAATGCAATAAAAATCGTTAGTAACCCATGTTTGATGTTCCGTCTATTGATGACCCAAACACATTGATGCGATTATCTGCCACAAACAAACACCTTTTAATAAATTTTCCTCACAAGTACTCACCGCCGCAGTAAAATAGGTTATTAAGAATCGATTCCAACTGAACTTGGTTGCCGTTCAAAGCAGACTAAAGCTATGGCTTCCCCCTGTTACCAATTTATCTGCCTACCAGCATCGATTCTGGCCCACCAACACATAGTCAATCGTCGAGGTGGGGAACCATTGGGAATGTCAAGAAAAGATTACATAGTTTTGCTTTTTAATTATCTTTCCCTGTGCCGGTCCTCATATTTTTAAGTTCAAAAGCCTCTGGCAGAATTGGCAATCTGCAGCTATAAATCTTGAAGTATGAGTATTCGGCCACAGCGGACTCTCAATGAGATTGCAAGTGGGTAAACAAATTTATAACGCCCAGTTTCGAGTGTACTTATTACCATTGAGAGTTATTTTTATTGTCTAATCTAAAGTTATATATCTACGTAGGATTCACGCCCTTCAGTGTTAGTGTATTATCCTCGTAGACTTCCAGAACATCTGCCAAATGCTCGTTGTCTCTGGGTTTCTTGAACTGCCGCTTCTTGTTCGCCGCCTTCTTGCGCTTGGGAACGGGTTTCTTGAGACCATGATCCTGCATAGAGCGAATGCCCTGCTTCTCAAGATATTCATCGATTTTGGCATCGTCCATTGCATCAACTGTAGCTGAACGCCAAAGTTTCTGGAAGTCTTCGTCCACCTGCAAGGCAATTTATGTACGTTTTTAGATTACTTTAGTTTTCAACATTATAAACATACCGAAAAGTTGGCTGTTCTATCGTTATAAAACAATATCTTCTTCTTGTCAATAGGTCTAATAATGAACAGGATTTCGGCAGCTCTGTTTTTCAAGACCTTTTCACAGTGAGGCAGGGATTCCTGTACATCGTCCAGCAAAATACCACCTAGTCCCTTCAAATCGTGCTGTTTAAGCAGTCGCATCAGTGTTTTGCCATCTTTGATTTTGTAAACTGGCTTAAAACTAAACTTGGTGCCACACGGACTGGCCTCCACCTTGGGATTGTTATGCAAAGCCTCGCTAGCAAGCCACTAGAAGAGAGGAGTACTACATAGTATAATCTTAAAACGGTGAATGAAGTATAGCTAACATTTTTCACAGATTGTCCAATGTCCAGTTGGTTAGTCTCGTCCAGAATTTCCTCTATAGTCAAGGGATGATCATCGCCGTCTTGGTGACGAGTGCGCATAAACTTAACTATCTTGGCCAGCACTCCAAATCGGTACTGGGAACTGCCAGACATGGTCTTGTATCTGTGTATGGGACAAGAGTGTTCCACATGGTTTTTACAATATCCTGAATCTTGGAAATAGTATACAGCTACTTACGTTGAGGCATCCAGCTTGGGAGCCGTTGGGGGACGCATTTTACGCTTCGAATCATCGCTGGGAGGCGGTGGAGCTGGTCTATCGGGCCTGGACTTCTTCTCAACGCTGATATGAAAGATATTTCATCATTTTCAAAGCACAATCTTTGTCAAAAGGCCCAAATGGTTGGTACTCACGTGGGCGTGGCCATCGCCCGCTTTTTGAAGGCCTCGCGTTCGCGAAGCAGTGCTGGATCCATTTTAACTGTTTGTACTTTATATTCCAATCAAATAATTAACTTTTCGTCCCGTTAAATCAACAATTTACAAAATCTAAACAAAATCCAAGTCAGCTGTCTGTGGAATCACTATTTTCCAGGGCTACGTAAATGAAATTTTTCGTTGTATACATTTAGGAACTAGTTCTTTTTATACTCTTAAAGAAGAGTATGTTAGTTTTGAAACAGTTGTGAATATTTATATATCCATATCTTAAAGCCAATCTAAATTGGGCAATAAATTTGGAGTGTACCACAGATACACCAACACAACAGGCCGTATCCAATGCAGAAAAAACATTTCTTCTCATCCCCCAACCAAATACACCTGCAACAAAATTGTCTTGCGTATCATTATTAAAAAAAAAATCCCTCATCACTTATGTACTTCTTATTACATCTGAACTCCTCAGTGCAGTCAAGAGAAATAATATGTATCTATCATGCAAAACATCCTTTACATACATACATATACATATACATGGATGTACATATGTATGCACGTAAACAGAAAATCAGAACCGGCTTCCTCCCAAATAAACCCTACATAACCATATTGTACATTAATAAATGAATTAATTTTTACGGCACCTTTTTGCAATTTTATCATCTCAATAGAGAATACAGTGGCTCCAAGCTTATTTCTTGCAAGAATAAATCAAAGTTTATTTTGCTAGGTTGGGTTGGAAGTCATTGTTATGGGTAAAGCTTTTCATATTTTTTTGTTAGTCGCGTGTATGTACCTACTTATGTATGTTTATATGTACATATGTATGTACAGATATCCATACATGCATACATACTCAACGTATACACACATGAAATAAGTGTAGCCAGATATTGAAACGTCTTTCACCGCAAATATTCTGGGTTATGGTTTTTAAATATCTAACGTATTTTGGAGTTAAGATAGGTTTTTATTAAAAAATTTAATAATCTCGAGCAGCCCTTATTTCTAACTAACAGTGATACTGGCAACATCTTTGAAATTTTAACTTTTTCTTATTCTTAATACGATTTTTGACTGAAAAGTCAGGGGTTATTTGGTGTAAGCGCGTTTTCAACATCTGGTTACATTTTTAGTAGGTATACGTATTTTCTGTCATTGCTTCGTCAGAACTTGTGAAGTAAAGTTGTGTGAAAGAATCGTGCGGAATAAAAATCGAAAGAAAAAAAATTATCAGAAAAATGTCTGACTTTAGATCTCAATCTCGCAGTGGTGGCGGACGTGGTGGACAGGAGTTCACTAACAACGACGATGATCCGCCAATGTCGCGTCTGTTTATAATTTGCAACAAGGCTCACACCGAAGAGGACTTCCGCGAGGCCTTCTCTGAGTACGGAGAAATCGAGGATATTTGGGTGGTGAAGGACAAACACACACAGGAGAACAAGGGAATCGCCTACGTAAAGTTTTCAAAGACATCAGATGCGGCCAAAGCGCAGGAGCAGATGAACGGCAAGACGATTGGAAAGCTGGATCGCACCCTTAAAGTCCTAGTGGCAGCCAAGTAAGATAAGTTTTTGTTAATAGTCTACAAAATTAGCATAACTCCCCTTTTACAGCCGTAACCAAGGCTCGAATAAGTCCGAAAATGAGCAGGAGAAATATGTTAGGCTGTTCATAGTGATTCCGAAATCGGCCACCGAGGACGATATTCGCGAGGAGTTTTCTCAGTGGGGTGAAGTGGAAGCGGTCACAATTGTCAAGGAGAAGGGCACTGGAGCCCCTAAAGGCTTCGGCTATGTCAGATTTGCCAAGTGCGTAACAAATGCAGCATTTCTAATTTTTCAGGTCCGACTAATGTCATTTAATTTGACAGGTTCTATCATGCAGCTGTCGCTTTTGAGAACTGTTCAGCTAAATATAAAGCTGTCTTTGCTGAACCCAAGGGTTCCACTCGCTCTCAGAGGGACCAATACGGTCGTCCTTCCGAAGACAATCCGGTTTACAGCGGATCGGGACGTGGCAATTCTAATTTCAATGGAGGTGGAGGAAATGGTAGCGTTGGTGGCGGCAACTATAACAACGACTGGAACGTGTCGCAAAACAACGACATGGCGGCCTTCCTGCGCATGCAGAATGTCCCTGTGGCCCAGCCCTCTTGCCTTGAGGTAAATGTGAGCAACTGCGTAAACCAGGATCAGCTCTGGCGACTCTTCGATATCATTCCCGGCCTTGATTACTGCCAAATCGTGCGCGAACGTGAGTTATATATGCAGGTGTAAGTAGCATTTTCAACAATTTGTAATACTCTTTCAGACGGACCTCGCACCAATGAAGCCTTAGTAGTCTATGACAACCCCGAGGCTGCTATTTATGCAAAGTAAATTTAGCTATACAATCGTTTATAAACCAGCTATTAATATAACATTTCTACAGGGACAAACTTCACGGTCTGGAGTACCCTGTCGGTGAACGTATCATTGTGAAAGTCAATGGAATGAGCTCGTCACGAATGGACACCTCCTTTATAGACAGTACGCGTTTAAAATCTATTAAGGGTTATAGGCCTCGCCATCATCTGTAGTCCTTTATTAAACACTTATTTTTTTACTTTCTAAAATTTATTGGGGTTTAAATGCATGCTCAATATTGATCATTGTTGTAATTTTATTCTTGTCCTTAATTTCAGAGCGGACCAAAAAGGATGCAATTTGCAACGTTCCCTTACCCGCTACTCAACCACTGGCCTCACCAGACACCCAGGTGGCTCAGCGTCTGTTCATTGTGCTCTCAGCGGTAGGTATCATTGTACCGAGTCTAATTGACATTAGTTATGATTGTTGTTTTCATTATCAATTTAGAATTTGCCGCATTCGATATTGAAAAACGTATTCTCCTGCTGGTCGGGACTGATCGACGTCTATCTACTGCCCAATAAGAATTGCGGCTACGTTAAGTATGCTGATGTAGAGAGCGCCGAATCGGCTATTCAAACTCTGAACGGTGCTGAAATTTGCGGCACTAAAATTAAGGTTCGTACTATAAACATTTGTAGATTTTTTTTTAGATTATTCCTGAGACTTTAAACATGAAAGTTTATTTAATGGTTTTGATAATTTAAAACATAATCTGAGCACATACATACATAAGTGAAAAAAAGTGTAATCGATTATAATAAAATTGTAGGTCATGGAGGCGGAGGAGCGCAACGGATCTGATGGCGAAGACGGTGGACGCAAACGCTTGAGGCGCAACTGAGTGTAAGTAGCTAGTTAAAAAGTATAAATCCCGTATCTCTTAGTGTAGCCATAGTTGAGATGAGTGTGTGCCGTGGTCCGAGGTAAGTAGTTGTGCAAATTCCAAACCAAGTCCCATTAACGATATAAGTTACGAATTCGCTTAACGCTTGTGTGCAGACAGATTATGTTCGGACCAATCGATTTGTACTTACCCCGTGCACCGGTTGGCCAATGACGATATCTATTGCCGCCACTGAGCGCGACCATAATAAGCCAAATCATTTTTGTCTTTTATATCTCCACAGACCCACTGACAAGCAAGAACTAACAGAGAACGCAATGTACGAGTACGTAACTAACTTGAGAATACAGTCCGTTAAAAAATAGTTGAACTGAAACACCACCAAAAACAACCATTAACCAAACAAACCACCACAACAAGAACACTCTCTTAACGGAATGCGAAAATACAACAACCACGAAGACTGGAGGACATTGACCAGAACCCGCGAACCAAGACGGGTTAACAAACAGCCAACGAATTCATCACATCCGTTGACTACTTGATTGACTTATTGCTCTCGAATACAACTTTCATAGAAATATGCATGCATAAGATGTTTGCATATTTTTATTAGAGTTATTTACGAGTTATATAATGTCGCATATACATACCGCTTAGGTGACTATGAATCTACCCATAATACAGAAACGAACTCTGTTAAACTTGAACTATTACTAACGAATTCCGACGACATCTAGCGAAGAAATGAATTCAAACATAATGAATTTCTCAAGAGTATTGGCACGATTTTGCCGTGCAAAAATATTTCTTTTCATATATATTACATTTAATCAATATATTACTGTAAAACACAAGAAACAAAAATAAATAAAATTGAATGGGCAACCCAATGTATTGTGTGTTTGATATCTGAATATAGTTTTTCCTTTAAATCAGGTTTCTTTATGAAATAGTTAAAGCGAGTTAGAAGCTGCTGGACTTTCAGCTAAACTAATAGTTTTATATTGATATTAGTTAATAGTATGGTATTTAGGTTGTGTAATTGTATAGAACGTTGTTAGGCGATGGCAAAACAAGTGCATGTGAATATTAGAGTATTGTTGCACCTTTTGCACAAACTGCTTTCTGTCCTGTCAAGATAGTGGACGTTTGTAAGGTTTAAGTGGCATATCCGCAGTTTTATAATTATTTTACTTGGAGGTTGCTGGTTTGGTTGGTAATTGCGAAAATGGAGGGGGAGTTCACAACCAAGGCACGGTTGCATGACTTCTATGCATTTTTCATGGCACGATGGATAGATACTATTTCTCTTGACTACACTGAGGAGTTGAGATGTAATAAGAAATAATTGGTGAGGGACTTTTTTTTCTAATGATGAAACGCATTTCAATTTTGTTGCAGGTGTTTTTTTTTGCTAGGGGATGTGAATAAATGTTTTTCAGCATTGGACACGGCCTGTTGTGTTGGTGTATCTATGGAACACTCCAGCTCTTATTCCCATATTTTGATTGGCTTTAAGATATGGGTTTATTTGGGAGGAAGCCGGTTCAAGTAATGGTTTCTGATTTTTTGTTTACGTGTATATGTAAAATGTATGTATGTACTTGTATTACATATGTACATATGTACATATGTAAATATCAAAAGGCCTTCCCCTAAAACTGCTTCTTCCCTAACATATGTATGTAAATGTACACGTATGTGTATGTATGAACGTGTACATTTACATACATATGTAATTCCAAAAATTTGCAACTTACAAAATATTTGTTTTAAGCTTCGGCTATCCAAATTTTCTGTATACCCATACAAGTTGATAATTCCCCTCTAAGCTTTTCTCCTTTCAATTATTCTTGTGTATTAAAATCCCCAAATATGGCAACACTGGAGCAAATAGTGATGTTGGCAAAAATTTAATTTCGACAAGCCGGAAAGAAGTGGTTCCGTCAATCGAAATGTGTCACGTAAATGCGAATTGTATATAAGGCTGAAAAATCTCCTTGATAATTCAATTGGTTAATCCACTGTTTTTGAAACTTGTTAACACTTTTGACCTTTTGAAAAGATTTAACCATCATGACTTAGAAAACCTCTACAAAAAGGATTAGTAATCTAACGTAGCTTAAAAACTTGTATTTTATTACAGTTTTATAATCCTTTTATTTATGGTCCTTAAAGAAGGACCTGCCCCAGTTAGGTAATATTGATAAATGAGATAACGACATTTGGTGACAGCTGGTAAAATGTTTTTCTACCTGCAGTAATATTTCTACCTGATATAAAAATTCATTTAAAAACCATATGTCCACGTCTCTAGCTCTTCAGTTACAATTGGCATGTCAAAATGGAATTATTTGTGAAAATTCCTATTTTCTTAACACTTGGGCAAGTTTTGCTAGCTTATGCTAGCATGACAGAATTACGAAGGAAATCACATACTGAGGAATTCGAAGGAATGTCAGCCTTGTTCAGAGCCATGTCTTCATCACCAAACGATGGATACACCTACAATTGGAGTGTGGTATCGTTTTCCACCGATGGCAAACCTGATTCCGGCTTGAATTGCACTGTTTTGTACCTTGATCAGTGCACATCCTGGAATAGATGTCGGCAGACCTGCCTAAAAACTGGAGCTACCAGCTATAGATGGTTTCATGACGGTTGCTGCGAGTGTGTGGGAGAACATTGCATGAATTATGGCATTAACGAGAGTAAATGTCGACTGTGCCCTGAACCGGGATTTGAAGATGAAGAGGATTAAGAATTATGGAATTTAATTAAATTTAAAAAAGATTGTATAAATATATTTTTCCAGCTAAAAGCAAATAATGTGAAATATACCAAAAAAAATTAATTCAACATTTTTTGGACATTTTACTAAAAGATTGGTTATAATAAATAAAACAAAAAATTCTTATACTTATTGTAAGTAATCATGTTTTTATTTAAATTGTATTTGAATTTAAAAAAACGAATATTTTAACAGTGTTGAATAATACCATTATTCAAAAATCCTCGGGTGCACGTGTTTTGAAGCCCTGGTATTAAATGTGTTGCATTCATCCCTGGTTGTTATTCGAACTCCACGTTGTTTTGCCTTTTCAATTGTTTTTAATTATTTAAACTAAGACAAATGGGTCGCAAGTTTCTGAATAAGAAAAAGAAAGCTGCTCCACAATTGGAGATAGTTCCGCTAGATGAAAACCCACCTTTGCCGCCACAGCGATCTTCAGATGAAGTGGTGCCCAAAAAGGCAAGATCTGGGACTCCTTGAAACTAGCAATTTACTAACATAATTTACTTAATTTACAGGAGAAATGGGTGAACAAACAGCGCGTGCTGGTCTTCTCTGCCCGAGGAATCAGTCACCGGGACAGACATTTAATGAAGGACATAAAGACACTGATGCCGCATCACCGTCCCGAATCCAAAATGGAGCGCTCTAAATCCTTGTCGGTAGTGAACGAAATGTGCGAGATGAAGCACTGCAACAAGGCCATGCTCTTTGAGGGTCGCCGGAAAAGGGATCTGTACATGTGGGTGTCGAATACCTCGGGTTCCACTGGCCCATCGGCCAAGTTTCTTATCGAGAATATCCACACAATGGCCGAACTGAAGATGACGGGCAATTGCTTGCGCGGATCGCGTCCACTTCTCTCCTTCGACTCCAAATTTGATGAACTGCCCCATCTGAAGCTGCTCAAGGAGCTGTTCGTCCAGACCTTTTCGGTTCCCAATCACCATCCCAAGAGTCAGCCGTTCGTAGATCATGTTTTCACCTTTACTTATCTGGACAACCGAATCTGGTTTAGGAATTTCCAAATTCTCTCCGAGGATGGCGGTTTATCCGAAGTAGGACCACGCTATGTGATGAATCCTGTGAAAATATTCGATGGCTCCTTTACAGGCAAGACAATTTGGGAGAATGCCGACTACGTAAGTCCGGCAAAGCAGCGACAGATGCTTAAGAAGGCAGCCAAGGACAAATACGTTAACCGAGTGGAACAGAAGGTCAAGCACGAGGCCACGCGGCCAGTCAGAGCCTATGATGGTGTTAATAACGAAGAACTCTTTGAGGACGACGATCCAGTGGAGACGGCTAAGATTCTGGCGGCGATAGCCAAGAAGAGGAAGGAGGAAGACGCCAAGCAGACGCCGAAATCGGCGCTTACCAAGAAGATTAAGGAAAAACAACTGAAGGCCGTCAAAGAAGTGATTGAAAGAAAGAAGGCAAGAACTACTAAACGTGTTAAAAAGGTTTAAACACGCCATTTTACATTTAGATAAAAAACGATTAAACTTTATAAATACGTTTACAAACTGTGCATCCTAAGTTTGAATATATCAATAGACAAGATTATCAGTTATTATTAGTCCCACTTTTCTACTTTGTACGTCGCGACGGAGTTATGGTATGTTTATAAATATTAACATCCTAATGAGATGTGCGTTGAGTTTCGGGGGGTTTCTGGGGCTGGAATACGCAAGGTATAGCATCAAGCTGTTGCTTCATTGAGTTATTCTGGCGACATAGGAGCCACCTCGGGATCAGACTGGGGAAGTCTGGTAATACTGAATGGCTGTTTGTTGATGGGCATCATTTGAACCACCTCGATGGGCGGCTCCTCTCCAGGCTGCAGCGGTTCCTCGCCCACTAGCTTAGCTAAATTGCTTTGTGCCCAGCGACCAGAGCGACCATTCAGGGTCTTATCCTCACAGACGCAGAGGAATAAAGTATCTACCACCATCTGTTGGGAAGTAATTCGTTAAACTTGCACTTAATACGATGAAATGCGTTTCTTACCTCAAACAGTGAGAGAATAATGTGAGCGATGAAGAAGGAGAATATTATAATGATTATGACAGGAGCCATATAAAAGTTTAGACCAGGCATGTCCTTGAGCAAAACGATACCGATCAGGCCGGATAGAGCGGCCACCACAACCTTTCCCAGGAAGAGGATGAAGTCTCCAACACTGTTAATGGTGGCCACTTGTAAAACATTCGTGGCCATGGCATTCCAAGCCTAAAAAATATAAAATTTTTTAATTGATAGCTTGGTCTTTCTGTATTTAAACTTACAATGCCTGCAGCGGGACAGAAGTTGATTGACTCAATAGCCACCACAGTGTAGGCATTGTGATTCAAGAACCGAATGAACTTCTCCAGCAGCCAGAAGCCACAAATGCAGCACTTCAAGCAACAGGCGGCACACTCTGATCCTTTGTCTTCACCTTTTTTCAGTCTAAAATATTCAATATTTAATTTGACAAGAATAAGAAGCGATTTAAAAGAAACTTACTTGGCATACAAATATGTGAGTATTAAGCGAGGAATCTTGAAGATAGTGATTACAAAGGATCCTTTAGCCACTGTACCCAAATGATACTTGATTAGTTTTCCAATGGCGTAAATTGTAGGGGTGGTCGTTGGCTTTTGGAAGTACCAAAATGCCACAGCTGCGGCCAGTGCAAACTGCTGGCAGGCGAAAATAAACTCCACCGTCCAAATAAGACCGACCACATAGATCCAGAACATGCTGCGAAGGGCACCAGCATCGGCATATTCTACCCGGGAATTCGCTGTTTAAAAAAAGTTAAGATTATTTCTCTGGGATTTACAAAGTTATTAGGAAATCTTTGTATATACAATTTAGTTCCAAAAGTAGTGAGAAAAGAAACACAGAAATATGTACACAAGAGTAAAGTTCTGTGCCCTTATTAAATATCACTTACTTATTCACCGAATCAGGTTACAAAATAACCACAAAATGCAAAAATATATAATTCAGATTATTTCAAATATAGCTTCTTTAAAACCCTGCAGATAATTGTTTTGTAAAATATAAAATATTGACTACTTACTTCTTAAATCATTGACACTGGTGTTATTGGAAACAAATAACGCATTAGCTGGCAACGGCTGGCGATGAGCTTTGGAGTTATCAAACGGAGCGATGGGACTCTGGTCAGGTGAGCTGGCGGTAGCTAGACAAATGACAACTCCAACCCAAAAACTCAAGAAGGCTATGAGCACAAGGAAAGCCAAGAGCGGTGCAATTAAAAGTCCTGGTAGATTCATCATACACTGCCCAGCTTCCTCAAAAAGAGCAGACAAGCCGGCCAATTTGTTTTTCAAAAAGTATATAACAACAATAAGGATAACCTGTAAAGAAGATCTTTTAAATAAGTAACTAGTATTTAAATATTAAATGATTTATCTAACCATAGTAATGGTGGCCAAGACAGCCAGGGTTAAAACCGCTTGCTGATTGCGAACAAACTCTTCTAGCAGAGTATACTGAGTATTCACGCCAGACTTATAGCGAATGTTATAGTAGGCATACCACAGAGCAACGGTAAGAGCAACACTGGCCACTATGACCAGGACACAGATGATCCATGAGACGATACGAGATAACCAGTGCATCATCGTCACCAAAGCGATAGATATGACTAGACAAACAAGCAATTTAGATGATATTTAAATGTACAAATAGTTATATCTTACGCAATGCCAGACCACAGACCATGGCAATGATGTGCCAGGTGGAGTAAATGTCACCAACGAACTGCTGAGCCACATCCCAGTTGTTGAGCATGTCGTAATAGTTCTGCACCTTTTCTCCTGTGCCCTTCGGAACACACCGATGGAGGACAGGAGCACTGGGAAAAACGATTAATTTATGAATTAAATTAAAATAAGATTTGATTTAGGTTATGTCATCAACAGACCTTTCGTGGACGGGAAAACTAGGGCAGGGACCAAGGAAATTAAAGGTTTTGGCATCGTTTCCCACAGAACTAAGTTGCTGCATATTGTAATCATATGTGCAAAATTGAGTGCCGGTTTGGGTATAGTAATCCAGCAAGTCACTTCCTTTGGTCATGGTTTTGGCGGGACAGGATTTGACACATATTTTCAAGGATCTTTTTAGTTCTTTGACATCGAAGTAGAAGAGTTCTCGTTTGTCGAGGGTGTTCATGCCCGAAAGCGGAAAGCCCTGGAACTTTTCATTGTGCTTGACGCCACATGTGTTGCCAAATGAGTCGTAGCCATTGATGATGCGCAAGGGATTGCCGTAGACAAACGAAAAGATGGCTATCACGATCTGAAAAAGAAACGGGGGTAAATTAAAGTGGTTTAATTCAGCATATAGATTATAGTTAAGGCTGCCAACGCCCCATGACAAGCATGTCATGTCAGGGGGCATTTATATTATAATCTCTTTGGCGGACATACCCATGCAAATACCTGACATGAAAATGCTTTCTGGGAGTGGCGTGTCCTGCAGGACACCAGAAACAGTAGTTATTGATTCGTCTCATGAGGGATTTACCAGACCTCATGCTAACCCTGAATGTTAATTCATCGCATTCATTAGCGGAATTAACAATTCTGCTCATGAGCCAGCTGCGATGACGACACGAATGAGACATTTTCAAGTAACAAGTAGCCGCTTTCCTCCCGCAAAAAGCGCTCACACACACAACGGAAACAAAGAGAAGCGTTGCGCAGATTGATCTCATAACTTTCACTTTCCCGATACCCACTCCATATATGAGAAAATCTAATGTATTAAGATGAATTACTCACCAAAAACAGCCAGAAAATAATATAAATCGCCAGCCAGCAGGTGTCCGTACAGGACCGGTATTTAGGCCTATTGTTTTGCGCCTCCCCCTCACCGTCCTTGCTTTCCGCACAGCCCATTTTGCACTTGTCTGACTACTGGGTAATTAGCGGGCTTAATTTCTCTTATCACTATAAACTTATATCTATTTTCGAGTATGTTGAGCCACTTGTTTGTCTTATTTTGATTCACAACCGAAGAAATAACAACAACGCCTAGTCCTCTTTGCTCAGGTGTGACCAGATGATGCGCAGACAGATAATCCTCACTATCTATTTCCTAATGCAAAATACTTTTCTAATGGAAGCTTTTAGGCGCGTTATTTGAAAAGCTGTAAAATTGTAGCATACTAAAATAGTCTATGTAACATGTGTGACTTTCAAAAGAGTTTCATATATAGCCATCTTTCGATATAAATATTACTTTAATATTATTAAAATCCGTATAAAAAAGTCTACATTTCATAATAAATTATTCACATTTATTCAAAGATCGAGCTTAATAACTAAACTATATTCAAAGCTAACATTAACATAAGAATCGCAATGAACTGAAAAAAATAATATTGGAATTAGTATGATCGTATACAAACTAAAGATCCGATACTTAGGCAATGAATGTGATGTGATTTGTCTTAAATACTGAGGACTGGCAGTCGCAGATACGGCCAAGTATAACCGGAAGTGTCATTCCAAAATTGTTCCAATGTGAGTGTGTAAACAATTTTCGAACAAGATTTCGTTATTTGCACGATCGACCTAACTAAAGTTATATTCCCTACTTATAGCTAACAAAATAGTGGTATAAGCTAAATCATTGAGTTCTATGGTAGAACTTGTTTCTCTGCTAATCTCATGGTGAAGCTATTTGGCCGACTCTGTGATCACTTCTTGACCGTCACCTGGATGCCGCCCTTGACCACCGCCTCGGCGGGTGGTTGGCCGAATCTCCGGCTCTGGTTGAGGTTGCTCTTGCGCCGTATGCTGATCTTCCCTGGAGAAGGAGCCGATGCAGGCAATGGAACCGGAGCACTTGCACTTCTCTGCGTCTCCTCATCCTCGGCTGGTGGTCTATATGTTCGGATTCCGGAATTAGATCTCACCGGAAGTAATGTTACCAGTCGGTGGACACTGGGTTCCGTTGTGCTGGCAGCGAATTGCGAGATCTTGAGCATCTCCTCGTAGTTTAGTGGATCCACGACCTCTACTTCTGCTTCTCCAATCACCGGAATAGCTGCTCCTAGGACTTCAGAGGAACCATCCTCCATAAAACTTGACATGGGTTTTATAAAAGGTTCCCTGTCTAGGGGAAGGATTGATTCCGGAACTACTAATGGTACTTCAGTAGTAGTGGAGGTGGGAATGGGTCTTCTGACTTCCTCTTTTGGAGCCTGCTTGAGTTTGTTCTGCGAAAATGGTGGGAATTTGTTTGGAACACTGGGAGTAATTCCCAACTTGGAGGCTAGGGTATCGAAGATCAGCGATATGTCCTGAATGTTACTAGCATTATTAATCCTCGTTTTGATGTCATTCAGTGTTAGGTTTTCCGACTTGTCAATGTCCTCCGAAACCCAAGCTTGCAGTGTCTGATTGAAGACCTTCCTCATATTCGAATTATGACCATATCCTTGGGCAGAGGAACTGTTAACAAACTCCCACTTTGAATGCGAGGGAAACAAATTTGAGTCGTCCATCATTGTGGGTCGTTCAGTGGTAGTCCGAATGCGATTTCTCTTAGTGGTACTGGGTTCCTCCGTTGTGGTTGTGGTGGTTATTGTGATTGGTGTCGTCGTTGTGGTCTCGTCATCTAAAGTTTCGTTGGAGAGAATCGAAGACGGGGTATTTCTTTGCAGAATGATCTCCTTGAGGTTCATAAAGTTCGGCTTGGAGTGTATAACGCTCTGTGTCTTCAAGGTCTCCAGTGTCTCCTCCTCCTCAGGCTCTATCCTGGATTCTATAGCGTCTTGTGTTGGTTTTTTAGTTGCGGTGGCATTATCCTCCTTCGGCAGGTTTAGTAATTCCATGAAGAATTCACCAATGGTATCGGCCAAAACAGAATTATCCGTTGGTTTCAGTGAGGGTAAGGATGGAGATTTGGTTGGCTTTGGTGAACTATTAACTGCGATCTTTGAGGATGATGTGGTGGCTTCCACCTTTTTCAGCTTCATTTCTTGTTTAGTGGTTACCTCAAGATTATCTGTCTTCTGAACTTTCTTTTCCTGAACTTCTGTCTTCTCATGCAGAGTCTGATTCACATTTTTAATTGAATGTACTATGGGGTCTTTCTTGGCTGCCTGATCTTTCTTTTCCACCTTTTCCTGTGGCTTCTTGGCAATCACTCCTCCACCCAAATGCTCGAATCGTTCATTGCTAGCATCCAGATTGAAGGGGAGTTTCTCACCCGTTCCCATCGTAGCTTCCATAGGCTTGAATGGAGGTATGATAACATCATCAATGAGAGGAACGGGCAATGGATGTGGTTCAACCAGGGCTCCTCCCAAACGCTCAATGTTCTCAGTGCCCGGCATAAATATTGGACTGCCAAAGTTGTGGTAGAAGAGCATGTCCTGATCTTGTGGTTGTGGCCCTAGATTGGGTTTTGGCTCTTGAACTCGCAATCCGGGGTTAAGGAATCCAAGACTATAAGGATCAATGGTCACTGGAGCCACAGCTGCTGTCGGAGGAGTGGGATTGTCTCCAATGAAAGGCAGTTCGAATTCATCAATTCTCCTTTGTGGTATATGGTTCACAGTTGGAGTGGTTCCTCCTGGCAACGTCTTGGTTGGAAAAGCAGGTGGAGGACCAGGTAGCAGTTCCGGAACTTCTCTGTGCATGGGTCTCCAAGGTTGCGTATCCAAAATTGGGAAGGTGGTGAACAGGCTTGCATCCAATTTGGGCAAAGATCCTCCTTGAGATGGAGTGGGTGTGCTTACAGAGGGATAGGTAAAGGTGGTTGTGGTGGGGGTGGCCCTGGTGGTACTAGGTGGGGGTGGTGGTGGTGGGGTTGTCGTTGACGTTGTAGTAGTAGTAGTAGTTGGCTCCGTTGTTGTTGTAGTAGTTGTCGTAGGCTTAGGAGTAGTTGTAGTAGTGGTTTTCCTGGTAGTGGACGTGGTGGTTCTCTTTGTCGTAGTAGTTGCCTTGGTGGCCCTGGTGGTTGCTCTGGTGGTGCTAGAAGGACCGGCAGTGGGCACCTGTTGTGGCATCACAGTCGTTAGCTTCTCAATGCTTGGCTTTTTGGGCTTTACCCTTAAGGAAAACGGTGTAACGGCAATGGCCTTGGGTGGCAAGGTGCTACTGGTGGCCTGATAGGAGCGAGTGGGCGGGGTCTTCTTGCGGGCAATGTCGGCATCTGTTTTAGTAATCTCGAAGGAACCCTCAAATGAACCTTGGATAACAGGGGCATTCTCGACATCAATATCTGGCTCCTCATCAGCTGAATGACTGCGCAACAGGGGATTCTTCGGCTTGGGTGTGCTGTTACCTCCCAAAGGTTTTGGATAAAGTGGCGTGGGAGCTGGTGTACTTCCCTTTTTCATGAGACGCTTTTCCAATTGGGTTTGACTAGTGGGCACAGTTTGCTGTTGGACAGGAAATTCCGTTATTAAGAATCTGGTTAGGATACGGTTAGAGTTTGCTTACGGCTTCTTTTAATATAGCTGCAGATCGCACCACCTGCTCATCCATGATGCGCTTAATCTCCACCGATTCCGTGTCCAAGCGCAGTGAGCGGTAAAGAGACTTTGTAGCAGACGTTTCCAGGAACAGCGATTCTTTGATGTACTCCTCAACGCTCAGAATGTTCCTTAAGAAAATAAATTCTCATATATATAATCTGAGTAGATTTTAATTATGGTTTACTTACTGTGGCAGCTTGCGGACATCCAAAAATACCCGGAATGAGACCTTTATCAGCGGACCCTCGCCGAAACCCCAGACATCAGTACGCAGTGGCTGCAATCCATTATCCATCATAGATCGCTCCACGAACCTCTTGTAGAAATCAATCTTCTGCTTGTAGGTGGTTGTGTGGTTATATTTAAGACCCGTGGAGAAGAGATCCCCTTTGGCAATGCGGAAGGAGCCCTCAAAGCCCATGACAGCTGTGCAACAAATAAATATATAATTTAGTACTTACTTAAGATTACACATCTTCTTAGTACTTACGATCTTCTAGATTGGTTTTAATAGAACTAAAGTAGAATGCCAGTCCGGCGATGGAAATGACAGCCAATAGGACAATAAATGCAGCTGTGGTCAGTATGATGCTAAAAGATCGGTTCTTGGGGTACTGAGTATGCGTCTTTGCCGAGAAGGTGGACGGGGCAATGTTCCTTCCATCCCGCCAGATGCCCCACGTATTGTACCCATACTGACTGTTCAGGCTGTGTTCATTCGTGTACGAGGGCTGCTTGTTCATGTGATAGTAAGCCCCCAGTTGAGACCTCCGGCCAACTGTGTTCTGGTATGTATAATCCGCACTCTGCGAAAAAAAAGAAGATGTCAGTTGATCTTAACTGGGTTTTTAAAGTATGCCAGTCTGATCGATCCCGAAGGCCACTAATTAGATAATTAGCCGCCAGAAGTCGCACAACTTTCTCGACCCTTCGGCCACTTTCTATCGCGACTCCCAGTCCCCAATCTAGATGACGGAAGTTGGCCTCTAACGGCCCCACTTTGGACTCAATTTTTGCTATCGCCAAGAACCGCAAACTTCCCCTTAAACTTTCCCAGCGTTATGTCAGAATCGCTATCGCCGGTGAGCACTTGTCATGATTTGTTAATGCATCTCATTAACAGTGCTGGGAAAACGCATTTAATTAGCCTGGGCTGGGGACTACAAGGTGGTACAAAGTCATTGCACCTGGTCAGATTCTCAGAATCTCTGCAAACTTCCGCAGGTTCCTGGGCACAATAGCAATCAAATAGTTAGCACATCTAATTAATAAATAAGATTGTTTTCTTTTCAAGAAATAAAGATAAAATAGGATAACCTTTTGAGATCTACATTAATCCATCCGCCCATGCTTTTTCTTCAAGTGCTTGTATTACGAGTGCCAGAAACAAGTTTTTTGCTTAAGTCTTTTGAATTGGCATTGACATTGATACTGAAAAGTCTGACAGTTAATTATATGGCATTCATATAGACTTAAACGGTGTATTGCAGCTGATATTGCTTTGATAAAAGTTCAAATAATACAAAAATGTCCACCAAATCAAACGAAATAAAATGAATCAAGTTTTTTGCTTAAGTCTTTTGATTTTGACAAACAAATTTACCCGAAAATACCCTAAGGCTTATATTATCCACTAAGCAGAACTATTCTTAAGCGTCTAAGCATTCTAAAACCGAAACCTAACTTTTAATTACAAAGTATCAATGATTTATGTTTAGAACCCTTTGGGCTACTTATTATCTCGACCTCAGGTGTAAGTGCATAAGTGCTCGGGGGGATCCCCTAGGGGCCTATGGGAAAGTTAGATTGTTTCTTGATTACCATTTAACATTCGTTAGCTGCAGGGCATTTCCCTTAGTTCCTCTCTTTCTCCCGGGAAGCACCCTTCGCTTCCCTTCCGCTAGACCCCTGCTAAGCCAACTCAGCTGGCCAAATTGCCGTCTTCTTGACTCTTTTTTTTCTTCTTCGTTCTCTTCTGTTCTTTGCTGCCTCTTCTTTCTTCGCTGCCAGAGAAAGTCATTCACCTTTTAGAACGTTCTTCTGTCGTGTTTGGCTAGCTAGTTACTCGTACCTATGTATCTTTTTTTCAGACTCTCGAGTTTGTTGGTGAATGAGGAATGCAAACAGCTCGATTCCGAGATTCTGGTCCCAAACAAACAGCCAAATGAATATATAAATATGCATGCTGCGTTCTTTGTAACAAACAAACAAAAAACAACAACGCATGGCGGACGCGAGTTGATGTAACAATTCTATTGACAAAGAGATTTTGGGGGACGATAAATGGCCCCGATTCTATTCTCTAGCCGAATGAAAATGCTAATCAAGTTCTAACTGTTAAACCTTTTGTACACGAAAGTGATAAACGATTGGGGATTACTCACCATTTGCCGACATGTCTGCGCCCTGTATATATCACTCACGCCGGATAAGCTCTGGAAGTATTTCTTTGTCCCATAGACGGTATCCATGATTCCACCGTTACAATTCCCGATCACAGGTTCTGGAAAGATATCAATTTTTCGGGAGACCATTGTTAGTGGTTTTCTTCACTTTCGTTCGGACGGTCTTTGCTTTCTTTTGGCACCACTTCGAGTGGGCCTGAGTGATCTGCGGTCGGGATCAGGCTGTGAAAAGAGTCACTAATGGGCCAGCATGCCGGAGAACCGGCTAATCCTGTTTGCCAGCCCATTAGCCAAACGAAAATTCTCACTTTTCGCCAGGGAAAAGAGGAAAAGAACAGCGCACAATTGCAATGAGATTTACATGCCGTTAACCGGTTTGATTTGCATTTTCCAAAGTACTCAAAGGTATTCAAAGGAGCATTTCTACACAATGAAAAATCATAGTAAAATTGCGGTGGAAATATTTTAGTTTTTAAGTCACCCTTGATAATGGACACTTTTCCAAGAACTTATAAAGATTTTCAAGAAGTCGTTAAAAACTTTGTTAACAAATGGAGACATTTCTCATGCTTATAAAAATTCCGCCTTCTCAATGAAAGCAGGTATCACATAAATTTCATAATTAATTGAACCACCAGACTGGCCAAAGTGAAGAGCTCTCCGGTGACCAGTCATAAAAAGCGAAAGCTTTTTGTGGCATAAACAAAAACTTTAATTAGAGAATTCCCCAACACTCTGGATACGCTCAATGGCTGAGCCCTACAAATTTGGAATTTTCACTTCATGGGAAGCTCCAGCAAGAAAGAACCTCACTCCGAATGGCTTAAGTACACGGCAGATGGGCTGGCATTGGAGTGGGTTGGGAAACCAGTTCTCCACATCGAAATCCACATCCACATCCACATCATCATAACCAAGATGGGATGCGATGGGGCCAGGTTATGGCTTGTTCCGCCGTCATATACACATGTAAGATCTCGGTATTTATAAAGCCACAATGTATGGTTTAGTTGTACATGTGCAATCATCAAAACCAAAGTTCAGGCGCGGAGAAACGTGTATAAAAATAGTTTTCGGTGCGGGAAGCCGCGGGCAGAAACCACCAACGATGGTCGGATGCTCTTTGGATGGATGATCAAGAGGTCTGGTCTGGTCTTGAGCTTGAGCTTTTCGAGCTGGCAAAAGTAAAAGTTCTGTTATTTTTAGGAATGGCTTGATGTTGGGCTCTGCCTGCCAGAGAGAAACTAATTTAATACTTTGAATGATAATCAGGGTCTGCAGTAGCCCATATTGTTGGATCATCAGAAATCGAACACAGTCTTAATGGTGGATTATGCAAAAAGGCATATTAATGGGGTTAGAGAGGGTCTGGGAAAAGCCTCTTATTTTCTATTTTCATCATGAATTGATTTACTAAAGACGTCTAAAACTCATTTAACAACAACCAACTTTACAAGATAGTAATTGGCTAACATAAATCTTTGTATTTATTCTTTTCCTGATAACCCCCATTAACTGTAAACGCAGGCCTGGAGGCTCTGTCATCGCCGCCACTTCCCATTGAAATGGAACGGAAAGCCATTTACCTAATAAAAACACCGCCAAAAACGCGCTCAAACTGGCAGAAAAAGAGGCAAATTGAAGAACCAGTGCAATTAGAGTTCAGGTACACATGTAGAGATATGTTGAAATGGCTGGGCTTCAGGGGGAGCTCAGGGAACCCTCCGCCCAAAAGACAGTTAGAACGCTTGGGGAGCCATCGTCATCGTCATCCTCAACGCTATGGCCAAAGCCATAGCCACCAGCTTTTGACCTAGATGCGCATGCGCGAAGCCACGAGGAATGAATGGGGAATGGGGCAAAGCCCGGAGACGGCCAAAACCAAAACTGGTAACTTGTGCTCGTCTCCCAGTACGTACTTACAATTGCGGTTAAACAAATGGATGTTTTTATATTCTTTTTTGGTTTATTTTTAAAATTCTCATTTCAGTTTAACCTAAAGAAGGCATTTTCTAAACAAATATTTTAAAAATCATTATAATTAAAAAGATAACTCATTTTTAATCCCAACTTTAGTTCTATAAATTTGACCTCAATTGTGTTTACTTTGCTGTGTTTGGAGAAAGAAAGAATAAATTGACTTGCGTCTGAGCCGCGTGAAAAAGTTAACGAAAAATACAAAAATAATTCTGGCACACACACTCGCTTGGACAGCGATTTATTTTTTTTTATTTCTGTATTTTTCGATTTAGGCATTAAGTATTAAGACGTCGCCGGCCACGCATAAGTTGATTAAATTTCTCGCATTAGCCGATTTTCTCTATCGGTGAAATTGCTGGACGAAAAAGCGTCAGAGAATGATTGATGAGAATTTGATCTGGAAATTCAGACAGTTGTCGGTCTATATGTACAACAAGTCTATAGGTACATATATATATATATATAGTTGCAAAAATACCTAACGGAAGTCGGCCATTAACCCGTTGGCACGTTAACCCATTGTGGTTGATATCTGGCCAAAAGCGTAGGAATTTGCGAGGCGATTTTCGGCCAGATTAAGATTCCCAGCCACTTTCAATCATAATAGCCTCGCCGACAAAGCATCGAAGAAAGTGAAATGTGACAGGTGGGGTTTCTTTTGAGGGAGGGGTAGAGGGGGTTTTACAGGTGAGGCATCGATGTCAATGGATGCTTATCAGAAAACGACGGTGAAATGGAAAGTTCATTTCGAACGCATCGGAAACTAGAGGAGCTGCTCATTAAATTATTATTTATCTACACATTTGACTTTGTTTGGCTTTGGAAAGTGTTGACCAATTGCCGGCCACGTTTTTTTGGCATCCATCCTTCATAATGGAGGCACGGAACCGCTAGCCATATGTCATAATTGATGCCTCAATTTAACTGGGCAGTGTGCAAATTTATGCAATCTTCTTTCTTTGCTTTCCTTTCCCAAAAGAAAGGCAGCGAAGAGCGCAAATGAAAATCAGATAACTAGTCTAATGTAAACAGAACGGACAGTACAGTAGATATTCGTTATGAAATAAACTAAAATAAAAAAATAAAGGTAACATAATTTAAATACATCTCAAACCAAGAATATAAAACGAAAATATGTCTAGTAATTAAGGTTTTCTTCTCTCTTTTTTCTCTCTACTTAAAGAAACCCATCTGATAAGAAGACTTTGTTGTACGCTAAATTTCACCCGATATCCACAAAAAAGGGGCGATGAATGGGCGAACAAAGTAACGTTGCCGCTAATTGTATAATAAATTAATTAAATTGTTTATGGCCATTAAGAAATGAATATGTATGCGTCGAGAGCAATCTGTGCAGCTTTTGCAGTTTCGTAATAGCTCTAACGGCGCCAGCTACCAAGGTCTTACTGGAGCATAACCACTTTATTAAGATGGGGGAAGAACATACACTAGTATATACCTATCTTCAGATTATTCCGAACTACTCAGCAGACAAAGTAAATCTCTTTGTCTCCTACCATTGCGGAACTAAAAGTGCATTTCATTTCTATGACAAACAGAGGGGAAAAGTTGACAAGAACGAAAAGAATAGAAATAAAAAATATATTATAACATGCGAAGAGTGGATGGTAAAGAGTGTTGGGAATAGTCATTAAAAGCATTCACCGTTACACCTTAACCGACGACCAAACTAATTAAAAACAAACAAATCCGACAAGTATTTCTCACATGTGAGCATACCCCATTGCAGAATTATTCGGGAACTTGATTACTCATTCTCGCAGAACTTTGGGTACTTGTCTTTGGCCGAGGACTGACGGTACAGGGCAACCCATCGAAGGTGAAAAGTGTCAAGTCAGGTGGCCAGAACACGAACCGTTAGGCTGAGGTAACAGTATTAACAACAGTGCTAAATGCCGGATAGGCTGACTAGTCAGCCAAGTTGGGAAGCGGGTGAATTCTCTTCAAATTGCTTAGCGAACTCCGAAAAAGATATTTTAAGATCAACACTGTTTAGGAACGATAGCAACTTAGCTTTTCATTTCCGATCCAAATAAAGAGGAAGTGGTTTTAGAAGAAAAATAAATCAATTTCCCACAGGAACTCAAATTTAGAATCTAAGATTTTGGTGAAACATTTCTCATCAAAGTTTGGCAAGAGTATCAAAACAGCATTCTCCGAAAGTATTGTAAACCCTACCTATTGAACTATTCTATATTTATTCAAAAAACATACATATACTGGATATGCAAATAACGAATCACATACCAATTAAAATGACTTCGAAGCCAATTAATTTTTTCGTTGAAGTGGAAAACCCAACTTGTTCTGAATAACTCTATTTGGCTTGTGGCTCAGAGCCCGTGTCTAAATGCAAATGTCAACATATGGAAGACAGCTTCCTCTTAGTATGCATCGACGCACTTGGCGGATAAGAACCCGAACTGCAATTAGTGCCACGATCAACATGCGCAGCACGCACATCCAGTAGAGAACCACTCCTCCGACTCTTTTCCAGACCAACCCATACCCATTCAGCCATCTGAATCCATACCCACTGAAACTCACACCAGAGAAATGTTTTCCTATTCTACTCGGCATCTGTCTGCGTGGAAATGCTTTCCATCTGTCTGAAACAGACAGAGAAATTAAAAATTCGGTTTCAGATCTATACTAACTGTTTGGGATTTAAGTTATAAGTATTTATTTTGTTTTTATTTAATCTGTTTTAAATTGTAGTTTTTTTTAAACGATTAATAGGCGACGATTGTGAGTTTTGATAAGAATAAATGCTTTATTTAAATTATAATTGGTCTTTTAAATTTTGGATGATTTTCTGGCGAAGTGGTGTGGATAAATCAGTTTAAAAAATACATCAGGTTATGATGGTCAACAGAATGGGCTTCTTCCTTAAGGTCATCATTTTAACAACATATTTGATAATGAAGGTAAAATATTCCACCTAATTATTTAAAAGTCATTCTAATAGCTAAATTTTAAGGTCTTTTGTCTAGTGGAATTCACAAACTTAAAGTGTACGACTTTGGATAAGGATTTTGCAGATATTGGTTATTGCACTTTGAAATCCGTGAACCGCACGTACAAATATGTTTCCATTAAAATTAAACTTTTGAGGGTTCCCGTAACAAAAGTTAAGGTATGATAAGGAATATGGCTATTATATCCAGTTAATAATATTTCACTATTTGAATTCAGGTGAAATTCGGACTATATAGACGCCTCAATGGCTATAAGCCTTTTCTATACAATTTTACGGTAGATGCCTGCAAATTCTTGAAATCTCCAAATTCCAATCCCGTTGCTAATTACTTCTACGGTTTCTTCAAAGAATTTTCCAATATGAATCACTCTTGCCCCTATGATGTAAATATCGCATAGTTTCCTGAGTTTATTTTATTTTAAAATATCTCCTTTCAGCACGATATTGTCCTGGATAAGATGACTTATGACAGCTTTTCTCACCAAGTTACCAATAGATTGCCTTTTCCTGAAGGAAGATATATGATTGAAATCCACTGGATGGCCTATGACATTAATCGGGTTATAACTCAATTCTATTATACAATATCTCACCAAAGCTAATCGATGTATAAGTGACAGCAAAAGAATAAGCAAGTTTGAAATAAACCAATATTTTGAGCAGTGCACTCGAGTGATCTATTCGCTTTACCGCAACGAACTCTTGCATTTGAGGTCGCTTTCCTCTTGGCAGGCGAAACAAAGATCGGCCCATTAGAGGCGATTTTACATCATTTGAATGCAATTTAGCCGCAGCTTAGCGTTATGTTCTATTTCGCCCCAGCACGAACTGCTGGCCAAGTCAGCTGGAAGAGATCAATCTGATGGCCACTGTCTTCTGATTCCACTGTCATTTGGCTTTAAGCAGAAGAATCGTGAGGCACGGATGATCAGTCGGTCTGCCAATTTGGGCCATTCGCGATATATCTTCATGATGAGCCGAGTCTCGACCATTTCTTGACCAATTTCCGATTCTCAACGCAGATTCTTTTGCTGGCAAAGAAGAAAGAACACAAGAAAATCCACAACAGAGAAGAAAAATTTTGCGGAGGCGGGGATTCAAATTCAAAGACAACCTGGAATCTGAAATCTCAGATCTCGGCGGTTCGGGTTGAGACTTGACCGGGTCTTAACGAGCGAAAGTGTTTCATTAACTCGTAAATGAATAATTTGAGTGTCGAGACAACGAAAACGAAATCAAAATAAACAGAAACAGAAACCAGCACTCACACCCGAGAAACGCTCGTAAAAATGTACATAATTTTTCAATCTCAATCTGGTTTTGCGCATTTCTATTTCGTCTGTCGTTTGATCCACTTCCGACTCATGAAAATAAAAAAAAAATGAAAATTTTCATTGCCTCAGTGAAACTAATTTGAGGTGAAAATTGTCCAAATAAAAAAATGAAAAAAATAATGGGAGAAACATAGAAAATGGCTTGGTGACAGATGGACAGAAAGAGCGAAAGATATGGGTGTGTTTATGCGTCTAGGATTCAGATGCTGACTTGGATTTGGAAGTGGATTTGGCAACCTGTCGAGACAGCCTTGTCTGAGTTCCAATCCGAATCCGAGTCCAAGTCTGAGTGGCTCGTGCTGAGTCAGTGTTTTTTTGGCACTTTCTCCATTCAAAGACGACCACTGCACTTATCAATGACTCAGTCCGAATTGGTTAGGATCTCTCGGGAATTTGCGTAAATTGTCGGTTATTACTGTGTGCCCCGCCTCGAATTGGGTCAGAAAATGAGTGCCGAGAGCCACAGCCTCTTCCTGTCTTGATGCCGCTGTTTCTTTTTCATTTAAGAGCCAGAACCGTAAACGCTAAAAACTTTAACTGCGACTAAAAATCAATTTCCGCACCGACACAGATAGGCGCATGCAAAACGCTCATATCTGTAATGGGCACAGCTGCGGTCAAAATAATAGCACCACAGGCTGGGCCCATAAAAACTTAATTGTTTAGCAATATTAATATACAGTTGTGAAAATGTAGGAAAATGAAATATTCAGTTTACGACGGGTTTTTGTTATTAATTTTAAAAATGATATTCTCTCTTGATTTAAATAAAGAAAAGAAATTTAATATTATATTAAAGTATTAAAGTCTTGCAATGTTTATCATAATCTTACATTTATGAAATTTCCTTATTTTTCCAATACTACATTGCTATCAATATGACCCCATCTGTCCATGCTACTATAACAATCCAGCGTCATAATGGGAGACCCACTCATCTTATGGCGGTTAGTGGGATCGGAGAATAATGGAGTTTCCTCCCCCGGATGCACTCCACCGATCCCCGGTGATTCCAAAACATAGTGCAACGGGTACGGGGCCACTGGCGGCTATAACTATAACGACCAAGACCGAAGTGAACTGAGCACCGAGCACTGAACTGTCAATTGGCCCAGTTCATGAACGTGGTAATTGCGCGGTTAGCGACATATAAAGCAACACCAAGAAAGATTGCGAGGAGACGACAAAACGTTCTCCGGGCCATTGTTTTTGAGCTCTTTGGACGATCACCTGTCCACCTTTTTAGCCATTCTCAACGCTTTTATTGGTGCCGGTGCCAGTTGGTTTCGGAATTCTTTGCTCTTTGCCGCCCTTTTTTTTTGGGTGCAGAGTCTTAATTTCTAATTTCTTTTATTACAGACTGGTTTTGTTTTGTTTTTTGTTGTTGATTTTTTTGTTGGTCAGAGCCTCACTTTTGGGCACCTTTTTTTATTGCCATTCTTTCGTTTAAACATCCATAATTTTGTAGCTTTGCCAGCTCGTTTGTGTGCGATTATTGCTCTTGGCCAGGCTTTCTTGTACACTCCATCGTTTTCTACCTCTTACGCTTACGAAGTAATGTAACCAGTTTTGGACCTTCTGCTGGCCGGGCTGCTTTATGGCATGTCTAACTAGTTTATGGCCCAGGTCGCGTCTTAGGGAGAGTCGGGAGTCGGGAATGATCCTGCTCCCGGGTGCCTTTCTTGCAAATTAAGTTGTAAACTCCTGAATAGCTCACCTGCTGGGTTTTGATTTGGCTAATTATCTTCCCCCGTTGTTGAAGAAGTATGGTTCCATTTGATCAAAGCTCTGGTTAAATAAATAAAACACCTTGCAATCGACTTGAATTTAAATTCAATCACAAATATTGCACAGTTTCAAATATTTTCATCGGATTATTCGCTATTGATTTGAAAATTCACGGTATTCTGTTTTCGGACACTGAGCACACGTTTGTGAAAAGACGACTGATCGCGCCCGTTACTGAAGGTAAACTGAACATGAGTAACTGAAGACGGTGACCACAAATCTCAGTGGTTGTCCCCCAAGAAGCGAAGAAAAGAGAAATGAAGACGGGCAATAGCCTCAAAGAGAGCAGTCGGAATTCTTTACGCTCTTTCTATAAATGTGCGTGCTTCTCTGTAGGCCGCATTGGCGCTTATGTTGCTGGGAAAATGTTATCATGCATCGAATGTTAAGTCAGCCTTAAAAAATATAAGTTATTCTGCTGTTATTCAAATGGAGATTGCTTACATCTATTGTTCAGCGGCTACTGAATCGGTTTTAAAGAAAACTAAAATATATACAATTGCAAAGTGAAAAGAAAAATTGCTTATCTTTTTGCTTGGAATGTCAAAATACTTTCTTATTTTCGGAATACATTTAACTTTTATATGATTAAAAAATTAATCTATTGCCCAAATTGCTTTTATTCAGAATTGTGTAAACAAATCAATGTAATTTTAAACATCTTTAATTTTAAGGTTTAAGTTTAAAGTATTTCGCACTTAACAGAACAATAGATATTTGCACATTTTATTTACAACATAATATAAACAGTTTAAGAGGTGATTATGCTGGAATAGTCTAGTTAGTTGGCTTTTTTATTCTCGAAATCCTTTAACCAGCTACGATTGGGTTGTTCCAGGACTTGCCAATCATGGCCACAACATCCCGCTTTAGCTTGGGTCCAATCAAGGGATTCATCTGGGCCATGTAGCAACACAGCCAAAAGAGCCAGCAGCAGGCAGCGGCCAGCATCAGGATGCAGCGAATTAGGTTCTGGTGAGGACCTTTCGGGGTCATCATCGGCATGGCGATTCCCACGCCGCCCCACAAAGCGGTAAAAAACAGCACAGGAAAGAAAGCGGCGCCCATTTTTCTAAATCGATTTATTTATCGTCAAGATTATCCTTGATTTCACGTTATTTTATAATCCTACCGTTTTTCCACAACTTTTGTATACGAAAAATCAATAATTATCGATATCTATATTGATATTTTGATATTTTCAAGTCATCGATATAGTATCATATAAAAAACGTTTGGCTGTCGTTTATTGACTTATAAGACCTTGGTTTTCTAATAAAATAAGCTTAAAGATTGGGTATAATATTTAAAATGTACATGTTTTTAAATTTCATGAACAGCGACACTGCTTTCATGAACTTCCGATAACATCTGATTAAAAACCAGGTGGGCATCCCCAGCATAACTAGACTAGACGCAAACCGAGCATCTCTAACAAAAATATTTACAATTTTTCATTTTCATAGTTTTACACAATAGCTTTTAGATAGATCCCAGCGCCACCATGACTATGCGACCTGATGACCACCGAAGGAAATGGGACAAGAACGAGTACGAGAAGCTGGCGGCGGAGCGGCTTCTCAATCAGGTGGCGCCCAAGGAAGAAGGTCAGTAGATGAAGAATTTCACTTGACGCCCTTTAAAACTGAATATTTTTAATCCCCTTCAGAACCCGTGCAACGGGAGAACCTTAAGCGACGTGATTACAAGGTCGACCTGGACAGCAAGCTCGGCAAGAGCGTGGTTATCAACAAGAACACACCCACCTCACAATCTGGCGGATACTACTGCAATGTTTGTGACTGCGTGGTCAAGGACTCCATAAATTTTCTAGACCACATCAACGGGAAAAAGCATCAGCGCAATCTTGGTATGTCCATGAAGGTGGAACGAAGCACAGTCGACCAGGTGAAGGAGCGCTTCCAGCAGAACAAAAAGAAGATGGAGGAGAAGCAAAAGGACTACGAACTAGAGCGCCGCCTTCGCGAGGCCAAGGAGGAGGAGGATCGCTACAAGGAGCATCGCAAGGAGAAGCGGAAAGAACGGAAACGCAAGGCTGAGGACACGGACTTCGAGTCCGGCGGCATGCCCGATGACATGGCAGCCATCATGGGCTTCTCCGGCTTCGGTGGCTCGAAGAAAAACTCGTAGTAATTAAGTGTTAAACTGCCTCCCAATTTAGTTGTACAATGAAATAGAAACTCACCACCAAAAGCTGCGCCTAGTTTAACTTGTGACATTTATTTCGTATATAAGACAATTTTACACCAGTTGTCCAGCTTCCCGGCTGTTCCCAGTTAGAATAATTTAATAAGCAGTCAGAATGCAAAAATGACTAAAAAACCATTTCACTAAGTCTAAGCATACGGCCGTACATCATCTTCGGAATGGGCTTATGTGAACACAAATCCCTGCTCGGTGGGAATGTCCCACGGCATGGTGAAAAACTCTCCGGGCAGCTGGGTGCAGTGCGTCGAGTTGTAGTCGCGTAAATGCTTGCGCAGCTAAAAGAAGCATTATCAGCATTTATAAGTTGAAAATGCCATTTAACTCACCAAGAAGATAGCCATAAGGTTGCGCACCTCTTCTGAGTAATCGGCTCCTATGTTCATTGGGAAGGACTTGCCCTCATCAGAGGCGTAGGTAATAAGGCGTGACATACATAGCTTCTCGTCGGCGGTGGGGATACTGTACGGTTCCAGAGGCTTAGACAGCAGCCCCTTAGCCTTGTTCAACTGGGAAGCCCCAAAAATGTTGGGATACCGGTGCTTGAGCACAGACAAGACCAAGAAATTACCGCGGTTGGTGTCAATGCGATTGTCTCTAAAGAAATTTAAAGGATTTCCTGATTAAAATATTTTTCAAAAAGACAATTTTATTACTCACTCTGCAATAATCTCATCCTCTGTGCGGCGGATGAAGGATATGGGTCCATTAAACTCGTTGGCCATCTCGGCATTGTTCAAATTGCAGTAGTTGCGAATGGCTACCTTGACAATGCCCGCCAATGCAGCTGGCATACGAGGATAGGCCAAGTATAGGACATCATCGAATGTGGCGTCCAGCACCACTCCCTTGACATCTGGATATACAGAGGCAGCGTACAAAGTACTAAAACCGCCAATACTCCAGCCATACAAAATGATGTCCTCCACAGAGAACCCGAGATTATTGATAGCAAACTGTACCACGGCATCAATGGCATTTTTGTCTTGGTGGGGAAAAGGCGTTCCCGAACTTCCGGCAAATCCGGGATGATTCCACCCAAGAACTGAGTATTTTAAGGCCACTGGGGTGCCCATTATGCCCACTTCATAGAAGCCTGCATTGCCCTCGGAGCAAATGACCAGGGTTTTGCCATTTCCAACGTTGTCGTTGCGGTTGTCAATAAACAATGTATCGATTTCGTTCGAATCAATAGTCTTGACCTTATAGCGGATACCATTGTCATCCTCGATCAGCTTGGCGCGCCCAGAGATTAGCATGGGTCCTAAAGAAAAAAAAATACTTTTAATGTATAAACTAGCAGGTATATATAGCTAAGTGGCTTAATGGGAAAACTCGTTTGTAGACTATCTGGCTAAAAGTTTTTAGAAAAGATATATAAGTAGAAATGACCGGAGTATGTGTGACTAATATATTTGTTGAGTATGTATGACCTAATGCAGAAATTGCGCACAACTTTGTGCTTTAGCGAATCTGAGGTGACCGATTACACTTTTGATTGGCTTTCATAAAGCTACATATATAACTCCTATAAAGCCTTTTTTCTTACGCATGAATTTCTGGAGCAGCTTAACAGATCCCGGATAGATAATGGATAGCCCAAATGTGTTGATGGCCAGGTAGGCGATGACCTCACAGGGCACAGTGGCCAATTGAAGCGGCTCCCGTCTGTTGGTCGTAACCACGGGCTTCTTAGTATCACTGTAGATCAAGAGTTATCAGAGTTATCCAGTTCAGTTCGACCACAACTCACCCGGTTAAAGCTTTTACATCGAAATCCACTGGCCAGGCGTCAAACTCGATATCAAAGCGGCGCAGCTCGCTATTGGCACCTCCAGCCGTCTTGGTGGCCTTTGCCTGGACAAGGGCCTTCATCATGTTGGAGTAGGACCGCGATTGCTTGCGCCCCAAGCCGCGCATTACCAGCGAAATTATCACGATGAGTCCCACACTGGTGGTGATCTTGGCCAGCGTCGGTATGGAATCGGTCACCAGGTAGCCACGCCGATAGAGAAATGTGACGAGCAGGGGCGATGTGTAGTAGCCCACGGACCACATCACTGAGAGCTGTAAAGAGGAAAGTCCATTTGCTACACTCCCATATGCTCCAGTTTTTCGTTTCTCCGTGGGATTGGAGGGTACATACCGTCGATAGAATCTGCTCGCCAAACTTTTCAACAGCCCCGGCCTCGTACATCTTGCGCTGCGGCTCCGGCACACCCCGATATTCCATAAAGAGATTGGGGCCGAACACGTAATTGAGGAAACTCATATTGAATTGGATCGGTATAGGTACGTCTGGATATATTTAATTTTCTCTATTTTCTTGTAAATGATGTGAAAGCTGTTCCAGGGTTTCACACTCACAAACAGATGTTTCACTTCGATTACCAGGGCTGGATAGAGAGATGATTTAACGGTATATGGCTAACTTAAACGTAATTCTTAAGTTATAAAAGAAATTAAAAGTACAATTCCTACTTTATTTTTAATTTTTAACAATTTTTTAATGATAGAATTATAAAAGGTGACAGAAATTGCAAAAGGGATATATTTTTTAAGAAAATGGCACATATAAAGTCTTAATGGTACTTTTATTATAAAATGTAATAAATTTATTTGCGCCAATCGGAACGTTATAGTTAACATCGATATGTGATTCCCAATTGGACCCAGTTCCCTGTTATCACAGTGCACTCCATCCCTGGTTCTACCCCCGAGATTTTATTCCCAGTTGATAGACATATAAACGCCGGCTAAAAAATGGAAAAGTTCAATAAAGCGCATGCTAAAAATCTGGCTGCTGCCCAGAAACTGGTGGACACCTATGCCTCCAGCTCCGAGGATGAAGGCGAACTGGATGAGAAGCATATTTTGGGTAAATCAAAATCTCCCGTGACGTGTCATTTAAAAGCTACCAACTATTCTGTTTTATTCTTTCCGTGTCATTTAGAACTTCTATATAAGAACTATCGGCCTACAGAGAGCGCAGAAAAGACCACGGATGCTGCCCGCACCAGTACGTTCCTGGAAAATACCCTTCACTCGGGAGCAGCTACTTGCCTTATCTGCATCGGAAGCATTCGGCGAGTGGAGGCCATTTGGTCGTGTGAGAGCTGCTACTGCTTCTTCCACTTGAACTGCATACAGCGTTGGGCCAACGACAGCATGATGCAGATGAAGGTGAAGGCCGCTGAACAGCAGAATGGTCAGGCCAGCCAGGGTCACTACAATCACCTGGGCGAGTTTGTTCCGCCCAAGCGTCAAAAATCCCTGCACTGGTGCTGCCCTCAGTGTCGCAGGGACTACCAGCCTACGGAGAAACCCACGCAGTACAATTGCTTCTGTGGCAAGGAGGCGAATCCTGAAAATCAGCCATTCCTGGTTCCTCATTCTTGCGGAGAGATCTGCGGGAAGCTGCTACAGCCCAAGTGTGGACACGATTGCAAGTTGCTTTGCCATCCGGGACCATGTCCTCCGTGTGCCCAGCAAGCACAGATCTCCTGTTTGTGCGGGAAATCTAGTCCCAGGTCTGTGAGATGTATTGAAAAACAGTGGAGATGCCAACAAGCGGTAAGGGTTAGAAATTTCTGTAGTTTTCTCACTTCTCTACAATTGATATTATTTTTCAGTGCAAGGATCTTTTAGCATGTGGCAAACATAAGTGCAATCAAGTGTGTCATCGACCAGGACAATGTCCCCCTTGTACCAGCAAGAGCTTGCAGCCTTGCGAGTGCCAACGAGAATCCAAGATGGTCAACTGCTCCGATCCTAAATGGAAGTGTCAGAATGTAAGAAATTTCTATTATCTTTAGCAGAATATATGTTAAAGCTACATTTGTTTAGGTGTGTGGAGCTCCTTTTGCGTGTGGCTTACATATTTGCGAAAAGGTTTGCCATGCCGGTCCCTGCGGCGATGGGGAATGTCCTTTGCAATTCAGGAGTTGTCCATGCGGAAAGAATGTATATTTAAGCTTACAGTATATGGAACTTTTTATACATTCTTTTTTATTTCTCAGAGGCAAGTAAGACCCTGTAATGAGGCGGAGGAGACCTGTGGCGATACTTGCCAAAAGGTTTTGTCCTGTGGCCAACACACTTGCACCCAACGTTGTCATCGAGGACCCTGCATTTCCGTAAGATAAAAACCAATAATTTATATTAGAACTAAAGTAAATATATCTTACAGTGTCCAATAAGAACCAAGAAGAAATGTCGTTGTGGTCTGCATGAAAAGGAGCTGCCATGCTCCAAGGAGTTTACTTGCGAAACAAAATGCAAGCAGATACGTGATTGTGGCAAACATGCTTGTAATAGAAAGGTATGGAAATCATATGGGACTAAAAATTTTAAATTAATATGTTCTTGTTCTAGTGCTGTGGGGATCAGTGTCCGCCCTGTGAAAAAATTTGTGGCAAGCAGCTTAGCTGTAACAAGCACAAATGTCAGTCCGTCTGCCACAATGGACCTTGCTATCCTTGTAAACTGGAATCCCAGATCAACTGCCGCTGTGGAAAAACCAAAAGAAGTGTTCCATGTGGCAGGGAAAGGAGCGCACGCATCGTGTGCTTGGAACTTTGCCGGTTCGTGTTACTCTGCAACTATATATTGACATAAATATTGAACTATTAAATCCATTTCTTAAAGAGTAACTGCCAAATGCCATCACGCTATTAAACATCGTTGCCACAAGGGCGAATGTCCACCTTGTGGCCAAGTCTGCGGTCTTCCCAATGACGTTAGCAAATGTGGACACATCTGTAAGGCTCGTTGCCATCAGGCAGTTCGAGTTAATAAAGCAAAAGAGGCTAAGCCTCAGGCTAAAAAAGTGAGCTCATCTTAAATAATATCTTATGTTAGCCATGTTACTTCTTACAATTTTTCTTACAGTACGAGTATAAGGCACAACCCCATCCCCGCTGCGAAGAAGGTGTTGTTGTCACATGCATCGGGGGTCATGAGGTTGCAAGCTGGCCTTGCTGGAACTCTAAGCCTAGCTCCTGCCAGCGAAAGTGTGCGCGACAGCTTAAGTGCGGCAACCACAAGTGTTCATTGGTTTGTCATTCGGTGGCGCTTCCACAGGACATGGCTCAGCAAGCTGGATGTGCTAATTGTGAGGAGGGTTGCTCTGTCCCTCGACCCACCGGATGTGTTCACTCTTGCCCAAAGGGTTGTCATCCCCCGCCCTGTGCTCCCTGCAACTTTGTGATCAAAAGCAAGTGCCACTGCGGCCTTAATCAGTTGGTATACAAATGTAGCGAGTTTTTCGATGAGACGGGTACTGTCCAGGAAATTATCGAGCGAAGGGAAAAGCTACGTAGCTGCGGTAACCGTTGTTTAAAAAACGTGAGTACTATGCTAAATTTTATCTGGCCAAGTATCTTCTTAAGATACCTAAATATTTTACTATACTTTTTAAGTATCCCTGTGGTCATCGCTGCACAGCGATATGTCATTCTGGTAAGTGTCCTAATCCTGAGTTGTGCCGCAAAAAAGTTCGCATCTTTTGCGCGTGCAAGCGACTCAAGCAGGAGATTGCCTGCGACAAGCACCGTGGTGGTCAGACGACCTTGCTGTGCGACTCCAACTGCAAGGCGGAACAATCTCGAGCCCAAATGGCGGAAAAGGAGCATTTGGAACAAAAGCGTCGCAATGAAGAGGAGCGAAACCGCCTGGAACTCGAGAAGTTTGAGGCTAAGTTCGGCAAGCGCAAGCCCAAGGAGCGTAAAATTGTTGATGTGGGTCCAGCCAAAGCCAAGATTGACTGGCAGCGTAGGGCCATCTATGTAGTGTCAATCCTCACAGTTGTGGGGGCCATCGTAGTGGCTTTCTACCCGGACAGTTAAAGGAATGACAAAAACCAATTCAAACAAGAATTTGTAATATCAATTTAAACAGTTTAGCAAATAGAACTAAAAAAATGACTGATAAGCATTTGAAGCCAGCGCAATGATTGTCTATGTTGAGCTCTTCTAATCAGGCTAGCCAATTATTCTGCCTTGGCCTTCTTCTTGTAGAAACAAGCGGCGGCGAAAACGGAGGCGCTAAGGAACGTGGAAATCAGGAAATTGGACAGCAACATCCAGTCGTGTGATTGGAAGAATACTGTGTATATTCGAGCTGTAAGAGATTCGTATGTTAATTGATGACCTCAAGGGGGAATGCAAACTGTGATCTCACTCATGTTTGTAAAAGCGGAAAGTGCCCATGTGGTTCTACTAACTGAGCTGGCATCCTTGGTTCTTAGAATGGCCAGCAGCTGCAGAACCTTGCTCGTGGCTCCAATTGGTGTGCAAAAAGGCTAAAAAAACAATTATTTAAATAAATTTTGATATATATGGTATATTAATTGCCCGAGCACCAAAGGTATTAATAGCTGCTCAAATATTATACAACAAACACTAGTGACCTTGAGCAAAGATGCTGCCCAGTTAAGAGCACCGCCCCTCCACACTAAAGAAATCAAAACTCGTTTGCCTAAAAGCATAATTAGTTAATTGGAAAAGAGTGCAGAACGGGTTTTGAATTGCGTTGAAGTTGTTATCTGGCCAGAAATTTCCACCTAATCAGTGACCAGTTGATATCTATGCGGGCTTACTCACCACTAGGAACGTAAGGATGATAATAGGAAAGAGCTTCAGGTAGATGAGAGTGGCCACTATACTATAAAGAACGGCCACAATCTGAGTTCTCTTGCCCAATAAATCCTGGTACTTGAAAGCGTAGTAAATCAAGACGTACTCCTGCAGCAGCAAAACAGGATACTCCATGTACGAGAGAAAGTCATAACCACTGGAGTAGTTATAGGAAAGCATCACTGTATAACTGAATAGCTCCAGACATAGTCCTAACACGCTTATGCCTGAATCGGAAAACAAAGACCTTATGAATGAGAGGATGGTAAGAGCATTATGTGTAGGCGGTGCTCACCTTTCGAGGACTCGTTTGCTCGTATTGTATTTATCTGCGGCACCTTGATCACTAGGCAGGATGAGACCGTTATTAGGCTAAGAAGGTCCGCTACTACTAGCACCAAGCCCCGCTCCAGGTACTCGGACACTGCATCCCCGAGAGCTCCACTCATTGCGACCGTAGAAATTCGAAATTACAAATTTCTGCGATTGGCCGGTGTGACCTAAACATTTTGTGGGTGGAAATACTAGTGTTACCATATACCCCATAATAATTTGTATGGTTTAAATAACAAACAGCTTAAAAAAATAAAGTAAACCTAATTGCGGCTAAGATGACAAAGATTTAAGTCAATTTCAGATAAACATTACTTTGGATAGTTTTTTTTATAGAAAAAATAATTTTTTATTGGTGGATCACGATAACTCACGCACATCTCTAGCTTGTATTTTAAATTACCATGGTATATTTAAACGGTCTAGCGGCGGTCACACTGGATCCACATTAGTTTTTTTTTCGGGTCCAAAATCTGTCCAAATCCGCAAATTGCAACCATATTCTTGTATTCAGAGACCTGGAAATTAGATAGACAAAGTGAGAGTAAGCTGATAAAAGCCAAAAGTTCACAAATCTCAGAGGAGCAACATCCTTAAAACGTATGTGAAAAATTTGATTAAACGTGTGTGTGTGCTGCACCCGTGTGTGTGAGAGTGGGCCCAAACGCAAAAAGTTTTACACGCGTTAAATGTGCAGTTAAATAGTTGAAAACAGATTCTAAATCCAAGTGTCAGGTTGTGTTTCTGAAGCTCCTCCAAATGTTCACAATCTAAAAGTTTATAAACAATTCGATGAGTACCACGCGCATTCAAACTTATGCTCCCTCAGTGTACATGTGTGTGTGGCCTCTGCCTGTGTGTACAACAATGTCCACATTTTTCTTTTGTTGTTTGCTCCACGAATTATGGAGCTCCCTCCATATTTCATTCGCTGCATTTTGCAGGTGCAGAAAAGTGGGGTTAGAAATGGGAAATCCACAAGGAACGCGCATTGTTGCCATGAATTTGCAATGAAAGTAATCTATTTTTGGGGGACTGGGACCACAGGTCTCTGCCCATTTATTTTCGTGTTAGTGTGTTAGTGTGTATGCAACGATTATGACGACTCCACGCCCGTGGTTAAAAAATCCACAGAGAGAAAATGTTCTCAAGCGCATCCCGAATATTGTATGGTCCTTTTACACAGGTAAAAGTGCGTAGAAAAATGCGGTGTGAAAGCGGCGAAAAACGCAGAAAGACCCCTAAAAAACATTTTCTTTCGGGAGGTCAACAGCCAAAGGCAAAGAGCGAAGACACGGGGAGGGAGGGTGGTTGGGATAAAAGGGAAGTGAATAGAAATAAGGGAAAATGTTCGAGCGAAATGCCTGCACATCTGATCTGTTTCGCTAGTGATGCAACAGCAGGAGCGCTGAAAATTCCTTTGTGATCTCGCCCCTTTTGTTCTGCGGATGCTGCGCTGTAATGGCTGATCTCTTCGTCTCCTCCTTTCCCCGTCCTCCTTTGAATCTTCCAATTACTGCCTGCAGCGATCCCTTTTCTACTCTCTCGGGTGCGTGCGCATGAGTGTGTGTTCACTGGTAGGATGTGATGGCCAGTCAAGCTGCTGTCAAGCATCAGCGATGCGCAGCTGCGATTTCACTGTCACTGTGACTGGAAGGATCACTAAAACAGTTATTTTGATATATATACTTTAAGCATTTTGTTAGCCAGAGATAGATTTTATTTTTCACTATCAGTGGTTCTGCCGTTTTTTCTGGGAACTTACTGAAATATGACTAACTAAATAGTTATGTTATTTCACTCTCGATTAAATTATTACAAATTTATTAAAATCACTTTTTTAAAATTAATGAGACACATTTTTTATTTAAAGCTAAAAACGCTGTGACTCATAGTTAAAGAAGTAATCTCTTTTTGGGCTTGATTAAATTCTGCAACTAGTCAGCACTTCGTGACTAAATGCTAAGATTAGTTACAGTAAATATTGAAAAACTGAACTAAACCAGATGTGTTATTCAATTTAGTTTTTTTCAGCTTCTATTATTTAAATTTTAAAAACATGTTTTATATTTTGCTTATTTTATGGTTCCTTTTTATATCATTGACTTTTTCCAAGAAAAGGTTTCCTTTCAGTGACTTCTTATCCCAATCACTGGTAGTCACCACGCATTGATCATCTCCGAAAGCCAGTCAAAAGCGGAGGGAAAAGATAGCGGCTTGAATTGCAAGGTGTACGTGATGTTGTTGTTGTTGGTTTCAGTGATGCGGCTGCTGTGTATCTTTGGTTCTTCTTCTTCTCACGTCCGTTACTTCTCTCTCTTGCGTTCTCTACTCTTCTCTCCACTCCGCAATACCTTTTTGTTGCCTGCTGTCTTTCTTTCCAGTGTGTGTGAGTGTGATGTTGTTGTAATACCCGTTTCGTCTTCTTTTTCCCATTCTACTTCGCGCCGTTTTAGCCTCTTCCGCCGATCCGATGCACTTTTGTGATTTCCTTTTTCGAGTTCCAACGACGCCGGCAGAGGCAGCGACGTTACAACAAATTTTTCCCACTGCTTTTCATTGCTTTGAATTTTTTTTTTGCAACCATCAGTTCGCGCTTGTTGCGTGGGAATTTCGGATCATCTTCGATTCTCAGGGCACAAAAGGATCGTTCATTGTAAGCGGTGAAAATTTAGTAATACCCTCGATTTCGGAGCTGCGAGGCGTTTTTTGTATAGATGGTATATATTCACACCGGCTTCTGTTTTAAACGTTCAATCATATATATTATAATGTAGTACTTGTTCTAAATTTTATTGAATGTAAAAAATATATTTCCCCACGAATCCTTTGCTTCAAAACTCAATGTGAAATCGTTTACTTTCTTGAGAGTACTTTTTAAACTTCAGGAAAATTATGCGATCGTTATTAATTTAATTCAATTTCAAATCGCTTATATTTTTAGGAGAGCTTGCTGCCCACTTTTGGATGCCTGAAAAGTATTATGGAAAGAGGATGCTCAGCTGCTAGCAGTGAATCCGTGGCAGGGGAGCGTACTCAGTCAGCAGTCAGCAGCTCCACCTCCACGTGGGCCAAGAATCAGGCCTCCACAAGCCGGAAAGCAGAAGCATCAGACGGATTAGAAGCAGTACAAACAGGATCACTAGGAGCCGGCAGAGAAGCCTTTGTATCTATGTCAACGCTGCGGGAAGATGTGGAGGACGTGTGTGTGTCGTCAAATTCACAACATGGTTTCGCCGTAGTTCTAGACGACGAGTCTAGCACCTTTGAGATTAGCTCTTCCAACTCATTGCCCATCAGTGCGGAGGCGGCATCCACGGTGGGTGTGGTGGCCGTCGACGACAGCTCCTCTACGGATACCTTGAACGGTGGTCATCAGGGTTTAAGTCACCCCGCCTCCTCAGAGCACAGTCGTCAGGGCTTTTTTAACGAGGATAATGAGGATCCCCCGGTTGTATGCCTTATAAATGACGACGATGATGAGGATCCTGAGCCGGAGGAGGAGGACGAGGAGGAACTGATTGAGGAAGCTGATGAGGATTTAGTGAACATTGCAGTAGTCGCTATCGACTGCCCCAACACATCACAATTGGCTTTGGCCGATGGCACCATCATGGCGGCAGATGGATCCAAAATCTTCCTAGAGACGCCGGTCGTGGAAGAGGCCCAGCCACATCCCGGTCAGGTGGTAACAACGGGATCCCAGTCGGAGCTCACAGGCAAGCCCAAGAGATTGAGCGACGAGTTCTTGCTGGGTGAAGAAGAGCAGGCGGAGAATCTTGCCTTGGGTAGGGGTATCAAGTCAGAGCCTGTCGGTGTTCTAGACGACAATCCTTCTGAGGGCGACGATGCGGCCACTTGCTCCTCCCTGCATGACCGTCTCATGTCCGTGCGTTTGAGGCAGATGAGCCTCACAGCCGTTTCGAATCCCTCGCCTGCAGCCTCTGCCAACGCTGCCGCTCCAGAGGAGGCCTCAACATCCAGTTCTAGCTCAAACTCCAGTTCCGCTTTGTCCAAGGCAGACATTGAGTCAATGGACCTTATTGAGCGACGCGATTTTGAGACTGAACAGCGTCTCACAGGCGGAATTATCCTGCGCACCAGCTCTATGTTGAGCCAGAACAAACTGAATCTAAGTCTGATCAAATCCATGGCGGGGGGCAGCAGGGTGGCGAATGGATCGAGTACCGCCAACAGCGACGACTGGCCTAGCAGCAGCAATGGGCGTACCGTCTCCTCGGACAGCAAGTACACCTACAAGGATCTGTCCACTACTCCCACAAGCAGCCGCAAGTACACCAACAGCCGGCTAAGCAAGTCCACTGCCAAACTAAATTTGGGCTCCACGTTGGCCGCTTCCAGCTGCAGCCAGCACCGGAGCACTTCAAGCTTTACGTCAAAACCCACGGAGTCATCGACCAGTTGCACCGGAGCAGCTAGAACAGATGTTTACACCAACACCAACTCGAATGATTACCCAGGTCTGGCTCCATCTACTTCATCCACATCCAGTGCTAGCTGCCAGCAGGATCAGGAAGAAAATGTAAGCGCATCCGTCTCCTACAGCTCGGTGGGTTCGCAGACCTCTCAGGAAGGTGGTTGCAGTCGCACCACCGCCATAAATCCAACTGCCGCCTGTTCCGCCGGGACTGCCTGCTTGGGTGATTCTCAAGCTTCAACATCGGCTTCCACCTCATCCGCAGCTGGAGCGTCCAACCCCAATCGTTGCCAGTATGCTACTGCATCTACAACGAAGGCAGCTCGTCAGGTGAATGCAAGCGCCCAAACCCAGGAGCGTTTCCTAGCACGCAGCAACTCCTCAGCAACCAGTGCAGCGGGAGTAGGTGGTGCACAGCCAGTGGCATCAGTTCGGCAACGCCGAAACGGTTCCAGCGATGTTGTTCACCTGGAAGTTGTTGTAGAAGAGGGAGCTGCCGGAGGTGACGGCGGTTTGGTGGAACACGGTGATTTTAGTGCGGAGGAGCCGTGGGTTAATTGCGATGACGAGAATAACTGCTCTGATCTGGAGGAGATCTGCACTTGCCAGAACGGTAATGGGAGCAGCTATGGCGGCAGCAATGCCAGTCTCAGCGAGACATTCGACCTGGACGCCATGGACCCGGATGAGCCCATTTCACTGTCACTTTCCACTGCCGCTACTGGGACTGGCTTCTCCGAATGCTCGCTGACCAATCCAAGCTCACTAATCTCACAGCAACGCAAACGGAAGTACAACGAGGGCCGCCTACTGGATGGAGGTGACTACTCGCTGACCATCTCGTCAAGCGGGGGAGTAGGCGGGCTGGGCTCGGGAGTCAGTGACAGTTGCCGAAAACGGATTGCATACGATTTCGCATCCACGCCGCGCTCCTCGCAACACTCGGGCCCCACTGCGGTTTTGTCCATGACGCCCTCATCGCATCTGGCCAACGCCTCGCCAGGGTCGGGTTTGGGTCGCCGCACGCCCCGTTCTGTTCCAACTCGTGACAATCCACCACCAGAGCTTCAGCACTGGTTGGCCCAATTCCAACGATGGTCCCATGTCGAACGATTACTAGCCTTGGACCGGTTGATTGACCACTGCGATCCCTCGCAGGTGCGCCACATGATGAAGGTAATTGAGCCGCAGTTCCAGCGGGACTTCATCTCACTGCTGCCAAGGGAGTTGGCCCTCTTTGTGCTGTCTTATTTGGAGCCCAAAGATTTACTGAGAGCCGCCCAGACCTGCCGCAGCTGGCGTTTCCTGTGTGACGACAACCTGTTGTGGAAGGAGAAGTGCCGCAAGGCCCAGATCCTCGCCGAACCGCGCAGCGATCGGCCCAAACGAGGTCGTGATGGCAACATGCCTCCAATTGCCTCACCTTGGAAGGCTGCCTACATGCGCCAGCACATCATCGAAATGAACTGGCGGTCGCGACCTGTGCGCAAGCCCAAGGTGCTTAAGGGCCACGATGATCATGTGATCACATGCCTGCAGTTTTCCGGCAATCGCATTGTGTCGGGCTCCGATGATAATACGCTTAAAGTATGGTCAGCGGTGAACGGAAAGGTGAGGAAATCAACTATTGTAATTTAGATATTGATTATTTTTTAACAAGTTATTATTCCTCGCATTTAAAGTGTTTGCGAACTCTAGTGGGTCACACCGGTGGCGTTTGGTCTTCCCAAATGTCCGGAAACATCATCATATCGGGCAGCACGGATCGCACACTCAAAGTCTGGGACATGGACAGTGGTGCTTGTGTCCACACGCTTCAGGGACATACGTCTACAGTGCGGTGTATGCATCTGCATGGTAGCAAGTAAGTAAAGACCACACATCTATTTACTAAACAATACTAATCTTTTCGGACTACTTTGCAGAGTTGTCAGTGGCTCGCGAGATGCAACTTTGCGAGTCTGGGACATTGAACAGGGCTCCTGTCTGCATGTACTAGTTGGCCATTTAGCTGCTGTACGATGTGTCCAGTACGATGGAAAACTGATTGTGTCCGGAGCTTATGATTATATGGTTAAGATCTGGCATCCAGAGCGACAGGAGTGCCTGCACACTCTGCAGGGGCACACAAATCGCGTATATTCCCTACAGGTAAGATGGTCAAAAATCCATTTTTTTGGGAATCGGCATTTATATCTTTATTGAAACCCTGCTTAGTTTGATGGCCTGCATGTGGTCTCTGGCTCATTAGACACCTCCATCCGAGTGTGGGACGTGGAAACGGGCAATTGCAAGCACACCTTGATGGGCCATCAAAGTTTAACCTCCGGTATGGAACTGCGTCAGAACATTCTTGTCTCGGGCAACGCCGATTCCACCGTCAAGGTGTGGGACATCACTACCGGACAATGTCTGCAAACGCTGTCGGGTAAGTTTCCTATTTTTCGAAGAATTATTTTCTTTTAAACTTTAATTACTAATCTGATACTCTTCTAATCCGTTTTTAGGTCCAAACAAGCATCAGTCTGCGGTCACCTGCCTGCAGTTTAATTCCCGATTTGTGGTGACCAGTTCCGATGATGGTACTGTTAAGTTATGGGATGTTAAGACAGGCGATTTTATACGTAATCTTGTGGCTTTAGACTCTGGTGGTTCCGGCGGCGTTGTGTGGCGGATTAGGTAAGTCCTGGATAATATAATTCCGCACTCTGAAAATGAAAGTATAATGATTTGTTCTTGTTTTAGGGCAAACGACACCAAACTCATTTGTGCTGTGGGCTCCCGCAACGGAACGGAGGAAACAAAGCTTATGGTATTGGACTTTGATGTGGAGGGGGCATGTGTCAAATGCTCATAGGAGCCGGTGGGACACTTCCGGTCCGGCCTTCGCTTGCGCGTTTGGATACAGGCGGCGAACGGTCAAGGACGGGGCAGCTAGTATACAGCTTCAAGCGAGATTTCATTGCAAACTCATCTAAGCACAGAAAAATACACACAGACAGATACCGCGGATGTGAAAGTCCGCAAAGTAATGTTGATTGCCTTGCCAACAAAATGCAGCTGCTCACATACACCACATACACACACACCATTCACACTAAACACACAAAACAATTAAGGGAAAAAGTGGAGGGCCGGGTGGGTTGGGGTGTGGCTGTGGCTGTGAGGGTGTATTGTTAATAATACCTTCTTAAAATTTACGTTGCTTTATAGCCAAAATTCGTTTTCCACCGTAGAATAATTTCGCTTCTTAGTTTTTATTACATTTATGCATATGGCGAGAGTCGATTGAATTAATGATAATATTATAATTACGTATTATAAACAGCAGATATACAGTTGCAGATGCAAGTACTTTGTTCCGCGTCATGTGAACCCGAGAAGAACGTTTATGAAAACAGAGCTTTATATTGATTAAATTGTAATTTGTTTAACTGGAATTTGGATAAGATGAATGTGTTAATATTTGAATATTGGCCCAGCATTTGAGTTGAGTTTGCCGTCTATTATGTTTACATTTGTGGTTTCGTTTGGTCCATCTTGTTTTGTTTAAATGTACCTCGAGTTACCTATATTCTATTATCGAATTCTAATTGTTTCCCCTTAAATTTGATTTGATTTATTTGTCGTATAGTAGCGTTAGCTATATTGGCTTCCAATTCCAAATTCGAAATTCCTCATTTGCCAGGAACCTGCCACAATTGCCGTACGTAGCGTTTAAGAGTCATCTGCTGAAACTCATCGAGCAGCAGCTCGCCCCTACTAAACAACTGCAACAACACTGCAACACAAAAAAAACAACACTCACACACACGTGAAATCATTAAGCGAACATATATTTTAATTATAGACTGATTTATTAGTAATTGAAATTAATCTACAAATATGTATGTGTAATGGTACCGTATGTATTTCAATAAAATTTATCGGTTTAAGCATAAATCTGAATAAACGCAGGAATAATAATAAAACTAGTTAAAACCATTTTTGTGTCATTCAATATATTTGGTAAATCGGACTGTAAACCAATATACCCATGGTATTATTCGGGCAGTCATGTATCCATAAGGACACGATTCATTAAAACGCGGAACATTTATGTTCATTGATTGCGAGCTCACTACTTCTTCAAGTCAAAAAATATATAAACAGTATATGCTTAATTTATCTTTATTTGATCATTTTTTAACTGGACAGAATGGAGATTACTCCAGAAAACAAAATATTTAATACTTTATGTATGTATAATGACAATGCTTGGACAGTTTCCAAATACAACTCTTCGCTGATATCCTCCGGGTATCAGCGTTCTTTAAAGGAAACATTATCATTTGCGAGGAATACGAATTCATTTACGGAATTTTTTTTACAGATTAACTTCTTTAATCAAACAAATCACTTCAATGCGATTCAACTCCAAAAACCATAATGGGTAAGTAAACTTAAATTTAAGTTAGTGAAACTAAATAACTATAATTAAATGGGTAATTGACTTTAAGAATTTAACGTGTTTTGTCCTCCTCTAGACCTTCGACTTCTTGCTACTGTGCCCCTCAATTCCCAGATTGCAGCGCGAGGCTATATCTTGGGCCGAGGTGACCGTGCTGGGCACTACACCGCCTCCCAAAGCGGAAATTGTTCCATTGCTCGGACGCTTTCGTGTGGGCGAGTGAACCGGCGACTTTTGTTTTAGACACTCCACGTCGTTGAAAACCACTTGTGCACCACCTCCACAAGTGGGAATTACGTTGCCCTTATACAGCTTAGTCTCCACGTCGCCATCCGTATCCGCATCCTGTGACACGAGGCAGTACTTAGTAGCTCCGTGGGCAGTTAGTTCCTTCATATCGGTTAGTTTTGTCACTGATTTGCGATTCTTTATGTACGGTTGCATAATGGTTCCAAGGGGTACGGGGTTGGCGGCACGATGTTCTAGCCACTTGTCGCCAGCGGATCGGGACCGTCTATGCCGGTTGTTAGCCGCTACAGCACCCTATTTAATTGAATAGTCAATAAATGCAACATCTTAAAGTTAATGGTACACTTACATGACGGGGCGTGGCATAGATATCTGTTCGTGTAGCGGGCACAGATGACTCTTCGGTACGCGCTGTATATCCACCACGATCCTTGTCGTTGAGTATGTCTTCTGAGCTCTGTGATCGCGGCAGACTCGGCAGATCCTCTGACTGCAGAATATTGGACACCAATCGCAGTTTTTCGTCTTTGATGCGCATACGTTCCTGCAATTTCGCACGCTGCTCACGCAACTTTAACTCAAACTCGCGCTTGTTTTTGTCAGACTCGACGGCCAGCTTGGAGCTAAATTTCTTCTTCTGCTTCTCCTTCTCATGCTCTTTCTGTGTAAGCATGTTTTCCTTTTCGTTTAGCTTGAAAGTCAGTTCTTCGACCTGCCGTTCCCGCTTGCTCAGCGTGTTGTTCAGCACGTCGATGGAACTCTCGTGAATGCGCACCTTCTTCTCTAGGGCTGCGCTGCGCTCGCGCTCTTGTTTGTAGACAGCCTTCAAGGAGGCGAGTTCTGTGCGCAGTTGAAGATTATCCCGGTCAAGGTTCATCAGCATTTGCCGAAAGCTATCACCTGAAGATCACAAACTAGAATAATCTACATAAATAAAGTTGAGTTTTTGCAGACTTACACTTAATATCCAAATTGGCGCGTAGCTTCTTTCGCTTTTCGATACGCTGTTCTAGATAGTGCATTAGCTCGCGGATCTTAATCTCAGCCTCGGGACTGTCCATTTCGTAAGCGGGGAAATCGGGCCCCAAACTGTACACTAAACCAACGTCTACTTCTAAATCCTTGGCCTCAGGAATGCCAAGCTCGTTAAGGTTATTAACAGCAATTTTGAACAGCTTGTTGGCCTTGCGGCGACCAGGAGTTAGACCCAAATCTTGCTTAATGGGAGTGGCTCGAGCTATTTGCACCTCCTGGGTCATCTCGGCAAATTTCATCACTTGCTAGAAAGAGTAAATAAATTTTAAGGAATTGTATTGATTGGGAACAGTATTAAACATACCATGTTCTCGTCATAGTCCTCAATCCTTGGGTTAATGCACACTATCATTGACACCTGTCCTTCGCCATCAAAGTAGTTTTTGAACATGTGAGTGATCTTGGAATCTCTGTAGGGAATCTTTTTCGGCGCCAACCCATTACCTGACGCCATCTGATTTTCACGCAGATATTCCAAACAAGTACGCAGCGTCATTAGTGAATTGTTGATATTGCCCGCCTCGCGTAGACGCACTCCTGTGTTTTTGGTGCGCGAGGAGCGCTCACTGCCTGCCAAATCCACCAGGGACAACTGACTGACCGTAATGTTCTGCCTGTCCTGAACTACATTTTCACCCTGGCTATCTGTGGGCGCTTGGACCAAGCGGATATTAAAAACCGAGTGACTTCGACTGGATTCTGCATTGAGAACTGTGTGTCCCATGCGTTTGCGCTTTTGACCCATTTGGAAAACCTCGAGAGCCTCCTCTACAGTCTTGACCTCCACTTCAGTAACGCCATGGACGAACATGTGACGATTGGCGTCCTCACGAATGATTTTGCTCTGCAAAGTCCTGTAGAAAGAATGTTTTTGTTTAGATCACTTTAGCTGTATTGCGACATCAATACTCACTTCTGTATACCCGAATCTTCCAGCAAATCGTAAACGCTATTGTTATAAATTTCGATGTAGGTGACAAACACCGAGAACATGTTATCCTCATCTAAGCCCAACAGCGGTATAGGCTCTACGGAAGCCTGAGATGCAATTTCTGGATCAGAGTCCTTGTGCCTGAAGGCAAATCGCCCTGCGCCTGCAAAGCGTTGGTTCATCTCGTGCTGCCGTTCCAGTAAAGCATCCTCTTCGGACAGGATCTCAAAGCCATTAAGCTTGTCTGGCTTGAACACGAACTTTTTGGCCTGGTAATCGGAGATGGTGCGGAAAAGTACGTCCAGACAGCGTGGCATAATGCCACGGTGTCTTAGATTTCCGGTCATTGTATATGTTTTGCCACTACCAGTCACACCGTAGGTGAAGAGCAGACTATTCCGGCCCTTTAATAGATTCTCAACTAATGGTTGGGCCACCGATCCGTAGACTTCCTGCTGTGTGGCTTCAGGCTGAAATACGTGCTTGAAGATGTACTGAATCTCGCGCTGGGCGCCATTATGTGGCTTGTGGTGTTGCAGCAGCTGATCCTGTGGGTTCAGAGCGATCGTTGTGGCGTTCTTGACCCTCAGAGAAGCGAGATCTCCATCAGATTGAAGGGGGCGGACCCTACAGAACACATTGACAGGATCTCTGGCCTTTTCCGATGTGTTTTGGCGCTGTTTTTCTGTTGTTTGTTGAACTCGCGGAGTTTTCGGGACGACACGCATGGGTGTCCTGGGTCTGTAAATGGGAATTCTCAATGCTATGGTCGATCTTCTCAGGGTTACCATAATACTCACACTGCCTTCATGATTTAAATTTTTCTTTTCCACTAATTCTATTTTAGATTTGTTTACAGCTTGTTTTGTTGCGGAAATCGATCTCTCTTTTTAGTTCGTTACCTTCAAATTTACAGCGCCAAGCGACGCCACGCTTTGTTTTAATGTGACCAAATTCGGAAAAGAGATAAATGTTAAGAAATACCGATTATCTGTTTGAAATATACTGAAACAGACCAAGGGCTATATACTGCTCGTCATTTGAATAAGTTCAATAACATGATTGTGCTGGAGCCGATGTCATTTTAAAATAATATTTAATTACATTTTAATGGCACAGATATATAAAAACATTTTAATAATGCTCTATTGGTTTTTAGCAGTTTAAAACTTAAAAACTACCGTGCATAGTACATACGTTGTTTTTCCAGAATTACGGTTCGGGGTGAATGGCATGAAATAGGCGGCCTCTAAATATTTAAAAAAAATAGATCCCTTGATACCAGTTTTACTTTTTATTAAACTTAAGAATAGAGAACATTTTTCGCATAATTGCCGGGCCGTTCCAATATCCCTTCATCATTAGCTGCCAGTAGAGCACGGGCATCAGTTCCTTCTTCATGAAAAACATGGAATACCGCTCTTTAGCCTGATCTATTGGGAAGGTCTCCACCGGTGTAAGGTTATAGTCGAATTCCGCCAGGATGCAGGAGCTGTATCCGGTAACTATGGGACAGGAGGAATATCCATCGTAGATATGCGTTGGGTTCTTGCCCTCGATCGCCGCCATCAGGTTCTTAAACACCACCGGTGACTGGGCAGCTGCAAGCGAATGAAACTCATTTCAAATTCCAGATCATTGAATATTCCGGTTACGATTCCGAACGGAATAAAAATCTTACCTGCCGCCGCCGCCGTCTTTGAGTTGGGGGTGCATGCCGAATCACCGATAGAGAACACGTTGCTGTATTTGTTGTGTTGCAGTGTCATTTGGTTTACGTCAACGAATCCGGAGGAGGTGACCAGTTGCTTGCAGTTGGCAACTACATCCGGAGCAGTCATCGGTGGCGTCACATGAAGCATGGAGTACTTTGAGAAGATGGATTGGATTACATAAATGTATGCATAAAGAATCTAAACTTTTACCGTTTCTTCGTAAAGTTCTCCGGGTTTTGCAAGGTCCTCAAACACGGCTATATTATCGCCCGGTTTAACTTCGATAAGGTTCCTATTCACATTAAGTGTGATATTCCGCTTCTTAACCAGTTTCATCAGAGCATCCGCGTAATGTTTCACGCCAAAGATCACGGGAAGAGATGTATTGTAAGTAATATTTACATTGTCCCGGCGACCCATCTGTTAGAGAAATAAAACATAGGTGTTTTTTTCAATATATTCCTCAAATTATATACATACCTTCCTGAAATAGTGGTCCGATATGTAGGCGATTTTCTGAGGTGCACCTGCACATTTAATGGGACAATGGGGGAAGGTAAATATAACATTTCCCTTGTAGGTCCTACGCAGACATTCGTATACCTGATCAACGTATTTGGGCGAGTAAATGGAACAAACATTGCTGCCAGGAGTCTCCAGGGCTTCCACTAGTCCAGGAATCTAATACTTTAGACATCTCTATCATGATCTTTAGAACATTTTAGGTTTTTACTTACCTTTTCATATTTAAGCTGCAATCCTGTGGCAATGACAAGAAAGTCGTACTTGATTGTCTTGCCACCAGAAGTACTAACTGTATTATTGTCTGGATCGAACTCCACGGCTTTTTCCTGAACCCACTTGGCCTTCTTGGGCAGCACATCAGCCATATTCCTATGACTTTGATCTAGGCGCTTCATTCCTCCCCCAATTAGGGTAAACATGGGTTGGTAATAGTGTTTCTAGATAGGAAGTACCAGATTATATGATAAATTTGGGGATTGTTTATCTCGGTAAAGTTACTTACATCTTCCGGTTCTAGGACGATCACCTTGTTGCTGCCAAGACGCGAGGACAACTTTGCGGCCATGGCACAGCCACCAGTACCGCCACCCACAACTAACACTTGGCATCTTAAGGGGAAATAGATTTTAACTAGTGAGTGTGTTTCATTTCAGTTACACTTTATGACAGAATGGTCAAAGGAGGTAAGAACAGTCGCATGACCACACCCTCTAAATATCATTGTAATCAAACCATGACCCATAAGCTAACATTTCGTTATCGCTAAGTATTAACTTTTAGCTTAGCGCTAACCCCACCTAATCATACTAATTCAATTTGTTTTGATAGATATACACGTAAGACATACATTTGCCATGCTATCCGGTTTGTGGAAAATTGCAAAACTTTCACATCGAAATAAACAAACTTACTCTTGACGCTCGTAGTTCACTCGCGATGTGGACAAGAATCTGGTGGAGAATGCTGGTGGGAGATGGTGGAGTGTGGTTAAAAGGAGTCTGTGGCACTGGTTAAGGGTCCCTGGAAGACGGTGGTTCATCGTGCTAGCAGGTTGATCTTCGATCGTCGTTAAAACAGCATAAAAAATCGGACTGCAAATGGCTACCACAGGTGGACGACTGGCGCAGAAAAAAAGCTTTTGATGGGGGGTTATCAAACCGGGTACACCGGCAAAAACATAAAAACTTTTGCCAATTTTGAAAAATTAAAAATTTTGAAAAATAGCCAATTTTGCTTAGGGGGCACTGAGTGCAAAAATTTTGACTTACTTTTGTAAAAATCTAATCGAGTGTGCGTAAATTTGTTAGTGATTCCAAATGATTTTAAACACAAATAAATATATACTGCAAACATTATTTATAGGGTGATAAAACTTTAAAATCTTTAAATAATTCTTCAAAAACCCATTTCGCTTACTGGACTAATTTTGAAAATTTGTCAGGTCCCTAGAATATTAAAAAAAGTTAAACGTCTGGCGGCTAAAAACCAGTTTTTTTTGGAATTGTCGGGGGTAATACAAATTGTGAAAGCGCAACAAGTTGTACTAAAATTTTCCATTGGGTGTATTAATTGTTTAACCTTGAAAGATTGCTAAAGCTTTTCAGCATGCTTTTTTTAGTCAGCTGTTTAGCCAACTAAAGCTTATGTGGAACTAAATAATACAAAGCTTTAGATTACCCATATGCTCGAAGTACTTAATTCCTATATACAGTGAATACTTTGAATAAGAAACGCATGAGATCATGTTTTTTAAATATGGGCACTTACTGCTAAGCAAATATTGGCCTGCTTATCGGGGCTAAGTGGTTTCTTATTAGACTTTTTCAAGAATCGTGCGATTTTTGTGGCATACCTCTGGGGGAAACCATATAGCTTTTAAAATGTTGATAGCTGGCCATTATTCTGTTAAAAGAAATCGCGAAAGAACCTTGAAAATATTTCCCTTTGATTATAAACGTATTTTTCTGCTTTCGTTAAATGCCATATCGGATTATGTCCCCAGGGACCGAAGTTAAAGATTTGAAATGCCGATGGTTGTGCGCTTCAATTTATAATTTAAATATTAACAATAATTTACATTTGCTTTGATTGCTGTGCCTTATCAATGAAATCCTATATTAATAGATTGTACAAGTATAATCGGAATTCGAAGGTCGAAATTTTATTGATAGACTGCAGCGGTCATCCACTTGTATATGTAACATTAAAATAAATTATATTAAATGACCGGAAATTAATATAAATTAAATATATTTTTAAACATATTCAACAAAAACTGTGTAATTTACAAATGGTTTTTATATAAAAGGAAAAATTCCAGGCATATGTACTAAGGGGGTTTTTAAAAAGGTTTTTTTGGTTTAATCATTTAATCATTTTAATTTAATGTCATATCTCCCTTCTGACTTGTAAAATATTATAAAATCACAACCTGATTCAGAAGGGGTCGTGCAACTGTCAGTTTTTCTTGCATCATTAAGCTATTAACAAAAATTTCCCGGCCGATAATATGTTCCACTGAAATAAGCAGCTGTTGAATATATTTTCCATTCGGGTGTATGTGTCATATCCAGGGATTTTCCATGGCCCCACAGACGGATGGACAGGCGTGCATCGATGATGCTAATAAATATAGTAGATTCTAGATGATTAAGTGAACAATGTTGCCAATAAACGCGCGGCGGACATGTCAAACGCCACGAGACGACAACTGTGACAGCGGCGGGTTTAATTACGCCATGCTGCCGACTGATTGCAGATGGGTGTGCGATGTGGGTGACACAGATGGCTGAGGGGCAGGTCCTGGCAAGGACCCAGAGCGGGCCCGACCCGACATGAGGTGGCCCATCATCAATTGGAGACAAGCTGGCAATTCAAATGAAGCCCTATTGACTGATGGCCAAATTGGCTGCGCGACTGCGTGGGCGACTATCCGAGGGCCAATCTATATACATGAATATATATAGAAATCAATGGGTGGTTGGGTGGTTTGGTGATGGTTGATTTGTGGTTGGGTGGTGCTCGACGGGCGATGGCCACTTTAAATTGGGCGTGGCATTGCCTGTTGCTAGGTGACCATTTCCATTTCGATTTCCATATGCGGTGGCAAGGTCCCACCAGGCCATCATCATGTTGTTCCCGACCCGATAATGACCAAACTGGTGGTCACCATGCTGACTTTCCCCGGTTGTCTGTAGCCTGTGATTGCGTGAGCTCCACTTCATTTGAATATAACGGTGGCAGGCCACTTGGAGCACGTAGGCCCACACGGAGAAAAATGCCTAAGATTATCATTGTGATAATATCTTCTTAATTTTAAAAGTTTTTTTGTTGTCAGAATTTGATATAGATATCAGTTACGTGACATTTTTAGTTCTTCTTTTTCTAAGACTATTATAAGACTATTATAAAAAATCTTGTTGGAAGAATGGTTATACGTTTTGGTTATTATCAAGCTGACATACTATAGATTCTACTATGCCCATTTCTGTCACTGATAAGAACTTTTAATATATTTGAATACATATTAGGTCGAAATTTAATTAAATAATTTCTTTACCTTGAAATTTCACCACCTAGTGACGAATCGCTTCCAATTCAGAGAGATAAGAGTCTATTGCCGAAAAACACATTCATGAGCCATCTTTTTTGAGTCATATTTCGCCTCTCCGCCACTTCAGTTATTTACAAAAGTTCTATCTTATTGTCTAAATAATGTGGGCGTTTTAGAACCTGATTGAGGGGCAACAATAGCCCATAAATCTCTAATTAGGATTGTTATTCTTGTGCACCTGAAGAGTATTATTTATATTGTTAAGAGCCCAATTTTAAAGGGATTACCGATTTGGGATGTAGTTTTTCTCCGTGCCCAGACTCCTAGACTTCGAAGTGCATTTCAATTGACGCCACACCAAAATCAATTGCAGCAGCGTCTGTGGCGGGATCTTTGTGCAATTGGTCCGGGGCTCTGGAATGCAAATAGTGGACACCGCGGCAATTGATGCAGAGCTCCCGACTGGAGGCAGCAGGTCTGCCATAGCCATAACTATATCTTTGGCTACATATATCCCCGTGAGGAGTGACGTCCGCCATTGTTGATGATTGACTGACTGACTGTCTGACCGGAAACTAGATGGAACTAAATCACAACCTGCCGAAATCCGGAATTATCAGGCCCACGGCGGTGTCAATAAAGGTTGCAAATTGGATGACATCTATTGATCCTTGCAAGTGCCCCCGCCATATGGTAATATGGGATCGAGTTAGTGCACTGTAAAATACCGTACTGCTTGTTATATGCATTTGGGGCATGCATTTCATTTCCAGTCCGATCCGAACACAGCCGATCCAATCTTCTGCGAATGTTAATGAGAAAAATGTGATTTAAAATAATAAATTTGCATGAAAATCAGTTGCGAGTTTGTCCATCGAAGGAGAGCAACAAGTATCAGGGGCTGGCCATCCCCTTTGGAGCCACCCCCTTTTTGGGGGCTAAAAGCACGAGCAACGCAACGAGCACATATACAGATACAGATACGAGTACGGATTCCAGATACTGTATCTGTATTTCGTATCTGTATAGAGAGTGCCGACGCCATAACTGTTATTAAAGCCCCTGTAGAGTGAGTCCAATTTGCTGGCTCGTCCGTTTGTCCATTTGTCCGTTCGTCCCGCTCGCCCACTTGTTGATTTTGGGTTCGGGCATGCCCATGCCAGATGCCAGATATAAAAGCATGGACGCTCAATCTTCCGCCACACAGTCCATCACTCGCCACATCTCGAGCAGAACGGAGCTCCAACACTGAGAACCGAGTACTTAGAGCCGAGAACACTCTACTATAACAGAGCCAAGTGAAATCGTAAACTTCGCCATAGTTAACATATTCCATATCCACCGGAAACTCTAGCGAAAGTTCTAGAACTCTAGTGAAAGTGCCAAACGAAGCTTTGCAGTGAAAGCCATCCAAGCAACTTAAGATAAGATATGCAGGTAGGAATATATAACTTACTATTCTTAAAAATATATACTAACTTTAAGCATATGGAAGAGTATTGGACGGTTAATATACGCCAAAGACAGTTAATACACATAAGGTAATCAGATTTCAACAAATACAAAAATTCTTAAAGGCAATACTCCTTATAAAGGCAGTAAAGAGGAAAACCTGCCTCAATACGATACATTTTTGCCTAGAAACAATGAATTAACAGAAAAGATAGCCCACTTAATTGGGGTCTGGGGTTCGAAAGTGTCTTAATAGCCCGTACAGCAGCTTCCTCCGTTTGACTCATCGTCATCAGGCAATCGAAAGGTTTCTCGACTTTGAGCTTTTGGTAATATTGCATATAATATATATTTCTGTACCAGTTTGTGATCTCGTGCCATCAATTCATAACTTTTCGGCATGAGAGTGCTAAAAAATGAGCAATACTTTCAAGTTGCCTTGATTTGTGTGACGTGGGTTCGAAGGGGCAAATATCAAACAATTTAATTGAAACATATCAGCTTGGTAATTTAGCACACTCGTGATTTTTAATTGTACAACAAAACTGACTAGATTCGTTATCGCCCTAGGCAACAGACAGAAAGTTTTCTAATACAGAATATATATTGTACATTTGAATCTGGGAATAATATGTGGAGATGTCGACAGTGGGTCTGTAAGTTACCCAGATAACAAATCTGTTGTTGTTTATCTTCGCAAAGGCCGGGCAATAATGATAAGTGCATCATTTGGGCGGAAATATGCTTTCATCCGCCGAAAAGCCGAAGAACCCAAAGTAAACAAAGTCCTCGAGGGCGATCGAGCGTGAGAAGAATGAGAATTGTCAAACAAAACTTAACCAAAATAAATCGTTGCCTGTTTTTGTTTTTAATCTCATCGAACGGAATGTTTGGTTACTGAGAACTGTGCGAATATTTTGCAATTTTATCTAGATTTTAGTTTTGCGTATCAGAGAATTCTTATCTTAACCCTCTAATCATTTGGAGACTTACAGTTGATTTAAAATACTATTGTAACATTCATCACATTTAATTAACCAGTTCATACTAGAATATGCAGTTTTAATAGCAATGAAATCCCGATTATATATACGGGCATGAAGGCTGCAACTGATTTTATAACCACTTGATTTGTTATGAAAAGTTCACTAATTTTCCAGAGATTATGAAGCTACGGCTGCAGATATTGGAGATATAATGTCACCTTGAAAGTTATAGTTAGAAAATGTCCAAACCCTACATAACCTTACATGACCAAGGGTTAATCCGATCTGCATTTGGCCATTTAGCTGACTCAGTGCCTTGCGTTAGGCAAAAGTTGCTATGCATTTAGTGTCGCGTCAGCTAGAGACCTCCCAGATTGGTTTTTGGTTTACAGTTTTTTTAGTTTTTAATTTCCAAGTTCGAAGTGGAGCGGTGACTACGTGAGTCGCTGAACATCTCCATTTTCCCCACATACACCTTTAAAAAGCACTTTTAAAAGCACTTTTAAAATCACCTCCTCAGCCAGAATTGGTTACAAGTTTTTTTGAGCTGAGCCTGACGTTGCGCTGGTCACGCAGGCATTTCCCCCCGTTGACCGCCCACCTCTCAACCCCCCTTGAAAACCACTATCGTTCGATTCTGAATCGAAATCAATTCACAAGCAATTAATAATCAGATCGCTTTTGTAATAAATTGCAATTTTATTAAATGGCGAAAAAAAGAACAAGCACAAAAAAATCATTGCCTTCGATTTTTTCGCAATGAAATTAGTTTGTGGGGGGTAGAGGAGATGGGGAGGAGCTGAGGGGGGAGGGTCAGGGCAGAGAGTCGCGAGTTCACATGCGTCACAATCGCAATTTTATTCGCAATATTCCATTTTGCATACGATCGATAAGAGAGTGAGCCAAAGAGGAGGCTGAAGAGCAAAGAGAGAGATAAGAGCATGAAAGAGAACCTTTAGCTCTTTTGCTGCCATCGTCGCTGCCCCCCTTTTTTAGTCGTTTGTGTGTGTGTTTGTGGGACGAGCCCCCAACTGATGCTGTGTTTATCCACTCATATACACACACACACACGCCCACAAACACACTCACACAGTGGGGCACTCAATTATGCTGCACACTAATGAATGGCTGGAATATCAATTGCACACACACACTGTAAAAGAGTCGGTATATGAAGACAATTAGGAGGAATCTTTAATTGGCAGCCCCGTCCTCGATGATGATATGCCCCTCTGCCATGCCCCCTTGTGTGAGTGTATGCCTTGTTGTGTGGGCAACGAGCCCCCTTTTATGCACACATACATATGTAGATGTTTTTGCTTTCATAATTGTTTTTCAAGCTCTATTGAACTTGGGGCGTTGATGATGACGACGATAACAACGCTCAAGTTGAAAATAACATTGCCACACACGTCATCAGACGTCATTTGACTACCCTTTCCCAAAATAGAAGAGATGCCACTAATCTGGGGGGTCTTAAGAATAACTAAGTAAGTTAGGACAAGTCTTGGTTTAGAAGATTTCGCCTATTCGGTCCATCAGTTGAGATTTTAGTCTTTTAATTTGCTAACTCTTAAAATTTATCTATCAAATTATTGTACGTTTTCGTATATATATAGATTCAAGTGCCATATCTACCACGCTTATATTTATTTATAGATTATGGTTGGTCTACGTTTTCCTGCTAAAACGCTTACTTACAACCAAAAAATGCAGACGTTAGTAATTAATTAAATGCGCAGTAGAAATCAACAACTGCCTATAAATTTGTGTAAGACTTATTGGGAATTTGCTTGGCTAAGATTATGATTCGAAGAACTTTCGTCATCGAAGTAATCTTAGACAAGATAATTTCTATCTAACTGTAACGACTGTAAAGGCTTAGTGAAAACATTTTGTTAGGGTATTCTTCCTTCGGTTTCTAAGACTTAACCTCGTTTTCGTGTTTTCTGTTATTGTTTTCTTTCGCCCATTCATTATAATGGAATGATCACAATTAGAGTGAAACATGAAGAAGATAAGAACTGACTAAAGGGGGCGCAAAGAGTTGGGGCAGCGAAGGGCTGGATGATTGTGCAAATACAGCACGTTCTACTACTCATTCCTCCAATATCTGAAACGTAGTCACTGGACATTTTTAGTTTTAACTGTTGTGACTGTACGGGAGAGTTCAATGAATCTTCCTTTGTTGTTATATTTAATCAAAACATTACAAATTCGTAAAGGGATCATAGATTTATCAAAAATTGAAATAGGAAATCTCTAGGGGATTCTATACTAACCCATACTATGCAGAATTTCGACATGTAGGCAATGCTAATTCCCCGCCAGTTCGATGCTCTTTCGTGTGACCCAACCCATTTAGTTTTCGAATATATTAATTTACCGACAGCCAGGTGACTCATCGGGTCTCTCTCACGTACACATGATCGTGTGCGGGTCTCAGGGTTATGCTCTAAAACTCGGGTTTACCTTTTTGCTGCACTGAAGAGCGCACCCAGACATCGGTGGTTATGTATGGCTATGGGTGGGGGGTACGGATCGGATCGGCTTAAATGGCTGATGCAATCGGAACGCAAATTGGGCGAGAGCCGGAGTCAATATATGTATTCCCCTCTCTTTTGCCTGGGTTGCACAACAAACAGAAGGTGTACCTATACTGGATGGTAACCGGAGACCCAAAAGGAGACTTAAAAAAAGAGGCAACCAAAAGAGATATTCAAGGAATGCCAGAGAGTCGTATTACCCGTGCTCGCATAAATCTAAATAGTAGCCGACGAATTGGTATATTTCAATTAACGAATGCTGATGTGTAAGCCATGAATATGCGATGAGGAAGTCCGCTTCCAATTCCGATTCCGTCACCTTCGCTGATAAGCTTTCCAGCTTCAGTTGTTAGTTTACAGTTTACAGTTTACAGTTTACAGTTTTTAATTTTCAGTTTTCAATTTTCAGTTTCGAGAGTCCCACAGCAGCAACGCCATAGCTATTAACTACCCCCAACAAGCAAGCAATTAGTGATAATTGCATTTCATTCGGATTTGTCGTAAAAATTTTCCACATTTTAACAAAAAGAGAAGAAACTTGATATGTGGTTTCAAAAATTTTCCATTCCATTTGTTCGTTATGCTCGGTACATTACATTACACACACACTGTCGGTGGTCGTGGTTGTGGACGTGGGGTGTGCGTGAGTGTGCGTCGAGATCTCGATCTTGTTATAATGTAGAACAGCTATAGAGAATCGGGCATTGCCCAAGAGAACCGCAGAGATTGGTGAGCGGAGTAGGGGCTTATCAGGAACTTTTGAGTTCCGTCCAGTTCAAGTTTAGGGGTCAAGAAATTTGATTGAATTAACCATGCCATGATTTCCCCACCTTAGAAGAGGAATCACCGTCAAAACTTTCATGAATCATTGGGTTCCTAAAAACGTTACATAGGAAATCTACTATTTAATGTTGAGTAGTTAAAAGCTGTGGTGGTTTATGTAAATAGTACATCTGCGTCTTATCTCAATAAATTTATTCCGCATTATGGAGGTTTTTTGGGAGGTTAAGAAAAGTTTCCCTTACAGATTAGATTTTTAAAGGTAATCCCTTTTAGTTTATTTAAATTTTATTCTGAACGGGTATGTTTTGCTATGCGACGAGATATAGCTTACAAAAAACAAAAACTTCCTTTTGTAAAATCTCTTAAAAAAGGATTTCTGTTGTCGCTTTCGTGGTAACAATTAGTACCTGGCAAAATGCCATTGATCGGCCAGAAGTCATGTGGCCGGACGTGCTATCCGATTCCGATTCCATTCCCAATTCCCTGAACTGACCTTTCATATCGCTGTCAAGGCGACACGAGCTCATTGCGGCGTTGTGTCTTTGTTCCAGTCTTTAAGCAAACAAGCGCGAAGGAGATCGAGACAAGTCGAGAAGTTGAAAAGTTGGGAAGTCGAGAGGCCGAGAAGTTGGCCTGTTGCTAGGCGGCTAAAAACCCGACTCTATCAGTAGTGACAGCAGGCATAAAGAGGGGCGGGGGTTGAGGGGTAGAAGCACTGTGAAAACGGCACAGAATTTGTGGCATGAACATGAATTTTCTCACGTCGTCACCAGCGTTCCACTGGCTGATACAGTCGCACACACACACGGAGAAACACAGACAGACAACCTGCAATTCAACGAATGCATCTGTATCTGTATCTGGCCGACTGGTCTTGGCTTGCCAGTTGCATGTTGCACTATCTTTTCCCCGAACTCTCGGTCTGTCTCTATCTCCGTCTCCTGCTCTATCTGTCTGTCCCGCCGTCCTGACGTCTGACTTTGAATGGACCGTTTCCCCGACCCCTTCCAGAGGTGCACTCGAAAAAATCGGATCGTTTAGGAACTAGATATCTTAATATCTCATCTCAAAAAGTATTTATACTTTAGTATATAGATCAGGAATTTAAAATTGTTTTAAAAATGATTTTTTTAACCTCATAATATCCTTAGACCGAAAGATAGATCAAATTTTTCCTACTGTACCCCTACCACCGACTGGTTCCGGTGGTGTGTTTCTGCTTCGTATCTGTGGCTCTGGAGGTGTTGCTATCGCTGGCACGACGTTAATTAGCAGAAAAGTGCAAACGATGCGGGCCAGCCGAGTGGTGCTGTTGTAGATGCAGTATGGTGCAGCTTGGTGCGGCGGTGCTCGAAGAGATTTACCCATTACCCATTAGCGGAAGCGGGCCAATTTGGCTTACCCATGCACATGCACGAGTCTCCGATCGTCCATTGTCATGATGCAATAATTTGTGCCATCAACTCACCGAACAATCGTACGATTTTCAGTCAGCTATATGGAAGAAACAATACAAAAAAAGAGTGACGGGTGGCCAGACCTCGACCTCTCTTTCTCTCTCTACATATTTATATGCTGCTGGTGCTGTGCTGGTGTGTGCGGAGTGAAAACCAGCTATCGATCGTTTCTAGGAAATGGAACCTATAAATCTACGCTTTGCACGAAAGACTTCGATGACAATGCCGCTGGGCCTTCCACCTGAGATCGGAGGGGCGTTGATAATCGGAGTTCGTCGATATTGGTGCCGGCCGGTGACGATCTCCCAAGTCGATGGTCACATGAATATGTATGTTAAGACGGTTCCGATTCCGATCTATGGTGATCTCATTTGGCCCATAAATCACACTCAGAGAAATGCACGAGTCCTGTTTCAAGTAACTTACCTTCTAATTTAACCACAAGTAAAAAATATTATACTGCCCTACATAAGTATGCTACTTTTATTGAGCTTACTTTTTAGCCTCTCTTTTTGTCAATTGATAGCATTTTTATTGTGATATTCTGTAACAGCTTTTAATTCTCATGTCATTTTTCAGTTTTTATTTTGTTAAATCACAGTTTCATAAATTTTTATTAAGGCTATTGAATTCAATTTATGCTCAAAATATCAGATTTTTATTAGATATTGTTCAGTTTGATCCCGCTGAATTACATCCGTGTGCATTATTGGTCGGTCATCTAGGAAGTGCAACCCCTGACCGCGTCACTGGCAAATGTTACGTGAGGGGATCGAATCGCCGGATCGTCGTTCCTCCTATTGTAGAAAGTGCTCCCCAAGTCGTATCAAAAGGCCATTTCAATTCAGTGCCCCTTACGTCAGCGTTACGATATCGTTGCCAGCGCTTTGAGGTGTGCCGTCCAAGGCTGATGAGGAGGAGAACGAGGAGCACTCGGTTTCCACAGGGGTGGAGGAGGAGGCCCAGATATGGGGCTCGAGGGGATTGTTGGGGCAAACGGAGGTAACGGCACGAGACACAATTTCAAGCACCTGCAAGATTTTTCTCTCAATTGAATTTCGCTTTGTGGCTGGCCTGATGCCGCTGCCAAGTGTTTTTTAAGGGGTGATAGTGGGGGGGCAAAAGGGGAGGCACATGGACATGGAGAGGGGATTTCGAGAGAGCAGGGAGCAGTCTGCGGTCGGACGATTTGTGTAACGTGCAATAAATAAATTACTCGTAGAATTGAATCTAGTTGTCGATGTGGCTTGTCGATAAAGAAGAAGAAAGAAACTAGTCGCGGTGCCTCAGTCCCAATCCCCCCCTCATCACATAGCGCTCCACGAATCCCCTTTCCCCAACCCCTGACCACAAGCGGCTGCCGCCCGGCAACAGCGGAAAGCGAACACGCGATGTGGCTGCCAGTCTGTCTGCCATTTTGGCTGCACCTCCAGTCACCAGCCCGCGGGTCCCAGTGTTCAGCTCCAAGCTCCCGGCCGGCAACGCCAGCTCAGACTAGTTTGGACCCCCTCCATTACACCACCCCCTCTCCCCTTGTATACACTTACATTTACGAACAGCCAATCAGCAATGCACTTGGAAAAAAGAAGAGGTCCATTGGCATGTCCTGAATATATATTGAACCTTTAGTTAATTTATTATCCTTAAAAATTTGTGGATTTCAATTATATTAGTTAATGGGTCTCCATCGTTTTTTGTCCTAAGATTAGTTGATATTTAAAATCACAGAAACTTTCTCCGAGTGTAACTTGTGGTATCGTATCGCCGCCCCTTCTTCTCCTCCTCCGCTTCTCATTCAGCCAACGATCGCCGCAGACAAACTGGCACTCACACTTGATTGCAATGAGGCGATCGCACGGACAGATCGGACGTACAGACCGACAGAAAGACGGGTGGACGGACAAGCCACTGAGTTGGACTCGGAATCGGACTCGAACTCAGACACGGTCTCGGCTAATGGAACCTTGCACCATGCCACCACATGGAACTCCCCCCAACATGATACCCCTTGAGCATCCCAACTTTAGCAAAGATTGGGGCGAAAAAGAAGTGGTCTGTTCTTGGCCAGACATTTGGAGTCTTACCGCTTACACTGTCAACGGGCTTTGAGGCAAGTTCTGGTTCTCATTGGTGATTATTAAATTGGGAGCTTGGTTATGGATATCAAAATGAAGTCAGTGTGAAATGAAATCAAAAAATGTATAATTAAAACCCTTCTGATTTTACAGGGTTTACAGGGATACAGTAACTAAAACGTATTTGTGGTTTAATTTTTGGCCTATAAATACAACTTTTTAAGTTAGTTTATTTATAAACACTTAACACTTAAGATTGATATATAAACATTTAACGCAGAAGTGTCAAACATATGGAAATGTATAGACCCTTTTTTGCTTTTTAGCACCTTTAATGAAAACAGATCATATTTCGTTGTTCACAGCTAAAAGTTGCTTTCAATTCCCTTGACCAAGCATGATTCATTTCTGTTAGGAAGTGGTGTAGTTAGGGATATGATATAGTGTGATCCTAGTTCTTAAGATAAAAATCTATAAACCTGGAAAGGAGTATGGAATATGGTTCAGAATGGGTTTTATTGGATAGTTCCTGTGACACTTCAAAATCACAGGTGCTGGACTGTAGATGCAAGTGCAATTGGGCAGACGAAAGCCAGATCCAGAGGCGGATAATCAAAACCCCCGTCCGGTTTTATCCGTTTTGTTCCGCACCTTCCCGGTGCGGCGGTCGCATAAAGAATTACGATCTGAGAACGAGTAATTGAATGCTGGTCGCTTGTCACTCGGTCGGTCGGTTGGAGAAGGGGAATGAGACAGTGGCAGGGGCAGGAGGAGGAACAGAGAACGGAAGGGAGCGGCGAAGAGAGCCGGGAGAGATCGAAGAGCGGAAGAGGCAGGCGGAGAAGAGAAGGTGCAGACGAGGGAGAGCGAGGCGAGCAACAAGTGGCTGTGTGTGTGTGAGCCGGCGTCGCATATAAATGGAAGAGCGCAACGGTTCAAAATTCAGTTCTGTTTGAACTTTTGAGAGCCGACGATCCAATCTGTTCAGATATCCTCGCTTTTCAATTCGCCGTGAACCGCGATCGCAGCAGCCCCCTTCAACATAAAAAAAGAAGCCAAGCCCAACACCTTGACTCGAGTGTAATGTCGATGAACCGTGCGTATTCAAACGAGTGCCGCGCCAACCAGACCAACAAGAACAAGACCAAGTCTACATCCACATCCAAGGAAGCCCGTTCCGATCACTGTTAATCACTTGAGGATCGAATGTGCCAGAGCCGTCAGCTAGATATTCGCTACGTCGAGACCGAGACTTATTGAAGTTACTCCATACCACCTCAACCCAGTTACCTGATCCTGATCCGCTATCCCCAAGCGAAGGACCAAATACGATCCATTCAAGCAACCGAAAGTCCGGCAAGTAGCCAAGATTCCGCCAACACTGTGCTGCACGACCACCAAGACGGCATCCAGCGCCGTACCTATGTCAGTGCTAAGCCAACTGCTGCTCAACTTCAACCAGAAAGCCCAAACCAGGAGCCACCACAACATAGAGCTGATAAATTCGTTCATAACATAACGATAAGCCGACCGTCGATAGCACTTGATATATCAACCAACGTTAGGGAGAAATTTGCAAACATTTTTTACCGGAAGAGAAAAAAGAAATCAAATCAAAAGGTGAGTAATGCGTTAACAATAGATCGGTGATCGTTGACCAGTGACCCGTTTCGAGTCCTATCTATCAATGTCGTGCTGTTTTTTTTTTTTCAAAATTTGAATTCGTAGAAATCCCAAATAACTTAAATCCCCGTCGAAGGGCAAAAACCGTCTGATGCAACATTCGCCAGCTATTGGCGAATGACTACACAAAATACCCTCGAAACTATTTGAATAATTAAACGGTCACGCAGTTTGTCTAGTCTAGACTCTAGACACATTAGCCCTTGATCTGCGGCTAAAGCGTGGGTGGCTTTGAATCAAGTTGAAGAATTCGAACAAATTGACGTCACAATTGTGTCATTCCGTTTTCGATTTCTGCCTCTGATTCGGCCCACGCAAGATTCTTATATCATTTTTTTTTTTTTTTTTCGTATCTTTCTGGTGTCGTGGCATTGTGAAATTCGTATTGAGAGCGAAGATCTCTCGGGTTCGGGTTTGGTTTTTGGTACTTGGGGGTTGGGGTTTTCTTCTCGGGAAAGGATTGCCATTTCGCAAGTCTTAGTAATATTTTAGAGCCCGGCGGCTAAAGGCCTCCCGTTCTTATCGAAGAAATAGACTCTGAGACCTCCCATGATTTATTGAAGGTGATAACTAAGGGATGACTGGCTGAAAACCCGGGCTATCGCTTAGCGTGGCTCTTGGGTTTATTAACCTACATTATAATCGTATGACTATTAAGTTAAACTTTGTACTTATTTCCGATTTTCACTCTTATCTTGCAGAAAATGAATTTACATGTGTGCGCCTTAGCGCTGCTGCTGTTCGGCAGCATCGCCACTGTCCACGGAAGAGCCGTGGACCTGGTAGACGATAGCAACGAAGCGGACAACTCCATTGAGGCCGAGGAGAAACCGCGGAACAGAATGTTCGATGCCGACTGGCTTAAGTTCACCAAAACGCCGCCGACCAAACTGCAGCAGGCGGATGGTGCAACCATTGAGATCGTTTGCGAGATGATGGGCTCCCAAGTGCCCAGCATCCAGTGGGTGGTGGGTCATCTGCCTCGCTCGGAGCTCGATGATCTGGACTCCAATCAGGTGGCCGAAGAGGCGCCCAGTGCCATAGTTCGCGTCCGATCCTCACACATTATCGATCACGTGCTGAGCGAGGCCCGTACCTACACGTGTATTGGACGCTCTGGCTCTAAGACCATCTATGCCAGCACTGTGGTGCATCCTCCACGATCATCTCGTTTGACGCCAGAGAAGACCTACCCAGGTGCCCAGAAGCCGCGCATCATCTACAGCGAGAAGACGCATCTGGACCTGATGGGCTCCAACATCCAACTGCCCTGCAAGGTGCACGCTCGTCCCAGAGCCGAAATCACCTGGCTGAACAACGAGAACAAGGAGGTCGTCCCTGGACATCGCCACAGGGTGCTGCCCAATGGTGATCTCCTGATCTCCGAGATCAAGTGGGAGGACATGGGCAACTACAAATGCATAGCCCGGAACGTAGTCGGAAAAGACACCGCCGACACCTTCGTGTACCCCGTACTTGTAAGTATTCCCCCTTCCTAACAAGGAATCCCAACTCATCCTAAGTAATCCCTTTTCTCCTTCTTGTTTTTGCAGAAAGAGGAAGAATAAAGAACCCACCACAAAAAAGAAAAGAAAAAGGCTATTGGATTGACGACGGGAATTCATCTAGTTAGTTAGATAGATCAAATGCCTTCGAAGATGCGTGAAAAGAAAAGAAATATGCTTAGAAAAAAATACAAAAAAAAGGATGGAGCGAAAGGTCATACGATTTACAATTACGTACAATTTAGGTTAAGCACAATCTAGCTCGTAATCCAGGTAATTAACCGTATCTAATGCCGGCTTAGACACTAATTTTCTAACTTACTACCCTCGAATAGCAGTCACACGTATCGCATTCGAATTATAGAATCTACTTTATCATTTTCTTCAATTTTAGTTTTAGTTATCGGCTTGTAATCACGCGTCTTTTGGTTTCTTTTTATAAGTAGCAATGATTGTTCCTAGCGATTCAGGCAGGTATAGTTAACGTATTTAAACTAATTGGCCATTTACTTAAGGGTGCCGCAACATAGCAACCCAAGCACAAACCACAATCAATCAATCAAACAATCAGTCAATCACCCTATGTGCACCCATCATTTCTACAACTAATTTATTGATCGACCAAATTCATCCAGCATCGCAACCCATATAGAATCACTGAATAGTATTCACGGAATTAATCAGTTTCATAAGCTACCCGACTATGTTTTAATCTTTAAGCTACTAGAACTGAAATATGGTTTTCTAATTGTTTAGTTTTTAATTATAATCAACTTTCAAGCGATTGTTTTTGAATAAATACAAGAAAATTGAATGAAACCTAGTACTCATTTCGGCATTCGGGCGGGTGATTAAAACGAGGAATTACAAGTTACAATTACTGTGGTTTTCATCACTTTATTGACAGATCTACAAACTACGGATAGTCACATTATCTACATAAACTCGTACAGTTACGTACATACATTGAACGACTGGGAAAACATTTTTATACCATAATACGCGTTACGATCTTAACAACAAACAACGAACTCGATCCCGAAGGACGTTTACGTACACAGATGATATTACTATATTGCTGGAGTAAGATATTGATAGGTTGCTGCCCAGAGTTTCGAAGCGGGGGCTAATCTCACGTCCCGATTGTGCGAAAGTTCTCTACTATATATGCGATTAAAATATATATATATTCAATTCACCTTTGATATTGTCGCTTGTCTTTGGAAATTCAGATTTAAGATTTCAGAGCCTGCGGGGGGTTGTCACAATCGCTGACGAACGTGTAGAGCGATCAAAGGCATAAGATTGGGAATGATGTTGCGGATACTATGGTATAGTATGGAAATAGAAGGAATCTTTTGTTCTGGCACTGGTATTGTCTCTGGTGTGTGGATCTTTGTGGACGGACTGTAATCGTGCGGTAATAATACTTTCAATTGGAAATGGTCTGTTAATGACTCGATACCATGTGATCCGAGTGTGTGTACTTAATGGGACGAAGATATCTGGGCTCTATTTTTGGTTGTGTCTGCAGGCGAAAAGGGGGCGCAACGAAAGTGTTTCTCTTGAGCACCCGAGCAGCTGGATGCCGTCGATCTGTGCTGTGCGATCGGTTGCCGTTTTTAAGCGCCTTGCCGCTTGTTGCCGGGCGCTTTATTTTCGGTTCTTTTTCTTTTTTTGGGCCAATTTGAAAGTCGCTCGTGAGTCAGTGAGTAGTAGTTGCCAAGTGCGTCGACAACCAGTTTCCATCGCCACGCTCCGTTTCCGTCTCCGTCTTCATCTCCTCCCCGGTCCCATTAGCCAAGAGATATCTCCTCGCTGCTGCCGCCATTTGATTGATGATTTATTCAGATTTTCGTCAACTGAAGACGACTTGGCCCATCGATCATTTCTGTGGCCCAGGATGGAGGATCGGCTACTCCGACAGGTGTACACGCATGTTCGATAGGGGAACACTGCTTGGTTGGCATGGAAATTCCTCGAATGCAATCGATCGACTTGCTGAATATCTTTAGACACATTTGTCAGCTTTCTGGGAATTATTTGTTGGTCAAAGGCTTTGCTTTTGGCACGTCACGTAGCATGGGAAACGACAAAAAATAAACCATGACAAATCACAACACACAATTACTAAATCTAGGGTGTGCAAAAAGCAAAAGAAAAAATCGGGAACGGGTACAACTTATGCTAGGCAGAGAGTAAAATTCGGGAGTTCAGGTAGCCCAATGTCCATCTTATGTCCAGCTCATGCTGCTGACTTTAAACGTTAAGCACGGAATGTTTCTTGTTGCTGCCGGAGGGCAGCTGTACGGCGATCACCGCCAGACGACCATCTCGGAGAGGCGCCAGAATGTGGGTGTTCCCTGGTGTAACTACCACCGTCTGGATGGGCACGTGCAGTGGAATGTCAAAAACAGGCTTTAAACTGGAAATTAAAGTTATAAACTTGAATTAGTAAGATTAATTAGCCTAAAAAGGGGATTTCCAAAAGAAAGATTCGAAGATAGATAGATAGACAGATGGTACTTACCCATGTAGTCTGCTCATAGTGATATCCCCAGCATCATCGGCCACCACCAGGTAGTCAGCGGCACTGGCCAGTCCCGTCACCCTGCCAGAGACGTACTTAGAGCCCAGACTGCAGCCATTGATGCTGTACACGTGGACCGAGTGTGAGGTGTCATCCAGAGCGCTAAAGGCGATGTGACCTGTGTGAATAAAGGATACAAATTGAGAGTTCAAAAGTCGTGAGTTAATAAACTTCGGCATTCTTTGATCATATCTGTAGAGATTTCAGAATGTGGGGCAGGGCGTGGTGGCGTTGATCTACGCAGTAAAAACGACATTATGCTATTTGACGACGAGGTCCGGCCCACTCTGGTCTGCTGATAACCTGACATCGCATAAAGACATTATCACATGGCGACATACTCCATACTACATACTACAAGCAATGCGTAGTTGCTGTTATCTGTCCAAGTATCTGTATTATGTGGCGACTGCTTTTGTATCTGTATCTGTATGCCAATGCCATCGAGCGCGAAACTCGTTCAGAAGGAAGAGACACTAAATACCCTAGATTGGATATGAATGAACTTCCTAATATGACCCGGCCACGCGCACAGAAATAACTAGTAATAACCGTGTCTGTTTGGTTTTGGCCAATCTGGAAGTTCATTCAAAAAAATCATCCAAAAACTCTCACAGACACACACCCGTCCGCGTTTAAATATCTTGATCTTTATTGGGGCCTTTCGTCGAAATTTACTACAACTATTTCATAAATTTTCTGCTGCGTCTTAAGAATTTAAAAATGAATGAATCGCTGTGGCAGATGGGTGGCATGAAGAGGCGTAGAGGGGATCGGTTGGATGGTTGGTCGTGTGACTGTGTGACGTGCGATTCGTTCGCGGGGCTCGTTCGCCCCTCTGATTTGATTCCATTAACGACGTTGGGTTAATGCCAGAGAACCGAGTGTCGTATGGGTTGGAGTACATATACATATATATATACAAACATATATTTGAGTTCGTCGCAGGCTGATAGTCAATCAATGGATGGGATCGGGTCTTCATTAGCGGCTATGTAATTGATTGGGGCCCGACAAGAACGCAATTAAGTGCCCATCATTGCCCTGGAAAATGAACTGGATTGACGTTTTTCGATTCGATTCGATTCGGTTTCAATATTTCTGAACCGTTGACTGCCGGATGTTGCGAATTTATAATCAGAAGTAAGTATTAATTCATTCGATAAGCGACCGGCTGCATGCGGCAAATGCACAGTATATATAGCCAGCTATATACCCTTCTTGCTGGAAAGGGGGAAGGTAAGGGGGTGGGGCCTACATATATGGCAGTGGTATATCAATTTCTGAAAGTCCAGGCTGATAGCCCGAAAATCGACTCGCTTAGCGAATCTATATGGCTGCATATTTAAAGAACTCGATATGCAAGCTGGCGCCAAGCTGGCCATCGATTGACGTATTTCATACTGAGAATGCAAAGCAAACGGAATTCGAGGCTTATTTATTCGCATTATCACAAGACAAATATTGTATAACAAACAAAAATGAAAGTTATGTGCAGGCAGAGCAAAATTATTTTAATTTTAAGAACGTGAAATTGCGAGTAATGGTATTACGGTTCTACGTACTTATTTTAAAACGAGTTTGGCTTGATTTTAAGCAAGTCCCTTTAGGTTGTCACTAAAAACTGCTCTTCAATTTCTAAGACATTATTATAGGAAAGCTTTTCGCAATAAATTTCCCTTTCCTTGCATATAATAATCCCTTAATCTCTTTATATAAAACAGCCAATCAATGCTAATTGAATAACTACCAAGCGAACTCGTGCTAAACGTTAAGTGATTTGCAAAATCTTTTCTACAAATCATCACCATTAGGGCAATAATCATAAACATGTTAATTATCGGCCAATGAATCATTATGTCGGCGTAACATAATCGTAAATATATTAATTTAGGTCGGCACAAGTGCGCAATTATGATATTTCGTTATCGGCCACGTACCATCGGTGATAGTTTTTTTTTGTGCAAAATCGAAAAACCCTGATTTTGTATTATAATGACACCTTGACAGTGTTGCTATGAGGAACGATGGGGGAATTCCGAGGCATACTTATTCTGTTTGCCGACAAACTGGCAAAGTCTTAACCTTGCTGGGGTTCGTATACTTTACGATCTCGTTTTAATTTGGATTAATGCCCTGTCGCCTTAGCTGCACTGCTAAGATAAGATAAAGCGGGCAGTGCATGGAACAAAGTCGGACGATTTCCAACATCATAATGACATGGAATGGCGGAGGGGCAACGCGACGCACATGGCCACACAATCACGTGATTCTCGTCGCCTCACTTATGTGGCAATTGTCGATAGGAGGGCTGATTAAATTGTTTGATTGCCCCTCTTCAAACATAATGGGAATGCTACGCAGTAGCACGTGAGTGTTACTCTGGCTCATCGGAAGATTAGGGGCACCATGAGGTGGACAGGAAGGAGAGTTGATTCTATGAGATTATCGGTTACAGGTGGACAAATGTGGTCACCAAAAAGCTAGCCGTCTATGAGTCAACCAATCAAGTTCCATTTCATTGGTTTAATCAATTAAAAGTTAGCCATTGACAAGGTTTTTATCAGTAGTACTTCACTGGCTTAATTGGAATTTCAAGAGAGAGTGAATTGATAAAATTGAAATACTTTTTAGCACGAATAGAAGTGATGTATGCACAAAGGAATTTAATAACTATTTTACCAGCATATGAAATTATTTTTGAATGAATAAATAACGAAACTTGATCTTTAAGGGAGGACTGATATTTTCTTAATGCCTAACTACGTACTCCAAACTCTAACAATTTTCCAATAAAATTTGCAAAAGAAAATACTTTTAGATTTAACTTATGTACTTAAATTCGAGCTCATCGAGGTACGGCATTTCATTTTCGGACCATTATTGGCTAAGTTATGGACATAATACTGTAAGTTTGCGGAAAAAATCTGAGATAGCCAATATTTGCATTTCCAATAAGGGGTAACATCATCTTTTTTTTGCATAAAATGACTAAAAATTTGACATTTTAAACTGTGAATACAGTTCGACTAGGTTTTCGAAAACAAACCCAACGAGGTATTACACTCCATTTTCGGATCATTATTGCCTAAGTTATAGACATATTCCTGTCAATTCGAGGAAAAAATCTGAAATATCCAATTTTCGCATTTTCGATAAGGCGTAACATCATCTTTTTTACGAAAAATCCTTAAAAATTTGGCATTTTATGTTGTGAATGCAGTTCGACTAGGAATTAGAAAACAAGCTCTTTGACATATGGTTTTCCACATTCGGACCATTATTGGCTAAGTTATGGGCATAATATTGTCATGTTGAGGGGAAAATCTGAGATACCCAATTCTCGCTTTTTCGATAAGGGGTAACATCGTCTTTTTTGCAAAAAATTACAAAATTTTGACATTTTAAGCTGTGAACAGAGTTCGAATAGGAATTAGAAAACAAACTCAATAATGTATAACATTTTATATTGCGACCAATTTTGGCTTTGTTATGGCGAAAATACTGCGAAAAATGAACCAAAATGACAAAAATACATAGCATACTTTCAGGCGAAGGCAACAGTGACTCTAAAACTATCTGCAGTGCGCTAAAATTTCAGTTTAATAATATTATAGTTATAGACTTACCATGATAGGAAACAGTTACAAAAGAGATTTGTACACATGATTCAGTGCATCCAATTGGCTTTAGTGTTCTAACAAATTGACCCTCCTGAAGAGTATAAACGTTAACTGTTCCATCCTAAAAGACAGAAAAGTAATATTACATACGGAACTCCTTTACGACTAGATAATTATTTTTACCAGTGATCCAGAGACCACCAGATCCAGCTCCGTGTATATAGCCACACTGGAGATTGCATCGTCGTGGCCATGCAGCACCGTTAAGGGCTTGGGTGAATAGTTATTCTGCGTATTCAGCTGGGTGATAGCTTGAAGGTGCGACTGACCCGTCAGCGCGTGCACTGGAATGTTGCTAGTTGATCCACCACCACCCTGCTGATTTGCCTGAATGCTCCAAACAATGCAGGTACAGTCACGGGATCCAGTCACCAAGTATGAGCCGCAGTTGTCCAGCGCTATGCAGGTGATGATGTCCAGGTGACGGGTTACTGAGGCCACCGCCTTGCCTTTGTTCAGGTTGTAAACCCTTAAGGAGTTATCCCAGATTCCTCCAGCATATAGCAGTTTGCCATCCGTGCTGACGGCAAATAGTTGAGAGTGTGGAGGCTGCGAGGCATGGAAGGGTCCAAAGATCCGCTTGCGGTTCCTTTAAAGAAATTTATATAAATGGGATTGGTATAAGTTATGTTTAATATCAACACCTACTTCAGATTTGCTGTGGTGGCATCGGTTTCCAGCAAGAATCCGTGATCCTTGTCAAAAGACAGCCACGAATTGCAGCCTAATATGGTAGACTTGGAAACGCTGACTAGAACATCGGGACTCAGCTGGAGGAATGATCTCGGAGGACTCCGCGGTGGACTCAGGTAAACGATGGGGTCCTTGGGTGTAGACAGCTCGCAGTCATACTGAACCACCTTGTCCAGGAACTGAGTTAGATCCGGCCTTCGAAGCTCTGCACGTACTAGTTTCATAGCTGTCTCATCTTGGGTAAGGCGTCTTGGATGTGGCTCCCTTAGCAACTGCGAAGGCACCTGGCCAAAGTTGTTGATCATTCCTAGAAAACAAAATTTACAAAAATTAAAATATGAACTTAGATTCAAGAAATAAAACTACCTTCAACAGCCTCCCGTTCCACAGGATTGGTAATCTTGTCCAGATCCACAGCGCCTTCATAAGAGCAATAGTAGAAAACGTTTAAAGCCTCCGCTGCTTTGGGTCCCTTTTGCTTGTACCCAAAGATCAGATCAATCCAGTGGTGCAGGTGCTGGCTAACATATTCCGACTCTAAAGCCCGTCGGTGGATTGCTATGAACTCCTCTGGTGTGTTGGCCCAAGCGGGCAGTATAACATCGTCCACTTTTTCTTTGGTTATTTGCAAGTGGCCCAAGTCAAATCTGCATTTAAAATGTAATTAGATCTAGTGAAATATAAGTATTATTACTTTCATTACTTGTTCATGTTTTTCAGGAACTCTGGGAAGTAAAAGAACTCGGGTATCAGCTCCTTCACATCGTTGGGATTGTCCATCAGCAGCTTCCAGGTCTGAGGTATTGAGTGGAATTGTCGATCAGCCACATCGAAGCGTCCGCTTTGCAACTCAATGTGCAAAGAGGTAAACGGTTCCACGCGAAGCAAGTAGTGAAGCACGCCCGCCGAGTTGGAGTAATGGGTTCCATAGTGGAACTTGGGTATGGCACCAGAGGGATCCTCAAATGAGTCGTATTTGCCACGCACCTCGGCCTCGTTTTTGGGATTTATCTGTGGAGAATATTAGTTAGGATAGGAATATTCATTTAGGATCAGATTCAGAACTTACACATCCAATGGGTTTGGATAAGTCACGGAATGATTTGGGATCTGTAAGATCCAGCACGTCACTGGTGTAGTCAGCAAGGATCCAGGGGAAGACTGGGTATTGGCTCAGATCGTTGTAGGATCGACCTAAAGAAAATGAAGATAATAGTTTAAAAGCGAAAACGGAAATAGAAAAATTTTGCTCACCTGCGATAGTATTTAGGTACATCAAGTATTCAAAGTTAGAAATCTCGCGATTGATCCATCTCTGTGTGAGGCCCGAGGCTCTCAGTAGCTCAGCTGGAGATCTTCCCGAGCCATAGAGAATGTTTGGAAGTGGCAGACCAACGATTTTTGTGAAGACTTTGTTTCGAGTCTGAAAATAAGCAATCCATATTATAATCTCAACTTCATTGTAAGTTTTTAGGAAATAATAGCTCACCTTCGTTGTGAAGTTAAGGAAGTAGCTGGTCTGGTCCACCAGGAATATCTCTAAAGCACTCCTTCGCAGGTTGTACTTCCTGAGATGCACTTCACGTATCTTATTTGTGGAGAATCGGAAGTCGTATTTGGATCCATCCTCCGTCGGCGGACTTAAATCCACAAAGGTGAACACGCTTTGATTAACCTCAATGCGTCCCTTCACTTTGGTCATCAGGGTGATCAGTTCACAATCCTGCGACATGACTAGCTTCTCCAGCGCCACATCCTGTTGTGCCTGCGTGTCTATGAGCTGGCGCAGTTCCTCCTCGAGTTGGGAACTTTCGTCATCCGCCAGAAAATCTCGCACCACTGCATTCTTAATGGTGGAGTCGAATTCAGAGATTTCCCTGTGATTATTTATTAAATGAAAACTTTAGTTTAGAGAACTCTTAATCGGAGTTGGTAGGGCTTACTTGGTGTCATAGGCACTGGTCGCATTGTCCCGCAGATTGGCGGCATTCTCATGTTTGTTTGGATATAACTGAGGCTCCAGTTTCAGACGCATCCGTGCCACGTTCTCATGTGGCGATAGCTTCCAGAACTCCTCATTCAGATCGCTGAAATGATTTTAAGAATATTTTTTAAAATCTCTGAGAATCCTTACAAATTATAAACATTTTCTAAGAAAAAGCTAGCAATGGGCATATTCCTTCTCTGACTTAGCCTTTAAGAATCAACCATATATATCCTATATCAATCATAAATAACATACAAGTTTTTGTTTTCAGAATTTCTTTAATTTTGGCGATGAAAGTTATTTTATAGCTCGACAATGATTAATCGAATATGTACAGATGAAAGTCCTTTGTCGAATTGCGGTCAATCCTTCCTTTGCGACTCCTTCTTCTCCTCCTACTTAGGCAACGATGGGAGCGGCCAGGGTCTTGGCGAACACGGGAGCCACTGGGGCAGCAGCCACCACTGGAGCGACGGGAGCAGCCACGGTCTTGGCCAGAACTGGAGCCACTGGGGCAACAGCAACAGGCACATCCTTCTGCACCACAGCGTTGAATCCGTTGATGGAATCGGCGTAGTAGCTGACAATACGACGGGAACCATCGGGCTCGATCAGAGAGTAGGATCCACGGACAATATCACCATCACGAGTCTCCTCCTGGGTCTTGGAGTCACCGGTCAGAGTATCCTGGACATCGTAGGCGAACTTGTACTGTGGGTGGGCATCCACGATCTCGGTGGCAATGGGAGCAGCAACTGGAGCAGCCAGGGGAGCGGCAACGGCGGCAACGGGAGCAACTGGGGCAGCCAATGGAGCAGCGACGGGAGCAGCCAGAGGAGCGGCAACTGGGGCAGCCAGGCGGGCAGCAACTGGGGCAACTGGAGCAGCCAGAGGAGCGGCAACTGGGGCAGCCAGGCGAGCAGCAACTGGGGCAATTGGAGCAGCCAGAGGAGCAGCAATTGGAGCGGCGAACGGAGCAGCGGCGTAGGGAGCGGCCGCGTAGGTCTTGGCCACCAGAGGAGCTGGTCCTGCAACCAGAGGGGCGTTGTATCCCAGAGGAGCAGAGTAGCCCAATGGAGCGGAGTACGCAGCCGGGGCGAAGTAGGGAGCAGCTCCCAGAGGGGCAGAGTAGGCCAGAGGAGCACCCAGAGGAGCAGCGGCCAGAGGAGCGCCAACCAGACCAGCCTGAGCCGAAAGGGCCATCGAGGAGAGGACTGCAACAACCTGCAAGAAGAACCATGGAATCCAGATTAATCACCTGACCTGAAGGGTCCACCATCTCGCACCATCACTTACGGTCAAAGGATTCATTGTAAGGCTTGGGTGGGGTTTAGTGCGATTGTCACTGTCGGTTATCGAAAATGAACTGACATACCTTGGACAAAAAAAGCACGACTTTTATACCCAGATGCGTTCGCGAAATTTGCATGCGTCGCTCAGTTGAGGGAACTGCGTACCAATTGCGTATGGTAGCCCATTGTCCAAACTCCTTGCCCCTCTCATTATCGCCACATTTTTTGGTGCCCTCTTCCTACCCAGCATTTGGCTGCGTCTGGCGTCTGTGTCTCGGCTTTGATCCAAATTCCCAGCACGTACTCCAATTTTCTGTCGTCTTGCGGCTACACCAAGTTTTCATTTTTATTTGCCACTGTTTTTGCCTTGTTCGGATCGAAAGTGAATGCGATTTGATTATATTTCGGAGCAGTAGTTTTTTTCAGTAATTGTCATGCAGGTTCCATCCAATGGCAATGCTTTTAATTTTCCTTTACACCAAAAACACGCGAAACTTATAATTGAGACACTACATTGAACTCGGGTTGACAAGGGGTAACATTTTGGGTTTTCAAATTATTAAAAGATCTTTCTTTAAGGGAAAACAGTCTTATGAGAACCCATTTATCCTGTCTGAAGAGGCTTGATTGGCCTTATTATAAATTGGAAAGTTTCTTACAGACTTTATTGGGTATCAATTACAAATGCTAATGAGTTACCACCTGTACATAATAAGGTTGTTTCCCCGAAGGGTTTGGTTTCACTTCACCAGGTGAAACTGGGTCAATGTGGCCAGGGAATATCGATTAGACGGTGAGCTACATGAAATCAATATACTGATAAGGTTTTTAAGGTTTTTGGTCTTTAAAGTCTTGAAATATTTCGTAAACTTAAAACTACAATACGCTCTTTAAAGTAATCAGAAAAATACGGATTTCATTTTGGTTTCTGAAGATTCTTATAGTTCCATAAGAAACGTAACATACTTTGTGTAAAAATTATTTAATTTATAGAGGAGAAAGGATTCTTTTCAAAAATACCATATTTTTTGTCAACAAAACAGTCAACAACATTTTCCAATCTCTGGTTTTCAGTTAACTTATTTGTTGATTAAAGATTCCGCATCGATTCCGTGCTGTAACTGGTGGCTGGTTTCGAGTTCGTGACTCTTTTCCAAAATGCAACCAACGACCTTGCGACTTGTTGGCTTCGGATTCACATCGGAGAGAGCCCCAGAGAGACCAGGAGAAACGAAGAGAGCTCAACTCTTGGCAGCAGATGGCGGTATTATTCATAGGCTTGATGGAGCTCACTAACGGTTATTGGCGTAGATCGTCGCGCCACCGGAAACCAGCATGGCTGCATAGTGCTCTGCTTTTGGCGTTAAAAGCTAATGGAATGCTCTACTGCCATTTAAGCAGTTCCTTGCCCAATCATTCGATTCTGCTCTGAGATGAGAATTAATTAAAAGTGGATGTAATACTGGCCACTGCCACTTAGCTGCCAATTGTGGGCAAGGTCACAGCGGTTAAAGCTTCCAAATGCCGGATAGTTGCCTTTTGGCCCGATCGAGGCAATTACGGTGGCTAAGTGACCGGCTCAGAAATGTGGGCGCTGGTTCAGCCTGCGTGGAAATAAAATCGGCGAGGGGTTAATGCGTGTGCGAGTGCGTAATTGCGCCTGCGCACCGCCCATTCCCTCCTCCTAAACCACCGAAACTTGCCATATTCGTTTTCTAATTAAACTAGTGGCAGCAAACGATTGATCTTGTCTTAATACTCTATCTATCAGTGGGTATATAATTTTAAGCATTTAAATTTCCTGGAAAAATTACACATACGCCATGGTAACCTAACAAAAGTTGCTTGCGTTTTGGCCACATGGCGTGTTGGTAATAAGCTGCATAACTAAATGGAAGGTATTCAAATTAGTTACCCAATTATTATGGCATTTTTGCAAAACTCTTTCATAAAATTTATGAAAGTTGCTTATTTCAATCGTAACTTTGACTTTGGGCTAAATGCAGTAAAATTAGATTATAGTGGAATGGGTTAAAGTATCGATCAGAATCGAAGTATTCCTGTAAGGGTAACCATAGCTACCCAAAACTAATCTCCCGTTCTTGTGGCAACTTTAACTGCCTCAACATGAGGCAGCTATTACATCAGACAAAGTTCGGCTAGAGAACCTGAGAATGTGCCGAAAAACAGCGAAAAAATGAAACCAGATTGGTCAGCGGAAAACGAGTCTAGTGTTGGTGGTATTGTGGTATGTTAGAGCAGCGCTCTTGAACGGACTGAAATGGTTTTCGGTGAGTGGTGTGCCACTGCAACAGCAGTTATTCCATTGAGAAAAGCCAGCACTCATGATGAAATCCGTACCAGAAACATGAAATCCGCGATCAGCGATGAGGTCTGGGGTGCAAGATCGAGATCGAGATCGGGCAGTCACCAAATGAGACGCAATTGTCACTCTGCCCATTAGATTGTCCAGTTTTTTTTAGTCGGTGGCTGCTGCCAGTTGGCGAATATAAAACTGAAGAGCTGGCGGAAAATGCATCTCACATTTGAGCTGAGTTCTCGTAGTGCAGACACCTCCAAAACAGAGCTCCCTCAGTCACATCCTACTTCGCCATGTTTGCCCAGGTGAGTTGGACAAAGGATTGGGTTCATTAGTTGGCTCTACTGATCAAGGAATTCCTTGCCAGACTCTTTTCGTTTTGGGACTGATCCTGTCCGCGGTGGTGGCCATTCCCATTGATCCATATGGTCTGTCTTCTCCTGGACTCTCCTATGCGGCTCCTAAATTGTTAGCTGCTCCTGCTATTTCTTATGCTGCTCCTAAGCTCCTGGCTGCTCCTGCCATCTCGTACGCTGCACCAAAACTCCTAGCTGCTCCGGCCATCTCTTATGCCGCTCCTGCCATCTCCTATGCTCCTAAGGTCCTGGCTGCCCCCGTTGCCGTGGCCAAAGTAGCTGTTGCCGAGCCCTACGATCCGAATCCGCAGTACAGCTTCTCGTACGGAGTAACCGATCAGCACACCGGAGACTCCAAGCAGCAGGAGGAGACCCTGGTAAACGGTGTTGTCCACGGCAGCTACTCCTTGGCCGAACCCGATGGCACCATTCGCAAGGTCACCTACACCGCCGATAAGGTCAATGGCTTCAATGCTGTGGTGGAGAAGAAGGGTGTGGCCGCTGTGGCGATTGCCAAGCCAGCTATTGCAGTTGCCGCGGTTCCTGCCATCACCAAGATTGGATACGCCTCGGCGCCTGGTCTGAGTCTGGGTGGATACCACTAAGAAGTGAACCACAGTGGACCGAGCGATGACAAACTCTTTGGCCTAGTTATAGGACCGTTGTTAAATAGTTCTAATGCATTATCACCACTATATCACCCGATTAACCCACTCTTTCTGTCAGTCAAAAACCCGAAACACAAGGACGTGCGTGCTGTTGCCCCCGCTGTTGACCCACATTCCCCATCTCCGATCGGAATGGATTGGACACTATGTATATCACCGCCACCACAGACTACGTTTAGGGATACCGTTCTGGGGATCTGGGGAACGGCTATCGGCCACTTAGTGAATTAGTATCTGCATTTACTGAATAAAAGTTTCGGTACAAAAAAAGGTTTTAATGTTTCTTTTACTTGGGGTTGAGAATATTTTCAGATCTAGTTTTTTAGTATTTAAAGAGTTAAGGGTTTTCTTACTCCTAAGAATAATCTGCATTTATGATTGTTTTGGATTGCTAAATAGGCTAAGCTAAAGAAATGCTCCATATACCACATGGTAAGTCTCAACCAACGTTGGGGTAGGTTCAGAGGCCCAGTGTAGAGCTCCAAATCTTAAATGCCAATCACGTAGTGTCAACTATATTTACGGTTATCACAATTCATATTGCAGGTGGTTTCGTGGAGGGGAGAATTGTGCAAGCTGGGGCGCTATTTGTTGGCACGTCCACTGGGGAAACCTTTTCCAGGGGACTAGACACCAAAATGGGCCATTACGTCAGAAAATGGAATCGTTTTTGGCACCAGTTGCCACATGGCGCATGTCTTTGCTGGAATCGGTAAGCCCTTTATAACCCCAATCCAATGGCAACCTAAGACAGTTCCGACAGCATTGTCAAGCAACCAGCACCACCAATTGTTATCCACCAGCAAATCTAGTCATGGCCCTGATCAAGGTGAGTTAAGGGATCCTTGACTTGACATGGATTTCCTTTAAAACGGATTCTACCTAACAGATCACCCTAATCTGCTGCGCTTTGATCGCTGCCATCGAGTGCGCCCTGCTGCCAGCTGCAGTTCCTGTGGGAGTTCCTCTGAACACCGAGGTGGATCCGCATCCTCAGTACGCTTTCGCCTACAACGTTCAGGATGCTCTCACTGGGGACAGCAAGAGCCAGCAGGAGGTTCGGGATGGAGACGTGGTTAAGGGATCTTACTCCGTGGTGGATGCCGATGGATCTCTGCGCACTGTTTTCTACACCGCTGATCCCATCAACGGATTCAATGCGGTGGTGCAAAGGGGACCAGTTCCGGTGGCTGCTCGTCCATTGGTGGCTCCAGTGGCTGCCCCACTTTTGGGTTAAAACCTCAATCTTATAGAGCTTAGAACACTGCTTGAAATCTAGCTTTTACATAACTTATTGTCTGCTCCTTAGTCCTTTGTAAAGTCATAAATCATTTAATAATAAAATCAGTAAGCCAAAGATATGTCGTTGAAAAGTCAAATGCAAGTACTTACTAACCATAATTTAGGAAAATCTATAAGTCTGCGTATCAAGTCGATCAATTACAAAATTCAAAAACGAGTTTACATCTACACCTATCCATTTTATTAATTAGTCAGAGCTGACAGGCAAGCTCAAGGCCTTAAATCTGTACTAGCTTAGTTAACTAGTTAATGATAATGAACCAAATTAAACACACACTTAAAGTAAAGCAAAATAGCCAGATATTAGTGAATATGTTTTCAAGATCAACATTTGCGTGTCAATAAGATGCAAAACGTGTAATTTTGAACTTGAAACTAGTTACTGTGATAACTTTTCAAATTTCATCATAACTCTGGGTGGCCGAAAATGCAAAATGAATGTACGAGTATCTGGTTAATGGAACTAATTACTTTGCAAACTTTTCCGTGACTCCACATCATTTAAAAATTGTTTTGTAATTTTAAAAATGTAACAAAAGCAGCAGGAAAAGAGACCAATACCCCAAAGAAAGCTGACCCATATCACAGGCCATTTTTCACTTACATAAGAAACCAATCTTAAATGGTAATCTCCCCCCCAGCTGTCCCACGCCCAAAGAACTCTTCCACTCCAAATAAATACATTCACTCGCTGGCCCAACACGCACTCAAATTATTCAATAGCTTAATTGAAAGTAAAAAATCGGCACGAGATGCAATTTTTGGATTACGCAAACCCCAACCCGAGCATGTCCATAGATGTTGCTGCCGGCGCTGACTCCAGCAGTAACTGCAACTGCAACTGCAGCAGCGACAGCAACGCCTAACAAGCGGCGGTACGCGTTGAAAATTAGTGATAATGGGCAAAATTGTCCCAATGGCAATAGACCAGAGTTACAGAACCAAATCTGTGCACTGTAGAAAAATGATTTAAAATAAAAACAAGAACGAATCTCTACAGAGATTCTTTCCAGTCGAAGGAACACCTTAACTTCTGTTTAATTTACTTTATAGAATGTTAGATTAATAGATTATAGTATCCACAAACCCTATTTGCTTTTTAAGTAACCCATAAAACGTAAGAACCCAGCAAAGAATTGTTCTTTTTTCTCCCAGTGCATTAAATGCGTCTGGCTGAGATTTTTGGGTGGGCGCGGTTTAGAGCGCTGCCAGCCAGTTTCGAAGGCTGTGCCCCAAACACACCTTTCAACAATCGACTGCTGGGTGCGTGTGCAGCTTCGCCCCAATCTAGTGGCCATAAAGCCAAGACATGGGACATGGGAGGTGCCTCATGCTGTACCGCCACACACCTGATCCGCCCGGCCACCCGGTCTAGGCCCAAAAAATTCGCTTTCGAATTGAACTTTTTTGTCACGACGACAACGACGACGGAGCCGGCGTGGGACCAGTTTACTTTGGTCCGGCACAGTCCTCCCAAACTCCCAGACATGCGTGAAGTGCAGCAGAGACCCTCCTCCTCGACCACCACCCGAGAGTAGCCCCTTCTGATTGCCATGGGCAGCGAAAAATGAATTATTTTATATTTGTCGCGATCGATGCAAGTATTTCGCATAGACACAGGCCGCCACAGACTCCACACGCATGCGCACTTTTTAGTTGTTTATTATTTTTGTGTCTTATTGCGCTTTTTGCATAAATATCTGGTGGCAGGCGGCGGCGGAGGCTGTTGCGGATTTTTGGGCTCGCGTCTATGGTAGGCCTATAAAAAGCAATTGTCGTGCGGCCACAGAACCACAGATCGAGTTCATTTGTCAGTCGAGCAGCAACCTCCAGTTCTCCATCTAAATCCAACAGCAAGTAATCCAGAATGGCACAGAAACTTATCCTCGTCCTGAGCGCTTTGGTGGCGGTGTCCTCCGCCGTGGTGGTTCCCGGTCCCGGACTGGCCCTGCCCGCCTATCCATCGTATCCGGCGCTGGCCAAGGTGGCTGCTCCTCTGGTGGCTAAGGTGGCTGGACCCGAGCCCTACGATCCCAATCCTCAATACACCTTCAGCTACGATGTTCATGTGAGTCAGCATCTTAAGAATTTACTTGAAAAGTTCTTGGCTAGTCACCTCATAAAAAGCAATGTCTATTCAAAAATCAGCATACAAAATCCATTTTGTGAGTAGCTGGTATGCAAATTTGGATTTTTGTTAGACATTTTTATGAAGTGTTTATGGGAGATTAGAACTATTAAACCAGAACGTATTTGTTAAACAAGATGGATATCAAAATGGCTAAAGAAGGACCCTAATCCTTTCTAGAAAACCTATAAAGGACATAGAACATTGATCATAATATACAAATTAATCTACATCCTTAAGAAATCATAAACCTCTTCTAATCAAAATGTGTATCCCCTTTCAACAGGATGGATCTACTGGTGATGTGAAGAGCCAGCAGGAGACCCGCAGCGGTGATGTGGTGCAGGGCGCCTATTCCCTCATCGAAGCCGATGGCACCCGCCGTATTGTGGAGTACACCGCCGATCCTGTGCACGGATTCAACGCAGTGGTCCGCCGTGAGGGTGCCGTGGTTAAGGCAGTGGCTCCAGTGGCCAAGGTTCTTGCTCCAGCTCCTCTGCTCCATGCCGCTCCTTTGGTTGCCAAGGTGCCCGCATATGCCCCAGCTCTGGCGCCTGCTTATCCGGCTCTGGCCCATGGATACGGTCCGGCTTTGGCCCCAGCCTACGGACCCGCTTTGCCCAAACTGGCACTGCCTGCTCTGCCCGCCCTCTCGCCCCTGGGCTACCACTAAGTCAGGGAATCGAACCCAACCGGATTGATATTTGCCGACCTCTTGCCGCACCCGAATAATGGACACATCGCGACCAACTTCTCCTGCCACGTGGCCTCCAGCTAACAGAAGGCCACGGGCCGATCGTAGTCGATAGTAGTTGTAGTATTAGTTGAAATGAAAGCGATTTATCGAAATATGTACATACGAATTCACGGACAGCGGGTTCTGATTTGATTATTATTTTTGGATCCGGATCCAATGTCCCCTCATCTACACTCACAACATTCTCGAGGCCTTTCATTTATGTTTCTTGTCTTTTTAATCTTAAGGCTGTTTGACCGCGATAAAAACTCTATAATCCCCAACTTACAATCCCCGTTTCAATTCTTATTTAATCCGAGCCTGTGCACTCGAGTAGAACTCGCAGAATGAGAAACGAGATTGCAATAAACGAACCGAAGCTATGCAAATGGAAAGTTAAAGGAGTTTTCTTATGGAAATGGGGGAAAACTTGGTGGGAGAAAAGGTAGTCAAAGAAATTTCACTTTTGTTTTACGATTTAAAAAGTAAATTTAGAAGAAAAAAGATCTATATTATAAAGAAATAATCCATGTAATGGAAAATTCTCGAGAAATTGCAAAAACTTATAAATTATTTCAACAAGCCTAAAAATGAATTCTCAAGAAACCTTAATAATACTTTTCATAGTCAATAAACACCTCACTGCAAAATACCTGCAATCGTGCTGAGTGTTGGCGGACCATTAAAATAAATATAAATATTTGTGTAGAATTTGAAAACATAATTGCAGCTATTAAATAAGCTTATAATTATCAAAATTACATTTAATTCTAAATCATTGAATGTTAAATGTCATTATTAGAACCAAAAAGCTAACAAGTCAGCTTGGCTTGGCTTTGTCAAAACATGAAGTCCATGTTAATTTTGGGCCAGATGTTGGCTTTTTGCTGTTCTTTTTTTTACACCGTGAGCTGATCGACCTTAGAACAGAACAAGCCCCACCTGAACAGGTCACCGCTACTGCTGCAACTTTGGCCGTCAACAGAGCGCAGGCTAATCGCTCAAGGCCCGGGCCACGCACCACAGAAAACTGCGTAATTCGAGCGTCAATGCAAAGTGGTCTAAATGAAATTTATGGGCTCAGTTAGAGAACACACCGCCGCTGCGATTGGCAATCGATCTGATCGAGTAATTGGCAACCGGCCACCAGCCACCGGGCACAATGGTTAAACTGGAAATTCGATTGCCATTCGCCGCGCCCCAATCAAATGCATTGGTTGGGGGGATAATTCGATCCGTCCGAGAACTGACCTCCATCAAAATGGACCAAACCCAGCACGGCTATGTCTGCACATCTGCATGGAGCGCCTTCAATTATGTGCATATTTGTTTATGTAAAAATTTATGGCTCGCATAATGAGTTTTCGTTACATTTACAATTGCATAATGCGACGGGTCTTTGTTGCATTCGACATTAAACGCTTTTGATGATTTAATAAAATTAAATTGAAATGTTAATCGCGACACGGCATGGGCGGGAAAGTGGAGGGGCCAGTCCAAAAGACATGGGCGAAAGCGTAAGACAATAGGCGAGCTGCACTGCCAAACAGCAGGTGTTACAATGGGACTAAAAAGCTCGAGGGGTAATCAAAACATGTCCAAAATGGAAGAAAGTAGTCATAAGTTATGAAAAAATTTTAAGGCTTACTATCTTAGTCAAGTTGTAGTTTTTACAAGTTAATAATTAAATTATTTATTTAAACAAACAATTCAAATAAAATGCTCATCAAAGCTAAGAGAGTTTTTAGATACGGCTATAAAAAACGAATAAATATTCGAATGTTAAGCCTCTTTGCAAAACTAAAAAAAACTAATATGATAATCTCCAAATCTCACCACTAATCTCATCAAAATGAATACATTTAAACAAGATTTGCAGTTAAAAGTCGGCTTATAAATGTCCATCAGATTATCACCAATTTGTGGTATTGTTTTGACGGATTTCACCCATTGTGGCAGTGGAACCCGGGCAACAACAACCTACTAAACGTATTGTGGTTACCACCAGCCGAGAGTGTTGATGAACATGATGACTCTAGTGGGTCTGGTGGGCCTGATGGTCTGCCCCTGTTGGCGTTGGTGCAGACTTTAATGATTAAGAGGGATTTGTTTGCATTTGGAAGTGAAATTAACACAAAGCGCAGCGGCTTCTGGCAATATATTTGTGTCTTCGAGTGGTTTAGCGGTGTTTGAGACCACGAGTGTGTGCCTCCAGGTGATTAAGTGATCACGCACACATGTAATATGAGTATAACCGCTGCACGCTGGCACGCTCGATTACAATTGTCGCCTCAAATGCGAGGCGGGCAATTAAAATGCTGAATTTCGCGTCATTTCATAATGGAATCGGTGACTTTTACAGAGAGAGAAAGATATTATATTCAGTTTTATTCCAAAAACTGTACTTGCATACAAAAAAAATGTATCTTAACTATGAAGTTAGAAGATTCTCTATTAACATAATATCTACCCCTTACATAGTTCTTAAGCAGTAAAATACTTTAACTAAAATCTAAGAAAATGTTTTTCTTTTTTTGTAATTATAAGTAATGTACTTAGGACTCACCCAGTATACCAGGGTCCGCGGGGGCCGTACAAGAAACGCTTGGCGGTCTTCCACCGCTTCCGTATGTGACTGTCGACGGTCTTGTGGTGTAGTGCAGCCGCCTGCAATCGCTGCATCTCCTCCACCTGGCGCACCTTCCATGGCATGTAGATCTTTTGCTGGAATAGACGCCGGTTCTCGGTCTGGTTTGTAGCTCTCTGTTTGGAAGCTGCCTTGCAGGCTTCATAGCATTCCGCCCAGAATCGATTGATGGGTTCCCACAGATGCAGCTCAATGTCGCGCTGGTAGCGATCGTACAGCGGCTTCACCTGAAAGTGTGAGAAATTCGAGATCAGTACACAAAAAGAAACGATAGCATGGTAAAACCTTGGCAGTGATAAGAATTAAATTTTTAAATAAATAATAAACAATCTTGTTAGAACAAAAATCGTTTAGGATATAAGGATTTTTCTAATAAAAACATCAAGATTAAGTCTGATTTTTCTTTCAGTCTGCGAATTGTGATGGATATCGAGATTGACGATTATGGCAGCTTGAATTTGTTTTCGCTTTCATTTGATTCAGGGGCAGTCTTCGTGCGTGTTCGAGTTCCATCTGCTGGCGAGGCGATCTAGCGGAGATCACTCCACGTCCAAGTCACGTCCGGTCAGGTTCAAGTTCAATGTGCATACAGCCGCAGGCACAGGAAACACTCGATTGCAGTTGTGCAAACCAGTTAGATAGCTGTTTATTAGGGGTTTATTTAACGCCGATGCCGAAGCCGATCTCTTCCAGATATCTAGCGTATCCAGGAGGCATCCGCATTGCAGTAGTGAAGGCAACACGGCGGGAGGTTCTTTGCATAATCCACCACCTCCAGTGCCTCCGGCGATCGTTCCAAGGCACTGGGCACACACGAATTAAATAAAATAAAATGGAAAATAAAAGAGCAGAGCAAAATATTTCTGGTAAAATCTCCACCAGGTGGGTGCATCGGCAGCGACGCCGCTTTGTCATTCGACTGGTTCCAGCTGCGCCTCTTCGAGCCACAAAACCAGACCACTTTCTTGGCGCTCAGCTCAGTTGCCGAAAGAAAGTCCGACGAGTCGTGACCGACCGGGAGCCGCGTGGAAAATCTCAATCTTAATAAACTCCAGCACCAACTTGGATTTGGTTGGATTCGGAGTTGGAGTCGGAGTCGCTGTGCCGCCGCCAATGAAAGTTGTGTTGATGTTCGCGTCGATTTCGGAATTTGTTTTTCCAAACTCCACAGCTGCGTACAGTTTAGTTCGCGTTTTGTCTACCGCTCAAAATGTGCAATTTGTTTTGGCTTTCGGCCTGTTTTGTAAGCGATTAAATAATATGTGAATTAATTATGCTGCCATCTCTCGGGTGATGTCGTAGAGGCACTTATTAAAGAGAAACCATTAAACTATGAATTTTGAACAAGGATAGGCTGAAGTTATCTCGCCCCAATGGGATATATTATCCTTTGCTTATGGCCAATCAAATTTAAAACAGTTTCATATAGTTACAAAGGTGCACTCAGTTACTATTAATATTGCTTTTGAAATAGTGTATAGTTTTTCGATAAGAATGCTAAATTATCAGTAGTTTAGTAGAGCCGTTTACAGTTCTAGATTCCAAAAGGCATACTATTTCGAACAATACTTACATAGTACTTATTTCAAGTTTAGAAACCATTTCCCTTAAACCCTTAACTTTCCGCTTTATTGGCAATCTCGAAACATTGTTTACCCAAGCCTCAGCAAGTCATGGCCAAAAGCAAAAGCCAAAAAAAGCAGCTGCAAACGGATTCGCGCACATGAACCTGGCGATGATCAGGTTCAATGCTTGGCTCCTTCGGGTGCCCAGTTCCACCTTCTCCTCTCGCAAGCCCTCTACCTCCTCGAGGCTGGATTGCGTGAGACCAGCGAGCCGGCAAAGTCGCCTATCGATGCAACAATTACGAGGAGCCTGGCAAACAAGACTCGTGACTAGATTGCCACTGGTGGAGGTGATGGCAACTATGTTACGTGTAAAGAGCTAGGGTAGCTGGGAGCCAGAGAGGCACTGAGGCGGAAGCCATCGCCGAAAGCTAGTGGGTCTTAGTTGGAAAGTCAAAGGTTGGCCACATAAGACAAAACCACACAGAGATGACAGCATTTAAGTTTGGAAGGAGAAAGTTTATTTGTCTGATGACATTTTTTTGCGGAAGATTAACCCACTCACCCTTTACCTTTTCTTTCTTCCCTTCTCCCCGTAGTTGGCTGTCTGGCTGCCCTTCGCCCTGAGCGAATCCAATGCCACAAGTGTTGACAGGGAGCCCAAGACTGAGCCAAAATCAGAGCTAGTGCCTACGGCGGAGAAACTAATACGATACCGCCGTCAGCCACCCTACGCCGTGATCAAGCGCTCCAAGGTGCGCCGACGGACTAAAGGTTCACCTAAGATTAAATATGGACCACCACCACCCCACATTCGCTACTCAAAGCCCTCGTTTCCATCACATCTCGAGGAACCTAGTTTCTCGCTGGATGACTTTCAGCACCTAAAATTTGATGGTGCGGACTTTAAGATACCCACCTCGAGCTATGAAGCGCAGTCCATGGACTTGGATTTCTATAACCACGATTCGGAACCGGACCTTTATGGAGCACACAAGTTTCCCAGCCTGGACTTTGGCCTCGTCACAACCCATGAGCACGTCCCTCATCAAAAGTACGGATTGCCATCTCTTCAACAAGGTTTCCAGCCGGAACACTCGGTTGCTTCGCACTATGAGCCACCTCCTGCTCCGGCCCATCCGCCATCTACCCGTTATGGAGTACCCTCGGCCCCAGTACCAGTTCCCAACTATCCGCATCAGGATTTGCCAGCTCCGGATTCGTATTCCATTTATGAACAGAAGATCCCCAATGTAGGATATCATCAGAACTTCGCAGAGCCACCGAAGCAGCCGTCCAAACATGGTTCCGATCATAATCCTAACTTTGAGATTGCCTACTCTCCACCCGCTTTCGAGATCAGCACTTCCTATCAGTCAAATCACCAACAAAGCTATGTGCCACCCCATAAGTCAAATTCTCATGATGGATTCGCCGAGCCCCCGTCCAATAATTATGTAAAGCCTCCCCAGCATCCGCCATCGAATAGCTACGCTCCACCACAACATCCTTCCTCGAGTTATGACCATCCACCGCAGCATCCTCCTTCTACTTATAACCAGCCTCCGCAACATCCATCTTCTAGTTATGATCAGCCTCCTCAACATCATTCCCCTAGTTATGAACAACCTCCACAACACCCCTCCTCCAGTTATGACCAACCTCCTCAACATCCCTCCTCCAGCTATGATCAGTCTCCGCAACATCCCTCCTCCAGTTATGATCAGCCTCCGCAATATCCTTCCTCGAGTTATGATCAACCTGCGCAACATCCCTCCTCCAGTTATGACCAACCACCCCAGGAACATCCAAGTAACTACCAGCATCCTCCATCATCTACCTACGACCAACCACCTCAGCACCCTCCTACCAACTACGTATCCTCCGATTCACATTCCATCAATAGTTATCCGCAAGACGATTATGCACCACCTACGCAGGAATTGCCTTTGAATCCACACCATAAGTTCCCAAGCTTCGATTTTCCAAAGTCCAGCTACGAAGTTCCCATCTACGATCCCGTGCCATTCGAAGCCTCCAATCGTGATGAGCAGGAGTCCTATCCACCATTCCTGGCTCCCTCTCCCGATCAAAACGAAATAACTTCAGACGCCCATGCGGCTGGCAGTTCCAAGCGGAGGAAGAGGAAGCGAAAGCCCAGCTCTGGAATCGTGCCCGCAAAGCATACTTTGGATGTCCCTGAGCTCCAGCAGGCTTATGATGCGGATAGCCATTTAGGGGAGTCGAATGAAAATGCCGATACAGATACAAATAGCTCTCACTATGTGGAGAGGAAGCAGACATTCTTTAACTTTGTCACACCCACAACCACAAAGTCGACTACTCCGGCACCTTGGAGTCCAATGAGGGGAAGGGGTAGTACTACTCGCACAGCATTCATACCCACCATTGTTACAAGTACTACGGCAACTCCCACCACTGCCCGGACTAGAAATCGCGGCTCCTCCCGGTATCGCACAAACTCTCAAGCCCCCATGAATCCTAGTTCACCCGATCCCATCAGCACCAGTGTTAGAATCGATCAATCTCATTCTCAAAGCTATTACGATGGAACCATTGCACCACCCACTAGGCAACAGTTTATACCCACCACCGGAGGGCGATTCTCGCGTCCTACACGACCGGGTTACGTTAGAAACCACGGGCAGGTGTCACCGCTGGCATTGCAGCCAGCAGGTCCACCGACATCAAAGCGAACCACCAAGGGTGTCTTCGACACAACGCTGTTCAAGAGTCCCCTCAGCGACCGGGAAATGGAGCGAAATCTTCACGGGCTGCGTCAAAACTTGCCAAAAAATCACAAACTATTCTGAGTTCTCAATTGAATTTACAGGAGGTATATCTTAAAGACTTAGTTAAATAGTTTTTAAATAAGTTATTACGTTCTATCATAAGTTAAAAACGTTGTATAAACTTATATTAGTTATAAGCAATTTTAAAGAATCGAGTTCCAAATAAAACTGTTACTTCACTGATACCTTTTTGTTAATAATATTTTAATAACTTACCATGCGTTCAATGAAGTTTCTCCATTTTTTGCTGGTGCTATACATTTGGAAATCATTAAAGAAGACAGGACCAGACGAGGTTGAAGGCAGATCCGGAAGGGTTGAATCCAAATTGAAGGCGAAGCGACATTTCTCCAGCAATGCTTTCATCACAGGCATTAAGAAAGAATACTCTTCTGGATTGCCAACTGAAATGAAAAATCATTAAATACTTGCATAAATTAAGAAATATTTTCTAAGAAACTCACCTTCAATGGCATTATCCAGAGCCCTATTAATGCTGTACAGAAGATACGAGAGTTCTGCGGGATCCTCCGTAGAACGACTTTGAAGAATAGCATGCAGTTTGGCCGTCGCCATGGCCACAATTCCAGGGTTCGGATGATGCGAGCACTTGAGCAGGAGACCCAAGCACAATCGAATCATATCCGACCAATCATCTGAGGATCCCTGTTGGAAGATCATCAGGGCATCAAGCAAAGCTAGGACACCGTCCAAAAGTTTCGTAGAACACTTCTTTGACTCGTCTTCATTTGATCCAAGCACCACCAATTCATAAACCATGCGCAGAATGTGCGAAGCATTCTCCTGGTTGACTAGTGTCTGACTACCGTGTTCCGACAGATCGAAAAGTGAGGCTTGCACGGCCATTTCCAAAATCCGCAGACGTAGCGATAGATGAGAAGTTATTAGCTCGTTGTTAAGAGCCAGCAAATTGATGCAGCCCAGCACTTGGCCACGTTCTTGCCAGCACTGAGGGTGATCGTTAGGAATTCCGCGCCAGAAAATGTTGAATAGAGTATTTGAGACTAGATAAACCAACTGCTCCTCGGTGTCCACATCGCCATCGGCCACAAAGTCAAAGGCAGAGGTGCTCTAAATAGGAAATAATAAATAAGATGGAATATTGTTCATATAGAAAAGTTATTTACCTCCAAGGAATCACTTTTCTTTGGCGGACCATGCGGCGACTGCGTGGAGCTGTCGGAGCTTATGGATTCCTCACGCTGAATTGAAGGAGTCTGCGAGCCATCGGCCGTATCCGTCGAACTACCCAACGTCAAGGACTCGAATGTGTCCTGCAGATCATGGGTGGTCTGCCGAATGACTGAAAATAAGCTGCTGGCATTTTCAACCACTGCTCCAGATACAGATTCAGCCAATTCTGATATTTAAATAAGAATGATTAATATGAATTTCTGGGTAAAAAGTATAAAAGCGTCTTACCTTTAATTTCACTTTCAATGACGGTGGCTGCCTCAGAAACGCTGGCCTGGATTTCGTTAAGTATAAGACCACTGTCGCTCAGTTCCTCTTGCTGCTGCTGCTGTAATTGAGCCAACCCAATCTCCTGCTCCGAGAACGTGATGAGATCGGCCTGGGCCAAAAAGCTGGAGTTATCCTCCAAAAGCACATCCAAGTTGATACCAAAACTGCGCCGCTTCTCTTCGTCTGGCGGCGAACTGGTAAGGGGTTTGCGAATGAGCAGCCGAGCAATGGATTCCTGCCACCCCGTTTGCTTGGCCATTGCGACTGTGGAATGTTGCTTCACGAAGGTAGTTTGAAGCAGTCGTTTGGCGACCTCCAGTTTTACGGGAAGATCACAACTGCTCACATGATAAACCAGAAATATAAGACCTGCATAGTCTGGCTGAAGTCCAAGCATTTCATCGACCAAATGGAAGATAATCGTAGAGCTGAGTGATGACGGTGTGATGAAGGAGAAAAATCCAGGAAACATGCTCTGCTCGGTAGCTTGTTCGTACAATCGAAGCACTTGCTTATATTTCTGGTGCACCCGAGATGTGGCTAATAATCCACTTATAAACTAAATATAGAAAAGGAAAATTTTAGCCACTTTTCTTGATCAATAAAATATTTCAATTTACCCTTATAGCCGCCTCCTGAATCTCATTATTGTAGCTCTTGTCCACGAAGAAGTTATAGATAAGATTGGCAGATTGAGGCTCATGCAGGAGAAGAACCATCTGATCCTTGCAATTCTTGCCGCGCACATAAAAAGTCATCATTTCCAGGAACTCCACAAGTACCACATCCTGTCGCACCGAAGCCAGAAATGCTATCATTGAATTCACTTCTTTGATGTTCACTTCCTTTTGCAGATAGAACTTAATTATTCCGAATAGCGTAGCCCGAATTGTTTTGGCGTCTTCATCGCTGATGCTGTCTGGTGTGGAATAGTATTGTCGTACCACGTCCAGTACAAACTGGACACCATACCGCTTGCGGAAGAACTTTCTGTCATTCTTGATCATGGCACTCAGGTACTGAGCATGTCCCAAGGTGATTTGAAACTGCAGACGCGACCAGATAGCAAAGTCAAAGACAATGTGAGCGTACAATGCATCCAAAAGCTGTCCGCCTGCTTCGGCCTTGTGTCCTTGGAGCGATTCCATCAGCAGGTGGGTGGCCATTAAAGCATTAACATCAAAAAGAGTCGGCGGGCAGCGTTGAAGCATAGTGCCCACAATGGCCAGGCATTCGCTACTCAGCAATTGTTCTTGGTTAGTTTCGTGCTCATGAGTGAGGTATCGTAATAGACACAGGAAGCTAGCCAGCGGGTGTTGCAGCATTTTCCATTCGGTGTATGAGTTCGAGGAGAGCATCTCCCAATCGGTAAATTCTTCCGCCGATGGTGTCGGAGCGCAGGACAATGACTCCTCGCTCACACTTCCAATTGAAATATCTGCTGCTTGATCCGATGTGACCAGCCTATGCAGGATGGGTAATATTGCACTGACACCTCCGATACTGTTGATTGTCTCCTGGATCTTTACGATCTTGCAGTGCTGAGCATTTATCCTCCCAGGGTATTTCCCACCTGGTATAAGATCCTGGCAGATGCCATGCCACACTGCTCCCGGAGCATAGCAGAAAACGAAGCGCGAATTCAGTTCCAGGAGGTCATTGTCCTGGGAGAAGATTGAACTAAAATTTGAGCCGGCATCGAAAATTGTCTTTAGACTGGTGGTTGGATCGGCAAGCAGCACCCCACCAAGGTGTCCGTGAAGACAAGTTTGCTCCCCAAATACTGTATCCTGCATTCCGATGGGAAAGTTTTTTACATTAGGATCAAATGCGGTTTGGGTGCGCATGGGCAGGGTGAAGTAGTTTGATACCTAAAAGGATAAATTAAATAAGAAATAGAAAATTTATGCAATATTTAGATTCTTACATTTGCGGACAGGGTTCGTTCAAGTAGACTAGGAAGCATTCCCTTATAGCCACTGGATCCGCTTTCCTGGGAAGACGATCTGGGCATAACGCCAGACTTGGCAACTTCGCCCGGATGTGGTGGCGCCACCACTGCACCAATGGAGCAGACTGTGAAGGGCTCATTAACTGCTTGAACTTTCAGGGTGGCACTTAGCTTCTGTACAAAATCCACATAGATATTAATTTGACTATAGGAAAAGGGTCGCTTTGGAGGCGTTATAGCCACTGTTAAGTAATGCCACTGGCCATCCATTAGTGTCTTTGTGGCTGTGGCGGATGTTAGATATTCTCGCCTGGTCAAAGCAGCCACCACAACATTTCCATTTGGTTGGACAAAGACCTCAAATCCACTGCCACTGACTGTCTGCAGGGTGAGCAGCATTCGACGACCGCTCGTTTGATCCTTCAGCTGATTGAAGCGTACCAGGATATGGAAGATGAAGCCGTACGAACCGGAGATTGTCCAGTTCCGAATGTCTGGAACAAGAATTCCATCTGTGGGCTGCTCGATAGAGAAGTACTCGGCGCAGGAGTTACTACCTCTTAAACTTTGAAGAGCAATTACCACAAGAGTCTGAAAGAAAATTTAGTTTAAGTAAGTGGAGATATGTAAGTAATTTAGATTTACCTGTTGGAGCTGCTTGCTCTGTGGGAACTTCGTTCCCTGACGCAACAATGCAAATATGCACTTTAGCTCTGCAGGGACAATACTAAGCTTGCTTAACTCCTCTATCAATTTAATGAGATTTTGAACACAGTTTTCTGCCAGAGATTCCGCTGTCAGCAGGCAACCACATACAGCTTTGATGATATGACTGCCACAAGCCACAGATTTGCTGTAAAGACGAATTAACTCAATATTTATCATATTTTAAGGATATAACAAAATAACTTACGTTCCATAATTATCGGTGCAGCCCTTGAGCACAAGGTTGGTCACATGAAGCTGCTCCGGCTCTTGAAGCGTTGGTACCCAATTGAGCAATTGCAACATTACTTCCGGTAACAGCAACAAGTGTCCACTTTCATCGTACCCCAGCTTAAAGCAACTGTCCAGCAAACTCAGGGTTGGGTTGCCAAATTCCTGCAAACTGGCGAACAGTCTCTCGATTCGCTCACCCTGTCGCAATTGGGAAGAGGATTGCGAAGAGTGACGCGACAAAGTGGACAAAGCCTCCATTGTGCTGCACAGGGAATTCGAATGGGCGATGTGCCATGACTATAAAATAGTGAATCGATTAGGACAGAAATTATTATAGAGCAGAATCCTTACCCTTATGCGCTTTGGAAGACTGTTGAGCACTTCCAATAGATTGGAATCAGCAATTGCCTCACTAACACCGGCATCGCCAGTCACAAAGAATTTCACAGCCGCTACCGTGGAGGAGAGCGCTGCCATATCGATAGCCACATCCTGGTCAGCATCGCTAGCTATATCGAAAGTGGCATCGCCACTGTCAAAGTGCTTGGTGGCCAACAGCTCTTGGAGAGCATCACAATAAAGTTGAACTAACGTAACTAGGTCTATTTGGCGCTGTTTTAGAAAAATAATGAGATTACTTTAATATTAAGATGATATAGCAGAGAACTTACTTCTTCCGGACTAGATTTCTGCAGAACAATTACCATCAGAGCGTAGCATTGTAAAGCCACACGACGCAGATCGCTGGCACTCTCCCACTGCCGCAGGATACTCATGGTGATGGACACCGTGGCGGGGCAAATGGCTTTCATGCCATTGCGCTGATCAGACCAAAAACACCATTAAACGAATTGAACTCAATGAGGTCGTGGGACAGACAAGCAATGGCATGCATGGACAACGGTTAGGGGACAACAATGATCGGGACAACAGATGGTTCCACCACTCACCAAGTTATCACAGTCTAGCAGCCCATCACCCGAGCAGGGGGCAAGTGAAGAAGTGGTTAGAGCGTTAGTATTTCTATTTGACAGGGTCGAGGTCGAGTTTAGAGACTTCTGCACTTTCAGTTGCAGCTGGAGTCGATCCAGCCACATCAACGAAACACGAAATGATACGGAAACGTACATGAAAACAGAATGATAGAGCTCTAATGAACATTAATAGCGAAAGCAGTGAGCAGAAAGGAAAGCTGTCAGGAAGTGAGGTTAATTGTAAAACGGTTTCAAAATAGAAAGGACTACACAGGAGGGGACTGGAGACGATTTCTGGCGCTACCTGAGAGCCGCAAATCACAGCGCCAAGGATGTTTAACAGGCTTTCGCTTATGTCCGCATATCGGATGAGCTTTTCCTCCTGAAAGCAATCTGCAAGGCAAAGCAATATTGTTAGTAAGTAGAACATTTAAAGGGCAGTGATGGGAGGAAGCCATTTGCAAACTTTCTTACCATAAATAAAGGGAACGATTTCCACGTGAACCGAGTGGGGCTTGTAGGAAAGACGACTGTAGTCGGCCGAATGGCCTCGTACAAAGCTACGCCACGTCAGATACGGATCGTACATGACCTCCAGGAAAGCCGAGAAGCTGCTAAATAGATGACTTATAGCGGGTACGACCTGGGCCTGTTCCATTTGCTAAAATTCATAGGTGCTTTAATAAAAAAAAACTTACAATGTGACAAATAGATTCACTCACTTGTTTGAATACCCTGGAAAGTATGGCGATTAAATTGGGCTTGTACTCGTACTTAATGACAGCCAGAATGTTGTCGAAGTGCCGGCACACGATCACCAAACAGTCCACTAGAATTGCCACCTGTTGTATGGCCTCCTCTTCCAACTTGCCCTCCGTTTCACAAGCATCTCTGGCCACAATTATGAATTTCCCAATGGCAGGAAGTAGTTCATCCGGCAAGCGACCCAAATGCGGACCACTATCCGGCTGAACCTCGTGCCACAAGGGACAATTCTCCGCTTGGAAGTCCAATTGTAGTTGACTCCTCCAAATGGCGACAAAGCGGGCCACAAACTGACGGAAATGGGTTTCATCGTTCTGTAAGGGAGAGAGCGAGTGAGAGAGAAGGATTCAGTTTGAGCCTGTCTGGGATTATATAATCATTACACTGTTTACAGCAGGCACTTAAAAAACTGATAAACAATTGCTTCCCATTTTGCGGTGACTAATGCTTTAAACATTTTGCGACCGCCCCCGCAATCGGAGCACCTCCCCCACCACTCCTCCGCCCACATTTCCACTTCTTATCACTTTATTTACTTCCAATGGAACCTCACCTTTGTCGTGTACTGCACCCACAGATTGTATATATCCTTCTTATTGTCCATCGTCTTGTTGTCCCTGTAAATTGCTCAGCTGAACGGCATTTGTTAATTACTGACTGGGTCTTTCCCTCGGCAAATTATTTGTTTACAAAAAAATGTTGCCGACTATGTGGGTTGGTGTCCACCGCCCAGTTTTTACTCTATTTCAGCACTGTTTTCTGCACTTCCGTTAGGACTCTGGTGTCCGTCTTAATAAGTTTATAGCGTTAATAGAGTTAGACAGCCATGAATTAAGTTAAAGCACATTTCCAATAACTTTTTATCCGAATTTTCGCATTGCTATGCACAGGTGAAAACGGCAACAGCTGATTGCTTCTTCTAGATTGACATTCACCGCGGCTAGGCAGTGTTGCAAAATGCGCCGGAAAACTGAATAAGAGAGCGCCAAATTCAAACGAATTCTTATTGGAAGGGAAAATACTAGCACTGAAAAAGGAAAAACATCTCAAGTAATATAAAATAGACATTTTTCTTGACCTGAGTAATAACCACACATGTCAACTTTAAAAATGTCGAACTAAGACTTTCCACCGCTTAACCATAACACTTTTTATATTATCCAAAATAAAACTCATTGATAATGTAGGCTGCTAAATGCGTATTTATTTCGAGATTTTCATGTATTTGGTTTCAATTCTAGTAGCATTTTGTTATTTGTTTGTCTGTTTTACATGATATTAGCTAATAGTTGCGCTTCTGTTTTGCCATTGCTTGACTCTCATTAACAATCTCCAACTGTCGTTAAAAACAAACGATTTTCTGTGTAGTTCATTGCCGCTTATCATTGATACATTATGCGCAAAAGTGCAGTTTTTTGATGCGGATGCTGATGCTGATGCGGATGCTTCTATATGCCTAGGCAACGAATTTCGAGATTATTCGCCTTCGATTTTAGAAATGTTTTTATCGGTTTTGGTTTTGTTTGTAATATAAAAAGGAAACGTTATTTTATATTTAATTTCAGACCTAAATTATTAAGATTTAATGCAATATTTTACTTGTAAGTTTTAATTGAATAGCTTGAACCCTTTGTAGGACCTATAAATATTCATTATCCGTTAATAATCTTAATAAAATAAATATGTAGAAGAAAAATCTTATGCCTCCGTTTCAGTTAGTTAAAGCTGTGAGTTTTTATCCGCATTAATTTGAAGGATAACAATTGTTAGTTAATTTACGTTAATTAATTTAATGTTAATTTAATGTTAATTTACTTCAAATATAGGCATTCGACTTGCTTTCGTTTATCATTACGTTTTAAATTAAATACACGATGCGCTCTTTCGTTAAATTTAATTTCTGTTTTTGGTTTCGAGTGTTCCTCTCGTGTGTTTTACGGTTTGCAGCACTTGAATGGGCATTACAATATTTAAAAAACCTCAGCGCCTCGATTTATCGATTTGTAAATAAGTTGCGCGCTTTGTTCTATTTTACTTTTATTTGCTTTATTCAGTTTTTGTTTTTGTTATTGGGCAATGGGTAGTAGTGTGAATTTTCTGTGTTTTCTGCCTTGAGACGACGACGATTGTTGCGAATAGAAAAATAATTCAAGTAAATATTTGTATATGCGTGTATAAGTATTATAGTTTCCTCTAGGTATATGAATAGCACTCAATATGCTCGAGTTCTTGCGGTCTATGTTTATTGTATTTGTACCAATCGCCTAAGATGTGGCATTATCCGTTCATACTCCAGATATCAGATACTGTGCAGATACTAATGCCCGTGTGTTGCAATTTTGAGTGGGTGTGGCTGCCCGGAGTTACTCCGGACTTCTAGCGTGCTTTATGTGGGTGAGTGGGTGTCTGAGTATCTAATTCATAAGGTAAATATAATCTATCATAGTTCATTTAGGTGCCGCTAACAGCTCTGAAGGTATTCAGGTTCGGTCGCATTCGCTGCGTTGTTGTCGATTGTTTCGGGTAGAAATACTTGGGGTTATCGCTTCTCGGTTTCATTTTGTTTTTTCTTGGGTTGGGTCTCTGCTCCGATGATCTCCGCCTGCTCCGTGGTCCGTTGTCCGCTCGGCGGTCTACGAATCTAGCAGCGGTTCATTTTCCGAATCGGAATCTAACATTTTCCAGACCATGCGCCTGACGTTTCAGACTGCCGCCGTCGGCCCAGGAGGAGTTGAGATACTCGTCGTCATCGTCTTGCTCAAGTTTCTGAAAATAAAACGGTTGATTTTAAATAAATAATATGCCATAAATACATCTGGTAAATCAATTGGTAATGCCATAAAAGGTGGTTCAGTCATTTTTACCTTCATAGTTTTGCCCATAAAAGTATGCTATAATATTACAAAGTATAAATAACGTATACGTAATTTATGGAACTTAAATCCATTGTTAAACCTTGAAACTGTGTTATTTATATAAATAAATAAATATTGATTAAACCTACACTTCTGAAAAATCCTGTATTGTTAAATAAATATTACAAATTAAGATAGATTCATCAATCTCAATCCTTTCCCTTCAAATCAGTATCCTATATCCTATCTTACCCTTGCACTGAGTTGGACGTGGAGATAACTCCGTTTTCCAGAGAATCCCTGGACAGTTCGTCCGCCATTTGGACTTTCAGTTGATGGCCGAACGAGTTTATCTCCGAGTTGGGCGTCATCTGCGAGCCCGCCGGACTCTGCGCGATATACGGCCCCGGAGTGGTTACAGAACCGCCCTGCGATATGGAGGCGGTCATCCCTGGACCGCCATTGGGCAGAACACCCTCAAGACAACTGTCGTTGGTGGTGGAGTCCATATTGATGATTTGGCTGCCGGCTACATTGTCCGCTAGCACTGCACCATCACTGTCATCCACGGCATCGATGTCATCAATGTCCATGTCCTCGGCGTTCTTGTCCAGCGGCGCCGTTTCTTCGTCCTCATTGTAGATCTTGAAGTAGGCGTATGTTAGATAGATCACCGATATGATGAACGAGGGTATGGGTATGGCCATCGAGTACACCAAATTTAAGGTGTTCTGCCAGTAGTCCAGATCGCTAATGACTAAACTGGGGTCCACCTTGGAGTAGTAGCAGGGGAACTTCATGCCGATTTTCGTGTACCTCTTTAACCAGATGGTACAATTGAGCATGGGCGGGTAGCCACAACCCTTGACATTCGGAAAGAGCCTGGCCCCCACATAGTAATACATGGAACGATTGCCCATCAGACCCTCGTTTAGCTCGGAAATCTCATCGAAAGGCCTTCGCTCATCCGGAATGAGGGTTCCCGAGGCACTCAGTCCCCGCGTATCCTCTGAATCTTCTATGAGGTAGCCATTGGAGCCATCGGCATCCCCGAAATTCAGCTGCTCTAGCCGCCCGCCACCCAGGTCGATGTCCAATCCGGTGGCTCCTCCCAGATTATCATACTCGTAGTCACTCCTTAGAGCTCTTTCATAGCGATCAGTTCGCTTAACGGGCGGCAATATGCGCTCGGATTCCTTGAGATTAATATGGTACTCCGTGAAGTTAAACTCATCGGTGTAGTTGTAGAGATTGAGGCGATAGTTCACCCGAATTTGGGTGCACGTGTAGATATCCTTCGTGCATCCTTCGCGGCAGGACGACCACGAGCAATTCTTGGCCCCGTAATAGATCTCCGTATCGTACGTTTCGCAGAGCGCCGGAACCTCCTCGAACTGCATAAAGATCGTGGTGAAGGCGGGCTCTATGACGAAGGGCACCAGAAAAAGGAAGGCGAACAGGCTGAATGTTCCCAGCAGAATGAAGAAGGCGGTAGTGTAGAACAGCAGCTTCTCCTTGCCGGTACGCTTGTCCTGTTCGTCTCCCATATTTTAGCTCGATTTTGGTCGGGTTTAGTCTACTATATAATTATATATTTTGTATTTGTTTTTAGTTGTTAGGCGCAGGTCTGGCGGTGGCGGCGGCGGAGCAGAGCGGCGATAAGTGCTGTAACTTAGCTTACAATTGCGGCGATTATTAATCGATAACGATAACTAATAGCTAGATTACGATTACGGTGCAAGTTATATCACAGGGAGAGTTCGATTTCTCGTTTCGTTTGCCTTTGCTTTTGCTTTTGCTTCTTTTTCTTTGGTTGCCTGGCTGTCCGGTGTCCCGTTATCTCGCACATAGCTGACCTTTGCAGGGAGGGTCCTGCATTTTTGTGCTCGGCATCACTCGATTAGGCTAAATACTCCACGGAGTCCCACGCATCCTGCATCCCTTTCCTTCTCCAGCTTCCGGCTCTTCCTCTCCTCCTGGCAGTGAACCTTTGCTAATTGCTTTATTCGTCCCAATGGAGATGTTTCGTCAACATCAGCACGTTGCAGTCCTCTTGCTTTTGCCTGATTTAGCTGCTTCTTGATTATTTTATGACTGCGGCAAAGCAGGATATTCGTGCGTGTGCTGGTGTGAGTGTGTGCGTTTGTGTGGTATCGTGTCCTGTGTGTTTTTGTGTGTGTTTGGCCTACCAATGGCCAGTTTTGAGGTCTCTCTCTCTCTGCTTTTCTTTCTCCTCACTTTACATTTACATTCTTTAAATGTGTGTAGAAAAAAGAATGCTGGACGGACAGTTTTGTTTTTCTTGTTCACTTTTTTGCTTTGCTTGGCTATTTCTCGCGCTCCCTCTCTCTCTCGCTCGTTCTCTGGTTATCCTTGTTATCCTTGCCACGTGCAGTTCACAAAAGCTGTAAGAGAGTGTAAATGTGTGTGTGCTAGTGAGTTTTAAAATACCGTTAGGCCGCGCTTTGCAGTTTAATGCGTGTATATTTTTGAAGCCCAGAAAGGTGACGACGGTTATTTTTATGTAACCTCGAGTGTTACGAAACGGAAACACGCCGCACGGCACCAATGAGCTAGCTCAACTCGTCGTGTTTAAATAATAAAACTCCTTCGATGCAATTGTAGGGGGTGAGGGGAAGAGGGGGGAGACAGAGCGGAGCCACATGTAATTTTCAATTCATTTGGCACGCTTTCACTCACACACATACTAGCTCACAAGCTGGAAACAGGCCGTGCACATGCAAGGCTCCCCCCTGCACTCCGCCCTTCCGAGCCACACACATACGGGCTAGAAACTCACAAGTACACAGAGTCTTAGAGAAAGGGGGTGAGTAGGGAGTGAAAGAGAGGGGCTGAGAGCCAGCTCCAATCGAAATTATGCGGCAAAGAACCTCCCAAAGGAGTGAGCGAGTGGGATACAGTAGAGCCAACTTCTTGTGCCTAGCACGAAACGATTTTTTAGGTGGCTCTATATAAAGATTTGTAAGAACCCCTACCCTCAGTTCTTTTAAGATCAATTAAATGTAGTTGAACTACAATTTTCAGGTATTTTGGTTTGGGGACACTCTTCAGCACCCCTTCTTCCCTTGTCCACCTCCTTCAAACTCTTGTGACGTAGAGTTGCGTGCTCCCGTTTGTGTTTTTATATGTGAGAGTGTGTGTGTGTTAGTGTTCGACTTGCGCCTGTGTGTGTTTACTCAAGGTTCAGGTTACGCGGTGAACACGATGACAACGGAACGGGGATTACGCATTTTCAATCACAAATCACCAGCACATTTGCTGTATTTTGGCTACCACTGTTTACCATGGAACAATGGTGACCTGATTGCGCACGGGGTCAAAAGTTGCTAACGCTGAACAATCGTCACATTCACGCTCCACATTTTCTTTCGAGGCATTTTTGTTCTTGCGTTTCTTTGGTGGCAACAATAGAGATAGAGCGACAACGACAACTACGACAGCGATGGCGATGGCGACGGCAACGACGGCGACAACCAAAAACGGAGCAAGGCGACAACACGACGGCTGAACTCTTCAGCGAAAGGACTGCCTGCCACTGGCAACGCTGCAGCGGATTTAAGGGCCCAAGTCAAATTGGAGCTTCGGAGCGGAGCTTTCGCCTGCACCGCCAACAAGCTCAAGTCCAGAGTTCCGCATTTGGCCAATAACTTGCTAGACTTAGCTACTTTGGCAAGGAATGTTCTGCGTTTGGCTAATTCAGCACTTTTTTAGATTTAACTTAGCTATTTTAATTTTAAAAGCAAAATAATAAATTCCTTTGTTCATCTTGATTGAAAAAAAATATATATATATATGTCAGCTGATCCAAACCGTGTGCTAAATACTGGAATAATATCAAACCAAACTATTTTTCATGTTATAAATAAAAATAAGAAATCGATAATCCCTTGATAAAGGTAAATATTTTAAGTGTAAAAACTGAAAGAAAAAGTTTAATAATAAAAACAAGATATTTTTAGCTGTAAAAACTTATAATCTTAAGTCTTTTAAACATTGGCATCCCTGTGTAAAGCTCTCTCTCACCCACTCTCCCACTGGGAGAAACAGCAGCCAGCGATGACGTAAAGCCAGTCAGCGCAAGCGCCCGCCGATCCCCGCCAGAAAGAGAGGGCTCCGCTGGGCAAAAGCTGAGAAGTGTCAGAAGTGGCGTAAACAGCAGGGAAACGTAACGAGTTCGCCTGTTTGGAATTTTCTCGGCTCGCCCAGCCACGGGGAAATGGTGGAAAAGTGCAGAAACGCAGCATTTGTGGCACTTGGTTAGCTAAGGATCAAAAAGGAAATCCAATAAACCGTCGAAACCCGTCGAAGAGTGAGCCATGTGCGGGTTATGAAACGATTTTAATGGCACACTGTGCAACTGTGACTGCGATTGCTGCAAGTGTATTGGTGTGGCTAACCTGCTCCCCACGCCCACCGCCCCTTTCCCCGCGTGTGCGTGTCCCAGTGGCAGGAACGTAAATAAACCTCAACACTTGAAGCTGAAACATCCATAATTTACATGTGAGTACTGCTGCTCTGCCAAAGAATTTCGATCCAAAAAGGTAATCGAAAACAGATCCTTCAATGACCCTCAAAATCAATGCCTACTTCTAAGCGCATTTCCTAATGATTGACATGCAACTAGAATTTCTCCCTGTGGCCATTGATTATTCCATTTGCCCTGTGATAAAACAAAAGTGGAGCGTGCCCAAGTGGTAGTGTCAGTAGGAAGAATCTTTATGACCAACTTTGTGATACCTCGTAGTCAGTCAATGCGTTACATTGTTCGCCCTCAAATTTTTCTATTCCCTTCTTAATGTTTAATTACATTTCACTAATAATGCTGGACGTGTACGTCAATCGTATACGTCATGGCATTCTATTTGTAGCCTTCAATTAAATTTTAGAAAAGGAACTTGGAGTCCTCTGTAATTATAAATAGTTGTATATTATGACAGAAACAACCAGAATTTGGTATTATTAATAATAAATTTAATTTAATATTATTTTTACCTCTAAATAAATACTTTTTGTGCATATCCAGCTATTAATATTAAATATAAAAAACAAAAAAAAATGTATAATAAATTTCTATAAAGTAAAATATATTTCTTATGGCATTATGATTTTTTAAACTTTAATTTAAAATCTACGCTACTATTTATAACCACGTTAAAAAGAAAAGAAACCATTCAAAATTAAAAAATGTAAGTAATTAAGCCGCCAAGTCGTCAGTAGGTCAGTGTTGAAAGTAAATTAGTGTTAGGTAGCGCGCGAGATGTATGGATTTTGGTGAAACGCGTTAGTGTATTTCGGCGAACACAGATGATTTATAAAAACATAATATAATTTCACGCAATAAGGAAAGTTCAGCAATTAAAAAGGAGTTGCCATGGAAGCCATCCTGATGATCATGTTCTTCACCGCATTCTGGGTGGCGGTGGCCAAGTATGGACCAATTCTGGTAACTAAGGGACCGCAGGATGACCTGGTGCGCTGCATTTTCCTGTTGACTGCCGTTGTCTGCTGGCTTTTCTGGCTCTGTTGTTATTTGGCGCAGTTAAATCCTCTCCTGGGACCAAAACTTAAAGGTAACGTCGTGAGGATCATCGCTAAGTCTTGGGGAAACCCCTTCAAGGATGGATAAGCGCATTCACCCTACATAGTTAATCTCTGGCGGAGGCTTCTCTGGACCTGCAGCCACATCACATATTCGGATATTAAATGGAAACAATAGCTTTGCTAAACTATTTGTGTACTTTAATACTGGCAACTTTGAAAAGGTCGGGCTGTCCTATTCCCAGATACGCCCCACTATTTCCAGACTAACATTATTAACTTAGTGATAGTGTAAACACCCTCTTGTTTTTGATATTACAATATCCCTGATCAACATATCTCAGCTCTATATTTATTGTTCGTGCTTAAAATTGTTTATTTTGCAAAATATAAGCCATGTTCTTATTTAGTATAAATTTATGTACAAACCTATAAAACTGATATTTGCAGTTTCATTTTTTACAAACTTGCCACATAAGCGATTTTTTGAACAGATTATTTTAAACCTATTGTTTCCCGTTTTGTATTTAATTTACTAATCAGTCATTGTATGTGTGATTTAGTTAACTGGCAAATATAGACAAATTTATGCTTTACTTATGATTATGTTTTTTTTATGTTTTTGTTGAACAGACCAGTTGAAGCTGTACATTTATACATTTGTTTTATCTACATTTGTTGATATCAGAAACTTGTAAATATTATATTTCCAAGAAAAAATGTATAATCCGAGTGGAAGCACAATATGAGTAATGAAAATGAAAACCCATTTAAGTGAGGATGAAATATTAAATTAGCTCTATTGATGATAAGTTGCTCGTCACACTTTTCATGAGATCATTAAAAACCAAAATCAATATTTCTTCTGATTTTAAAAAGAAATTTGAGCTCATTGTAAATAACATAAGTAAGACTTTGTATTTAAAATGTGTTTATGGTATGAACACATATTAATGTTAAGGGGCGTGAGGAGTGGTTGACCATAACTGGAGCAAACACAAAACCACCGCACATGGCACTCGGTGCACTTGCACTCTTGGCCATGTGGAGGCCGACTTAATCAATGGGAACTCTCACTGGGAATGGAAACCCGATTGGAGCCAGCTTGTCGAGCGTGGGAGGGGGGTGAAGGCTGATGAGGGATCAGGGGTTCGGGGCTCGGGGATGCTCATACATAGTTGTGCCTGCTCTTTTCGGGAGTGTGTGAATGCGGAATTATTGATTTTGCAATAAAAGTGCGCGCGCAGAACCGAGATTTGTGCCAAAAGCGAGAGCAGTGAAATTCACGAGACCAGCCACGATGTGTGGCATGTTGTCGGCGGTCAGTGAGGAGAACCGGAGAGCTGGAGAATTGGGAAACCCGGAGACCCAGAGAGACACATACGGAATCGAGCCGAATGCAGTCGCCAGTGCGGAGCAGAAAGCCTTGGGTCACGAGCCACCAGCTGCCAGTAACTCGAAGGGAAAAAATAATTACCACAAAATAGCACTGCTCAAGAATTAACAAATAATTGTCGATAAATTATAAAATCCAATTATAACTTAATAATTGTAGAAAAAAGCGTAACCAAAGGATATACCCCAAACGGTGTGAATCCCCCCAAAAAAACAACACAGCACGTGATGCAACCAACGTATGGATGGGCCCAGTGATTAAAGTGAATTTCTGTGGGGTCAGCTAGCCAAAAATCGATAGGTTGTGGCCTATCCAAAAAAAAAGTGTCCTCCAGCTGGAAACGTGCGCAGCATGCAAAGTTTTCTTTAAGTCTAAGGGAAAATTCAGAGGAAAATCTCAACCTACGCAGGGTTATATAACATACAACACCGCCCACGCAGTTTTGCAGCTAAATCGATAGACTAAAAACCGACATGACGAGCTTCTAATTGGATTGCACGCGAGGGATTAACCACTGGGCTTTAAGTAGGACTAGGTGGAACTGCTACTTGGAATTACAGGGTAGTTAAGCTTTGAGAGATGGGCAAGAAGAAAGTGCCCACCGAGGACCTTGTGGTCCCACCGCAGGACACCCGGATATGCGGCACCATATGCATATGCCAGATGACCCTGGTTCTCAGTTCAGTGGCTCTCGTCTATCTCACGGTAGCCATATATATGCCATCCACCCGGGCCTTCAAAAGTGGCATTGATCCCACGCCGGTGATGTGCACCACCACAAGGGCCGTGAACAAGGATAACTGCGAGTGGGGAAGCTGCGGCGAGTGGTGCTTGAGCAAAACCTCTGGTGCCTGCATCCAGATTTATGTGAATCTCCGCAGCAATGGCAGCAATCTCATATTCCAAAATTGCACAAATTCAGCCAATAAAACATGTTATGGAATTGACCAGGATAGGGCGGACAAGGCTCGGTGCATCAATGATGAGTGCAAGAATCTCACGGGAACCTTCAATTGCACCGCTGGTCAGTGTCTCAACATAACGGATGCCTTTGAGTGCGTCTTCCACAATAGTGATGCACCAGTAAAGTGTTCCGGAAGGCGGGGAAAGATCAACTGCATGGACATCAGTGGCTTGTACTCCTGCAGCCGAGGAACCTGTCGAAAAATAAGGACTCCCTACAACTGCGACAGACGATGTGTGGATATTCCAACCAGGAACAAGAACGTGGTGGTTCTTAGTGGAGACAAGGTCTACCTATCCCAATGTCAAAATGCCATCAATGCGGAAACTCTGGAAGAAGTTTGGAACGAATCCAATGATAATGTAGCGATGACATCGTGTTACTTCATTAAGAACACTTCGGATCAAGTGGATGCGGTAGACTGCATCAATGGCTCCACCCTGGAGCACAACATGCTCAGTGATCTGACCAACTTCACATATCTGAGCCACCTGCACGTTTCGGTGGCCACTCCAGTGCCGGAGATAGCACCACCCGATGTGGATCTGACCATTTCCAATGAGTCCAAGCTGATGATTAATCTGGAGGGTTGTGTAAATACCCTGATGGATGAATGCAAGGAGTTCCTGAAGGACTTCGGACGCGATGGCAGTGATCACAATGCTCGGGCTCGCTTCCCATGCTTTTATTCACCCGGAAAGAAGGATGTTGTGGTGGCTCGATTTGATTTAGAAGTCACATATCGCCAGTTTGTGTTCGCCTCGGTGGTGCCATCGGTTCTATTTGTTGTATCCTGTTCTATCCTGATCATGTGTCAGACCACCGTTTACGTGGGCGATGATGCTAAGATGCGGTTCAAGGGATGTGTGGATACGGAGACCGTCCTGAATAAGAATAACGTGGGCGCACCCACCAACGGCGACATGGGCGGGGGCGGCGGCGATGAGGTTATGGCCCTATGAGATCCGTCACGTAAGCTCTATGATCTAATATACCAAATTTCGGGATCTTTGTCTTTAATATAATTTTCTGATGACTTGCAGTCTTTGCGGTAGCCCACATGTGAGAGGTCTACCAGGTGTCCTAGGTCTCTGGAGTGATCTATTTTTGATACCTCTATATCGATTTTATAGAATAGATTAGTCCTAGCAGTTTACCCATTATAATTAGATGAAGCAGATAAGATATAAGAAACTGAATACATCCCCTTTAGTTTTACTATTTACATAATGTGAATCAGAAATCGCGTTTTTTTTTTTTAAATCCCAAAAACTTGTTAGAAGAGGTAATAGTAAAGCCCTCTATATATAAAGCCCTAAGTGTCCGTATAATTTAGGTAGTTTTATAACAGTCTCCCTAAGTTTATTCATCTAAAACCCTTAACTAACAACATATAATCGAAAATTTTCCAGGCATTCCTCTGCTCCAGGAAGACAGTCCGACACACCAGACGGGAGTCTTCGCTTTGCAATAATTGGAGTTGGGCACCAGCTGAAGTCAGAAACACAATCGAGCAACTTGAAATTCTTTGTAATCCTTCCATCAAACTTTTGACACTCCGACACCCACACAGAAAGACACAGAGACACGGACCACACCTCAGAGGCTTGCAAGGACACTCCTGAGCTAACCAGGACAAACTCAAAACTCAAACTCAAACAGAAAGTAAAAAAACAATATCCCATGCGAGGCGCTTGACATTCTCAAGATACGACGATCGGCAGATCTGAAGACAATATTAGTATAATTTTCGACTATTTAGTTGACCATATAAATATTTTTTGGGACTAGGGCGAGAGGCTGCAGGACTTTTAGGATAGCAGTGAGATTTAAGGGAGGCGCGAGAGTTTAAATTTAAAATAATTGCTGTTATGGAACTTAGTTTTATCTAGGGAATAAACGCACACACCAACACCCACATGCACAGCACACACACACACAGAGATACACCCAGACACACTACACCAGAATCGGCTGAAGTTATAGTGAAGATATAGAACTAGGTTCAGTCACCGGGAGAGAGGGCAGAGAAATTCAAAAATGGCTTAGAGTGAGGGATGCGTGATCAAAAATCTAAAAGAAATCTCGTAACGACAAACTAGTCGATGAAGTCAAAGCAAAAGAGTTAACCCAAAAAAGGCTAACAGAAAACATAATAAGCATTAATTTAGATAAAAAAAAAAACTAAAACTAATCAATATACAAGAGGAAAACCCCAAGAAATACAAAATACAAAATAAGAAAACATTTTCCATTTCGGCTATAAAAATAAGGCAGATGGGCAGGAGATCGTTAGAAGATTAGGCTAAGAAATCTCCAGGCAAGCGAGACCGAGAGAGAGTAGATCTTAATTGTTGTAGAAAGCGCGAATGTTAGCGGTGTTCATTTTAAAGGCTTTTACCGATCCAACTACAATCTAAGCACCCCACACGAACCCATAACCAAATAACCAACAATCTCCGCCATGAAGAAGAGCTCCACGCTGACCACGACCACGTCGATGCCGGCGAGTCCGACGCTCTCGGCACAGACGCTCTCCGCCAGCAAGATCAGTCTGAATAGCAGCCGCTGCGGCTCGGCGGGATCGGGATCAGTTTCGGGATGCGGTTCCACAGCCGGATCGATGCGCTCCGCCTGCCAATCGCCGGTGCGGCCGGGGAGCGGATGCGTGGACGCCATCAAGGCCAAGCGCGAGGAGATCGAGATGGACACGCTACTCGAGAAGGCAAAGTTCTATACCTCCGTGTGCCTTGGTGAGATTTCTGATTCCTTAAATCTTTGACTTCCCTAATCAGTTTCTACCCTTTAATCCACAGGTACGACTGCCATTTTGTCGGTGTTCACATTCCTCTTCCTGATACCCTTCGTCGTGGACCCCGCCATCTCAACGATCATAGCCGATTATGATCCGGTGCCGGTGACCTGTATCGTCATCGATCACATCTATGCGGAGGGCATCAAGAACTGCAGCTGGAGCTCCTGTCGCGAGGGCTGCACCTCATCACTCACCAAGTTAGTTCATGGATAAGTCTTATTAAATCTAGTTACTGATTCAATGGTAATACCAGGTGCCATCAGTTGTTTGTCAACTACACGCGTATCCCGTTCAGCGAATGGGAGCGCAATCCTCGGGACCTGGACACGGTCAACTGGGATGTGAGCTATACCAAGTTTCTGATTAATTCAGAGGGCTGTGGCTATCCACCCACGACCAATTGCAGCGTATTTGCCAGGCAATACGGGTGAGTTGAAGAACCAGACTAAAAGTTCTCCAATCTAAAGTTTATCCTTAAATTCCCAATAAGGTTCTCACACATTGGGGAGCCGTTTCCCTGCTTCTACAGCAGGGCGTATCCGGAGGTGGTCATCGGTCGGTACTCGTGGGAAAACAACCTGTACCACCTGATCCTATCGCTGATCATACCGAACGTGCTCTTCGCCATCTCGATCGGGGTGCTCAGCTATTGGTACTGCCCGTGCTGCGAGAAGGCCTGCAACAAATCCTCGCGGGTCTACGCCGAGAAGTTCCCGACCAAGGAAGAGTGAGTGCCATGTTCATGTACCAGCGCTGTCCTGCATCTTGTTCTCATTCATTGCGAAACTTTGGCAAATTTGCTCCCCCGTATCCGTATCTGTATATTGTAGTAGACACTCACCCAGCTCCATGGACATAAACTCATTGTGCCTTGTATGAAGATATTGTCGAAAACCAAAAAACTAAAAGTCGTATTGTCATGCTGTATCCTCCTATGAATGTAACTTATCCTTTCTGTTAATCGTTAAGATATTGGCCTGATCCCTAAGTCGAAACATGAATGTAACCCTTAGTTCCTTTGATTATTTTTTTTTCCTATAAGCCATTATTTCATCGGCTCTTTCGTTATCTTTCTCTCTTTACTACTCTATATTACTTTCAGGATCGTTAACTGCATGAAATGTAACACGGAAAAGTCGTTGTCCCTGAATGTATTTTGAATATGATCTAAACAAAGCGCGAGTGCCTGAACTTTGATCCCCAGAATATGTATTGTGATAGGTTAAGTGCGATGGTATTTGATATAGATCCCAGGATCCCTCGATCCAGATAACTTGCACATATTGTGTGGCACCCAGTTCGCTTGTCCACTGAAAAAAAAGAAACACCCACATCAAATTCAAACCCAATACGAATTGTTACTCTGAAGTGTCCTTAGCAATTACTGCCTTCCTTAATACTCTCAAACTGTAATCTTTGAGAATCCAGCACCTCAAAGATTTTCTCTAACGCACAAAATCAAAAACCCATCCGAAAGGAATTTCGTATGCTATATACACACGATCACTCAAAAACCAATCAAAACTCACAAGAAAACTACTCAAAATATTCAAAAGTTCCAGACTCAAAGTAAAATAAATTTCAAGAGGTTTCTCTAAGGTTTAAATTAATTAGTTTACACTCGGGATACCAGTATTTCCCCTTTTCCTCTTAATATTAAATCTATAATTATATAATTACATATCGAATACCTTTCAAATTTAACGATCTTATAATAGAATATGCTTTAGAAAATGTTCTTGCATGCTTTTGTTTTTAACCTAGTTTAAATACTTATTAATTTCGATTCTAGAATGGCATGATCCGTTAACCCCAATCTATTTAGCATATATATATAAATATATCCCGCTTATATCTGACTAGCATTGATTAAGAACTCTGTTCCAACCGCATTCCAATTCTAGCAAACTTCTGTGTCACAGTGACGAAGATGATGATATGGAATACTAGCAAAAATAATATTAGTTAAAGCCCTTAAAAAATAGCAAATTCAACTTTGTAGTCTGTACCACACATAGCTTACCTAGATATATATACAAACATACAATATAGAAATTCCATTTGCCATCACACATCGGATGATATATATATATTCAGATATATATATAAATCAAGCGGAGCATCGCCGAACGACTAACTTTTTCTCAGCCATTTATATTCGAAATTTTGCGCTCAAGAGATTTGTTAACATAAACTTTGCCATCATAATGTTATGCTAGTTATATGGACTTTTGGTTGGCTTAACTGGCTTTTTGAAAGGCGGCAGCGATGCTCCACTCTCGACTTCGATTTCCACAAAGATAATACCAATACCAATTAAAGAATCGCTTGTTTTCAACAAATTGTGATAGTAGTCATAAAAATATTAAGTAAATTCGTAAAACTAACTAAAACGGAAAGCGAAAACCAAAAAACCAATCAAACAAACAAACAATTGTATAGAACCGATTCCGCTCCGGGCCGCAAACTAAAAACACGGCAAACATTCATAGAAACGGGGCGGGACGGACTCCGGAAACAGAAATAAAATATTTAAAAAAAACCAGAAAGATAGATTTACCACAAGATACCAGATACAATCCATGGGGATAAGCAGCGGAACCAAATTATTCATTCACAACACGCTCACATTGGGACACTCTCAACATTTTTGAAATAGTTTTAACGATCTTATGTAAAAACCAACATCTAAACGGATTATAACAATATATATATATATATAGATATATACGTATACATATAGCTTAGCAGAACCGATATAACGCACGTTGCTTATGAGAATTTTTTAAATCATACAAACCAAACCGATGAACAAACCAATTTGAATGCAAAACGATTAAAATTTTTTACTTAACGTGTCTTTATCAATAAACAAATTAAACCAGCTAACGGCCTATTTAATAAACAATTAAAAAAATGAAAGAAACAAAAACAAATGTGGAGAAATGCTAAACAAAAAAGCTGTTTTCATTTTGTGAAATATTTGGGAGAGAGTAGCGAGAAACGAGGGCGAGGAGGAAGGTGGGAGTCCTCTCCAGGCGCAGGCGTGTTTCCCGGGATCTGGAACCATTTGTTGAGCTAGCTCCAAACCCTGTCCCGGTTTCTATTTCACTCAAGGGTTTGTTTTGGCCTGGGCCTTCACTTTCGCTTTCGAGAAAGTAAAAGTGCGCAGTGTCCTTTGGCAGCCCTGGCATTCCGCACTCCTTCCGCTCCGGGATTCAGTTAGGACTCAGTTGCTGTTGGGAGCGGACGTGCGAAAATCGGGCAAATTAACGCCTCTGAACAATCAGAACTCATTCATCAAGCATAGACGTCTCAGTTCCTCACCTGCCATTCCTTGTTTGCCCCCTCAAAAGTTCAAAACAAACTAATTTTAAAGTCAAAAAAAGCCAAGCTAACGAAAATAGAACGGCACAGAAAACCCACCCACCACAAACAAGCAAACTACCCACCCACCAACAACACCACCACCACCCCAAAGCGAAACCCACCCAGCAAACAAAAAAGGAATCACCTTGAAAACGGCGTAGGGTGAAAATATTTAGAATAGCACTGGGCAGGAGGAGCACGGCCGGAAAGTGGGACACCAAATCAACAAGTCGTAAATTAGCTGCGAGTTAGCCTCATACCCAGGAATCACAACCAATTGGATACCCACTCCTCCAGGATAAATGGCGCGGCGCAAGGACAAGCCGCGGGTTATTCCCGAGCAGGATACGCGCATCTGTCGCGCCATCTGCCTATGCCAGCTGACCATGGTGCTGTCCTGCGTGTCCATCGTCTACCTGAGCGTGGCCATTTACTCGCCCTCTTTAAAGTGGGTACCTGTGCTCCTAAAATAACCACCTATAAATATAACTCATAAATAAATCTTCTTTTTAGGGCCTTCAAATCGGGCTTCGAGCATGATCCAGTCATGTGCCAAACGGTGGACCGACAAATGCCCAATAACTGCCCCTGGGCCTCCTGCGGAGAATGGTGCCTGACCAAGACAAGTGGCTTCTGCCCCCAGATCCACTCAATAGTGCGACGCAATGGTACCGATATACAACTGAACAACTGCACCCGGGTGACCAACACATCCTGTGCTATGGTGAGTCTTTGTTCCTTATTAAGGTAGTAAAAGGTTGAGAAACTAGCTCTATTTATAGAAAATAAATACATTTAATCAGGCAATAGTTAGGTTTAAGGCCACTAAGAAGCCATATGAAGTTAATTATCATTTATAAAACACTCATAAGAAATTTTGTTTAAAGCGTGAGTTAAAACCAATTTACTCAGAGAACTTTAGTTTTTGGTTAAAAAAGAATTTAAAGCCTATCCTTCTTTCATATTAGTGAAAAAGAAACAGTTTGATTTACCAATACAAAACCTAAACTTTTGTGACCAACTGTATAACCACCTTAAACTTTAGGCCCAACCCATGACCACCCACTGCCCAAAGACGTCATAGTCTTGGGCATCCCACTATAGGGAAAGTTCTTCCATGACTCATCCTTAGCCCACTTAAGGTTGCGGTTACTAATGCCAAGGCGATGAGGCATGCCAAGTATTAGGTCCTTTAGTCTTTATGGACACTTGGCGCCACGAGAGTTTAACGATCATTGAATGGCCATTATACCATGTTCTTGCAGATTGACCTGAGTCGGCTGAACAAATTTAATTGCAACAACGGGACCGCCTGCAATAACATCAGAGGAGTCTTCAACTGCTCCAATGGCAAGACATGAACCCGTAACACTATGAATTTTCATTAACTGATTGCTTTCATCACAGGACACTGCAAGAATATGTCGGAGTTCTTCCTGTGTCACCACAAGGCTGATGGACATACCATCAACTCGCAAAAGGACAACACCAAGCTAAATGGTTTCTTCGAGTGTCATGGGGTGCACTGTACCAAGATCAAAAAGCCCTTTAGCTGTGATCGTTACTGTTCCAAGATAACGACTGCTAATGTCAATACTCTTATTATGCATGTAAGTTTCATAGAATAAGGATTCTTATATAGAAAGATTTTTAATCAGGATATATCCCTTATAGGAGGACAATGTTATCGCAGCTGATTGTGAGAATGCAGTGGCTTTTAACCAGGCCCGAGGATCCGAGCATGGAGTCCGTATTGAACCCTTTGAGTTCTGGAAGGAGGACGACGGCAACCTGTTGACCAACTGCGCCACAGTCACCAGAGAGTCTGATAATCGCATCACGTGAGTGTAGATTCCACCTACAAATTAACATAAACTAACAATTTTGAATCCTAAAACAGTGCCACGGATTGCCTGAATGGCACCCTCTTAGAACACGATACTTTGCCCGCTCCCTTCATGAACTTCACCCAGTTCTGGGCGATCTATGAGAACAGCACCAGGTCGGTGGACCCTGAGCAGAGGTATCTGCCAAACCAGGCCAACTTGACCATTTACAGCTGGAAGAAACTGTTCATCAATCTGGAGGGCTGCGTAAATACGCTTCGCGGGGAATGCAAGGACTTTGTGGCTCGCTATGGCAACGACGGCGATAACAATACCGCCCAGTCACGCTACCAGTGCTACTATAACAAGGTTTGTGTGGACTTTTCCACATTAGAATTTCACTTCTGGTATCAGTTTACTTCAGGTATTCATTACTTCTTGCAGGATTCAAATGTGGAGTTTGTGGTGGCACGCTATGATTTGGATAAAGTTTACAGGGAGCTCCTAGTCTCGCTAATAGTGCCCATCGTCCTTTTTGTGGTGTCGTCTATATCGTTGTGTATTATTACCAAGTCCGTCAAGGTCGGTGATGATGCCAAAATGCGTTGTGTTTGCGCCGGCGATGAATCTGATAACGATGATGCCTTTGGCCGGGGATTGGCCAACAAACAGCAGGATCATATGTACGATACAGACGACGATGTAGTTGATCTTGAGAACCAGGCAGTTGGTGGTCAAGAGCTATCGGACCATGGTCTACCCTTAGATAACCACGAGATGATTGGCAGCACCAAGTCTCTGATACCACTAAGTCCAACTGGAGATTCGGGAACCAGTGAGCAGAACTTCGACCAGGATCAAGAGAAGGCCACTACCTGCGATGTGCCCGAGAAACCACTAGTAATACTTTAAGCAGATTAACCACAACTTGCTAGGCAAGTCGCATCAACAAAAACAAAGGATTCCAATAAGGAATAATCCTGGAAGACCACGAAAAACAGCACCAAACTTTATGGACCTGTGCATTGTACAAGGGGAACTGAATTTAAATTCTACTCAGCGCATTTATACAACGTTTACACCAACTAACAGAGAAATGGAACGGATCTTTACTTTTCTTGGTTAAATAAGGATAATCACACATATTTACTAGACGTATAGCCCCCAGATGAACAACGATCAGATTGCCGAGCTTTATTTACCCGATCCCCACTCTAGCAGTTCCAGCAGATGCGCCTTAGACAAAGTTGCATTTATATAGAGTATATAGCATAAACCAACTGACATCTGCTGAACCAAACAAACACCAGGACAGACCAAGGAAGCAGCCTCGGACTTGGACATCCGACTCGCCTTAACTCTCGACTTTGTAGCTATGCAATATTCAACGTTTACTTAAATTAGTTAAAGCGATGGAGTAACAGTACCTACTTATATCTGATATACTTATATACTCGTATTATAGCAAATAAAACACCATTTGGAATTCTCTCTACAAAAATGGGAACTTACCTTCAGCTCTTCCTGACGGCGAAAGGATTCGGCCATCATCTGGCGACGCATGGGTTCGGAAATCACTGCCTCTCGAGCTGGTGGTCCTTCACCGAGTTGATTAAGCTTAACCACCACCTGGTTTCAAGAATAGGGATTGGTTATAAAGGGAGGTAGCTAGTCTTGTACGGACTACACACCTTGGTCTTGTCATTAAGACCTAAGTAGTCGCTCATAAGCTTTCCCATAAGCATCTGACGTCCTGCAAACCAAAACTGAGCCTTGGAGGGCTCGATTACCTCCTTGGAGGCTTGAGTTCCTGTCAAATCTTCAGTGTTACTGAACTCCATGCGAATAGTGTCGTGGGGCGGCAACTGCATCGGATATACAATGGTCACGGCACCACGCAGGAGGTTCAACGCCTCCTCAACGATCTTTAGGTTTAAGGTCTTTGAGGATTTAGCCAGTCGCTGTAAGGGATGTATATAGATAACACCTTACTCACAAAGCAATTATTGTTCACTATCTGCATAACTAGTTTGCCTCTCTCTGAAAACCAAACCATCAATTACCATCAACCCATAGCTTACCCGATCCACCATGGCCTTAGCGTCGGTAATAGCACCTGCCAGAACCTTCTGCATCGCCTCAGTAGGCTGCTGCCCATTACGACGAAGGAGCGGGTCCTTATTAATAGTGAAACCGCCAGACGGAATGCACTTATCCGCCCAAATGTCCTTTAGCTTGAGCTCTTCCCTTTGGTCTTCGTTTAGGCCAATCATTTCGCCTGGTAGCATGGTTCCATGTTCAGCAAGCTCTTCGATCTCCATACAAACACGCTGAATTTTGAGTTGACCATTATGAAGGGCCACCAGATCCCGCAGCACGGTATCGGTTTTCTCCTTAACACTTGTCTCAAACAAGAAGAGCACCTCGTCTCCGCGTTTCACACTTAGAACAACCATTTCGCAAAGAAAATATAGATACAGAGCAATAAAGTGCAGATCGGCCAGATAGCAGTTTGTAAATGTCAAAAAAAGCCGACAGCTGGAACGGCAAACAACTCGGTTGCTAGGCCACGTATCGATGGAGACGTAAAGAGGGGGGTTTCAAAACATCTAACTGCTCATTTATTTTAATTCCTCGTGTCGTAAGGTCGAGTTATTGCACAATGCGTTTACGTTCTCATTAAGTTCTGCTTACAAACTCCTCCAGCTACAATAAATACTATCCTAACTTACATTAAACACCTGCATCCTTCCTGGGCTGTTTTTTGTCATTTGGTTATTTCTTATGAGGGTGATACGGTGTGCTAAAGTACAAGTAGCCTAGGTAATAGTTTGTATGTACAGGGAAGCAGCTTTCCTGGGGTTGCTAGCCTCTGGCCGGTTAAGTGTTACGAAATATGGAAGGGTAGACCGCAATCTGGAAGATGCTTAAGATACAGCCACAGTGATGTGCGTATAAATTAACTAGTAGGTCATGCAACGGTGCATCTATGATCAGGGCCGTCACTCGGAAAGTCTAGGTGGGCTGGGTTACCTCAGCACGCGTCGGAAGTTCTCCATTTCGTATATACTGTTTGATAATCTGCACGAAATAAGTTTATAAAACGGATCAATAAAATAAATCGGTTATTATAAGGTCTAAAGACCCACCTTCCAAAAGCATTAAAGAGAGCAACAATCTCTGTACGCGACAGTCTGAAGATGGGATCTGCTTCAATGTGTGGCTTGTCCCACAGTCCGCTTTCTGTGGCCAGATTAAGCTTCTCCGAGTAAAGGATCTTCAAAGCAGTTCCCAATCCTTGTGTCTGCAGCTTGCCCCAGAGTTTGCACTTATCACAGCCTACACAGCTCATAATGCGGGATATGTTGCGGAACTTCTCCTTGTAGTCGTGCTTGAACTTAATGGACGCAATGCCGCTACTGAAGAGAGCATTTTCATCGAAGTGAGATTGGAAATTTCTGCAAGGAGAGACCGCGTAAGTATTTTTCTAGAAAAGAAGAACAATTTTCTTACTCAACGACAGACAGCATATCGTTGATGGCCAGCTTGACCTCCTCATCCTCCTCGGCTATGCCTGTGTAGTAATCCTCGCGCCGCAAATAAGGAGCAGCCTTTGCCAAGGCGCGCAGCTCCACCAGATAGATGAAGTAGAGGTTCCGCAACCAGTGTGGCCCCTCACCGCCTGTGGTTTCCGGGCTAAAGCGTCGCTTAAACTCATTGGCGTTTGGACCCCAGATGCCCTGAGGATCGAGGAAGTCTTTCGATTCGGACAGCAGATATTTGGAGCACAAATGGATATTAATGCTGGAATGGAGTCCAGAGATAATGCGGTAAAAGGCACGCTGTTCCAAGCACACGTCCCGCAGATCAAAATGGGGCACATAGTTCGAGAACTTATTAGCCGTTTCGTTATTGCCACCAAAGCAGTTCTCCAGATAAATACTCTTCCAGATGCGGTGTGCCGACTCTCCGCGATATCCAGTGTACCGCTCGGGATTCAGAAGCAGATCCACATACTGGGAACCCTCCTCATGGTCATCTACTATACAAAAGTCCTCCTCCGCCTCGTCATGCTTCGCCCACAGCTCGAATTCCCTGTGCGCTTGGTCACTTATACTTGTGTCCAGGAATCCCAAGGAGCTATCGAAATCTTCACCATCCGAGCAAGCCCCGCCCTCCACTTGCGCCTCCCGCGTATACTGTAAAGAAATAAAACAGATGAGGAAGTCAGTAAGGTAAGTTAAACAGTTGTGCAAATAATGGAGTGAAGTTGTAAGTCAGTCATTATTTCATTGAATGGAACTATGTGAATTTTTAAGAAAACTGATAAAGCTATCTAAAAATATATTTACTTATTATTGGTATATATACTTATTTCTTAGTCTGAAAGATTTCTGGTTAATATGGTATTGTTCAATGGCACGAACTACAAAAATATAGTATCTTTTTGTTTATGAAGATAAGAAGCACTTCAGTTAAAATAAAATGCAAATGCTTTTAAGCTGAATAAAATGGAGGAATAGGAACAATAAGGATTAAATCATTTTCCTACACAGTATTTTTCAGATAATTAATCTTTTAAATTTTTAATAACAAAACGGGGCGGATGAACTTCTAATGAGATACTAAAACCACGTCAGCATTGCAAAACAAAATCAAAGGCCACATCATTACGGCCTACGCTCGATGGGAGATTACAGATGCGGCTCATTCTTGTGGAGTCGCAGACAATCGAATAAAAATAAATCACTTGCAAACCAATTGAGTTTTCAGGTAGATAGTGGAGTAGACTTAGGCGAAAGAATGAATGAGATAAGGGGCGTAGTGTTGATAGCTTGATTGGAAATACCCAGCTACTTACTTTAAACGACGCCTTCTCCTTGTGCTCTCCTTTCTCCTTTATGCCCACCGGAATAGCTTGCTCCTCGCAGTTTTCCACCTGGCAGAAGCGGATCGCACATCGACTGTCGTCCGGCCAAAAGGGACACTCCTGGCGCAGGTTCACCTTGTAGAAGCGGAAGAAGTTCTTCACCAGCAGACTCTGCAGACGCGGATAGATTTTCATGTTGTTAAAGTGATCCACTGTGTCCACATCGCAGCTGCAGTCGTTTATAGATCCCTCCAACTGTGAAATATGTAGGCAAGATGGAAAATTAATCCTTTCGTTTAAACAGAATTAAACAAATAAATGACACTTCTAAAAACGGATCATATAAATCAATAAGAATATAGTATCAAGATCAATAAATAAAGAAATAAAAAAAATATATCTTGGAAATGGAATTTATAACAAAAACTGACACGTACTGAAGAAGTGTACTTATTTTTAGATCCTTAGGGCCCTTTGCATATATGGTATATATTCTTTACTCAAATTATTATATACTATACACAATAATCCTATTAAAACCCACCTCACAGAAGCAATTTTTGCTGGTCTTGGCTTCGTCGATGGCCGCAAAGTATCCTCTTGTTGAATCCGTCCAATAAAGAAGCAATATAAGGACCACCAAGCCCGAGGCCCAAAGGTTTCGCTGCACTGTGTGTGTTGTCATTTTAATTTTTAAGGTAGATGTTTTTATTTTTGTGACTGTTGCTGTTGCTAGCTCTCTCTCTCTCTCTATGCAGTTGTTGTTTTTGATACTATGTTTAGTTTCTGGAGTGCTTAGTCGCTTTGCGACCAACGGACTGCATCTGAATGTGATTTTCCCAACGGAGTGCACCTGTGATTCGCACTGGCCAATTTCACGAGTTTAGCTAGTATTTACGTTCCGCAGCAGCAACATTCTTGATTTACTTTCGTTTCATGATTTTGGACACGTACTTGGCGTTGAAGTGACCGCATACGCGGTGTGCCGAAATGTGCTAATTAATACCACAGTTGCTAAGGGCAGTGCGGCCACACAGCTCAGCAAGTGTTTTTAAAAATCTTAGATTTCGTTTAATTTCAACCAATTTTATTCAAACTACTATTTCTTTACGATTTTTTTTTTTAAGTCTTCCCATGTTGATCACAGAAATCATTATATTTAAGTTTCGCGCTTTTAAGGCATAATGACAACCCTCTTTTCAGGGCTGAAGGATGTTGAAGGAAGTGGTTACCAGATCGCTTAAAAAAGAACAAATCTAAAAACCGCTAAATTTAAATGTTTTTTTTTATAAATTTGTATGTTATATTGTATTTGTATTAATAAAGTTGTTTGAAATTTCATATAAAAATATGATTATAAAAATAAAAATATCCTTATAAATATGATTATAATTTTAATAAAAATTAAAGAATAATTTTAAAAAAGAAATAAAGAATTAAAAAATAAAATCTAATTCACGTTTAGAATATGCGCTTAGTATTCCAACAAATTTTTGTATTATAGATTAAACACCAGTTTAATGTAATTCAAATGACTTTTGCTGATCATATTTAAGATAACATTCAATCGTCAATCAATTGATTGCTAAATGTGAATATTGTTATGGGTTTCTTCTCTGCAATATTGATGCTGTTAATTAATTACCTCAAATATTGATTTCGTCTATTCTTCGACGTTGAATGCATCTTTTGTTCCCATGACATACCCTTTGCCCTGACGACTGCACCCCACAAAGGAGCTCGCGACCCTCAATATGCAAATTGAGGAAACTCGGTCACAACTCAGATTGAATCCTTTCCAGCCCAAGATCATCATCGTACATCACGCCGGGGGGTGAATTGCTTAAGATGCAGGGCACGACGATGCAGGCACCTCGATTATTTAAACATAAATCGCCTTGGGCCTTAAGAAAAATAGACTAAATGGGCTAAGTAAAATTTAACCGCAACATGAAAGGGTATATAATTTTCAGCTATATTCAGTGTTAGCATGTCCTAAGTTTAAATGTTATTTAAATGAGGTTTATGTTAAGTTTCAGAATCTATAAAAATTAAATAACATATAAACTATTTGAGTACTATCTTTTGCTTTCTAAAACATGTCTGTGCATTTATTATACAAAAATGATTTCTTGTGGCGTATGTTCGTTCTTAATATCATTCCTTTATCAATTTTTATTCTAAAAAAAAATATTTTTCTCCAAAAAAAACTCTTTTTTATTCGACACCTGAGCATCCTATTTCTTCCTATTTCCCTTCGAACCCATCAAAAGTTCTCACGGAAAAAGTGAAATTACAACAAACGGGATGACTTAAGCAAAAAAAAAAAGATGAACCTCGTAAAAACGGGGAAAAATCTTGGAAAAAAATGTACCGAACGAAAGGGTTTAATCATTTTTTTCAAATAGGACGATTAATGCAGAAAAAACGCAGACACAAACATGTGTGGCCAAAGGACAGGGCGGCGACCCTCGGCATTGTTCGAATTGAAAAGGAATCATCGCGGACTCGGGCGAGCGATTTGCATACGCAGGACGAAGGCTAAACCACCACCGCCGACTCCTTATCTATTTGCCTGAGGTCCTCGGGACCAGGTATAAAACGATCTAACTCACACTCGCCCGGAATGATAAATACTTTTTTCCTCAATTTTTTTTAATGATTTTTTTTCACTTTTTTTTACCACTTTCAGTTTTTTTATGCAGCGTTTTATTCAAATTTCTAGCCGATCTGGTCGTGTGAAGTTTTGTCTTGAGAAGATTTTGCCCCGAAACGAAGGATGCGCGGCGGCTGCGTGTCTCTCGGGGGATCGATCGAAAGAAGCCTGGGAACATCCGCGAAGGACACGAAGGATTGTCTCTCTGCTCATTTGCCTAGACATCGGATTACGCGTAGACACTAGACAATGGGTAGGAAATGGGTGGTAGATACTAATTAGTATTATATGATGTTTATTTTCATTTTACTAGATTAATATTAATAACATATTGATATATTTAAGCTTATAAAGTGTTCTATCTTAATAGGTTAATAAATACCAGCCACTAAGTTAATATATTTAAAAAAAAAAAATACAAAATCTTATAAGCATAAATTTACCAACTATTTTCCATCACCCTAATTCATTGCCATTTCCTTCTACTTATGCAAAACTGTTGACTGATTTCCCGGACTCACCGCAAATCCCCAGCTCATCGGCTTATTCGATTTTCCCAGGACATATGCAAATGCACTTAGTTGCTCATTAGATTCGCGTTCTCGTAATTGCAATCTGCAATGTTTTGGCAACAGGGCGACGTCAACAGCTACTCAAGACTAGGGATCAGGAGTTGCAAATTAGCATATGTAACAAGATGTTGGCCAAAAATATGCAAGCCAGGCACTTGAGATTTGCATAACTAAACCGCGGACACAATGCAAATGTGCAAAAATGATCCTTACAGGATAGGGGTAACGTTAATCCGCTAAAGTAGGCACACTCCGGGGGTTCCTTTCATTTGCAAAAAAGGGTGGTAATAAAAATATCTGCAAAATGGTCGTACCTTCGTTGGCAAAGTGGCAATTTCTGGAGAGTTGCGGGCTCAAAATAGCCGCTTATGTTTTATGGCCCAAAAAAGATGTGAGACAGGTAAACAGGTGATGGTCTTAAGAGAGACCATTGCCGCTCTTCGGGAGCGAGTCTACGACCTCTTCCACACACTTTCTCCGGAGAATGCCCGGCCTTGGCGGCTTACCATCGCTGAGAACCTTGAGTGCTGGTCAGTCGGCTTTTGGCTTTCGCAAGGTGCAGTCGCGTCGTGATCGCATCTTCCAGTTACTTATATATATACATACCATAAGATACTGAAAATCCGAGGATCGTTCTAATTCAACAAAAAAAAACCTTTGTGAGTGATTTTTGCTACCTGTTTTCGCTGGACTTTGCATATGGTACTCCAGTTAGAAGTGGCTTTCCGGATGGAAACCAATTCTCCTGGCTGCCAGCTCACAGTTATGCGTCTGCAAACTTACCGTTAAGATCTTGAGATCCCAAAGAAAGAAAAGAGACGGGTATGGGGATGAGATGGGATGGCCAACCGAGCAACAGAAGTCGCTTAACTTGTTCGTGAGCCGAGCCTAAGGCAAAGAATTCCTCCATCTCTTTGACGTGGTCTTCTACTACGTTTCTTCGTGTGTCTTTATTTTCTCGGGATTTGACTTTTATGGAAGTGCTAAAAACGAAAGAAACCAAACAAAACTCGCCAGCAACAACGACAACAATAAAACCGAGAATAGTTTTGCAAATTGACAAATCAACTACGATAGTTACAGTGTATGGCAGAGTGTCGTTTACAGTTAAGCCAAACGGTTCTGTTTGTTTTTGAAAGAAATCGTTTCTTTCTTTCGCCTGGCGTGAAATTCAAATTCGTAAAGAAGTATTCGGCCAACTGGCATTCCAAGTGTTACCCATATAATACTCAAAACGAAAACCAATGCCAAGAACCGAACCGATCCGATCCGAGCCGAAAGAGAGAAGAACGATCGGTGTTAATGCCGTCGCGCCTTATGCATCTGACCTAGTTTTTGGTTTTGGTGCCGGACTTGGTATTCATGGTGGCGTAGGCGTGGTGGACTGACAGAATGGGGCAAGAATGTTATCCAGAGGAGAAACGACGACTCACTTGACCCAAAATACGTGCTAGCACTTTCTAGCCCTCATCACCAGCTATCAGCTGGCCAAATAAACATAATAATAATAATAATATTTTCCTTCATTTTTTTTTTCTTTTGCCCGATGAGAAATTTCCGGTTTGTAGAAAGCTTTTGTTAACCGCACGTGATTGGGGAAGTCCGTTTCAGTTTCCATTCCGATTCAGTTTCCGAAAACTTAGTGCACTTTCGCTGAGTGATCTGAGATCTCTATCGTTGAGGTTTCATTTCGTACTAAGTACTTTCTATTTCATTCATTAAACGGTTTCGTTATAATTGTGGCCCAAGAATGCCCTGGCCGAGCTCTCTCCGGCTGCCCATAATTATTTTGCATGGTCGTTGTCTTCTTAACCAGTTTTTGGGTCTTACAGCCGTCTCTTAAGCCGTTTCCATACTCGTTCTGGGCAACCCAGATACATGGATTATGGCCGGAATGGCTGGAGTGGCCCGTTAGGCGGCGGGCACCGCTACGTATACGTAATATTGAAATGGGGCACCTGCCGCTCAGAACCAGAACCTCGAATGTGTAAAACTGGTTTGGCCTTATCACACACCTTGGCCTCCCAGTGGTAATATCTCGATGATGATCTTCCGTTGGCGGCTCTTTCTAGGCCAATGATCTCTGTTGCCTGTGGCATGAGATGCTGATGCCCCAAGCTGCCGCATTACGTCACTGGGGCCGGGGGTTACATGGGCCGTTATCTTGATGATTCAGTAGCCGGCGCCCCTGCCACCTCGACTTTCACTTGACCACCGCTAATTATCTCACCTTTTTCTCTATCTTCCTCACTCTTCTGCAGATTCTTGGTAAGAAATGAACACGTGCTGACCATTTTGGACAATCGAGATATGCAAAGACATACCAGCACAATGAGTCGCTTTGTTCTGCCCCTGATCCTCAGCATTTTGCTGGTCAGTATGCCACCACCAGCGCAGTCTCAAGATGAGTCCCTGGCTGGCAGTTTTCTATCAGGTGAGGATTCTGTAAAACCTATTATAAATTCATTTCGGCTCTATATAAGAGATATTTATAAACAGGCCTCTTGGATACCATCACCAGCACAGCAGATGCCAAGGATTGTCCTGGAGTCTGTGTCCACACTTTGGCTACTTTAATTTGCTACGAAGTTCTTGACGATGTGGCTTGTCCTTCGGCCAGCATGAAATGCTGCATAGAGAATGCTCCAGGTAAGGCTTAGCCTTTCAATAATCCTTATTAAGTACTAAGAATATGCATTATCTTAGCTGGTAAAAATGCAACTGCTGTGAGGGCGACAACAACGCCAAAACCCACAACTACCACTAGTACCACAACCACTCAGAGGACCACCACCACGCAGGCCACCACTAGCACCACAAAGCGCACAACCACAACCAGCACCACGGCAAAACCCAAGCCAAAACCACAGACCAAGCGACCTGCTGCCAGCTCCACCACAAAAGCAACAGCGGCCACCACTAAGAAACCCAGCACCACCAAGAAAGTGGTCACAAGCAAGCCAAAGGATAAGGAAGAGGCCACCAAGGCGGATGATGCCAACAGTAAGTGGGAGAAAATCTCAGCACACTTCCATTATAGGAATTCCCAATAATTTTCCTGATTTTTCCAGAAGACTGCACTGGAGTTTGTGTAGCGGATCGCATAGCGGAGTACTGTGAGGCATATTTGACCAGCGATGGATTGTGCAAGGAAGGCACCAAGTGCTGTGTCTCCCTAGATGAATACTCCAATACCAAACTGCCCAAGGATATATACATTCCAGCAAGTAAGTAAACTTCTTAAATATTATCGTTCATCTTTTAATCATTTCTATTCACACAGAACACATGAGCAACCTGAAACCAAACCAAACACTGTCCGAGAAATCAGCTCCCTCTAAGAGCTCCAGCACTTCGACAAGTAGCACCACTACCACCAGCACCACCACTACACCTGAACCGGCTAGAACAAACAACAGTTCCCCAAAGCCTAGCAAACACAAGAAGCATCCGACGACCACAACCACAGAAGCTGCTGAGGAAGAGGAGGAGGAGACGGAGGAAGATGGCGAGGAGGAGGAGCCACCACTAAGCAATAAACTGAAGTCCGGTCAAGGCCAGGGTCAGGTTCTGAAGGAATGCGAGGGCGAGTGCATGAATGGAATATTCGCCATTTTCTGTGATGACATCGATTCCGAGGCTTTTTGTCCCGGAGAAGGGAGCTGTTGTGTGACCGGAACTGCTTCGGAAGCGCCACCCGCATCGAAAGCACCACCCACCAAGCCGGCCATCAAACATGCCCCAAAACCCGCAGCCAAGCCTGCTCGCCCCATCACTCCACCACCTGCCCCAGCAACGACATCAGGAGGTGCTGGTGGGGACTTCCTCTCCCAGATCATATCTTTTGCGGAGAGCACTTTGAACTCCCCAGCTCCTCCACCACCCCCACCACAGGCTCCGGTTCAGGTGCCTCGTTGTCCAGGATTCTGCCTGCTTAATATTATGGCTGCTTTCTGTGAGAGGCCTTCGGTGCTTGTTTCCACACAGACCACCTGCGCCAAGGGATCCGTGTGCTGCGACAACTCTAGAGCCGGAGCTCCCAAGCCCAAGCTGCCACCGCCAACGCCTTCACCGACGGCCCCGCCTACTGCTCCACCATATGTCCTGCCCAATACTCCAAGTCCGGATCCACGAGAGGAGTGCCCCGGATCCTGTATCGTCAGCCTGCTCAGCTTTACATGTTTCAGTGAGTAGTCATTGAAGTCCTTTAACTAAGAAAAATCACATAATCGTCCCATATCTTATTCCCCCAGAAAACGCCGAGATGACAGACATGTTCCGCTGCAAGCGTTCCGGCCAGATTTGCTGCGCGCCCAAGAGCAAGATCCTCGAGAAGCAACAATTCCAGACACGCAATGATACCGCCTACTATCCGGCCCCACCTCCGCCTCCAATTGGCCCACCCCAGGCATATCCACCGCAGTCACCGCCCTACACCTTCATGAACAACCCGCCGCCACAGGGGCCGCCACCTCAGATGGGTCCTCACCACACCAATCCCTACCAGCCTCCGCCACCAGCGCCAAACTACAATGACTACTATCCAGTTTCCGGTCCTGGACTTCAGGGGGGACTTCCACCACAACCTCAGCCACCAACAACGCCACCGACGACGACAACAACGACCACGACTCCAAGGCCACATGTGTACTCCAAGTACGTTTGTGGTGTGAAGGGAACTCTAAGGACAGGAAGGTCTCAAGCTCTTTCATTGGTATCCTATGCCCGTGCCAAGTATGGAGTTAAGAGATCAGCTCGCCAAATGACTTCAGCCGCCGGATATTCTGGAAACTTTAACAAGTCAAACGAACGTTTGGTCCTTGGATCTGCCATCGTGCCCATCCAGATTCACAATGATAAATTGGGCGACCTTGTCGAGTCGAGCAGTCTGCAGAGCAACCAACTGCGATCGTATCACAACCACCAGGAGGCAGATCAACCAGATCTGGTTTATCCGGAATACTACCAGCAGCGATCGCTGTATGGACTTCAGTCCAACTTCAGTGGAAGGCGCAGGGCTCGAGTGGTGGGTGGAGAGGATGGCGAGAACGGAGAGTGGTGCTGGCAGGTGGCTTTGATTAACTCCTTGAATCAATATCTTTGTGGAGCTGCTCTTATCGGAACTCAGTGGGTCCTCACTGCAGCCCATTGCGTCACCAAGTAAGCGATAAGCTTTCCCCCGATCGATTAGCATCCCTAAATGTGTTTCTTCCCTTCCTAGCATTGTCCGTTCCGGAGACGCCATCTACGTGCGCGTTGGAGACTACGATCTGACAAGGAAATACGGTAGTCCAGGAGCGCAAACCCTGCGCGTGGCCACCACTTACATTCATCACAATCACAATAGCCAGACTTTGGACAACGATATTGCCCTGCTAAAGCTCCATGGCCAAGCGGAGCTCCGCGATGGAGTGTGTTTGGTGTGTCTTCCAGCTCGAGGAGTCAGCCATGCGGCGGGCAAGCGATGCACAGTGACTGGTTATGGATACATGGGAGAAGGTACTTAAAAGTTGCTTAGAATCATTCAGGAAATCTCTAACTTCTGCTCACCCTTTTACAGCTGGTCCCATTCCTTTGAGAGTACGTGAGGCAGAGATTCCCATTGTGAGTGATACGGAGTGCATCCGAAAGGTGAATGCCGTAACGGAGAAGATCTTCATCCTGCCCGCCTCAAGTTTCTGCGCTGGCGGAGAGGAGGGACACGATGCCTGCCAAGGAGATGGAGGTGGTCCGTTGGTCTGCCAAGACGATGGATTCTTTGAGCTGGCCGGTCTCGTATCCTGGGGATTCGGTTGTGGACGCCAGGATGTACCCGGCGTCTATGTGAAGACGTCCTCCTTTATCGGCTGGATCAACCAGATCATCAGCGTGAATAACTTATAGTGAGGAATCTCGCATAGGACACTGACATCATGTGCGGGAGGAACCCCGCTCTTGTGGCGATTTCCCGGCTCAAAAAACCTGAGAGTCCTGGTATAGCCTACGATTGTTTCAAGGGGTTCCCGCTCTTCGACTGCTAACGTAAACCCATCCTAGTGTAATCTATTCATACCTAACCCTAACTCTAATCGCTCGAAAACCAGAAAGCAACTATATTAACTATTACGATTATCGGTAGCGTAGACGGCAATCTTTAAAAGTATTCCCCTATTTGATAACGCCCTATGGTAAACTGTTTTTGTATATACAAAATAAATACAAAAAATCTTCAGTTATATAAGTACTTGTATTTAATTATTGGGAAAAAAAAGAATATAAAAAGGAGTTCCTTAAAATTATTCCATAAGAAATAGTTTGAAGGAAAGAAATTAATCCTATAAACCTTCTTGGCCATGATGAAAATTGAAATTATATTCCAAAAAGTCTTTAAAAAAGTAAAAAAAAACTTTTTAAACAAAATTATATTTTCGGCGGGAAAATCATTAAAATTTAACGTACATGTAAAGAAAATTCCTTCAGTTATATAATTGTCTTTCTTTGCCATGGGAAAAGGGTTATGCAATCTTCTTAAACCTCTTTTTTTTTGCTGAAATGTGAAATGCACATCTTGCATTTGAAGAAATTTAAATATTTCCGGCAGATTTAACGGAAATTTTTAACCAAAAAAAATGTCTTAAAAAGGATCTTCTAAAGAGGCTCTCAGGCACCCAAAGCAGTGATATTTGAGTTTTTCCTGAAAGGCGGAGCACAAAAACTCACTCAAAACTGCTCAGTTTTGGCAAAGAGAGAGAGAGAGAGGTTTTTTCTCTAATAAGAGAATCTCGGGCATCTGCAGATAAAAAGTAACCCCCGAGTGGAAACCTGGAAACCAATGTCCTACGTTCCTCACCCTCCCTTCAATTTGTTTTGTTTTTATCCCTGATTTTAACCCTTTTCGCCCGAGCTATAGTCCCCGCTTAAAGAAAACGAAAGCGTTGGACTTCGGGTGGTTTCGTCGGCTACGCTGGCTTCGTTGTCTTCGGCCGGTTCCAAAAGGGTTCCTGAGATGTCCGTTCTGGATTTCAAGAACAGAAGTTGGTCTGGCCTCGAGCTGAGCGGATCGTAGAGATCGTTGAAACTGCCGCGAATCTCGTCTCTGTTGTTACAAACTTCTGTTATATTCTCCTGCGAGATATAAAAAATATATAGTGTAGTTAACCGTAGATAGTAGTACTCACCCGATTATTGATCCTTGATCCCTGATCCTAGTTTGCATGCATTTCGTCTTGGTTATTTGTGTTTGTGCCTGGTTTTTGTTCGCCTTTCGTCCAAGTCGCGTAAACTTAATTCGACATAGTTTATCAACAAATTATCATAATGGAGGCAAATTCAAATCCCACAACTCCTACAACGGCGGTGGCTACCACCACATCCACATCCAGTCCATCGCCAGCGGCGAGTACCAGCAGCAAAGGACACAGTCAAGCTGCCTCCAGTTGTTCTGCATCCGCCTCCGCATCGGCTTCCGCATCCGTCACACAGTCACAGCTGCTGACCACAAGTCTGGAGTTGCCCAAGTCAGAGGATCTGTACAATCTGTCTCTGGCCAGCGGATTATCCGAGGGCCAGAGATCACTGTCCGGTGCTCCATCGGCCTCCTCCAGTCCCATCATGAGCCCTCAGGGCAAGATCTTCGGACGGAATGCAAATGGAACAAGTAAGTTGTAAATATAATACTTAAGTTGGTTTAAAAGGGAGAGAGATCATCACAGGACTTAGAGAATAGTACAATCAAGGAGAGTTTAATAATAAGTACAGTTTGATAATCTATCAGGTTCTTTCTTAATTTTATTAATACTAAACTATTAAAAAGCTGTTCCTAACTTGTATAAAAAACTTTTAACAAAACGTTTTAGTCCGAATGATAGGAATATATATTCGTTTTTTTTTAACATGCAGATGTCTCTTATAATTCAACTGTTATTGTGTCCAATCCTGATCCCTCGACCGCATCGAATCTATTATTAAGCTTCCCTGCAACCAAACCATTCTCCCCCAGCCACAGGCTGCAATTTTCGCGCTCTTTTCTCGAGCTTCCATTGTTTGGCATTATTATGTAACGGAAAACGCGTGGAACCTAATAAGCTTGCCCCTGGTCTTCAAAGTCCTTTAAATACCTTAGCCCTGCCAACAAAGGACGCTGAAAAGTTGCCTTTGCTGGGTAATTTAGGTTCTCAAAAAAAAGTAGCGGATCCTGTTCCGGTTTTCATATCCTTGGTGCAGAGATAGCTCGGGGCGACTTGTTTTGCATATCTGCTCAAGGTCTAGGATTTCTTCAGGTAGCAATGGCAGACTTCATCCAATGAGATCTGCTCAAGACCCAGGTAAGATGCCTCTTCCTAGGCGGCCGTTATATTAACCTCCTGATGATAGGCTATGTCTTAGGGGTGACAGGAAAAAACTATAAAAGAAACGGGCAAAAAACTCACCCCAAGCGATGAGGGTAGTAAAATATTTTCAAAAATCTCAGTTTAAAGAGAGTCAACCAACGAGACGAGGTCTCGCTGGAAAAATGCTCAACCTCCAGAAAAAAAGATGTCGCCACACGGAAAAAAAGAATTTGATCAATAAATAATATTATTGGAATCTTATTTATTTTGATATCAAGACAGAATTTGATCATCTACTTCTTTAAAAAAAAGGAGAATAACATTCTTTTGAGGTCGCTTTTATAGTTTTCGGTTCATAGATAACACTATCCTTGTTAATGCCAAACATACTTTATAAAGAACTCATTTCGTTCTTAAACGGGATCTATTATATCCCAAAACTGATTAGATTAAGATCGTTATGACCCCAAAAAGAACGTACTTAAAAATTGAGTATGCATTATTCTTTCGCTGTGCAGGTTATGGTTATGGTCCGTCTGCTGGGGCCATTGGCCATTGGCACGTACGGTCCAAGTTATTGCCACCAATGGAATTTTGATCGACAAGAATTTGGTCGTTGAAAAAGTTGGCTTTTAATTTATCGTTGTATATGAGAAATAGTTTCGGTTACTTGGCCATTGCCGATGCCGAGTTGAAGGGAAGTGGGATGAGGACTCGGACTTGGACCCAGGCCCCATGTCCCAAGTCCCAGGTTCCAGGTTCCGATTCCAGGTCCAACTCTCCAAGTCAAAGTCTGCAAAGTCCGGCGTCTACTTTTTGCCCATAATCGAAGCGATCGCACGATTGACTGCTCTGCTCCGCACGCACACATTGGGCCCCCTCACACACTCACACAAGTGCACTCACACGCATTTTCTGAATGCACTGTGAAAAAAATGTTGATTACTTAAAACTAAATGTTTGAGAAATAGACAATTAGATTCGAAATAATCCCCAATTTATAAGTTAATAAGGGTTAATTATACCGAAACATAACTTAATTTATGAAACCTCCTTATATCAGAAATCCAAAATCAAGTTTTTTCTTCTGTGTATCGATCCTGCGGTTCGCGGTTTTCCGTTTTCTGCTCCTGGCTGCTTGGGCTTGGGCAGCTGCTTGGTATGTGGCGTCGAATGTCATTATTGCTGCCAAGTGCCAACTAAAAAGTTACTGCAGTTAATTTTTTGTCCATCTTTACCATTTGCCGTCCGCATAAAAACAGCATATTTAGCAAATGACAACAACAGCATCGGGCAGTGGGCACAAAACAAACAACAAAAAAACAAATAAGAAAAAAACAAACCCGCAAATTAAATAAATAAAAAATCAGCAACAATCCGCAGAAGCAGAGGAGCTCGAGCAGCCACAACAAAGTGTCCCCAGTTCCACCGTTCTCGATTCCGAACCCTTCACCTCCCTCTCCAACGATCCACCCAGCCTGGCATTATTTGTGTATTGAAATCACGTCTCATTTATTTATTGCTGCCACCGTATGCCCCTCTCTTTCGATCCTCCAGACTCCCAACTTACGCAGGTCTGCGTTAAATACCCAAGTGCAGGTGAGGGAATGGGACAACAAGTGGCTGCATAGAAGAGAAGTGTGGCCATTTTATTAACCCTAGAGCGGTCAGTTTACATGCCAATAATTTGTAAATTAATATTTAAAAAAAATTAGAAAAATTATAAATCATTTTTAATCCATCTTCTTAAATGAAAAATAATTCATTTTAAATATTTTTATATTTTTTTGTTTTGATCTAAAAAACTCAAAGCACAAACTTTCACTATAACATTCAAAATTTAACACATTTAACCCTCCACTTAAACTAGTTTACTTCAACCTTGTTACTTGTTTACTGGATTTACCCGTCATTTATAAGCACTTTCAAGTCTCTATCAAAGTCAAGTCTAATTTCTGTTCAAGTCGACGCTTATTTGACCACAACTTTTTCAAGACCGCGTAACTCTAGGCTGATATTTTAGTTTTCAAACTATTTATGATATACCCAATTAAGCGGCTAAGAATGCGAATTATTCTTGGCGACTTGGCCATAAATCGTAACAACCCCATGGAGCGGAGCGTGGGTTAATGGCGCGAAGTGCGCATCCTTGGTGTTGGATGTTGGTGGATGCTCTTGTGGCTTTCAGCTGGCCAAAGCAACTAAAAAAAAAAGCAACAACAAAATGCAATGGAATCGGAGGATGGCCATCGATGTACGCGGCTTTTTCTGCCCTGAGTTTGTTATAATTTAGCCGGCCAGCTCGTTTTTCTATTAATTAAAGCTGGCTGGAGACGTTGTCGCCGCCTGAAATATTCTCACATAATTATTTACGATTTGACATAATCATCATCCTCGTCATCGGCGTCGTCCATTTAGAGCTGTGCTGCCATAACAGTAACAGGCTCGTCGATCGGGGGATTCATTAGTATGAGCAATAAATCGCTGCCCAGTCTCTAGACGGTTTCCTATGAATTTCCCTGTACCTATCTATGTATTTCACACGATCCATTATAATATCCTTTCTTTTTTTTGGGCCAAAAATCGAAAGTGATAAAACCAAAAAAAAAAGGAAGATTTAAATGATCCTGGCAATCCTTGACGGCGTCTTACAGCATGCGTGACGCATTTCTAACGAGTTTGCCGACTCAAAACGGATCGTATCGGATCCTTGGTCCCTCGGAAGGGGTTGAACCACCATGCTTATGCAGATGAGTTTGTTCCCAGCTCTTGCCTCATCCTTTTTGTGTGCTTTTCGAGTCTTTTTTTTTTGTTTGGTACGCTCTCTACGAAAAAAGGGTTTAGGGTCCAGACGTCCGTCGAGTTTTTTTTTTCGGTAAAAAAAGCGAATTTAATTAAAATTTTTTTCTTATAGCCGCTCAGCATTGTGAGAACGTCGCAGGCCAGAACTTAATAAATATCATTTTTTGCTGGAACTTTATCAAGCCCGTTTTTCTCATTTTTTTTTTGTTTTTGTCTTCCAGTGATCGCCACATCGCGACCAGGCAACGAGGCGGAGGTGCAGCTGTACCGGGTTCTCCAGAGAGCCAGTCTGCTGGCCTACTACGACACCCTGCTCGAAATGGGCGGCGACGATGTGCAGCAGCTGTACGACGCAGGAGAGGAGGAGTTCCTCGAGATCATGGCTTTGGTGGGCATGGCCTCCAAGCCGCTTCACGTCCGTCGTTTGCAGAAGGCTCTCCACGAGTGGGCCAACAATCCGGGACTCTTCCATGGTCCCATGCTGCCGCATTTGGGTAAGGATCTTGAATCCTATTCCTCTTGAGATCATCTTTATTAATAAGATCCTACTTACAGGTCTATGCGAAACGCCACCCAAACCTGCGTTGGTATTCAATCCGGACACCACTCCCGCCCTGCCCCGTCAGAAGTTCCCCTCGTTCAATCCCTCGGGCTCTTCCTTCCAGCCCTCGCCGGTTCCCTCAACTCCCCTGCCCACTTCCGGTTCGGTTGCAGCTCCTGTCGGCCCCTTGATAAATCAGATCATTTGTCCTTCGGTTCCCTCGGTGCCCATGCCTCCTGTTCTGCCCTCCACTCCGCTGACCAGTAGCCCCCATCCCTCGGCGAACAGTAACATGCCAGCTAGCACTGCCCACCAGGTGTCCTCCAGTTCGCCTCAGCTCACACCTGTTCTGACTGAGATGCAAATTCAGAGGATAACGATGTGCGCCGAGAAGATTGGTAAGCAATTGCCTCAAAGGGAACCGCGTGCCCAGACCACCAGGAAGCGTACCACTAGGGAACTGGAGCAGGTGATCGCCATGGGGGAACAGGATCCGAGGCGAATGGACGAGATCCGTAAGTACTCCGCCATTTATGGTCGTTTCGATTGCAAACGGAGACCGGAGAAGCCGCTGACCTTGCACGAGGTGTGCGTCAATGAGGCAGCTGCCCAGTTGTGTCGGAATCCTCAAACGATTTGGCTATTGACCCGCCGGGATGAACTGTTCCCCCTGGCCAGGCAGATTGTCAAGGACGCCGGCTTTGGCCACTCTGCCAGCATTGCCCGTTACGGTGGTCTGCTAACTCAGCTGCCGTCACAGGGTGCGGGCTTGGGCGGAGGTCGAGCTCCTGGGGACACGGACTGCGAGTCCAGTGATGCCGTCTTGCCAGCAAAGCGTCAGCGACTCTCCTCCACGGAAGCCGCCCAGCTGCCACTCGACATGAACCGGGTAAGGAAGCTAGATTCCGTAGAGCCGTAGGTCCATCGCCCGGTGCAGTGCTTCAGCTTCGCTTCAGAGCCCTCCAGGCGGAGGTGCTCCCTGATAACCTAAAAATTTGCCTTACAGCTTTCGCGCTCGCCAGAACACACAGAAATACTAATCCTGGTCGAGAGGTTCTTTTCAGAATATCTTGACTTTTGGAGGGGGATCTAAGTGCACGCTATAGTAGTTTTTTGTAGACTAGATATATCGTATATATATCAATATATCTTTTTAGCACTGTTAATATCTATGTAGTTATTCTGGTCTTAAAGGCCCTTTTTATTTCCAAACTTATTTCCAAATACTTAACAACTTTTTACGACCTTAGTATTATTAGACTTTAATTAATATATTCTTAAATGGTTATGTTTGTAATGTTTTTACTGTTGATTTTTATAGTATTTGTTGCTTGATTTTCTATTATATTTCAAATTTACTAACCCTTCACCTAACTTCTTTATCACTAACCGTTTAATATATTTAATAGTTGAATTTCTTAATCTTAGGCCCAAGTTATTTAGTCGGTAGTCGTTTCGCAATATATTCTTGTACCTTTTCCCACTGTTGAGTCAATAAATAAATCCTACGAAATTGCCAAAACCAACGTGTCCACGTGTCTTCTTCCTTGAACTCCAAAAAATCTATCCATGCAACTGCTCCTCCTTGCCTCGCTTAGCTTTCATTTGGCTTCCTTGAGAACGAGAGACTTTAATCCACGATCTTGTTGATAAATCCAACCCAAAAATAAAGGAAGCTGTCGAGGATTCGCGCTACAATCTGTTTGCCATGTACCAAAAGTTCGCCAAGCCGCCGTTCGATCTTACGGAGATTGCCAAGTTCTCGTGAGTATGAAGGTTAAATTATTGAATCAATCCTAAGAATAGTTCTTATCATTCCCTTTTAAATCCCTCTTTCCAGACTTGGCAAGGCAGCTGACTATGAGGACAACGATTCACGCTTCTCGTTCAGCAACTCCAGTTCGCCGACCATGCCAGTGAGTATGTGTTGGAGCTCTACGTGGGCAGCCTGCTCCCCGGGAAAAGCCTAAAAATTAAAGATCACCATTTACTAACCCACAGACGCCCTGCAATGGAATGGAAAATGATCGATCGCCAGTCTCCCGGCAGATGGATACATCCTCACCACCCCGGGAATCTGTGGACTTAAGTAGCACCTCTTCGGGTCCGGCTCTCAGTGGGGTCCAGGTCATATCGGCCGCTGGGGACAACATCATCGCAGTGGCCAATCCCGCTCTGGCACTTAGTCCAACGTTGAACGATGTGCTGTCCCTCAAGAGGAATACCGCTTCACCGGAGACCTAGACTGGCCAAGATCAAAGGGATGCCATTCGTAGTGCCAGATTTGGTTTCGCCCAAGTCGTTTCAATTCCAGTGCAATTCAGTTAGTTAAGATTGATCTAAGGGTAAACTTGGTTTAAGAAGTCTTAAGTCAATGATTAGTTCGTAGTCTCTGTGATCTATACTAAACACTGTAATAAAATCATTATTTATCCATCAATAAAAAGTTCTAATAATGTTAATGCTTGAAGATAATTGATGGGTTTGGGGTAAATGGATATCTTAATCTTACCAGGATCCTATCCATCTGTTTTATCCATATCTAATATATATAATGAATTTGATTAGAACATAAATAGAGCAGTCAATATAGAAAGTTAATAACAGAGCAAAAACAAAGACAATACCAGACAATTGCCCTCATTGATCATGGCAAATTGAAAGATCATCGAGATCATAGATCACAATTGCACCCATTGATCTTGACGGATCGTGTTTACATATCCGATTGTGGGCAAATTCCTTTGTTCGCCTCTTGACGCCGCAAAAAGGCAATATCCAGGCGAACCTCCCTTCGATCCTTGCGAATCCTTGCGAATCCTTGCGAACCCTTGCTAATATTTTTTGGAATTGGCGATAAAGATGTCTCATCTGAGAATCGGGTAATGAGCAAATTAACACCCTTGTGGCATCGGCTTAGGTATGCAAATTATTGCAAAAATCCTGGGGTATGCAAATTATGTTGGCATTATTGATGATGATGATGATCGGATGAAGATCGGTTTACTTTCGCTGTTGTGATTGCAACTTGATTGCTGTGCAAGAAAGGGAAAGATATTTCAAGGGAATGCAGTTTGATGAACCCTTTATAAGCACTAAATCATCTGCCAGATGCGATTTGAATCTTAAAGAAAACCAGACCATGTGGCCACAAATGCGCGGGAGGCGTTCTGACTTCAAAAAGGATTCGTTTTGCTTTGTACTCCGGCATTTGATTTGTTCATCTGCTGTTTGGAGAAAGGAATGCGATAAGCGAGGCTTGGGGAAGGGTTAGCCTTTGTTCCCCTTCAGGAGATGGCGCCCAAGCGATACTCTAAGAATATAGGGTCATTCCCTACTCTTCTCTTCTTTCCCCTTCCTCAGTTATGCAAATCCGCTTGTGGCTGCCTGAGTAATTACAATGCAGTTCATGTCCAAGAGCGCAGGCTGCCTTCTTACCCCGTATTTACATATGTGCACCCCTAACCCCTTTGTGTCCCGGGTTCGGTTCGGCCAAGACGCGATCATTACCAGAATGATTGATGGGCGTCTTGCGCTTGATTTGCATAAGATGCTGTAACCCAAAAAAAAAAGAAGGGATCCTTCTGCTTTCAGGCATCCGACGTAGGGATTAGACATCCTGAGAACAAAGCAAGGAGTGTCAATATTTGCACCCAACAAAAGTACTGATATACATACGCGTATATACAAAGATCTACTAGTCAAATTTACTAGTTTAAAATTAGTTTTGAGATCGTTATAATATAGAATATACAACAAATATCTTTATTTATTGATTATAAAGAGATAAAGCTAACTTAATGAAACCTATAATCTGTTTCTGGATTTCTTAATGAAAATTACAAATTTAAAATAGTTTTCATATAAGTTAAATCATTTTATTCTGAATGTTGGGTTACTTTAAGTAACCTAATGCTAGGTATAACATGTGGCATGGCAACTCAAGGTGTATTCTGCAGCTGTTCTATAATCCAGTCCATGAAGTACTGCGTGCTGGTGTAAACTCCGGGCACATTGGGTCTGGCACAACCAATGCCGTAGGACACCACACCGATCAGATAGAATCTCAGTTGATTCTGGTACTGTTCTGGTACCATCAGTGGACCGCCGGAGTCGCCCTGGCATGTATCCTTACCACCGGACAGAACTCCGGCACACAGAGTGGCACTATCGAACTGATTGGCAGAGAAGTATCGTTTCTCTCTCGCATAACTCTCCCGGCATACCTCGTTCTCGAAGACAGGGATTTGGAGTTCGTTTAGAACTTGGGCGGACTGACCGCCCTCCATAGTCTTTCCCCATCCGGCGACGAAGGGCATGTACCCCACGTAAGATTTACCGCGTAAGCTGGCCGTATGTGGCATGCAGATGGGGGAGATCTTATCGGTGAAATGCACATTCCGCACCAAGTAAAGTATGGCCAAGTCACTGCGTCCATTCTTCCTATTGTATTCCGGATGAACAACGGTCTGGAAGAAGATAATCAAATGTTAATCCTTATTCGATTTCCCTAAAACTTGTCTTACTTTTTCAATATTTATGTCCACATGAGCAGCCTCCGTATCCGTGGACAGATCATGTTCTCCCAAACGAACGAATTGCCTGGAAACCGGAATATCAGTTTATAAGATGTAGGTCATAAGGATAATATTTTGACTCACAAGGCATCAAGGATGCAGTGGGCCGCTGTGATCACGTGTCTGGCGGTAATCAGGGTTCCACCGCACTTAAATGGCGATCCAGAGGGATCATCATATCCCAGCAGTGCGATCCAAGGCCAAGCCCCCTTGCGGCTCACTTCACCGCCTACAATCTTCTTGAAATACCCGAATGTATAGCCGCATCCTTCCTCCACATTGAGCAGCCGACGAGGTATTTCGTCCGTATTCTTGGGGATAACAGAAACCTGAGCGGCAACTGTCTGTCCATTGGGGCAGCACACCTGGGTTCCCTGGTTGCCACAAATCAATCTTGAGGCTCTTAGGAAGTTAGCGAAGGTTTCGTCTCTTTGCTTCACCCGGAGTTCATTAATCAGTGATGTACATTCCTTGAGTTCTAAATCGGATAGAAATATAGTTAAGAATTACCTTTAACGTTTCACAAAAAAACTCACCCACACAGTTTCCGGGCTTGGTGTCTGGTCCACGGCACGATGGACCCCTTAGTTCCACCAAGGGTGCCGCTGTGGTAACCGGAACGGGAGCTATAATGGTAGTCGTCGCAGTCGTAGTCGTAGTCCTCGGTGTGGAAAACAGGAAGGGATTATCGGGAACTTCAGGCGGCGGCTGAGGACCAATGAACGATGTCTCTGTTGGGAAGAAGGGATTCCGAGGCCGCTCTGTGGCCTGGTTATATCGGGGCTGTGTGCAGCAGATCTACGTAGGGGAAGCAGGGCAAAGCTTAGCAAGAAAGGAAAGTGGATGGATAGATCGAAGATATGTCCCTACCACCGGATCCCCATTGATGTTGCGGGTGCCACAACTGCGCTGTAGGGCGATCAAATATCGCTCCGCTAGATCTCTGTTGGCGGTCTGGAAGATGTTCACCACCTGGGGACAATAGGTAAGGGCCACGCAACTACCGTAGGAGTTCTCTGGGGTGATGCAGTTCTGGCGAACTGGATAGGGAAAGAAATGGGTCATCAGTTTTTGAGTTTTTAAAAAATCCGAAAGTTTTTTGGTAAAAGAGAAGTTCTCCAAAAATGTTTAAAATAAAAAATTACCAAATATACGTTTTAAGTGAGCTTTTGTAAATGTTAATATTAAATGTGATATTTTTTAAGAAAAATTAACTGAGATTTTTAATATCTTAATTTGGATTTCTAAGATAGAATTTTTTGTATTAATATAGATATGATTTGGTTAACAAAAATTGTATGTAGTAATGAGCTTGGCCTTCACCGTAGGATGAGTCAGTTATGGGAATGGGGCTTTAGTTATGTTTTTTCTCACACCTCTAACCAAGTCAACATTCTAACATGAGCGAGACCACAAAACACCAAACAAAAATCCGTATTGTAGTAACTTAAAAAGCCGAAGCTCTATTATTATACTACACAGAATGATTTATTTCAATTTCATACAACTTAAACTTTTTGTTTGCTTTGTTTATTTTGACTTAAATTCCATAATTAATAGCCGAAATTAAGCGCTCTCTAATGTGATTCATATTTGAGGCATAAATAATAGTCTAAAGAGATTTATATTGACAAGATAGATATAATAATGTTCCACAGACCTGAAACCTTGTATTGACAAAGCACTTAAATGTAAAATAAACCTAATCTCAAGAACACTTTGTAAGAGGCTTTCTCGTTATCTAGAAAATCTTTCTGGTCAAGCCAGTTATGGACGTCTACATCTCAATCAAACTTTTCGAGTACCGATGTTACGTGCTCTAAGGGAACGCCCCGCGGTCAATAAACACCTGTTTAAGTCGGTGTCCGAGTCGAAATTTGACCTTGGAGACTGGTTTCGTGATCTGGAATTGAACCCACAAAACAATGGGCCAAAACACGGTTATGAATAACTTTTGGATTATTGTTTATTTTGCATTTAATACAAATCGCGGCGTTTTGCCAGCTGCCAAAACGAAAGACTTGAACAACGAACTTGCCATTGAACTTGAAGATGTCGACAAATTAGAGGTCTATCCAATTCGATATTTTGACCAATTGGTTTTAACTCATTTAAATGCGTTGATTTGTTTATGGGCTTTATTAATTTCGAAGATGCGTTGTTAATGAAACTGGTTTGTTATTAGCTTAGATAAGTCGTAAAAGTTCTAGAGATATTTCAAATAGATATGGCGAAGCGGAAAGCTCACAATTTAATTAAGTGACTTTGACTACCTTGCCTGCGCTGATTGAACTGGGCGGCAGTGGGCGAGTTGAGCAATAGAAGGGGCAGGAGTGTAATCACAGCACTAACACAGCACATCGATTTCATGGCGAGATCGATCTATTATATATATATTTATATCCGTGTTATTGGGCAACGCGACGTTCACCGGCCGAAAAACGTTATCAAACTAAAACTGATTTTTGGAGAACCGGACAACCAGAGACTGGTGTGCGTCTTCACCCGGGGAAGCTTCTTCGGAGATTGCCGTGTGTGTCTGTGGCTTGGTCGTGGCTTGCGTGACCAATGCGATCGCGTCTTCGATTCGGCTGAGCTGTCGGCAACCAGAGCCGAGCTTTATATGCAGTCTTCTCACCGGATCGGATCTCCCTATCTACCGATCTCTCAATCTACCGATCTCTCTCGGGGAAGCTACTCTCTGGCCGGGAAAGTGGGTGCATTCAAGGAGAGCATTTCGCATGGGGTTCACACTCGGCTTCTCGCCGAGCACGCCATTTGCTTTCTAAGCTGTATTAATCAAGGTGGAAAAAGCACCAAATTCACACATTCAGATAAGGCAATGATTTTCCCAAAATGGAATAAATTGTGTATTGTTTTTCTTAATAATATGGATCAATGGGTAATGGGTTCGGTAATGATATAGGTACCTAACTTTGGTACAGTTCGAAATTGGGAATTTTCAATTAAGGCGTGAGTCAAATGAGGCGCCAAATTGCTGACCTTGCTCCGATCCCAATTTGTCATTGGATCTGGTCCCGAGAATTCTGTGACTCAATTAGACGACCGACTAAACAAGAATGATAAATGCCATTAATCAAGGTAAATTAAAACGGATTCCGTTGACATGTCAATTGGGAATCACTTAGCCAACTGACCCAAGTCACTGGCGACATTCTAGCACTAGTTCTATTTTAGCATCATGATTAGCAATCTGATATTCTCGTGCTTGTACATTGTATTTGTATTCGAGTACCGTAAACAGCTTTCGCTGATTATATAGATAGGAGACTCCTATTAAGAATACGTAATCATTGGAAGTACAGTGAGGATTTAGATTACTGATTTTGGTGATAGATAGGAGAACATAAATATACGTTTTATATTTCCTTGTTTCTTTATAAGGTATAAGGTATAAGTCTTGTCTGCCAAAGACATTTCTTCAAAGTTTAGTTAAGAGCTTCATCAAACTTCGTAGTAAATCTTAAAAATATCATTAAATCTAAGAAGACTGTATAAAGATCACCAAACAGATGGAGACTGCGAGTTCAACCAATGACGCCATCTGTGTGAATTATGCATCAGAAGTGCGATCACAGTTAGCATACACTTAGTAGACCCCACTAAGTCTCCTCCGGACTGCTATATACATCACTACAATACCGGGGGCAGTCAACCTGATTAGAATTCCGGGGAGATGCCGCCGAAAGCCAATTGGCATGCGATCGATGCAATCGCAGAGGCATAATAACAGCGATCGTTCTACTATAATGACTAATCCGGATCACTTGGCCATGCAGTGCAGGTAGAAACAGCGGGGTACCAAGTGAAGTGCTGGAAATTCCAGGCCCGATGGCCAAAGAATTGCTCTTTTTGGGTTCCGGCTCAATAGTTTCATCTATTTTATTATACTCAATATCGAGAAATAAGCTCTGTTCAATGAAGTTGACTGTTTTATGTTTAGATAAGTTTGATGATATAACCATGACGAAGGTTCCTTCCCCCCAAACAAGTTTTTGATTTCTTGCGTAAGTACACATCTTGAATAATTTCTCATATCTACTTGTCCATATATTCCCACCATATGCAAATGATTGATAAGCTATTAATCGATACATACTTAAGAAAGAAAGACATGTCATTTCAAAAACAAGTTGAGCAAATCTTACAGTCGTTAAATAAATATATATTTTGTAAGGTGAACGATTCATTTTAAAACACGGTGACTTCGATAACATTATTATATTGTTAAATACATTCTAATGACACAAATGATAATAAAAAGTTATACATTTAAAACATTAAGATTAAAAGACACATTCATCAGTTTAAGAGAAGGTAAGATGATTGTACTAACTATTTTATTTACTTGATTTATTTTCGTGTTGAAAACAAACCTGATGTAAAATTCCCTTTCACGGAGAATCATCTTAAATCGATGCAAATGATATACAAAATTAACCGAATCTTAAATCAAACAAGAACATAAAAACATGAAATTTATTGAGGAAATTCCGGTGGGTATGTGTATTTGGGATTTAGGAATTAAAGGCAAGTATTTGTAAAGTGCTCTCAATTGTGATGACACATCCGAGTTAGATATCCGACTTAGGATGTGTCACATTCTAAGACGATGTTAGATGTTTCTTGATCCAAGGAACGTAGGAGGCGACTCTCGTATAGACACCAGGAAAATTGGGGCGAGCACACTCATAGCCAAAGGAAACCAGGCCAAGTAGGTAGAACCTATAAACATTGACCTCCAGCTAAAGAATTCCGAAAGAAGAAGTTTTAAGAAATATACCATAAATTCCAAATTCTTTTCTGCAAGTCACCGACATTTTCGTAAACCGACGAAATGCTTTTTGCGTCACTAACTTGGACAATTAGCGGGCGGTATTCAGTAAACCACCTTGGCGACAGAGCTTAAGACTTGGCCAAAACAGGTTCGATGACTCACAGAAGAAGAGATTGTAACTGACCTGGGGCATCATGAGTGGTCCACCGGAATCCCCTTGACAGGCATCCACATTCGAGCTGCCGGCACACAGCACCTGCAAAAGGATTTATTATGCTTCCATTTCCTCTCGGGGATTCCTTTTGGCTTTGATTAGCCAGCTCACCTTGTCACTAAACTGGACGAACTGGAAAACGGACTTGTAACTCTGCTCACAGCTCTGTCGGGACACGATCGGCACCTGGGCATCTCGTAGCACCTGTGATGTGGCACCCTGGTGCTTCACTGCCCCCCAGCCAGCCACAAAGGGATTCATGCCTACGAAATCCTGTTGCATGAACTTTGCGGCCTCAGGAAGGCAAATGGGGGCTATATTGCCTGGTTGTTTTAAATTATAAAAGTTATAAAGGAAATCAAATACATATATATAAGTTATCTTACCCGGCAATGTACCTACTCCATTCAGCTCAATCAGGGCTATATCATTCGATATAGAGTTGAGATCAAAATGCTCGTGGACCACAGTTCTACGGATACGAAAGTCCATTGCTTCCGGTTCAGCTGGCTTGGAGAGATCATGGGCTCCCAATCGAACCAAAGTCAGCATCGGATTGATGCAGTGTGCCGAGGTGACCACGTAGTGAGAATGTATTAAGCTGCCACCACAAAGGAACTTAAGAGCATTTCGATTGCTCTCATCGAAGTATCCAAGGGCAGCTACCCAGGGATAGGCTCCTGGGGGAGATTTAGGATTAAAGAAATAGTAAATGAAATATGTGATATGTACCTCTCCTAGCTTCAGCTCCACCTACCACTCGGTTGGAGGTGGCACCACTTAACCCACAAGCAATAGCCGCGCGAGGAGCAATTGGTGGTGGCGGAGGTGGAGGTAGTTGTGGGTTAAAACTGGGGCTCACCACCTGATTCAGCGGAGGAGTGGGCTGGAATACCATCGGAGAAGCAGTGCCTCCTCCACTCAACGGCGAGAAATGAAAAAAGCCAAATGGAGCTGCAGTGGTTGGCAGCAGATCCTTCCTACTCCTGGCACTGCCACTTCTATCCGCGGCACAGCAAACCTGCACATACAAGAATTCTAACTTCGTTTATCTTATATTATGGTGATTTTTAATGCATAAATAAATGCAATTTAATGCGTAGTTTGAGATAACAACTTTAAATAATTATCCAATTAGCAAAAAAATATAAAATTGCATAAAAAAAAGTAAAAACAAAAAACTGAGCCACGATTAACCAAATAATTAATTAAAAAATAAAAACCGAAATAGATCTGAGGGATTACCATGAAATTGGAGCCATCGAAGCCACATATGGACTGGCCCAGAAAGTTGTGGAATTCGTTGCCCTGACCCTGATACTCCTCCATGAGCTGGGGACAGGAGGTCAGGGGCAGGCAGCTTCCAGGCCGGGATCGGGCATCTTGGCAGGACTGGGCTGTAAGAGAAGTACGTGATTGGGAGAGGGCGTGGCTGAGGATTCTCTAGTACCAATTTAGTTTGCCAATTCGATTTGCTTTGGATTTTGTGATCGTTTTTATTAATTTGACTAATTTTGCGTTAAATTTGCAAGTGTTTTTCGATTTTTTTTTTTTTTGCGTGGGTGTTGGGATAGGTGATTGCTATTTGGTTTGGTGGTTAGAAGGTGATTTTAGTAATGTGTCCGACGTCTCCGGCGACGACGCCGCCTACGTCCGGAATTCAGCGGCATGAAAACCATCATATCCGAACCGATCTGAGGTCCTGTCGATGAGAGCAACGGGGAGTTCTGCTGCTGACGAGGATCGATGCAGGGACAATTTGGCAAGGGACGCGATCCACCAGGCAGGCAAACCAGCGGTTGAGATGGACAAGTGGGCACAGGAACGGGCAGAGTAGTGCCAGCAGTACTAGTTGTGGTCCCTCCCGTCGTAGAAGTTGTGGTACTCGTTGTACTGGTAGTAGTCGTGATTAGTGGTGGCGTTATCGGCGTCTGGGGATACGGAGGCGTGGGCTGAAACGTTGGGATCACTGCAGGTGTGGACGGAAAAGCGGGTTGGGGCGGTATTAGTGGACCAATCGGCTGGAGAGGCTGCGGCTGCGGCGGAAATTGCGGTCCCTGCGGCGGCGGCAGGGCGTAGATGGGATAGTAACCTGGCGGAAACAGCGGACACCAGCCCTTGATGCTGGCTAAGTAGGACAGAAAAGGCCAGAAGTACACCTTCACACAGAACTCGTCCAGCAGCACCATTTCCAATCCGTAACCCTATCCGATTATCCGTGCTTTCTGCTTGGCCAACAGGTGGCAACTGTCCACGAAACTCTTCATTTTCGGCCAATTGCAGCTTGGCCAAGTGGAGCATGGCGGGACATAATGATTATAATTCAATTGTATTTTAGCGGAGCGCAATTATACGAAGAGTTGTCTGAAAAGGCCAAACTCAGGGGCGGATCAAGGGTGGATGAGGGTTCAAAATATCTATCAGCCTATTCAACTTAATATTAAAAGAAGTTATTAAAGAGAATTATTAGAGAAAATTATTATTATTATTCTTTATGACTAACATAATATTAATAATTTATATTTAAATTCTTATGAAAAGAGATTCAAAATTTAAAACTGACGAAAGTTGATGACTAAAACAACTTATCGTAATATAAAAATACAAAAAATATCAAAACAAGTTTCAAATATTTGATGACCGATTACTCATTACAAACAAATGACTTGGTTGTATTCAAAGTATTTAATAATGACTGGGAAATGCACATTTTAAAAAACTTAATTCTGTGCATTATTCAATCCCCTAATTGCAGACCCAACGAATTCACACCGGAATGCATCGTTAATTCTCGGGGGAATTAAAATAACTGGGCCAGTGGCGCTTGAAATCCGATTTAAATCATTTGGTGAGGTCTGTTCGAATCATTTGCTGGGTGTTAGATGGCGACCATTAAGGCCGACAGATGATGTGCTATGAGGGGCATTTGTTTATGTTGACACATTAAATGGAATGACACGATCACATAACTCAAACCGATCTATTGGCACGATCTGCTTGGTATTTATAAACCGAATGGTCGGGGTACTAAAAAAAGAATTCACATAGAACTTACACTTGACGGCCGAAAAGATGGAGAGACCCAAATAAATTATTAGAATTTTATTAGCTCTAAGGGAACTAGATATAGCACACATTCTGATCCTATGAGTTTCACCGACGAACTGATTCCGTGGGCCACTGACACACCGGAACTTAAGCGCCTATGGAGTAGGTGTCATCAAATAATTTAATTGTGGCAATTTTCGAAATCACATTTAATTTAATTGACAGCAGTTGTCCGCTTTTTTAAAGGGTTGAACTTGAAAAGTTGAAGGATGGGTAAAGCCCCCACTAAGGTCAGGGAAATGGCCAAAAATTCCCCTTCGATAGCAGATCGAAATACTTTTTGGATGCGCTTATTTATTGTTGGGAAAGGAAAGTTCCATTAAATCTAAATGCCGACTACGACTACCTTGATAACGTGCTGGGTATATATATGTTTATATATATATATGTAATGTATGTGTGTGCGTGCTAGACATCGTTCGAGATCCGAATCAGGATCAGGAAAGGGTATAGCTTCCTACTCGCGGTGCTTGCAGTCTAGGAAGAGCTGAGCTTGGGATTGTACATAGCGAAAGATCTCGAGCAACATCTCGTTGGAGGGCTTGCAGCTGCCTTGCTGAGGCTCAAAGAAGGATCCAGGACCAGCTCCACCAACGGAACGTTTGCCCCAATCCGGCGAGAACGTCAGCTGTAAGAAAAAGAACCAGTTGAGATATTAGGAAGGGTTATATGGTACCTTCAGCTCTACTCACTTGACACTGAACGCAGGCCAGGAGCAGGAAAAGCACGGCTGCAATGAGGATTTCGCTCTTGGGATTCATTCTGAGTTCTATGCTGATCCATCTCGGTTTAGCCTGCTTTTATACCCATTCAACATTAAAAGGGACCAGATGGAAGTTAATTAACAAAGTACTTGTAAGGATTCCAATTGTAATTGGTCCTTTCGTCTGCCTTTTTAATTCCAATCGAGACCAACGTCATTAAAACATTCTTCTATGTGGAAGCGTTTGTGATTCTCCATGTGTTTATTAGAATTGCGCATATTTTTAATATTAAATATAATTATATATTTATTTATATACCATTAAATAAGTTCGTTAAATTAAGCAGTGTATAAGAGTTAAACGAGATTGCGGATTAAGCAACTGTTGCAATACATTTGGCGAACAATAAACCATAGAATCCGGCTGGGGACATTTACAAAAATATCGTTAAGTGAGTTGTGCGCCTGGCAGCTGCGGATATAGTACAAATATGTGGTGTGTGAAATACAGAGTTTGATGTTTTAGCTTTCTACGCGCGAGAACGAGGCACTCAATTTGTTACAACAAAATCGGATTGTAAGCAGTTTATACATGTATACGTATATATATTAGTAGTAAATAACAATACAAATTACAATAACACATTATTACGTTTTGGCTTAATCGAAACAAACGTTCTGGTTTTAGTTATTGCATTATAAAAACAAATGGCCTGCGTGCCACGATTGGTAATAATTATAGAAAACATTCGTCCTTAATTGTTGTCGTTGATCAACAAATAATACTACAAAAATATATGTAGAAATATATATGTTCATATATATTTATATGTTATTCGTGTGAATCTGTTGTATATATCTAACTATGTTTCGTGTGTTTGTCTGCATGTGGCATTGTTAGTTTTCAGTTGTAAGTTTCTTCGTAGCTATTTGAAAGTGGCGAAGCTTATTCGATTCGTTCGTTGAATGCGGCATGCACCTGGGCAGGTAAGAAATGCACTTCGTTTGGGCTCGTTGACACGTTTTGCGCGGTTACTGGTTTGGGGTTACTGGTTTATCGTCTTCTCAACGGAATTCAAAGCTCAGTCGACGCGTGTTTTTCAAAAAATTTGGTGTTATACTCGTTCAATTTTGGCTCCTGCTTCCGCTGCGGCATTTAGGAGATTCATTACATCAGGCAGCACTTCCTCTTGCCCTTCTTCTTGTAATTCTGCTCGATGAAGGGACGCTCGGCGATCTGGAATTTGCGCACGATCCTCACCAGTTCGTGAAAGGCCTGGTCAACGTTGACCCGCAGTTTGGCACTGCACTCGATGTAGGGGATCATCAGGGAGCGACTGGTGTTTTGCGCCTCCTCCAGGGACACCTGCTGTTGGTGCTTCAGGTCGCACTTATTACCCACCATCAGCATGGGGAACTCGTCGCGATCCTTGACGCGCAGGATCTGCCTCTGGAACTTGGGGATCTCATCGAAGCTGGAATGATCGTTGAGTGCGAAGACTAGCAGGAATCCTTCGCCAGAGCGCATATATTGCTCCCGCATGGCACTAAACTCTTCCTGGCCAGCCGTGTCCAAAACTGGGAAATAATAAGGATTAATGAGGATCTTAGAAGTGTATCGTAAAATGACTTACTGTCCAATTTGGCTGGCACATCATCGATGTCGCACTGTTTTGTGTATGAGTCTTCAATGGTGGGATCGTAGTCTGTGACAAAGTAGCTCTGCAAGACAACAAGTATTATAATATATTTGCATTTTTTATGTTTGAGATGTTTTCTAAATCTAAACTAAGGTCATCGACTATACAAACATTTCATATTATAAGACTAGGTTTATGTGTAAGAGTGGTGCGTTTATCATTCTGTCCGTGATTTGTTTACACACGTCACTTTTATCATCCACTATGCTCTATATATCTTTGGGAAAAGCTACAGCATATACACGAAAGATGTGCAGATGACGCAAATGACTAAAAATAAATGGAAACGGGCGGGCATTGTGGTCGTGACCATGGCACACAGTCTCGGAATCGATCGGCACACCCAGAAAACTGGGGGCTGCGGGTATCATAACTCCCTGGGCTTTGGCTACGGCTTCGACCACTGGATCCCCAAATGGAGATACACACGGGGGTGTGGCCTGCGACGATGATGATCTCTGCCCAAAACTATGCACACGCATGTCCAAACACAGACGCACATCAGTCGCTTGTTGCTTGTTTGTTGCTCTGGCCAAAACAAGGGCCGCCCCGCCTCCGCCCCTGTGCGCTACTCACGCTCCAACATTCCGCCGCCCCTGTAGAAAGCGACGTCACCAGGGATAGAGCTACTCCTTAGGGCCTCACCTGTATAAACTGTATCGTTATCGCAGACTTTCCCACGCCGCCGCCGCCGACGACCACCAATTTGTACGTTTGCATCTGCATTTCCCCGTTTATTTCGACCAGTTGGCCAGCTAAATTCTTTTATTTTACTCCGCGATAGATGCAGTGTGAACGTTTGGATATAACTGAAAAATACAGCCGAAAGTTCCATGAATATGGACTCCATCCATGGTAGTGAACTTCGCTAAGTGGAACCTAATTGGAAATACCTACTTATTGGTAAATGTTATTAGTCATCACGCAGCATCTGGTCACACTGTGGTATAGTCATCAACGAAAAAAATACACATAAAATTGGCCAAGGAATAGATAAAATTCTTTAGGCCAAGTTAATACACAAGAAAACGAAAACCAAATATATAAACTCTTAGTGTGTTCATTATATAGTTGCCTTTGCTCCCGTGACCAATAATTCGCAGTGAAAATGGCCTTGAAAGTGCTTGTGGGCCAAAAGCTAATGAATGAGGTGGTGAAGTATAAGCCTCCAGCCCCCAAAAAGCAGGGCGTTACGTCCGCTGCGGGGGCGGGTGGTATGGAATGGAGGGTGCTGGTGGTTGACAAACTGGGTATGCGCATGGTATCTGCGTGCACCAAGATGCACGAGATCAGCGCCGAGGGAATCACTCTGGTGGAGGATATCAATAAAAAGCGAGAGCCTTTGCCTACGATGGACGCTATTTATTTGATAACTCCATCGGATGAGTCAGTGCGGGGGTTGATTCGAGACTTCGAAAACCCCGCAAGGCCCATGTACCGCTATGCCCATGTTTTCTTCACAGAGGTTTGCCCCGAGGAATTGTTCAACGATCTATGCAAATCATGTGCTGCCGGGAAGATTAAGACCCTTAAGGAGATCAACATTGCATTTTTGCCCTATGAATGCCAGGTATTTTCACTGGACTCGCCGGACACTTTTCAGTGTCTCTACTCCCCGGCTTTTGCTTCCATAAGGAGCAAGCACATCGAACGGATTGCTGAACAAATAGCTACTTTGTGTGCTACTCTGGGAGAATACCCAAATGTACGTTACCGCAGCGATTGGGACAGAAACATTGACCTGGCTGCTTCGGTGCAGCAAAAACTGGATGCCTACAAGGCCGACGATGCCACCATGGGCGAGGGTCCAGAGAAGGCCCGATCCCAGCTGCTGATTCTAGATCGTGGATTCGACTGTGTGTCTCCACTTCTGCACGAGCTCACTCTCCAGGCCATGGCCTATGATTTGCTACCCATCGTAAACGATGTCTATCGCTATACACCCGGACCAAACCAACCGGATAAGGAGGTACTACTCGACGAAAACGACGACTTGTGGGTGGAGCTGCGTCACGAGCATATCGCTGTTGTCTCCACCCAGGTGACTCAGAACCTGAAGAAGTTCACCGACTCGAAGCGCATGGGTTCGGCCGACAAGTCCTCGATGCGCGATCTTTCGCAGATGATCAAGAAGATGCCACAGTATCAAAAGGAGCTGTCCAAGTACTCCACCCACTTGCATTTGGCCGAAGACTGCATGAAGTCCTACCAAAACTATGTGGATAAACTGTGCCGTGTAGAGCAAGATCTGGCCATGGGCACAGATGCCGAAGGCGAGAAGATCAAGGATCATATGCGCAATATTGTGCCTATTTTGCTGGATGCCAATGTCTCGAACTACGATAAAGTTCGCATTATTGCTCTTTATGTGATGATTAAGAATGGAATTTCCGAGGAGAATCTAACCAAACTGTTTACTCATGCCCAGCTGTCGCCCAAGGATCAGGATATGGTGCGTAATCTTAGTTGCTTGGGCATCAATGTCATTGCAGATTCGCGTAAAAAGGTGTACTCCGTGCCGCGCAAGGAGCGCACCACCGAAAGCACCTACCAGATGTCTCGCTGGACTCCGGTGATAAAGGACATCATGGAGGATTGCATAGAGGATAAGCTCGATCTCCGCCACTTCCCTTTTCTCGAGGGAAGGGCCCAGAATACCAATTATCATGCCCCGACCAGTGCCCGCTATGGCCACTGGCACAAGGACAAGGGTCAGGCGCAGGTTAAGAACGTGCCCAGGCTCATTGTCTTCATCGTGGGCGGCGTCAGTATGTCCGAGATGCGGTGCGCCTACGAGGTAACTAATGCAGTTCGCAACTGGGAGGTCCTGGTCGGCTCTTCACACATCCTGTCGCCCGAGATCTTCCTCAGCGACTTGGGTAGTCTCTCGAAGGAGGACTAAATACTTATTGGATCATATTCTTGTTAAAGATTTTGTCACATTTAACGTGTTTAAAAATAGTTTGTTATTCCTTACCGAAGGTTCAAAATGATTCCTTAAGAAATTATTATACTAATTACATATTGCAATATAAACATAAAATACAAAACATAAATTATATACGCATTACATAATATATTAAAATTATATAGTATTTTATTCTTAGCCGAATATAAATAAATATTAACTTCAATAATACGAGTAGTATTATTTCAATTAAGCCCCTATACTGGCTCTTATACTGTAGTATGAAAATTAGAAAACAAAACAGGACACGGATTTCACAGCACCATAAAATATTCACATCGGATTGCTACAAATTAAATGTATTTCCGAACTTAGTCAAATTTTAAAAACATTTGTGGATGAGCCTGTGTAAGATTATACGCATATTCGGCAAAATGACATCAGAAAATATTTAAATGTTAATATTAAAGATAATACATTGAACCAAATTGTCTAAAAATCCCATTTACTTTTCAAAAACTTATGATAATTTGAAATTGTTTCAATAGTCGTATATAATTCGAACTATATATTAAAATACAAGTTCAAATTTTTGGCACCTGATGCATCTAAATGTATTGTAATTTCTTCAATACCCAATAAAGCTTACCAAAAACTAACAAATTGTTTCCAAATTAATATTGAAACTCTTTAGTTCTTTACAAATCGGAAATCTCTAATAAACTAAGTCAAAGAAGAATTTTAGTTTTATAAGATTGGTTAATTTTTTTAAATATTACAAAATAAACAGAAATCTACAAAGTTTTTCAAAATATTCAATAAACTCACGAATTATTAATCATAAAATCGATAAAAGTGTGAAAATATACTAGAACAAAATAGCAAACACTCGTATTTTGGCGCCCAAGATATGGTCACATTGCAGCCCCACGCTCAAATTGTTTGTGTTTGCAAATTTATAAAATTGCAAATAAAATGCCGGAAGAACCCGAGGTTATTGCGGACGACAAGCGGAGTCATTTGCCTTGGATTGAGAAGTACCGTCCGGTGAAATTCAAAGAGATTGTAGGTAATGAGGATACTGTTGCTCGTCTCTCGGTTTTCGCCACCCAGGGAAATGCACCAAATATTATTATAGCGGTGAGTTTGGAAGGATTAAAGCGTGTTAGCAAGTACTAATTGTGATATATAGGGTCCTCCTGGCGTGGGCAAGACCACCACCATTCAGTGCCTCGCAAGGATTCTCCTGGGGGACAGTTATAAAGAGGCGGTGCTCGAACTTAATGCCTCCAATGAGCGAGGAATTGATGTGGTGCGGAATAAGATAAAAATGTTTGCACAGCAAAAGGTGACATTGCCGCGTGGAAGGCATAAGATTGTTATTCTGGATGAGGCGGACAGCATGACAGAGGGTGCCCAGCAGGCTTTGCGTCGCACCATGGAAATCTACAGCAATACCACGAGATTTGCTCTGGCATGCAACACCAGTGAGAAGATCATAGAACCCATACAATCTCGCTGCGCCATGTTGCGATTTACCAAACTTTCCGATGCCCAGGTGTTGGCCAAGCTTATTGAGGTGGCGAAATGGGAGAAGCTAAACTATACGGAGGACGGACTGGAGGCCATAGTTTTCACCGCTCAGGGTGACATGCGACAGGGACTAAATAATCTGCAGTCCACCGCGCAAGGATTCGGTGATATCAATGCGGAGAACGTCTTTAAGGTCTGTGATGAGCCGCATCCTAAATTACTGGAGGAGATGATTCATCACTGTGCCGCTAACGACATTCACAAGGCCTACAAAATTCTGGCCAAGCTGTGGAAACTTGGTTATTCTCCGGAGGACATCATAGGGAACATATTTCGCGTCTGCAAGCGCGTCAACATTGATGAGCATCTAAAGCTGGACTTTATCCGGGAGATCGGCATCACCCACATGAAGATCGTCGACGGAATCAACTCATTATTGCAACTTACAGCCCTCCTGGCCAAACTTTGCATAGCTGCCGAAAAACATTAATTTTGTATGCGTATGTCTATAGAGTAAGATTACTGAATTAACTTCTGGAGTGGAGTCTCGATTAAATAAAAAGAAAACGGAGAAATTTTGTCAATTTAAATTTATAGCAAAGCACAGAAATAATAAGTTGTCTATTATTATCCTTTAAAAAAAAAGGAGTCTTGAAATTTAAATTGAAGTATCAATATACTAGTTTTAGTTATTAAATTATACTGCCCAAATACTATGAAAATACAGTTTTATATATTGTTACGGCTAGATGAAACGATCGTGTAATGCAACGTTATACTCCTTCAATATTTTATTTAAGGCTTAGCATTTAAATATTAAACGCTCTAACTGTTAAATAACATCTTTAGTATTTTTATCAAATTTGAAGCAACATTAAAGTATTTTTCCATAGGCCGCATTGCATGGTAAATAGCACCAGGTCACCCTGGTCACACTGTTTGCAGCGCTAAGTAAAGTGAATATGGCGAGTCTTGGGGGCGAAAATATTTCAAATAATCCAGAAGGTACGCATTGAAAACAGCCTTTGTCGGGTTCGAAATCGTAGGATAAATCCCGTCGCGTAGGTGGTGATCGAAAATCGGACAGGATTTACGCGTTTTCGGTGCCTTTTCAAGGGCCAAAAAGTGCTGGTCGACTGCGCAGCAAAACGGCACTCACACCACGGCCAAAAAGCAAAAACGGAGTGAAAAAAGAGAGAAAAAGAAAAGCCAAGAAGCCAGAAGTGTCTGCCCCCTCGAAATGGGTGGAAATTTCGCTGCCCTGCCGTGTGTTTCGGGTTCCCCCGATTCCGATCCGGAGTTTTGAGTTTATAAATAAGTTCCAGTCTGAAAAGAAGGAAGAAGAGAGAAGGAAACATACATTATTTTCCCGTATTTTTCTCTGTCTCTCGCTTCGTCATCGCAGCTGCTGCTGTGTGTTTGTGTGTGTGTTTTTTGTGTTCCCTCCCTCCTCCGCTCTTTCGCCTTCTTTCTACCTTTCCTTTTGGCAAAAAGGGAAAAACGGAACGGCAATTGATTTTCCCACAAAAAAAGTCCGTTTAAAACTCCGGAAAATACCAGTCAATTGACCAGTCCACTTTTTCGTAATTCTTTTTGCAGTGGAAAACACATCCAAACGAGCCGAAAGTCGCGAGGGCAGCGCCGAGCGAAAAGGTAAGCCTAAGGTTCTATGGGGATTATCTTGTGGGTTACATAAAATCGGCACATTTATCTTCACACGCACTATATTAAATTGCTTTAAAATCACTTGAAAATCAACTCCAGCCCACGCATTCGCACCTGCCAAGATCACGGGCTGCAGCGCCGGCGCAACCTTGCATTGGTTCGCCCAGGTGGGCGGGCAAATCTCCGCCAGCGAAGACGACTCTCAAGGTAGTTGGCATTCCTTTCTGGCTCTTCTAAAGAGCTACAGCCACGCCCTGTACCGCTCCGCCTCCAATAACGCACGAATGCTCTAAATGCTTGCCGCATGATCTCACTAACAAATAAGACCATAGTCCGCGTTATCGCGATTTTAACCCTCGGAATACAGCTGTCACTGGTCTGTTACAAGTCTAGAACTCACTGAGAACCACTGTTTTGCCCATATGAAAATCTCCTTATCTATTCTCTTCATATGAGTTTACTTTACCTACTTGTTTGACCTTTACATATGCATTTAGTTTAAATAAAAAAGAATCTTGAAATATATCTCTATGTAATGTCTATATATATAAAACTATTACGAGATTAGAAATCTTTCTCATTGAAATCGTATTAATTTTTCTCACAAAACTGTCACGATCCAAAATCACAGCTTCCAATTGGTTTATTTATGGATCTGTACTGTCTAAGTCGATTTAAGAAAACAATTTCAAGATGATTTTCTCCTATAAAAACACAAAATTTCTTTCATATTAAGTATTTATTGTGGGAATATAATGAATAAGTATTTAAGAATTTTGAATTAATATGACAAATTATGTTCTTATAATATGAGTTCATAATGAGTTGTTTGAGATATATCAATATTTACCAGCCTAACGAGTAAATTACTGAATGTCAACAATGTGCAAAAAATGAAAAAACGATGAATTTTGATTTCCTCTCAAAAAAAAGAAATAAAACGCCCAAATACAAAAGTAAATACAAAATTGATTTTCTCTAGGGAAAAATCAATTGCAGATTTCTTGTCCTTCCAAAAGCTCCGCAAACTGAACACACGGAGGGTTAAGATTAACGAAAATTTAATTGCGACCTTGACAGATGATAATTTTAAATTTGCTCGAAATTTTTTTTTGCACCTGTAACGAGTGGCAAGATTGACTTGCAGTTGTTTCTTGGTCGTCTCACTTACGTCATGAAATACCAAAAATATCTTAACCGATAAGGCGATAAGAACCGGTTCCCAGTTCGATTATGCAGACTTTCGCAGCCAAACCGCATGTTACCAATATTATTATTATTATTATTGTTGTTTATTTTTTGCATTTTTCCTCCCCAATGTCATTTCAATAGAACAAAGTGTGCGCTTGCATTAGCTATTTGCTTTCTTTTTTATTTATATTTTTTTTTTGTTCGCCCATTTCGCACATAGGCAAATGTGCGGCGTTGACGGTGGCGACGGCAGCGTTGTTGTCCATGTATTTGTGCCATATTTGTTATTGTTGCTGCTTGCTGTTAGTTTGTCAATTGACCCACAAAGAGCGAGTGTACATCACGTCGATGACGTCAGCTCGCGGCTCATGTAAATAGCTCGCCGGCAAAAGTCGAAAAATGGGGTATACTCGTATATTAAGCAGATATTTATTGATTTCTTTTCGGCCACAGGTAGCAACTGCTGAAAATAATATACCCACTTTTATTTGCTTGCGAACCGTAACTTGTTTATCCAAATTCGATTTATTTCCTTATATGTGCGAATGAGAATTTTTATTAATTTGCTGCTATGCTTTTAGCGTCCAGAGACCGCGAGGAGAAGCTAAAATATGCCCGCGATCGACAAAATGAGGAGCGGCACCGAAAAATTGAGGAGCTGCGCGCCCAAGCGGAGGCCGCCCAGCGGTACCGTGAACAAAAAGAAGAGGAGCGCAGGCGACGCATCGAGGAGATCAGAGTACGAGACACAGAAAAGCGCCATCAGGTGGAGGAACGCAAAAAGGCCATTTTCGAGGCTGAGAAGGAACGTCGTGAATACATCCTCAAAAAGAATCAGGTGGTTTGCTCATTTTTGTCCCATTAAAAACGTATTTTAATCTTTATTTAATACCCAAAGGAACGCGAATCCCGGATAGAAGTCAAAAAACGGGATAGAAACTCCATCGGCTTCGCTTTTGGCTCCTCGACTCCCCGCCTGCTGGATGTGCCCGCGGATTATGGCCTGGTATCGCCCAGTGCCTTTTGGGGTCAGCGGAGGTGAGATCCGAATGAAAGTTATCTAAGCACAACGCCAAAAGCTCTCACAAAACACACATATTTGCTTTTAGCCATTCATGGCTATCTAGACTGGTATTTTAGCCAAGTTTATCTGTATTTCATGTTGCACATGACTAATTATCGCTGTACTTTGATTGACATGCTAAATTGGGGACTAGAATTTTCATTATTTAATTTGTATTATCAGTGCTCGAACTTTTAGTAACAAAATTGTTTAACGACATAATGCAATTGATTTTTAAATAATACTTGCAATTAATCAAAATAATTATTATTATAATCATGGTGAAATTTTACTATCATTTATGATAAGAAATAAATTCTAGAAAAATCGATAATTATTACTACCTATCTAGGATCAATGATTTTATAATACTACATAAAAGTCTACTACATAAAAGTCTTGAAAGTATTATAAAATCATTGATCCTAGATAGGTAGTAATAATTATCGATTTTTCTAGATGTTATTTCTTATCATAAATGATAGTAAAATTTCAACATGATTTGGCAATAATTTTATACTTAGCAATTGAAATGCAAAAGAAACACTTTCTATTGACTAAATGACTAAAGACTATAGATACTTATATATCATCTTCCCTTCAGATCCACATCTATATCGAACGTAGCGGGCGCCTCGCTCTCACGTCGAAGTTCAGAACGTGAACTTACCGACAGTGGTGCTAAGAAGCGTGCCTCCTCATCGACGGACCGACAAGATGGTGAGTCTCGATGCCCCCGGCGGCACTTCAGTCACCTCCGAAACAGATATACACACACACTTTTAAACACTCCACACTCGCTGAGACACCAGCAGACACACATAATGAGATTAAATTTTACTTTGCAGTTATCGTTATCGTTACCTTAGACACTCGTAAATCTTGTAATTGACAAGTCCCCGTTATTGTTTACATGTGCCCCGCAAATTAGAGATTTCTTTAACCCCTTACTATGTTATCTCCCACTGTGCCCAGATGGTGTACATGTGAATTACTATTTATATATATAGATACAAACCCCGAGCACCCACAGACTTCTCACACGGCACGATCAGTTCTCTTTCCTTCTTTATTATATATTTTTATTTTGAATTTGTTTTCCAATATGATTTGCACCCAAAAGCAAACAGCAATCACACCTCTGTAACGATCACCTTTTTCTCTCTGAAACTATGAAATCGAAAAAAACTACCGACTTCACACAGATCATCGACGCAAGTCTTCCTCCATGTACGAGGTATTCAATTGGGGCTATTCCAATGACGAGCCGCCCAAGCGGTTCTCGCTCTCCATCGCCGGCAGCGAGATAAATATCGATGGGCCGGCCAATCCCAATCCGCCGCCCACTTCTTCCAAACAAACAACCAACGCGCACAGACCTACAAATCTCACAACAACCACAGCTACAAGCACCACAACTGAAGGCCACAACAACTTTAACAACCATAACTCGTATCGTAAGGGTGAGGGTTCTTCAACTCTTCTCAGCTCTACCTCGTTCTTAACCCCTCTCGTTCTGACCTCGTTTTTTGTTTTGCCGTAACCCTTAACCCCTGTAATAGTAATCGTAACCCCCGCAGTAAGCTCTTAACTCGTTGTCTCTACTCCCTAACCCAAATCAATGGCATGTCTTGCGACCCTCAGTTTTGCATG